ATGTCATCCCAGTTGGTGACAACACCGTGCTCGATTGGGTACCTCAGAGTGAGGATACCTCGCTTGGACTGTGCCTCATCTCCAACGTATGAGTCTTTCTGACCCATACCGATCATGATACCATGATGTCTTGGTCGACCGACGATCGATGCTGTTGACGGTCAATACCTCGAATTGTAGTTGATCTTGATGGCACTTACGGAAGACAGCTCGTGGTGCATCATCACCAGCGAAACCGGCCTTGCACATACCGGAGCTGTAGAGGACGATCATCAGTAACTTTTTCTGCTAGTATACATATTCTTGGTGCCGGCGCTTCCATTACAATGTTGCTGTTGAGGTGGGGCAGGCGCTGTATCTGGTAATGGAATCGACGGCGATGATTTTGGGGACTTACCCATTGTCAATGACGAGGGCGGCAACTTCTTCTGTAGGTAGAGAGTCTTGTCAGCGTCGTGTTCTTGTTCAGCTCTGGCCGATATTGTCTTGCTCGAGCATAGACTGGTAGCTTACCCTCCATGGCTAATTATGATAGATCGCAAAAAAGATCGAAGAGAGGTTCGTTGAGAAGTGATTGGTGAAAAGACTATAGGTCGGATCCTACAGCCTTGTGTCAGTGGTGAGGATGAAGGTGAACAGGTGGTGAGCAGGTTCAAAAAGGCAAGATGGTAAATGTATCATAGGCGGTGGGCGGTGCGCAGGACAGCCAGGAAAGGCAGGGACCAACGATGCCAAGAATGACGGTCTTTCCAGTGCCACCGCAGTCACCGAGAGCGATGAACGCACCTGCACTTCTAAAGAAGGTTCTAAATTCAGTGTTGGAGTTTAGCGATTATGCAATTGCAGGCCTGATCGGATCGTTGATTGTCAGGGTTCAGCATTTTATATCTACGAATGGTGCTGCAGTGGCGGCCTGGCCGCGCAATAGTTCAAGCAAATTGCTTCGTCATGCTTCTTGTTGCTCACAGGCAGATACGTTTCAGATTAATGTGTCCAAATTCTCGACTAGTAATCTCATAGTGATGATTGTGGTCCCAGGACGCTCACTGACTCCCCTGATCGCCCTATCGCTATTGAACAGGCTATCAGCTCTCGGCCGAGACAGCCAGTGCAGAACATCAACAGGGATTTCGTAGTGTTCGGCTTGGTGTCTCGAATTACCTGCTTGAGAGCATGCCGGTCAACACTTGCAGACTGTAACGATATCTCCCAAGAAGTTTTTGTGTGCCAAAGTACAAAATACCCCAAGCTTTCGAAAGTGGGGCTATCTATTGTCTACTGATACCCCACCAGCACGGCGTCCATAGCTCAAAACTGTAGAGCGGCTGCTTTCAAGTCTGTTTCCAAATAATACGAGCGGCCAATACTTTTGACGGCATCATGATGGCGCCTCACTCAACAGTTTCAGGTTTAACATCGACGACACCATGCTGGCGGTGAGCGCGAGTATAAGTAGTCAGAATTGGTTACGTGACAGCATATCCTGCCTTGACCTTTGCAGACGAATTTGATGCATAATACAGCAGATAACATGTCGAAATTCACAATCGAAACTAAAAGAAATGATTGGTAGCTGCCAGAAATCTCCTTCTGCTCAGTCTTTGATGACTCTGTATCTGCCTTGATATTCGTGATGCATGCTCAAAGTTCGTAAACGTCGAGAACTGACATATTTGTTTTCAAGGAGGACTTTGTGCAAGCTCTTCACCTTCAAGCAGGATTCAACAAACCTCAGAACGAATATTGACTGGCTTTACTCGCTTTTGAAGCATCATATTTTAACAAGAAAAGAAAACACTACCATCCCCAAATTTACGTCCAGACTACCAGAACCAGCCCCTACCACTGCTACACCACAATCATGGATAAAGGAATGAGCAATCTCCTACAATGGTCAATTGAGAACTCTGCCAACGCCCAACCACAACAACAACAATCGCAATCTCAAACTCGTGAACCAAGCAACCTCTCCCAAGATGCCCTTCGCGCCCTCATGGGCGGCCCCTCAGACGCCGACCTCATGAAAGAATCTATGACCGTCATCCTCCACCCCGAAGCAGAACTCTCCGCCAAACTCGTCGCCTTCGACAACTTCGAACAACTCATCGAACAACTCGACAACGCCAATAACATGGAGCCCCTGGGTCTCTGGCAACCGCTCATGTCGCAACTTGACAGTAAAACGCCTGAAATGCGGAAGATGGCGGCCTGGTGTGTTGGTACGGCGGTGCAGAACAACGAGAAGTGTCAGCAGCACCTGTTGAAGATTGGTGGTGTGACCAAGGTGGCTGAGCTGGCTGTTAGTGATACTGATGGGGCTGCGAGACGCAAGGCAGTGTATGCGTTGAGCTCAAGTGTGAGGAATTTTCAGCCTGCGATGAATGAAGCGATGAAGACATTGCCCAAGAACGTTACGGGGCCGGATCATGTTAATGCCACGGATATGGATGTGATTGATGCCATCATGTCCAAGTTAAGGGACGAATAGGTATCAGACTACCCAATGACGAAGGGGTCTGGATATGAGGAACGTCAGGTATAATCACGATGTTCGTGTGATCATGGCGTCAAGGCAGAATTAGGACAAGGCTGGGGTCTGGACGTCATAATATACCGTTGAATAGAATAAGTTTGCAACATTTCTCAAACTTCATCGTGCTGAATATTCTCTGGCGTTCCTTTCCTTCGAGCAAATACAGTTGCTCTTGATTATCCCGGAATCAGTACGATAAATTACTGCGACCTAAGATTTAGAGTCAGGCACGGTATTTTCCTGTCAAGCTCAAATACAAATATCGTGCAGACATCTTCGAGACCTAGTATGGAATATAGATATTCTTAGATCTTCTCTTGTATCATTGCTTGCACAAACGATGCTGCAACTAAGGATGTGCCGGCTCGCGCTGCTTGTAATTCCGTTCTCGTTCTTACTTGATCCTCATTTCTGGCCGCAACGGCCTTATCCTCACAACGCAAGATTATACGTATACTCATCCTCCATATTTTGACTAATCCACGTAACCACACAACTCAACATAACCAGCGCATTCCCCAAAACATTCGCAATCCCCATCCACATCGTCTCCCTCCCAATCCCTCCCTCTTCCTCTCCTCTAACCACAAACTTCAGCACCAAGATACACACGCTCCCCGCAAGCCCACCCGCAATCAGCGCAAAGCCCAAGAAAAGCACCAAGCGCGCTTTCCATGCGACTCCGTTCCCTGAGTAAGAAAAGCTGTCGGCGTTGAGGCGGGATTTTTCGAGGGAGGAGGTGATGACGAGGCCGAGGAAGGAGCAGATTAGGGGCAGCCAGTCTACGAAGGTGATGTGGATTGTTGAGCCGTTGAGAGCTGAGTGGGAGAAGATGGCGGCGTCGAGGAAGACGAAGAAGCCTAGGGAGAACTGGAAGGATATAAGTTACTAGAACTTCTGCATCTGAGAAGAGAGGAAGCTTGTAGATTTGCAGGTTATCGTGCGATGCTATGCTGCGTCGCAGCTGTGCTTTATAGTGGGAGGAAGGTTACTGACCAAACCGCCTGCAATGTATATTCCTGTGCTTTTTACTGTAGCATTATTGAGCCATTGAGGTGTAGGAAACTTGCGAAAGAGGTTGTTCGAAGATTCCATCTTGCGCAAGACCACAGTGGGTGTGTATTCAGTTCAAAGAGTAGAGGCCAGCTCTGGCGAGTAGGTGATCGAGTATCGTTAAAGTGATTGTTGTGAGGTAAAAAGGTGAACCGAGCTGTTCGCTATTGCTGTTGTTGACGACGTTTCGTTTCAGGTTCAAGCGGAACGTTATCGCAGAGTCATATCACAAGAATAAGGCGTGTTCGATGCAACATAGCCTCGAGAATAGCGCCAGCCTCTCAATATAGAGCCGCAGCTCGAGATGTATGGTCACGTGCCCTGAAGCATGACGTTGCAACACGATGCGAATGTTGGTCAATGGATCAATCTACCTATAGCAAAGTTCAGAAGAGCAATCGAATAACACGAATGCTTAGTACTGTAACACTGCCTTGTAGTTGGATGGGATATCTTTGACTGCATTGGCTCAGGATATAGAGCTCCGCAGATTCCATGATATATAACGCTCAAAGCATACTCATCAGCGCCTTTTCCATTCAGCAGCAACGAATCAGACTTGCTGCCATTCGGAGTGAAGCGCAAACCAAGCGACCTCGCTTGCCCAACGCCAAATGATACTAGCCTCGCTCGACGTGATGGGTGATACCTCTACTCCGTTCCACTGCTTGCGCCATGACTTCCATTCGCCATTGCTGAGAAATTCAACTTCAATTTTGTCCCGCCTGGAGGAACTGATGGTCTAGGAGTACCCATACTAGACCCGTCCATGGTCGAGTTCGTGTCTCCTTCGCCGAGTGTGAGCAGTCCTGGATTGTCAGATTGTTGCTGCGCGATCATTTCTATACATTTTTTCTAGAACGAAGTTAGCAATATATTCAGTCTGCAAACAGGTATTGACTTACCTCAATCATTGTGGCATCGTTGTACAACATGCTGCCATCCTCGTTGTAAGTCTTCGCATTCGTCGCCAGAAGCTGGATGTCTCGCTGGAGATCCGCCAATGAGTTGTACTTATGTCCATTGATCTTCTCGTCGATCTGTTGAATCGCGATAGGGTTCGGAATGAAGCTGTGGTAGTCCGGATACAATTTCTTAGGCGGAATTTCCAGGAATGGTGGAATGACTTGACGGGTGTATGGACCTTCCTCGTCGTCATCTGGCTCTGGGGTGCCTGGGTCGCTTTCTTCCACCTCCAAGTTCTTGATAGTCTTGATGATGGTCGTCAGAGACTTCTGAAGCAGAGCTCGATCTGAAGTAGATAGAAGATCAACCTTCTGTCGACCACGTTTTCGCTTGGTGGTTGGTGTTTCTTCCGGTTCCTCCTCAGCCTTTCTCTTCAACGGACCTGGTTTTCTACCTCTCTTCTTGGGTTGCGGTACAGGTTCTTCAGTGCTTTCGCGGCTCGATGCTACTGAAGAGGCACCACCAGTACCGTTTTCTCGTTTGGCCTTGTTGGTTCGTCGCTTGTCAATTCGAGCTTGTTTGCGTTTGACCGCATCGCCAATCGAGTCATCTGAATCGTCAACAGCTGCAAGCCATTGTTCTTCGGTAAGACCATCATCGTAACGGACTTGAGTTTTGACACGGGCACCACGTCCAGCAAACTCATCGTCTTCTTTCTTAGGTTCTGGCTCGTCTTCTTGCAGATAGATATCAGGCAGCTCACTTTCACCCATGAGACGTGGCAGAGGCTTGCCAGGACCGTAGGGATCTGTGGCTTGTCGTTCCTTATCCATCTTCTGGAACAGCACAAGTTCTTCCTCACTACGAGCCATTATCTCGTTGAGGTCATCATCCTCCATCTCCTCTTGGTTATCACCTGCTTCGGCCGCTTCAGCAGTTTCAAGAAGTGTACGCAAGAATGCATCTCGTTCCTCGTTCGTGGACTTGTTATCGAATTTACCAGCCTGAATGACCTTGCCATCCATATCGAGCTTATATTGTGCTCGCTCGAGAATCTTCTCCTCCACAGACCCTGTGCTGATTAGTCTCAAGATACGCACTTCATTCTTTTGACCAATACGATGAGCACGATCTTGAGCTTGCAGATCCTGATGAGGATTCCAGTCTGAGTCGTAGATGATGACTGTATCAGCCGTTTGAAGATTGAGACCAAGACCACCAGCACGAGTAGAGAGCAAGAAGCAGAAATAAGGCGAATCAGGTGCGTTGAAGAGCCTAAGCAGATCAGATCGCTCATCAGCTTTAGTGGCACCATCAAGTCTGAGGTACTTGTATCCTCGCAGCCGCAAGAAGTCCTCCATGATGTTCATGATTTGTGTCATTTGAAAGAACATCAGCACTCGATGACCTGTTACTGCGAACTTGGGCAATACCCTATCAAGAAGTTCAAATTTGCCAGCAGTTCGCCAAATAGAGTCGTTGGTGCCTCGACCTGGATTCATTTGATCTTCAACAGGCTCAAACACATAAGGATGGTTGCAAAGCTTTCGTAGTTGCATGAGCATGTTGCTCAAACCACGCATACTTGTTTTGCCTCCTTTTCCATCTGCAACTGCAAGCTTGTTGTGATTCATGAGTTGCAGATTGAGCTTGGCTTGCAATGCAGAGAATCTGCATTTGATGACGCGCTCCTGCTTGTCTGGCAGGTCCTTCTCGACATCCTTCTTCAAACGTCGAAGCAAGAACGGTCGTAGCACCTTGTGCAGGCGACGAATGACGAGTAGTTGTTCTTCTTCTGTCAATTCCATTCGATCTTGACCGCCCGTATTCGCGAAAGGAGTGTTGAACCATTCGTCGAACGAACTGGCTGACTTGAAAATGTTGGGGAGAACGAAGTTGAGAATAGCCCACAGTTCAGTAAGATTGTTTTGCAACGGCGTTCCCGTCAAGATGAGCCTGTATCTGGTGCTGTAGTACTGAGAAAGAGTGCTGCTCAGCTTTGATTGTGCATTCTTCATGCGGTGGCCTTCGTCGATGATCATGTGAATCCATTTGATCTTGCTAAGTACAGGTCTATCCTTGATGATATACTCGTAGGTCGTGAGCAGTACTTGAAACTTTTCGGATCTTATCCTCTGTTGTTGCTGCTTTCTGGAATTTGGTGGACCTTTGTAAACAATCTTGGATACACTTGGTGCCCACTTGTCAAACTCAAGGTTCCAGTTTGTCAGTGTACTCAAGGGTACGATGACCAGGAAAGGTCCTGGCTGCTGCTTCTGCTCGATGAGGTAGGTAATGAGAGAGATTGTCTGAATGGTCTTTCCCAGACCCATCTCATCAGCCAATACACCATTGAGTCTGTTGTTGTAGAGGGACACCATCCATTGCAGACCTTTGAGCTGGTATTCTTTCAGTGTACCGCCAACAAGTATAGTCGGTTGTGCTGTGACTTCTTCCTTAATCCTATGGGCAACAGCATAGTAGTCGATCTTTCGACCACCATCCTCGTCTTCCGATCCTTCTTCGTCTTCAGGAGCGAAGTCATCCACATCGCCATAGCGTTGAGCTGTGCTTCGTTGCTGCTCACGGACACTAGCCGCGAGTTGGTTAAGGAAACCATCAGTCTGTTTGAGGAGATGCGTAATACGCGAATCCTTAGCTTGACCAAGAAGTTTGAGGTAGGTCTCTTCGTCGTTGGCTTTAAGAGCTTGTAGACGCTGCTTAGCAGTTCGCTCGATACGCTTTTGTTCCTCCCTCTCCATGTATTGATGTTGAGCTACCATTAACTTGCCTAGTTTCTGTACCCTAGCTCTTTGATTGGTTGCATGCTGCTTGATCTCATGGCCATGGGCAATGACTGACAGCAACTGATCGTTAGCCTTGGTCTTCTCCTTGTTCTCGCGGGCATCGCGTTGCTGCTTCTCGAGCTTCTCGGTAATCTTGGCCTCTCGCAGGGATTGTTTCTTCATGCGACGATGCAGAGATCGGTTAGCGGTCATTGCTAGGTTGTCGTAGTTGAAAAGTTCTTGTTGAATTTCACGACGAAACTCGCGTTGGCGTTGCAACAGCGACAGCTTCTTGAACTCAATGAGCGTCTTCATTCTTAGTGAATCATCGTCTGTTGCTTCTTTTGACTTGGAGGTATCCCATGCAGCAATATTGACAGGCATAGCAGCCAATTCAGCTTTCCGAGCCTGAATGCGATTGTACATCGCGCGCTCTCTATCCTCCCGTACTTGCTCGATATCGATGCCGTATGGTAGGAGTGCTGGTATGAGTGGACGTTTGGATCGTTGTGAATGATCTGCAAAGCTGATACTACGTGGGAACAAGTCGTAAGGGTTTGTATATGACTCAAAGAATACCTTGGCCAATTGCATGTCTGCAGGAGCGCTTTCTTTGCCTTCAGCAGCATTTTTCAGGACCTTCTCAGCTGCCTCAAGTGAGGAAGCCTGGGACATGGCACCTGTATCTCTTGGACGAAGCTTGTCTTTCAGTACCTGAGGTAGCAGTGTGTTCTTCGAAAGCATCTTGAAAGCTTGTATCTGCATCCTAAGCATCTGGAGCTGTTCTGACGTGAAAGGATGACCACCTGGCCCCACGCGACCCTGACCAGCATTTGGCGCAACTTGACCAGGTGCAGAGTGCTGCTGGTTGGTTGCTGCAGGACCACTGCCATTTGATGTGAGCTGCGGTCCATCAACTGGAACATCAGCGGGTTTCATGCCATTCATGACAGCACCATTCGCCTGTCCATTCATCGACATCTGTCCTTGTGGTTGACCCTGCATCTGTGCTTTTGCTTGCATCATCTGCTGTTGCTTCTGGTGGGCCAGTTTGCGCATCTGCTGTTGTTGTTGTACATGAGTAAGAAATTGTTGAAGTCTGACAAATTCTGGGTCATTGTTAGGGACATTTTGTGCTTTCAGCAACTTGTATTTCTCGTAAGCGGCTTGAATCTGTTGTTGAGTGGTGTTGACTGGGAGAGGACTCGGCTGCTGCATGGCAGCAGGCTGAACGGAAGCCATCATAGGGAGGAACAAGGCCGAGGTGATACGAGTGACATTGAGGTTAAGGATCGGCACAGGTCACAATGGACCCAGACGCGCTCAGAGGAGTGCCTTGGTAATAATCTAGTGCATGGTTAGTGATGGGGATATTTGCATGCGGGTCTGGCGCATTGCGGATATTGTCGCTGTCAGAAGGGTGAAAGCGAGGAGAGGAGCGGGTGAAAATCGGTGGTTGACTCACATGCAGTGTGTGACAAAAGAGTGGCTAAATAGTGGCTCTAATTGAGTCGTGGAACACCTGGTGGGTGTTGTGTTCAATGCTTGAGATACACCAAAGGCTATCGCGTCGCGTTTCGATGGCTTCACCCAAGCGGGATTGTCGAAAGAAGGCAGAACGACGAACTGCAACTCGTCCGGCCGATCGCCAAACGAGTACTAGCGCAGATAATTAGAGGAGTCTGCGATACGGTCACGCAAGTCAAACAGCTGCGCAACTTCGATGGTTGCTCTCGAATCAATTACTGTCGACAATCTTCGAATGGTTCGATTTTGTGTTGGCCCTGTAAGATCTCACAGACACTTGAAACATGAGGATGAACGGACATCAGTCACTTCAGTGTAATCGTTCTACAATCCACTATTGCTAATTTTAACACATTTTCATATACACTGTCTAAACCCCAACAACTCTTTCGTAACAAGATCTATGTACGATCTACCCAAATCATGCAATCAATGTCCTTTTCGCAGGAGGTGGTGGTGGAGCAGGTTTCCCTAGTCCTGGTATTCCTGGTTTCGATGCTCTCGACGGTGGAGGTGGTGGAGGTGCTCGCCTACCGCCTGCTAGAGGTGTTTGGGAACCAGTACTTTGAGGCGTTTGTGGCGAGACAGACCTGTAAGATTGACCTTCGTCAGCAAAAACATCTTGCTGGCTCGAACCAGTGTCGACCCGTCGAAGGTTCGACCTGGTCTGCTGTATCGTCAAAGAATCACTTGGCACTCTGGACAGGCGAACTGGTGCTACAGGCGATAAGTCTCGCCGCACTTGAGCTGGCTGTTGATAAGTCGTACTACGACCTAACCCAGGTCTTGCTCGAGGTTCGTCGTCTGCAATTGGGTCGGCATATCGTTGCTGGTACGACGCTGTTGTAGCCCGTGATCTGATACTTGGCCGTTCTATCACAGCTGGTTCCTCCTGCTGTGAGTGGGTAGATAGATATGACCTCACGGTATTCGACCGTGGTCGTGGAGGTTGTTTTGGGGCAACGCTAGTGCTCTGCCCCACGCCCCGAGCTGGCCATTCGTTCTGGAGTTGAAGCAGTGCTTCTCGACACTTGTCGTGATATGCAAGCTGTGCATCCAAGAACGTTGTCAGGTCGGCTATGCTCTCGCCCTCAGCGTCTTTGACGTCGAACATCCTTCGTTCAACATCCGCTTCAGCCTCCTCATATTTGAGTTGTTGTGAACGTAGCTCTTCCTCGACACGAAAGTCTTCCCTTTTAGCTTTCTGCATTTTAGCAAGGGATGTATCGTATGCTAGTCTGCGTGACTCTAGTTTCTTTCTGGCCGCCTGGTATTCCTTCATTTGGACGGTCGAGCGTTCGAGGCTGTCTCCCCAACTGTTGGTAGCTGCAATAATATATGCCTCTTGAGCTCGCGCCAATCGTTCTTGTGCACGACCAAATGCTGGAGGGTTGTCAGTTTTTGGCCCGCCATATCTGAATTCCGTTGTACTTACCATTCAGACATTGACCATATTCAGAATCGTGCTCGAAATCGTCGCTGTGTTGTATCATGCTGCTTCCCATATGCTGAACGGGCAAGATCTTCTCCTTCTTCTCAAGCTCTGTCCGTTTCGAAACGGCCTTCATGTAAATGGTCATGGATTCTTGCATTTTGTCCATGCCCTGTTGTCGCAGATCCATTTCCTGCTCAAGGGCCTTGAACTGATCGGTCGTATTGGTTTTGACTTCACCTCCCATCCTCTCTCCCGCCCATTGCTTGAAGCGATCGAGTTTCTTGTTAACAATCATGGTGACGTCTGTTATATGAGCAGGTCTGTTCGAGAAGCAAAAAGATCAAAGGTGAAGTCCTGTGGTTGCGCAGAAAATCGAGCTTTGGGCTATGTTTCGCAACAATGACGGCAGTATTTGATAACGGATAAGCCGATCGGGCGGGCACCTAAGTGACTCAAAGCCAAATTGTCACGGACCACAATACAGACAATAAAAGACAGTGTTACTGAATGTGCGTTTCAGATTGAACGAAGGATGGTACGAGTAGCCAGTGCGAAATGGTAGGAAAGTGTTGGACGCGGGTTGACCTCATTCGCAAGGAATGCCTGTTCATATCAAGTGCTGTCTCTGCGAATCTTCTGGGCGGGCACCTTCCCCATGAAACTGCTGCTTTGTCTCAACCACAAATGTGCGCCATGACCCCTGTTCTAGACGACTTTTAGAGGACCTAAATGGCGGCATGCACGACGAGACGGTTCCAGATCTCTGCCGTTCTTGAGTCGTGATTTGCTCAAAACTATCCAATCTTCAAGTGGCTCGATTTAGTGTCAAATCGGCTGATGCGGCGTCAAGCACGATGAACCATAACCACATGTTCCTGCCGTCGAGCCGCCTCGAGACCTGGAACGGTATCTGGTGGGGGCATCGGTAGGCGATGTCCAGGGCTTGCAGTCTGCGATGCAATGGCTACAGCATAGTAATACAAACTGTTCTTTTCTGGTGAGCAGGGAGCATACTTACTGCAAGATGATTCATAGCTGAGATCAGTCCCCGGGTGTAGTAGTGAATTGAGTGCCTCTTAGCGAGACATACGTCCCGAGAGGCCCAGGCAATCTCTCTATTCGGTTCCATACGCGTTGAGGTGATGTCGTATACCAGCGCAGCGACTTCAGACTGGTACCCAAAGATGACAATTTGACAATCTCTCAGGGTGTATCATTGACTACTTTTCTATATCACGTACACTACAGCAGTGTAAGTGCATGGCAGTCTCTGTCTGGATATCAGCTTGAGATGCATTCAAGCCAGACCGAGCCTTCTTGAGGTACAAGAAATGACTCAACTCGACTTCTTCGTGCTCGACAAATCGATATCTGTGTTTCAGGAGTACCTCTCTCTTTGCTCCTTCTTCATCGCGCCAATAGCCGCTACTTGAAATATAGAATATAGACACAAGTACAATTTTTACTCCTTTGTCTTCTGGGTACCACGTAGCAGACCAGTTCTTCGGGCAGCAATGAGACCAGCTTTTTGACCTTGTGCAGCGTATCGAGAGATGGTGGAGGCTTTACCAATATGTTGATGGTTACCACCACCGTGAGGATGATCGACTGGGTTCATGGCAACACCACGAGTCTTTGGCCACGAGTTTCGCTTGACTGCGAACTTGTGCTTAGCTCGGGATGCCTCTGTTCTCTAGTTAGTATGTTTCCTTCGATTACAACGAAGCGAGGTACGTACTGAGAAGAGGCTTGTCCGTTCGGCCACCACCAGCGACAATACCAACCATGCCTCGTGCCATGCTTGGGATGACCTTCTTTGCGCCAGATGGCAGCTTGACTCGAGTCTTGCCCTCATCTGGGTTGTGCCCAATGACTGTGACATAGTTTCCCGACGTTCGACCCAATGTTCCTCTGTCACCAGTCTTCTCCTCTACATTCGTCACGACAGTACCTTCTGGCACTGAGCCGAGTGGAAGAACGTTTCCAACTGTCAAGGCTGCGTTCTTTCCAGCGTAGATAAACTGGCCAGTGTACATTCCCTCATTGGCGATAAACGTCTCGACTCGGTCCTGGAATTTGTAGGGGTTTCGGAAAGAGACTTTGACGAGTGGTGCGCCACGACCTGGATCGTGGATGATATCCTTGACTACACCTCGAATATATCCATGTTTTTCGGCGTAATCGAGCTGTCGGAACTGGGCTGGTGCCTTGTTTAGTCTTGTGTGGGCAGCTAAGTAGAGAAGTTAGTCGTTGTCGCAATCGTCTTAAGTGAGGGAAATCGTACTGAAAATCGAGCCACGGCCCTTTCTCTGGTTGCGAATAACCCTACCCATGCTGTCGTACTGTCAATAGCTGTCGCCGCTTGATGTGTATTCTGCACTTACGTTGCAACCTGTGTTGAGAGGATAGATGTAGTTCTTTCAGACTATGATCAAATGCAGGCGATACTCAAGAATTGTGGGTGGGTCATCGCCAAGCGTGCCTTCTCGGCTGACCTGCCTAGGTCTTCGAAGGTGGCCGAAGGACTTACTTCAAGCTCAACTTCAAATTCACCTACGGAGGTAGTCGTGCTTATATTGGGTTCACCTGGCTGATACAGTAGTGCGAGTTTTGCTTGCTCGTTACTTTCGGTTGTGCCACCTCGATGCATGTGTGCTTCTACTCACGATTATAGGGTGGGCTGTGGCAAATCTCGCAGCTTGTATCCACGAAATCGGTCGCTCACTACAGTCATTCGCACAAGAAGCAGCGCGATGGATTGCACGGTCTGGATGCACAGTTGTGGAAAAGGCGATTTAATAAGCCTGTGGAGGAAGACGCATCTTCTTCATGATCTTTGTGCATATTGAGGATCGAACGAGACCCGAAACACGTCGAGCATATGACACGGCTCTTAGGCTGATCTTGTCGCGCCATCAGTACAATCTCACTGCGATGGTGGGCGCTTCATGACTTGCTCGAACATATGGTTTCTGACGAGACCACGCTCGATATTTCGCTAGCCTGGCACTCAAACAATATGATTATCTGCTTACTGCATCTGATTGCTAGTTCTCATCAATATGGTGAAGTACGGATTTACTGTTGGCATGACTTCATGGCCTTCAAAACAACTGAAAATACCTACAGGACGCGAATTGCTTCAAAAGTTAACCCGCGCAGATTTGGTCTACACTTCTATTCAGGTAGGTCGAATGGGCCAACAAGACGAATGATTTTGCAAAGATGGATGCTTCGGATCAATGAAGGTCTCTAGCCGTTGAGCCAATTAGATGTCTCGATTTGCAAGATTCGCCAACGAGTCAGCAGACACGATCAGTGGCAGTGGTGAGATGGAGACATACGCTCTGCTCGAAGCGACAGACAGATACGATAGTGCGAACGAGCACCTCGAAAAGATGAGAAGCGATTGGGATGTATTGTGTCAGGCTACTCGCAGGGCAAACCATCAGAATCAACCCCTCATTACGGCCCAGAGCGCAAAAAGCTGCGTTTCCACGCCGCTTCTACACCGCTCCCCCAGCTGAGTACGGTATTCACTGACAGCGTTGCGAGCGCTTCAGGACGGCCTCAAGGTAGCAAGGACCATTGTCCTGGGTCAAACAAGCTTGGGAAGGAGTCAGAGAAGGATTATTGGCAGCCATTGGTCATACTTTTGCCAGTTTCGCGTTCTATTCGCGCCAAGTGTTGTCATAGGTTAGCCTCGAAATGTGATCATCCTTGAACAATTGAACCTTCTCGTCTGCACCTTCGCTTTCTTCTTCTCGTCTAGTTCTACGTCGCACCTTTACCTTCACCACGTTCCCACTTAGAACATCGTGAACATGGACGAACCCGACTCCGACCTCTCCTCCCTCTCCTCTGCACCCTCCGAAATAGATGATGAAGCCATGGAGGCCAAAATAGAAGCAGACCTTGCAGAAAACAAGAACCCAAAAGGCATAGGACGATATTTCAAGCCTACGCCGAAAAGTGCGAAGAAGAAGAAAGAGGCCTCTTCGCCAGAACCCCCAAAACGCGCTCCAAGTCCGCCCCATGAATTTGTCCTCGCGGACAAGGACGCAATCGCGTTCATTGTTATGTTCAGAAGTCGGTTTAGCGAATGTTTTGCGAGTTCTTTACCACATTATGGTCCACAAGACATTGAGCGTGGTATTGAGGGTGAACAGCCGGACGAGCACGTGGAACGTCTTCTTTGCGCCTTGTTGACGTTGTGTCTGAACAGGAAAAAGCCTGTTGAGAAGGGGCATTATGGGCGTGCCCTGGAAGATGCTGTCTCAGAATACAAGTCGCAGTGGCCGAGGGAGTGGAATGGTCAAAATCCCGTCAGTGGAAGCAAGGGTTTCCAGACTATGACAGCTGAAGAACGAGTAAGTCATACGTCTTTCTGGTGAGCTGGTGGCCATACTAACAAGCATACAGCTTGTCCTCCTCAGATCCTTGATCCTATGGTCGCTCCACGGCTCAGAAGCTATCAGTACCGCGAGCAAACAAGCCTACAAACAGACAAGACGCGAAGATGACAAGAATCAGCCCAAATCTGTACAACCATGGTTCTCTGACAGCTGGAGGAGAAAGTACTACTTAATAGAAGGACAAGAAGATTCACACTTCCGCATCTACAGAGAGAACGATGGCAAGACCGCAAAGACGAACGTATGGTTCAGCGTAGCCGGCACGATCGACGAAGCGAAGAGTTTGGCTGATAAGCTCGAGATCGAGATGCCAGGAACTCAAGGAGTACTTGTAGCAAACAAGATCAGAACGGCTGTACCAAGATGGGAGGCAGGCGAAGAGAAGCGTAGGAAGAAAGACTACAGACTTGCTAGGAAAGCTGCCTTTGTAAGGCCGGAAGTCGGCTTCTCGTTATACGAGGGACGAACGAGAGGTAAAAGAGTACGCTACGACTACGATAATTTAGGCGATGACGGTGAGGAGTTGGATTCGTCGAGGGGCGCCTCCGGCAGGTCAACGCCACTGGAAGAAGGACGGCCCATGGTAACCTCCAGTGGTCGACAAGTGAAGTCAAGGCTCGGTGGTATGTATGGCGAGACCATGCTCACAGACCAGCGAAAGGAAGCTGAAAAGGATAGAGCATTCAATAGTGAAGACACGGATGAGATGGTCACTTCGAGAGGCAGGCCTGTCAGAACATCCATTCCTACAAAACGTGCTGCTGCTGCTAGAGGCAGATACGCAGATGGACTAGAGTCAGAAAGTGAATCTGACCAGGACGGTGAGCCAAGCGCCGATGAATGGGAGGGCAACGACGACGAGGAACCGGACGACGAATCTGAGCCGGACGGCGAGGAGTCACGAGATTCAGATGATGAGCTTATGAGTAATATGGACGACGACAATACTCAAGAATCGTTAGTTGTCCAGCTAAGGTATCGCAAAAAATCCTTACAGAATGGGAACAGTCATGGCACAAACGGAACTGCGTCGAGAGGCACACCCTTGCGCGAAGTACAAAACGCAGCAGATACGAACGGGACACAAGCTGACACGCCACATCCTGCAGCTGAAACCACCTTGAATGGAGAACCAAACCCAGACATCGAGCGTCCAGAGCCAGTTACCAACGTCGCAAGCATGCAGAACGGCCACTCTGACAGCAAGGCGATCATCGACGAAGAGAAGCCGACAGTGACTTCAGCTCCCATACAGGTTACTACTTCTTCAATAATGGACATGACCTAGCTACGAACGAGCTCAACAAGGAGAAGCCTGATACGGCAACTCAGCATAGTAAAATGCATATGGTTAAGCGAATGTTTTTCTTAGATACCCCATTCGAGCGCAACTAGGGTACTGCAGCATGCTATGCATAGATTGCTACAAACCGGCAACCCTGGTTGATGTAGAAACACGGTAGCATAGCATGTGTCGATTGAGAGACACTCGTTGCTAAATTACACGTAATTAGCTATAATCGAACTGCTACTAGTGGTGATCATTCGTTTCAGTTTTTGACCATTTTATTAAAACACTAGACGTAGGGCGCGAAAGCGTGCCGTGGCTCCATTGCATAGAACCTGCTGAAACTGCACACGAACATACGGTTGTGGCATGCTAAGGACACCGGCAACGCACAAGACTTAGGCATGAATCCTAACATGCAAGAAAATGTCTTGGATTCGCTGCCTATGCTTTCTCATTGTGTCGAAATGACCAATGGAGTCAGCCTAAACAGTTACCTCAGCGACAATTGAATCGTGATACTCAAGCTATTCAGAACTAAATCATATCTTTCCAGGCCAGAATCTATTTCTCCTCAACGCATCCTCCTCCCACTCCCAATTATGCGCAAACACAACCTCCACCTCTCCCCTCTGCCTCACACCATTGATATCAACCTCGACACCTTCTCTCTGTGCCTTAGCCAACATTGCAATCGTCTGCTTTGCCCTTGGTATATCGTAATGTATACAGCATTGTCGGCCAGTGTCATCTGTCCAAGTGGCTACGTCGCGCTCTCCAGTGAACAGGCGGATATCGTGACATGCGTCACCAGCTAGAAGGACGTACTTGAGAGGAGAGACAGAGGTGCGGACGAGCAGGTTAATGTGTCCTGGCAAGTGACCTGGTGCATTCACAATGTAAACTGTGCCATCTCCGAAGAGGTCGATTGTGTGCTCGAATGGTGCAAGGGGACGAGAGGACCAGGATAAGACAAGGGGAGTGTCAATACCAATCTCAGATTGCAATGGCAATGGTTGAGCTGATGCTAAGGACGAAACTGGTGGTGGTGGCAACTCGATTGTTCGGTCTGCAGGCAGGAGATCCGGTTCGAAAACGCTATGGCTGCCAATGTTGAGTACTTTCTTGCCAGAAAGAAGATCGAGAGCTCCAGGTCCAACCAGGAACTTCGTGTTCGAGTTGCTGTCTGCAAAGTCCTTGGGATAGCCGACGTGGTCATAGTGAACATGGGAGAAGAAGACGAAGTCGATGTCTGAGGCTCTCAAACCACCTTTAGCGAGAGAGCTAACGGCGTCTGGCTCGGTTGTGAATGGTGCTCGTGACTTGATATGTGCTTCGAGGACTTTTGGGTACAGTGTTATGTCCCGACGCATGCCAAGATCAAACACGATTCGGGCGGTCCTTGAAAGATTATCTGTGGGCTGATGCTGGACCAGGAATGAGAGCGATGGTACACTATGCTTTGCTTCGGGATCGGCAGGAGTGATGAAGAAGCGTTCAGGCAGGGTAAGGCTGCCGGTGCTCAAGGCGTGTACAGATGCTGTTGCCATTACTGACAAAGTCACCAGCCAAGGACAAGAATTCTTCTTGTGAGATGGAACTGAGGAACGACTTCTGGCATCTGACTGCTTAATGAAGTCGTAAGAGATGTTTTATCGAGATAGCCCACATGGCTTGATCAACCAGGTACCCCCGCATAGTTGGCTACACGAGAATCTCCTCACTTGCAGACTGACACTTCCAGACACCGATGATATGGACAGTACAATATTTGTATGGTACTCCAAATCACGATCTCAAGTCTGCCGCAGAAGTCACACAAGTGTCTTGAAATGTTTCCTCACTCGATTGGTTTTGGAGACTGTGTGAATTGATCCTCCGCACGTGGAGTTCTGCACAGTTAGACGTCCCCTGTCGCACAACAAGTATTGGTTTCAAGATGCCGACTTTTTGTTCCGCTGTCTTGCTTGCACACTTGATGGCACGAATTTGAGTGCAGCAAAGGAGCTTTCCAGCTCATCGATACCCCCAGCTACGCCAGGCTCATTCTTTTGGGGTGGATATCGAGTAGTCTCAACAACTCCTGCACCATCAGGATGCGCCGAAGAAGTTGTTGCTTCTTGCTCCATCCCAGTTTTTTGGATTGATGAAGCTCGACGTTGACGACCGATCGAGGTGGTTGTGGAAAGTCTTCGGCGTTGCCCTCCTTGAAGCAACGAGGTCGACTTGTCAATACCATGATCGATAATACGGAAATCGTAGATCCGTGGAAACATGTGCTTATCAATAAGATGTAGTCGTCTCTTCTGTGGTGTCGAGCATACTTTGTCGCAATCTTCCAGAAAGCAGCTGTACGTCTTCTCACCTTGGGCTGCTAGCTCTTCTCTGACAGGATTGTGGTGTTCATCAATATGCAAAGTAAGGTAATGAGCGGAGGGGAAGTTCTTGCCACATGAGGAGCAGCGGTTAGTATGCTCTTTCGCGTAATGGACATCAAACTCTCGAGTCGACGCGAAGGACAAAAGGTCATGGGGTGGAAGGGAGCACTGCATTCTGTAGCTGTCAGCATGAACATGTTCTTCTTCAAGCTCTATGATTTTAGCAGGCGAAGAGGCGGTCTGCAGGACGTCCTCTTGGCTGGGCGTGGGAGCATCATCTTCGTCGCGCAATCGCTTGCCCATTGATTCCTGAGAAGAGAACGATTACCCACGATCGTCGTACCGTGTCGTGGAGTTCAGCTTCTATGTAAACATGCATTGAGGACGCAGATGATGATCTTGTTTACCATTCACTGGCAGAACGCATAGTTGTGCCAGAATCAAACGAATTGGTATAGGAAGGCATACACGCACAACTGAAGAAGAGGAAGGTGCATGTCGGAATGTGTTTCACATGCAAATTGCCGCCAGTAACAGCTATCGGAGCCCCGATACAAGCAGGAAGTTTTGGAGGACTAAAATGCCAACCCCACTTGAGGACCCCTGGCACATGTTTGTGCTACACGTTTCAGAGTGGTACAGTACGAGTAGTCGACGAGGACATGAGCAAGAACATCCTCGACCTCGGAAATTCCCATTGTTGTTGCTGTACAGGCGGTCGACAGGTACATGCTGCTCTTCCCTGGACTCCCGTTGTGACTGTCTTCGTCAACATAGTAATCCTGTGCAATCTGCTGGCCAGTGCACACAACGAAAATACTCGACTGTCGACAGTAATCTTTCCAACAATCTCTGAGACACCTGCCATTATCCGGAACATTGTACTCGTCCGGCTCATCATTCCTATGATTAGAAAATGACAACCACGTCTGACAAACAATATCCCTGATCATTCGTTCTGTCACTTTCGAAATCACGGCAACAGCCTGTCGGCCACAGGCATGGCAATGCTGGCCTCGAAGAGTCCCTACGGAACGCCTGTCAATGGTGGAAACAATCAAAAACTACCAACAAGAACTTTCTCCGAAACTTCTCTGCGCGTGCAACAATCTACGAGCACACATCAAGACAATCTCTTCATGTCGCCTACCAATTCCGAGTTCTCCGACCACTACGATGGCTTAAATTCAGTAAGAGCATGGGATGAAAAGAGAGTAGGAGAATGGCTGCACTCCATAAGATGTGGTCAGTACGAAAGATTATTCGAGGAGAACAATTTCACAGGTGAGAGTCTGCTGGAATGCGATCAGTCCATCTTGACCGATATGGGCATCAAAAAGATCGGAGATCGAGTGCGTATAAATGTTGCCATCAAGCAATTGAGGAATAGGTCTCTGGCCGCTCGAAACCAGCATCGCAATCGAGAATCAATGGCTGCCCTGGATGCCTTGACCTCAATGGCTGCGGATCCCTCAAAACCACAACCACGACTCGGCAACAAACGTCTGGAGAGCAGCGCGTTGAAAAATAGCTCCCGACCCTCCTCCCCACTGGCAGAGACACATCTTGGTGGACTTCGTTCCCGCTATGCTATACCGAGTCCGGCTGATAGTTCCAAGCGTGAGGCTATCAATAATGGCTATTTCAGCCAACCCAACTCGGCTTCTTCTGTCAATGGCAGAAGACCCGAAACACCCCAGATAGTCGTACAGAGCTCAAGCAACATTGGCAAGAGCCATCTGAGACAAAACTCGAGCATAGACGGCCTTACAGCTGGCGGTCTTCCAAGTAATTCACCAGTCATCAAGATTGTCCACAACGGCGGCCAAACCAAAGTCGTCAACGTTAAGTTCTGCAAGTCTGCAGACGAAGTCACTATGACCGTATTGAAGAAATTGCTTATTCCAGAAAAGCACTTCCGCAACTACTGCTGTTATGTTCTTGAAGGGCTAGAACCTAAACAAGCTAATTGTCGTCGTATTACGGATGATGAGCTTATGGCTATATGTGGTGATGCCTCTAGATCTGAACGCAACAGACTTATTCTACGGAAGATCAACGACGGACTGCCTGACCTGGATGAGGTCAAGAAAGCCGCCAAACTAGCTGTTGATGAGAATCAGGCTTTGCATGCGAATGCATTGAACGCTACAAACATGCGAAATCAGATAAAATTACAGCAGCTGACGGGTGAATCATGGTCCAATATTCAGGCACCTTTATCACCAGGCCCAATGACCGAACGTCATGTAGAGATCTTACAACGGGCAGACGAACTCGAAAGGGCTGAAGCTGTTCCTCCAAGGCCTTCCAGAGAGGATGAAAATTCGACCATCCGATCCTTCTTTGGAGGCCGTCCTCCTAGTGAGATGATTGTGAATGAACTGACGACATACTTTCCTGGACATCAGAAAGAAGACATTGAGAAGACGATGAGGATGTCTGTCCGTCGCTCCCAACGTTTGAGTCGTGCCGCCAGTAGGCTGAGTGTGGTCAGCAATGCTAGTCTAGCATCCAGCCTACAAGATGCACCGCCCGTCCCTAAGATACCCTCGATCGCGGATCAATGGTTGACAAAGCCGGGCGAAGCTGGTATTGGTGCCAAACCGAGACCATTGTCGGTTTCACGTTTGTACAACCCTTACCGAGACTCTATTGCATCGTCGGCACTGGCACCACTTCAGGAAGAGTCACCAATTTCGCCTACTGAGCCAAACAGAAAGTCTTATGTGTCGTTCGCCGATAGTACTGACTCGCTGCATCTCGATGGACAAAGCTACTTTGAGGAGTCTCCAGTCGGTACTGAAAATCTGAATGAGCGCTTGTCCATGATGGTCGCTGAGGATGGCGAAGAAGCTGATCCTGAACTAGCTAATTTCCTTCGCGGCAACAACTTTGACAAGAACAATTGGATGAAGGGTGACCTTATTGGCGAAGGTTCGTTCGGCTCGGTGTACCTTGCCCTTCATGCTATCACCGGTGAACTCATGGCAGTCAAACAGGTTGAATTACCTGACGTCGGTAAGGGTACTGAGTCCGACAAGAAGAAGCAGTCCATGGTCAATGCCCTCAAACTGGAGATCGAGCTCCTGCAAGGTCTTCACCACGTACACATTGTACAATACCTCGGCACTTCTTCTGACGAGACTCATCTCAACATTTTCCTCGAGTACGTGCCAGGTGGCAGTATAGCAGCTATGCTCAAGCAATACAATACCTTTCCTGAACCACTGACAAGGAATTTTACACGCCAGATCCTCGATGGCTTATCGTATCTGCACAGCCGTAACATCATCCACCGAGACATCAAAGGCGCCAATATCCTTGTTGATAATCGTGGTGCAGTGAAGATCTCGGATTTTGGTGTCTCCAAACAGACGACCAGCAACCTCACCAACCCTTCATCACTTAGCACTACTGTCCCCGTAGGGCCACTTGGTGGACCAGGGACAAGGACCTCTCTCCAAGGCTCCGTCTTCTGGATGGCACCTGAAGTGGTCCGGCAAACTGGTCAATCTATCAAGTCTGACATTTGGTCCGTTGGCTGCTTGATTGTTGAGATGTTCACCGGCTCGCGACCATTCCCAAGCATGACAACACTGCAGACTCTATTCGCTGTTGGCAGTCAGGGTGAGAAGCCACAGATTCCTGATGTGGCCAGTCCAGACGCGAGGCGTTTCCTCGATCTTTGTTTCGAGGTTGACCAGACCAAACGGCCAACTGCGACTGAATTGTTGAAGGAGTCATTTTGTGCGCAGAGTATCGGCATGGTGACGCACTGAGATCAACGACTTAGTATGTATGTGTTAGATTTATTGTGGGGGCTGGCTATGCGCGTGTATAGTTGCGAGATCTATTCCTGGCGAAGACGATCTTAGCATATGCGTTTGTGATTCAGGCGTTATTATGGTGTCGAGATGGATGGCTATCATGAACAAGTTAAATGAGCTCAAGCTAATGTGATGTTAGCAAGCAAATGTAATATTATGTGCAAATATGAGAAAAGGCGTTCTTACAGAAATACGTAGCTCTAGGAGCACATAGGTAACACAGAAGGCATGAAATCATAATATCTCAAAGTCGATGTAATATCTCGCGTGTCCTATCGACCTCGACTTAGCATGTTGATCTATATCCCAAAAATAACGCAGGTGGCAAGAGCGCAAGGCAAGGCAGGCAGGTAGGTCAGGTCATACATGATTCTCCGTCTGCTCGATATCCGCAATATGCAAGTAGATGCTCCTGTAATCCTTCCCCTTGACCCTTGGATCCTCGTTTGCTTCCGCCAATACCTTGAGTACCGTATCTCGTAGCACGCTCTTCGCCCCGACCTGCTCGCCGAGCTGCAGTGCCATTTCTACCACGCCTTTGCACAGCTCGATACTGAACCCGCCCTCGAAATCTTTACTCGTTGATGCATTCTCAGTGACGCCCTTGACGGGATTCTCTGAGCTGGAATTATAGCATCGTCCCGTGCTGACGTTGATGACACTCGCGAGAGTTTTGGGATTGAGGCCGTAAAGGCGGCCCATATTGAAGGCTTCGGAAACGCCAAGCATAGACACGAAGCCGAGATAATTGTTTATTTGCTTTGTTGCGAGGCCGGCACCCTGTTTGCCGCAGTGGTAAATGTTTTGTTTCTTGCCCATTGTTTCGGCGAGGGGGCGGACTTGGTTGAAGAGGGAGTCGGAGCCGCCGATCATGAAGGTCAGGGTCCCGGCGACGGCGCCGTTGTAGCCACCGCTGACGGGGGCGTCAACGAAGGAGTGTCCTTTCGAGGTGACGAGGTCGTTCATGGAGTTGCTGGTTGCGACGTCGATGGTGCTGCATTCCATGAAGAGTATCTTACGTTGAGAGGAGTCCGGAACGCCAGCGAGGAGACCAGTAGACGGATCTGTGAAGACCTGGCGGACGTGACGGCCGACAGGGAGCATGGTCAGGATGATATCGGCTTGTTGAGCTATTTCTTTGGCTGTGCCGACGCTTGAGATGTTCTCGTTGGGTTGTGTCTCGGCAAGGAATTTTTTGACAGCTGAGTCATTGATCTCGTTGATGATGAGCTTGGACTGTTTTGGTATTCGACGACGGAGGTTTTGTGCCATTGGGTAGCCCATTACACCTACTCCAACCCAACCGTAAGTTACGGCTGGCAGATTCCATTCTTGTTCCTCTGTCATAGCTGCTGTTTAGTCAGTCGACCTGCTGATCAGCTTTAAGTTTAACGTTTGATATTGTAGATTCTCAAGTACAAATGCATGGTTCTTATGGTACTTTCCATCTTATGAACAGCCAAGTCTGTGGTTGGAGTCAGCACACGATATTGCGTGAGCCCCAAACAATCCACGGGCCTCATTGTCATTTGCACGGTCCGTGAGGAATTGTTGTGTGTTGTTATCTTGAACGGGATCGTGGCTCACGAATATTGGAGGTTGGTGGAGATATTTTATGCTCCCCTCATGGATACAAAATGAGAAATTCATATCACGATGTCACCGAAATGTCCTTTTGGAGTTTGGAGAAGAACGTCTTCCGCTCTCGGCAGGAAATTGTCAGTTTCAAGCATAGAAGAGCATTCTTGGTTTTTCTTTACAGAACGGATATCGACAGAATCCAACAATACGTTGTCAAGCTTGCGAGGAATTGCTGGATCATCTAAGCAAGATGGGTGACAAGTTTGAACAGACTGACCGATTCGTGCAAGGGTTGCAAATCCGTAAAGAGGTTTTGGGGGATACTTATGTGGATAAAGCTTTGGAAGGGGTAAGATTCCACTGTGTGGAAAGTCTTCTTGGCTGATAGAAAGCAGATCAACAACCCGTTACAAAAGTCGCATCAGCAGTATATCACTGAGGAGTGGTCCAAATGGGGTCGACCAGGCTTGACTCGAAAACAGAGATCTCTTCTCAATATTGGCATTCTGATGACATTGAACCGAAGCACTGAATTAAGAGTTCACATACGAGGAGCACTGAGAAATGGGTTGACTGAGGAGGAGATTACTGAGGCAATCACTCATACAATGATGTACTCTGGTGTACCCGCTGGTGTAGAGGCGAGCAAAGTCGCTGCAGGAGTTATCAAAGAGATGAGGGATAACGGGGAACTTGACAGTGACAATGCACAAGCTGGGCAGGACCTGGGCCAGAACGCGAAGCAGGCACCTCCTACCCAGGAGGTAAGGCACGATGGAGAGCTCAACGACGCCAAGTTGAAAGCTGGGCAGGATGGTGGAGAGGAGGCACCGCTCGCCAGCTAAGTGTAATCGGTAATGAGACTGCTACTGGAACCTGTGAAGCAAGCTCGTGATCGTGATCGTGATCGTGATCGTGATCAGGTCGTCGTAACTTGTGAAATCACGCAACCGAGGTTCAGGTCGATAGCTTCGTGGGGACCATATCGAGTTATTATCTAGAGTACGAACGCCCTGGAACATAAGAATCCGGAAAGGATCGAGAACACGAACTGTGAAGAACAGGGTTTGCATAGCCATGCAAAAGCTTCAAGCTCAAATGGTGTTCAGGTATCACCTTTATACGGCGTATCACAAAGCCATGAGTAGCAGAAGCATGAGAACGTATTCTCTCTATCGTCTTCGTGACACTAAGTAATAAGCACAGGCAAGGGAAAGGGTAGATTTGATGCTGGACAACGATACAAGCTGCTCCCCCAGTGTTTTTCTCTCCAACATTAAAGCAGCAAAAGTGCAGTACGGAAGGTATGAACCAGGAGACCAGTAGGCATGAACGAATTGTATCAGCTGAACCTTCATTCATTGATCGGTGCCATACTCGTGAATTTCTTTGACCACATGAACAGCTTGATACTTGTACTCTGTGCCTCTCAACTGTATTCTAGCTTAATGCTATTTCCCCATCCTGAAGTACACATCCAGGTGGCGGAGGGCCTCCTCATTCGGAATATAGATTTAGACCTTTCTTCGTAGGGCTCGCAATCGAATGTGTAGAGGTTGGCATCGTGAATTCCTTGATTGTTGGTGTAAATCGTCTACGATCTTGGCTTCTCCTTCTTCTCCTTCCACAGAGCACTCAGGCCGACACCAGAAACCTTGACAACCTTGAATCGCACACCGGGAATATCACCCTTGGCCTTGCCTTTTCGACCGAAACCAGCAAGCAGCACCTCATCGTTCTCGTCCACGAAGTTCAGGCAACCGTCATTTGGCACTGTAAAAGTACATTGTTAGCATTTTACTCTGCTGCTTGCCATATTCTTCTCTTCTCGAGCGCTAATACCACCCTTTCGAATATTCGTTCACGTACCGAAAGCAGTAACCTTCTTGCCGTTCTTGATCAACTGAACTCTCACACATTTTCGAATAGCAGAATTAGGTTGCTTGGCCTCGACACCAACTTTTTCTAGGACAATTCCCTTGGCGTGTGACGAGCCACCGAATGGTGAGGACTTGTAGGCGGTACCGAGCAGTCGCTTCTTGTAGTGCAAGTCAGCCCATCGACCGTCCTTTCGGGCTTGGACGAGTTTTCGAGCAGCGTTAAGACCGCGTGGCTTTCCTCGGTTGGTCATATCTGCGAATCGCTGTCAGCAACTTCGGTGAAATAAAGATTATGGTTGACGTACTGGCTGTGTGTATGGAATGGCAACAGGAAAGATAGCGACAATTTCATGTAGTCGTCAAGGTCTCCAAAATTCGCGATCGCACGACTTGCTTGGCAGGCCTCTCAAGAAAGAAGGTCAACCGGCCGCAGTTTCCTGACGTGCCTGACCACGACCCTGTAGTGTCGTCAATTGCTGCTTCAAACCATGATTCCGTTTCTTAAACCGGCTATGTTCTTGCTCCGCACGCCTGCAACCTGCTGCCTCATCTCGGAACCACAGTAAATCAGCAGTTTGGCAACACAACTTACCATGCCGAGCTAATCGAAGAAGTGGCCAGAGCCGACAGGCTCTGCAAGTCTACTACCAGCAGTGATGGTGTTAAAAGATGACTCGCCACGGCAATTTCAGGCCAAACCGAATAAGCTTGAACTACCTACACCGTCGACAGCTCGTGGTCCCAGATCACCCAACCCGTCGCATCTATTGCCTGCAACAGCCCTCTTTCATGGTCCTCATTCTCGAAATGCTTCTCATACCTCTTTGTCTCGCTCGCGCGACGATCGTCCCAATGACCCATCTACACCTATTGATCGGAACCGTGACCGTGATCAACCACAACATCTCCCGCGTGCTCGTCCACCCACTTCCTCCTTCTCGGGTCCTCGACCAAGTCTCATAGCAGCAAGCCCTAAAAACAATGCGCCTGGAGGAGGTCAAACTGGTGCCTCTGCTGTGCGCCCCAAACCCGGTGCTACTATCTCATCAAAGAAAGAAGATGACTTCCGTGCTGATGCTGTTTGGGCTGAGATGCAGAGGACACTGGCTGATGTAGAGCTTAGCGCCATGAACAGCAGCCATGTCTTTGGTCAGCAGCACGCGAGAGCGCTCGAGGATCTGAGGACTGCTCAGCTAGGTCTGGCACAGGCGTGGGCAAAGAGTGAGGCAGATGAGATGGTCGACGAGGAGTTTGGTGGAGACGAGGGAGAAACGAGTGCTGTAGGCACGATGAGAGGCGGCATTTTTGGCGGTACTCCAGCTCGAGAGAAGTCCGGACATAGCAGACATGCTAGCACGGCTTCTAATGCGAGCAGAAGTGGAAACCTTGAAGAGGAAACAGAAAGAGACATCCGACTTGCGCGACGTAGAAGAGAGGCGAACGACCGGTATTTCAAACAGGTCAATAAAGGTGTTCTAGACGTGGTGAAGAAATTGGACGAGGTAGCAAATGCAATGAGACAAGTCGAGAAGGAGAGTCGTGAACTCTGGAACGAGACTTCTGGGAGTGGAAGCGAGGATCTGGGCGATGTGACGGAAACGGACCAGAGCACACAGCAACAAACGAAAAACAAAGATATTGAAAGACCTGGCGGAAGAAGTAGAGCAGAAACGGCAGAAAGTCAGATTTTCAGTCTTAGGACAGAGACAACTGACGCTCTCAGCGATAGTCCAGAATCGAAGAGATAATGTATTCAGCACTCCTCTGCAGGTCAATTGTTACCCGTGTCTGTTCTCCTAGTATCCAGCACGTTCACGATGAGAGGGTGCTGCTCTGCTATCTTTCGCAGGCCACATTTTGTCTTCCACGAATCGATTATACTTCAATGCCGAGAGCATCGACTCCATGCGTTACCAGCCTGTTACGGTTCTCCTGCCATCTCAGCCAAGCCAGACCTTGCAGAAGAGCATCTGACATGTCATCTAATTTCTCTAAAGTTGGGGCCTTTTTGGAGCCCGCTGCTCGAGACCCTTTCGCTCCAAAGCCATCCACAGTGTTACGAACGTCCTCGTGAAGGGAGAAGCTGGCGGTCTTCGCGCCTACGGACTTCAACATGTCATTCACGAGAGCGATCTTTGCGACTTTAGCTGCTTTGCCAGTGGCCGGAACGTCTTCGTCAGTGAACCAGAACTTGTTGACCCTCATAGGCAGTACTTGCTCAACCGTCGTACCAAGCAAGAGTTTCTCTTCTACTAAAGTTCGAAAGGTGGCATGAAGCATGGATTCAAGCATGCCTACTCTCAGAGACCACTCTTGAACAGCTGAATGTCCACCACTACGAAATCGTTGTCGCTCGATAAGGATGTGTGTTGGCTTCAGACTGGCGCAATACTTGGCGAAGCGGTACGCATGTCCAGCTAACACAATTGGCTCAAAGCTTTCGTCTGTTGCAACAGTAGCGATCATACTGTCAACTATCGATGGTGTTTGGCTTCGTATCGTGTCTCCCTCATTGTAATCCATGGCTTGAGACTGAGGTGACATTAGGTCTGTCCTCTGCCAATGACACAATATTGGCTTCTCATATTTTAGAGGTGTGTTTTTAAGCTCTTCCGTCATTTTGCAAGTAAGGAAAGCGTAGGCAAGATTCCGGATGCCCATATCGATAGACAATACTCGAAGCTCCCGAGCACTATAACTTGGGCAATGTTTTGCATGTTTTGTGGCAATATCATTTATACTGGCCAGAATCTCAGGCTTTGTGCCAGAAAGTGGTCCACCTATGAGTGTAGCGATCCTGTGTAGTCGAGCTCTCTTGAGCGAGGTCAAGAGCCTGGATGATTCCCGTAGTTGTCCACTCAAGGCTCTCATCTGATACTGCGATCATCGCGAGCTTGTTGGAAGATATATCAAAGGAACCAACTGTCATGAACACAATTGACATACGGGGCGGAAACATGTCTAAGGCGTGAGTGAACGGCGCTGAGATTGGAAGTACGGTTGCGCACTTCACCCAACGATAATTTGAATAAAACTGACACAATTGCGAACGTAGTCGCGTGAAGGAAACGAAGACTATTCACGTTCCCGGCACTTTCTATGTTGACACTGCAATGTTTACTGTGTTCTTCCTCGACTTCTTACTGATTGTGAACCTTTGCCTTATCGCTGAGTCAGGGCAGCAATGTCGGTCGAAGGTGACAAGCTACAACCATCACCATTAAGTCGAGCAGAGGGTCTTTTACTTCACGCAAACACTCCAAAAGGTAGGCCTCAATCATTAATATTATTGATTGGCACAGAAATATTATTTTCAGTACTACAGGTAGGCTATGGCAGTACTATTGGCATCTAACTCAGCAAATATGTCCAGGTCGAGGAGTCTTTGCTTCACAAACAATTCCAAAAGGAACTGTCATTGATGTGAGCCCAGTGCTCGTGTTCAACAAAGACGAAGTCGAGCTACACACAAGTCAGACAATTTTGCAACATTATACCTATTACTGGCCAGATCCGGCTGGAGGAGCTCAAACACAAGCGATTGCGCTGGGCCTCGGATCTATGTTCAACCATTCGACCAAGAAGCAAAACGTAATATGGTCGAGAAATATCGCAGCAGGAACTATCATCTACACTGCACACCGAGACATCTTGCGTGGCGAAGAGCTGTGCATCTCTTATGGTAATGCTCGGTTGTGGTTTAAGGACGCTGATCTTGAGAACGAAACAACTGATCTGAAGGGCAAAGATGAGATTACTCAAAGTGGACTTGACATCTTTATGGTTGGCTCTTCAGATGAGGATGATTCTACACAACGTTGATCTTACAAACCCTAAGCCATTGAACCGAGTCGAAGAACTTTCCAAGAGTATGTGTGCAGAAGAACATTTTCTACCGCGGCTACCTGAATATAAGTTGGCCAACCATCCCTTTTATCTAATCCAAACATTTCATATGCACATGCATATTGTGTTGGCGTCCATGCATAGCTCTCGACCTGTTGGAGACACTATTTCGCCAGCTAAGGTATGCCCACTTTATAAGTTCCATAATCACGAACAAAGCGAACCAGGTTATCAAACGTCCTAGCATTTTGAGTGAATACGATCGGCTTATTCTTGGAAGCAGCAGGAAATAACCTCACGTGTGGGAACCCCCGAATGCCGCGATCTGGCAGATCATTTTCATCGTACATGACTTTGGCCATCGTCGCCTTCATGTTCATCGTGTTTGACGATTACTGGAAACGGCCATCTGTGTTCAATATGGACGGCGATTAGAGAACGAATTTGATCAGTGAGGAATGGTCAGCATTCATCAACGAAACCGAGGTTCCAGCAACGCAATACCAGTATGAAGTTCATGATAAGCCACATTACGACTGGATGGTTGGAGCCATAGCATCGACGATCGTTTGCATTCTCTGTGTTGCCGTCCTGTTGGGGTTTCTGAGAGCTTGGCGGACCTGTGTCTTTTGACCCTATCGAGATGGCCGCTGCTTTCCAAGCTACGGCGATTGTCGGTTAATACTAGGGTGGTGGTTCCGCACACGAGGTCGTGATACAACTTGGCCACGAGCGCGTACATCATATAGTGGGAGGCAAATTTTGGCGCTTCGAACAAGCATGAGGTTGCTGATAGCCAGAGGTGAAACGCGGCTGATCGTTGAACTCACAATGCTTGAAACGGAGATATTCCCAATTTATTGTACATAAATTGTTACTGTCCACGCTGTAACGAAATCAAATATCCCTCGTTCGCTCGCTCAAAAGTCTTGCTCCTCCTTGAAGAACTGGGTAAAACTGATAATTGTGCCATAAATGAGAAGACCACTGCACATTTGTTAGCATTCTCGTATCCTCCTTACCTCCTGCTCGTAACGTACCCTATTATACTCATTGCCATGGCCGGAACCTGAATCAACGCACAATGCGCCAGCAGTACCGGTAATGCTACACCACAAACCCAATCAGCACACGTCCACCTACACAACCAGCATATTCTCTCAGAGTCAACTTACCAACACCCATAACGACCAGAAACCCCGTACAGAACCTTCCAAAATCAACCACCGCATACCCTCCCTCGCCCATGAAATCATCTGGATTCGCGCATTTCGAACATATCCAGTTGGGCAGTGGAGCGATCACATAAGTCGCTACGACTAGTAGGGTGAGGAAGTTGTGGAAGAGGGCGGCGCTGAGGATTACGAGGAGGAAGCCGATTGCTAGGACCTGCGAGGATGTGTGAGTGAGTGGGTGTGAGTAGGTTAGGGCATGGTGGGTGTGGTGCGTACGAAGGACAGGGCGATGATGGTCTTGAGACCCGCTGCTGCCATGGCAGGGTTGGATATTGGGATGTGCTGCGCTGAGTGTAGGAAGACGAAGACTTGTAGAGGAGAATGCACAGTATTAGGGATTAGTATAACAATATCGTTGTTGTTTTAATGGTCAAGAGAATGAATGGCAGTGACCTGGCCCAGCATCGCAGCTTCCGCCCGTTCGCTCGCTCGCTTCAATGTGGCTGGCTCACAGCTGCTAGGGTTCCGCCGCAATCGTGAGCTCCGGAGCGTCATTGCAATGATTCGTGACTGCCTGAGGCAACATTCAGTCTGCTGCGTACGCGACGAAGCCTGAGCAGTCAAATAGCCAACTACTGAATATCTTACCAGCGTCGCATCTTCCAGTCTCGTGGAGATCTACAGATTATACACAAGAGGTGTTTTTTCTGTATCCCGTGGTATAGACTACACGTCAAAATGTTTCGAAACAACTACGACAACGATGCAGTCACCTTTTCACCTCAAGGCCGCATATTCCAGGTCGAATATGCTCAAGAGGTAAGGACGAGCGACATACTATGGACCGAAACAGACCTAACCTCACCGTCCAGGCAGTCAAGCAAGGTTCAGTAGTAGTCGGCCTTGTCTCCAAGAAGCATGTCGTCCTCACAGCACTGAAGGTATGCATGAGCAGAAACCAGTCTCATCTACACAAACACTAACACCACAACCTACAGCGAAACGCCGAAGAGCTCTCCTCCTACCAAAAAAAGATCATCGGCATAGACGACCACCTAGGCGTCGCCCTCGCCGGTCTCGCCTCCGACGCTCGCGTTCTTTCCAACTTCATGAAGCAGCAATCTCTCGCCAGCAGATTATCCTACGGCCGAGCCATCCCAGTCGAGCGAATAGTGAACATGATCGGAGACCGGGCACAGACTTCCACACAACACTACGGTAAACGTCCTTACGGAGTCGGATTACTGGTTGCGGGTGTAGATGAGCTGGGCCCTCATTTGTTCGAGTTCAGCCCGAGCGGCATGACGCAGGAAATGCTGGCTTGCGCTATTGGGGCGAGGAGTCAGATGGCTAGGACCTATCTGGAGAGGCATCTGGATAAGTTTGCCGACTGCAGTAGGGACGAATTGATCAAACATGGTCTATTGGCTTTGAAGGAGAGTCTGGCACAGGACAAGGAGTTGACGGTGGAGAATACGAGTTTAGCAGTCATCGGGATTGGTGAAAAGGATGGGAAGAAGAAGGTGGAGAATTTCAAGATGTATGATGGGCAGGAGGTTGGACCTCTGCTGGAAGCCAATGTTGAGACGACGTCGGCTGAGCAGGGAGATGCTATGGAGACAGATTCGTAATGAGAAGATTTCCAAAAGACATGTTACGGCAAGGCGTTTGAGGCGTAGGAAGAGGGCGCCAAATGTTAAATTGACGACGAGGGCAGGCTCTATAGATTGAATGTCTATTTACAGTCTAAGACGTCCTTTACTCCTTCGTCCAGTCCAGGTTGAAGCGTCCTTGGGCAACCTTGTAGTCCTGCAGCGCTGCCAGGACTTGACTCGGGTCCTTGACCTCGACCAAGATGTCAGCGTTACCAGGTGCGACAAAACCTTCACTGATACTTCTTCTGACCCATTGCAGCAGTCCATCCCAATACCCATCCACGTTCACTACTATGATGGGCATTTTGTGAATTCCCAGCTGGTTCCAAGTGACCATCTCCATTACTTCCTCGATTGTGCCATAGCCACCAGCCAATGCCACAAACCCCGATCCTGGCCCACCAGCAACCACACGGTCTGCCATCATGCGTTTGCGAGCGTGCATATCCTGGACGATTATGGTGTTTCCAAACTCTGATTGCGGTATAGTATCAGCTGTGTTTGTTCTCTTCAATTGGTCTTTTGGCATCACACGTTCGGCCTGCTTGACATCTGCGCCTGGTCCGGGTGAAGGGCTGTCGTTGCGTAGGCTTGGGTCTTTCTCGGTGCGGATCAACGCGCGAGGGATTATGCCGTCGACGCTGTCGGGACCTGAGCCGGCCACGAAGGTCTTTGCAATTTCTCCCATGATGCCCATGGTTCCACCACCGTAGACTAACTTGTAGCCTGCATCGGATAGAGAAGTGGATAGATCGCGAGCAGATGCCAAGTGTGCTGGATTCTTGCCTGGTGAGGATGCGCCTGGGATGGGTCAGCTTGTTGGAGGTGTAGATGGACATGGTGCTTACAGAAGATGCAGACTACAGGCTGCTTTGCTCCATTGCCTGCAGACATTTTGAACAGCGTTCCGTCTGTGACTGCTGGGCTCACAATCACCCTCGATATCGATATGGAGTTCTATCAGAAGTTGTGTATCTTGAACTTCGTTGCTGTGCTTGTGATCAGGTTGACTCTTCCCAGTGCAGTCGATGCAACCTGTCGCGATCAGAATATCTGGATTGTGTTTTGTTCGAGGAAATGGGCACGAAAACAACGATATGCGATCCAAGAACGAATGTGAAACTGCCAAACAGAAATGGAATGCTCGTGACACTTACTTGCACTTGGTGTAAGCACCGATCCGCCCACTGCGGCTATATGACCATGTTACTTGATCGTGCCGTCGAAGTGGGCTTGTTTTGGCATTACGACATTCCCACTTAACACGTGGCCGTACTCTTCTCCACGACAAGGACAGACAGTTGGTCAAATGCAGTGAACTGGCATGATAGCAGACACTGCCGCCATCGACGACGAAGAAGACGCGACTTGTTCTGTTTGGTGCATCGTCCGTATGGATAGTTCAGATTTTGGGAAAGCGACGCGTCCATGGCTCTATTGGACTGTCTCTTTAACTGCCCCAAATCGGGGCGTGGGGATCGACCGACCGCGCGATGAAAAGCTGATTACGGGCAAGCGTGGTCTACATACACTTTGCGATTGAGACATGTCGACCAGCAAGTGCGGGAAGCAGAATCTCAAGAGGTCTGTCGCTGCACGGAATAAGCGACTGAAGGACAAACATGCTGTGTTCGATGTTGTTGCTCTTAATTTAGCGACCAGGTTCGTCACTGGTGGCTCCCAGGGCTTAGGAGGCCCCATCGAGTCTTCTTCTAGCACACTTTGACGCTATCGCTTTCTCTGCATCAGCAATCACCCTCTATCAACAAGAAAGGCACTGGCATACAATATCCTTGTCTGCTCGCAGCTTAGAGCTACTCTTAGACATTGCAGTAAATCACCCTCTCGCTCGCAACAAGCGAGCAGGTAAGCAAACCTGCATGCCTGGTTGGTGACCTAGACGAGTTCTCGTGTTAAGGTCGAGACCATGACTTGCATGGCTTGACATGGCTTCTGATCCTCTCAAAAGAGTTCAGCCCGTCCCAAGACAGGCCTGGCAGTTCCGAGTGGGCACAAAAACTCATGCTTACGTTTCTTTCAATTGGTCACTCGAAGTCCTGATACCTTGTCAGTGCAGCCTAAGACCACAGAACCTTTCCTTTCTGAGCTCGTCTCTGGCTAAGCACTTCGCTAGCGTGATGGCTCGGAAATATCGGTGGTGTTGATGGCTTGACTTCCCACGCCGCTTATCTCTGTATCGCCCATGCTTGAGGCTGACAAAAGGCACCATGTCCCAGCCGTGCTACATCGTCGTCGACCTCATCTTCTAACCTCGTCCTGCAGCGTTCAGCCTACTGAGGCAATCACACAATCTATACCGATACCATGGCAATTCTGTATCGGTATTTGATTTGTGCCGTATTTGTTTCCTCCATTCACGCTCAGGTCGTGTCGAGCGTGGTATCTGGCGTCAACTCGGTCGTATCGTCGGTGGTTTCTGATGCCTCGAGTGTGGTCTCCTCAGTGTTGTCCAGCGCAACTTCAGCAGTCGCCTCAGTAACCTCAGTGGCATCGTCTGCCTCCTCTGCTGCCTCTTCAGCTGCTGCCGCAGGCAGCTCGTCAGCAGCTTCCTCCTTGTCGTCCGTCGCTTCCTCCGCCAATTCGGTAGCCAGCAGTATATCTTCAGCCGCTTCCTCGACATCAGCATCGGTAGCCTCGTCCGTCTCCTCGGTTGTTTCCTCTGCATGTAAGTACATCCTCGAAATGTTGCGTGAAAACCGGAGACCATGCGTGATGTGGTGGGTAAAGTTGCTGCAGAGTATAACACTTCAGACAGCTATTTCAAGCTCAACGGTCACCACACGCGCCACGTCGAGCTCGACAACTACCGTTCTTCCCACTTCGTCTTCCGTGGTCACCACCCCCTCATCTGTGGTGACCACAACTGCCCCATCCACTACTGCGTCTTCCCCGAGTTCGTCTACTGTCATAAGTAGCTCAACTGAGACGTCTACTATAGCCAGCAGTACTGCTACACCATCTTCCGTTCCTACCACCGCAGCAACATCCAGTCCTGCACCAACGACTTCAAGCTCAAATGTAGTGGTCTCCTCAAGTACGTCGATCGCACCTTCATCGTCCCCCGGACCTTCCACGACTCCTGCTCCCGTTCCGACGAGTTCGGCAGTACCGAGTTCTGAGGTTCAGAGTTGTATGTTTGCCATATTTCATGACTTGTATGACATGGCGGACTCGAGATTCGACACAGTTGTTGTTTTCCAGTCAGAGACATGTGCTAACAACTGTACCTAGCTTCCGCACCTGCCTCCGTCTCATCCCCCGCATCTGCCGCCTCCTCTGCAGCCTCTTCGTCCTCGCGGGCTGCCTCATCTTCGTCACGACCTTCGTCTACGTCCTCCCAAAGCTCGATATATGTGTACTCGTCCGTAACATCCTCAGTGTCACTACAATCCACCGTCTACTCAACCAACGCCGTCGTCCTCACCACTCAGGCAGATGGCCAGACAAGTCAAATCACCCAAGTCACAGTTATACAGACAGTCGTCCCTGCAACCACAGTTTACGGTACCACTGTAGTTTCCACCACCGAGTCGCCCACAGGCATCGCAGGTCTGCAAGCACAAGGCTTGTCAGGCGATGGAAGTGGTGGACTATCTACTGGTGCAAAAGCTGGTATTGGAGCAGGCGTTGGTGTCGCAGTCGTCGCAGCGGCAATAATTGGCGCTGTCTACGCAATGCGACGACGTAAACAGAATCATATTGCCGAGGAAGACCGATATCCTCCTTCTTCGGTGCCATCATTCTACGGCGGTGTGGGAGGACTTGGAAAGACGCCATCACGCTATACAGAGTCAGAGATGGGTGGACGTTCTCCGCCAATGCGAGAAGCAGACCCGATGGCTAGGTACGCCAATCCTGGAGCGAGCACTCAAAGAACCACTTTACCACCAGGTTCGAGAACCTCAGACATTTCGAGTGTCTCAGGTAGTGAGCCTACAACATACAGACCAGGCCCAGGCATGGGTGCAATAACAGAACAACAACATTCTCAAAGACATAGTGAGCTTCCGGAACAAGACGTGCCTCGGCCGCAGCACCACGACTACATCGTCCCTGCTGCTGGCTATACTGACACAGCTGGAAATCCCTTTCACGAAAAAAGTGGTGGAGATACACCAAGCTTGTACTCAGAAGATGGTGCAAACGAAGGCGGTGTTGCACGTCATCCCAGTCACCATCAGACAGGCTCGCCTGCATTGGAATTGCCTGGTGAGAGCACAGCCGGAGGAAGTAGCACACTAATAGGGTCTGGACAAGGATATCGAGGCATGGATCAGGAACAGCCGTTACATACTCGGTCGCAGATGCAAAAGTCGCCGCCACGGACGTTCGATCCGAGTCATAATTTCTAATGAGCTGTGAAATGAATGAAATGTGGATGAAGTAAGCCTTAATGCTATAATGAATGTGTACGGCAAAAATAAAAGTCTTGCTCACAAATAGCCTGTTGCTCATCGTGCCATTCTTTGCTCGACCATGACCAACGACTTGCTTTCTCTTGACTTCCTGATGCAGACTCATAGGCAGTATAAGATGAACTAATGCGCGGAACTTTGTATGGCATGATTGTGAATGCCTGAACTACCTCTGGCGGAACATACCGCTCGCAGCTTCCTGATCTGCACACCACAAATCATGGTTCTACTGTACCACTACACAGTGTACCTCGGGTTGTAATAAATATGTTCTTCGCCCAAGATACTGGTCATGCCGCTTCAGCGCGTCTCTCATAGCAAGTCTCGATATGGCTGCATGCAATGCAAGCAGCGTCGTCTGAAGGTCAAGCCCTGTCCTCTCAGCCACTTTCCAATTCACTGAGATTAGACATAGTGTGATGAGCTACAACCACGATGTAGACGATGCGATCAGGCCGGTAGGGTATGCAGCTTCACAGAGCAGCAAAGGCCTGACTCAGTCCCTGACAGCGACACTATCGCTAACATTGAGGACATGTTCTTGCTTCACAATTTCATAATGTCCTCGAAGTCGTTCACTGTGGATGATTCACCGTCTGTGACAGCCCATGAAAGCCCGATCGCAGTCGCGTTCAAGCATCATTATCTTTTGCATGCAATACTTGGTCTTTCAGCACTTCAATTGTACACGACTGATCGTGCCCAATCAAAGTGGTATCAGCAAGCAACCTCGCATCAAGACGCGGCAATTCGACAAGCCAGACCTCACCTCTCACACACTGCTCCGGAACATGCCGAAGCGATCTTCTGGTTCTCATCTTTTACCTCAATGTTTGCCCTTGCAGAACCTCCTATACGTCCGTCACAAGAAGGCCAGATGAAGCTCGACGCCACGAAGGAACTTCTTCACGCCTTTGGCCTCGCTCGTGGTATTAGAACGATTACGCACTCCCTACCTGAAGATTGCGACATAGCCAAAGCCACAGCACCAGAGCTCTGGCAGGATAACCGGGATGAGTTGAGACCAACGTTGAGAGAGGACTACCCAGCCTTGTTGCAGCTCGAGGAGTTCATCGAAGGTAATTGCGAAGATAGTGAGCAGCTCTTTGTGTGCCTGACTCATGCTGAGGAGCTCCTGCTGTTCATCGCCGTGCTACAACATGCTCCGACGAATAGGAAGGCAACACATCTTATCATGTCCTGGTGCATGGGTCTTCCAGCAATGTTCCTTGACATGTGCAGCAAGAAAGTCTCTGCAGCAGTTGCAACTCTGGCATTCTATGGAGTGGCTATGCATACACGGCAGGAGGTATGGTTCTTCAGAGGTTGGCCAGAGATATTGCTCACGGAGTGTGAAGAGACCTTGAAAGACAAGAACGTGCAATATGGAACTTTGCTGGACTGGCCGAGAATAATGATCCGTGGGGCTTGACGAGAAACAAGCAATTGTGTGGTGTAGGTAGCTGCACTCTCTTTGACGTCCACCATTAACAGTCCATGACTTGCGACCGGGGGCAACGCAATCGTCTACGAAGGGCCGCATTATCTGAGCATCTCAGCCTCTTGACGCGTCACGAAAACCCTCTACCAGGATACCCTTTACATCAAGTATAGCTAGTGAGTGTCGTTGAGGCTCAATGCTTTCCAATTCAAGATATCTGGTGGAGTCTTGGCTCTCGTATGAATACGAGTGGGGGTCGATCGTGTCTTCGGAATCACTTCGGAACCAATTAACTTGTCTCTTTGGAGCATTGCAGGTTCGTTCGGCATGCTGGTGCCAATGCAACGAGAAATAGGCTGATTGACATGCACAGCACATACACGATGGTATATCTAAGTCGAAACGTCGCGATGAACTGCAGAGTCGAAAATATCTCAACTCATCTAGAAGCAAAACCACCTGATTCAATCCTCCGCTTACACAAACTCGTCCATATCATTCACGATCAACAACACTTTGAAGATGAGCTTGATCGTCAGCAATGGAACTGCCGAAGGGACGATATTGTACCAATACAACCCTTCAGACACAGCAGGATACGCTTTTGTGGCTCTCTTCAGCATCACAACGATCATTCACATTGTCCTTATGCTGTGGTATCGTTCTTGGTACTTCATCCCAATGATACTCGGCGGCATCAGTATGTCTCTCACCTATCCTCATCCAAACCTCATGGCTGACACAATACCACAGTGGAAGCGGGAGGTTATTATGGCCGAGCCTGGAACCACGATAATCCAAAACAAATCAAAGCATACGTCCTCTACCTCCTCCTCACCCTCTCTGCACCACCCTTCATTGCAGCAACCATATACATGGCCCTCACAAGGATCATGACAACTCTTCGCGCCGCACATCTCAGCATATTCAACGTACGCTTCCTGACTACCACTTTCGTCGTTATCGATATAATTTGCTTCCTCGCCTTTCTTGGTGGTGCAGGAATGCAAATCGCTGCTTCGGCAAGCTTGCAGAGTGCAGGACGCAAAGTCGTGCTGGCTGGACTGGGCTTTCAGATCATCTGTTTCTTGTTCTTCGTCTATATCGCGATCCGTTTCCACAAACGCAATCTTCGCGGTCCTGGTCCGCTTGCTGAAGTGCAAGGGGTAAAGTGGAGGAAACATTCATGGGCATTGTATCTAGCTTGTTTGTTCATGTTGGTGAGGAACATCTTCAGAATTGCAGAGTACACGCAGGGTCACGAAGGGGTGATTGCGCGTCATGAGTGGTTCATATACACGTTTGATGCTACGATGATGTGGTTGGTGATGGTTGTGTATGCAACCGTGCATCCTGGTCGACTTGTTAGACAGGTCAGAAAAGCAGAGAAGCAAGGCGAGATGATAGACGGGCAAGAACTGGATGGGGTGGAGAAAGAGCAAGATGCGGGTAGACAACAGTGGTCATAAATTAATTTGGAGCAGTTTCTGAAGAGTGGTTGTTTCCAGAATACTTTTCCAGAAGACGTTGGTGCTGATAGCTTGCGCTATCGCAATGAGGGTTTTGATATATCGATCGTGTAGTCTATAGCTTTTGCTGCACATGAAAGAATTGACCTGCTGCCACATTTCGAACGAGTGCTGCGCTATTCGGCCGCTACCTCGCAGCTAATGCCGGTCTACGGCTTCTGGCGCTTTCCTCTGCACGAATGGAGTTCATTGGCCATTGAGACGTCAACAATTCTTACAGCAGGTGGTGTGGAGGGTGGCTGATGCTTTTTGTGGTCTAGACGTGGACTTTGGTGACGGGTGCGTGCCATGCTCTCTGACCATAAAGCGACTAGAGGGAAATCCAGTATCGATATGCCGTGAGCTTCGTAACGAACGTTAGATGTGCTTGTTTCAATACCAGACGTCTGTGTTTGGATAGTTGATCACGAATAGGCTGGCCTAATCTCTGAACCTATTTATACCTCCACAACGTGCGTTGCCTTAGCCAGTCATTGAGATATGGCCGATATGGAGTCGATACCGAGTGAACACCTGAAGAGCAACGAATACAGCATCATCGGTGGTATAGGCAAGGGTAATTCTTCCAAGGTCTACATCGCGCGTGAGAAGACAGGCCAGACAGCATGCCGCCGGAATCTTGTGGCTCTGAAGGTATTGTATCCAGATGAAGACGAGTTCGTGACCCTCGAGGAACGTATTGCCAGGGGGGAACTTCCGCACCTTATCAGACATTCGTGCGAGCAAGTGCTTCTGCCCACCAAGCTTGTTGTTTTTGCTACGCCTGGCGGTGCATCAGAAACCCCTCAGCAAACACTGGTCATGCCAACCATAGGAGGACCGAGCATATTTGAATATGCTCGAGGTCGCGATTGTGGTCGAGTGCCTCTTCCTATGGCGGTATTAGCCATTGAGGATGCCATATCAGCATTAAAGTTTCTGCATAAACACGACATAGGACATGGGGGTAAGTGATTGGAGCTTATCGTTGAAATCCAGGGCTGACCGCTTATAGACTTTCATAATCGCAACCTTTTACTGCTGCCATCGAGCCCTATCTCACAGTGGTCAGACGAGCAGCTCCAGACTTACATGAGCAGCCGGCCGTTGCATGTACATGCAGCTGAACTTGGACCAAAACATATGAGCAGCACAATGTCTTTCTTTGCCGAGAACGATATCAGTTTCAATGGCAGGATCTTTTTGGTTGATTTTGGAAGTGCCTATCAGGGACAAGGTCCAGAGTGGCTGATAGATGACGCTCGTTTCGTCACGAATGCACCAGAAAGGCTCGAAGGGCACGCTTGGGGTTTGCCATCTGACATATGGTCACTTGGAACCACAATCATCGAAATTCTGACTGGGACAGAGATCTTCCGACCAGAAATTAACCGCTATCCAGGTCCTTGTGATTTCGGCCGCGATGAAGTTAGAGAACGAATCTATGAGCTGCTCCCACCATGGCGGTGGGAGCCGAACGAGCTGAAGTCAGAGATGAGAAGCTTGTGGCCACCAGAGCTATCGATCGCCTCTTGCACGCAGTTGAAGAATATGCTAGAAAAGATGTTGCTGCTTGAACCTGCACAAAGGTTAAGTATCACTGAGGTTGCAGAAATATGGCGCTCAATCAGAGAGGGTTTGAAGCTCTGAAGAGCAGCTCGCTTTGAAAATGAAAAATAGAGCTATAGTATCTGTTCATATCCAAGTTGATTGAGGCACTGCCAACCTGGAATGTATTACGAACTTAGTGAGAACCGGAAGGCAAGATCGTGTCGGTGAGTTTCAGCTTGAACACGTCTGGCGCGTGTCTGGCACGCGTCCAGTCGGACGCTCTCTCTGATCATGCATTGGCCGATAATCGTGCCATTGTGATGCGCCATGCCTTCGTCAAAATTTACATTGTACAACCAAATGGGTATGATGCACACATCAATGCTTGCTTGTCACGAGAGTCTTGCGGCACCTGCGGGCCGAGGAGTTTTGTCAATATCTTGATGAAGTGGACATGGGTCAATACGTGATCGCAGTGAATTTGATCGACCGGCTCTACGCGTTCAGTCCATATTCTGTGGAATTTACTACGACGGGAGGTATGCATCCATCTGTCAGACAAAAGCACTATTATATGCGAATTTCGTGTCAACCTACAGCAAGAGCTCGACAATGCTCAAGCTCCCACAATTCAAGCATGCTTCTAACTTATAACTCAAGAATCATTCGACCGCATTGGGGTGATAACAACGATGATGATAGCTGCAAAGAGGCAGTCAATTTCTTCAAAGTGTCATTGTCAGTTTTAGCTTGTCTCCTTGAACTATATCGTCCTTCATGCTGACCAATATCTCCATATCCCACGGACCATACCTCCCTCCAAGCCATTCCCTACGCTCACTAGCTAGCCAAACAATAGTGTCACCAGCTATATCTGGACTGTCAGGCAAAAGATCACGTACTGCTTTTGGTGCGTCTTTGGTGATCCTAGTTTTGATCGCACCAGGATTGACACAGAAGGTCAAAAGCCCTTCATTACCATAATCCAGATACAGTGACTCGGTCCACCTCAATCCGGCAAGCTTCGAACATCGATAACTCCCATTCCTAGGTTTAGCGCTCAAAGCGCCCGAAGACGAGACGTTGATCATTGTACACAATCCACTGTAGTGTTCACGAGTTGAAAGCATCAAGGGCAGGAACGATTGTATCATGTTTAAGAGCCCGCGAACATTCACCTCCCATGTACGCCAATACATTTCCGGATCCGAGTCCAGAATTCGTTGATCTGGTTCCATGTGGGCTGCACTGTTCACAACGACATCGAGGTGCCCATTGAAGGCACGCGATATCTCGTCATGCATTTCCATAACACTGTCTCGATCCGCGATATCGACTTTATAACCCAAAGTAAAAGGTGCCGCTCGTCCAGCTTGCAAGGCAGCTTTTTTGATCTTCGCCACTGAATCATCCGAAACACCATGCAGGTCGGCCACCGCTATCGCAGATGCACCTGCACGAGCAAAGGCGATGGCTGTGGCGTGCCCAACGCCGTCCTCCATGCTGCTCCAGTGACTAGAACACATTTGCCATCTAAATCTAGTTTAGAGGTGAGATGTAGTCGTAGGTCGTAGAATGGCGTTTTGCTATGAAATCCTGTTGCGACATGGTCATCCACCAGAGTTGTACCTACCGTAATCTTGCATCGAAGATCATGACCACTATTACTTGTCGTCTGTTCAAGGTATGTTTTTATGGTGAATCGATCGGCTGGTTGATGCCAGTAATAACGACCTCCTGTACTCGAGTACCTCTTTCGGCTTGATACGGTGAGCGGCACGAACAAAATCTGCACAATCGCGTCGTGGGCTTTCGTGTCTTCCTATTTTCATTCAATACGAGCCTTCGACGTGGTCCAACATATGATGCGGGCCTCGAGTGTTACTAAAACTACGTATCATCTGGCTCACGACGTGTAAAACGGGTCACACTTAAGTCTTACAATGTTCGTCGTACCATGCGGACAACAAGGCCATAAATCGGTTAAGTCAATGCTGCTGCTGTTATTCATACCAGCATTCCATGAACGCCCTGCCTAATGTGAGCCGTGCGCAACGAGGTTTTCGAACTTCTACTACTTTTTCGTGTGCAAATGGCTACTGATATGCATGCTTCGAAACCAACTGGCAGCAACAACCGCAGCTCTGCTCTCCACCACAATGGACCCCAATCTCATTTCTATGCTGACTCCTCCGTTTGAGAACATCGATCTCAGGAAGTTAATACCTTTGGTAACAGCAGCGGGCTCACTGTATGTACGTGGTATCCTATACAGGTGGGAGGCCTTATCCAGAACCACAAGCGTATCCGGTCGAGACGATCCTTCGGCTAACGTGAAAACTAGTACACTTGGAGTCATGTATGGAGTATAATTGTCTCAATCACTAGCTACTGGACATGTACCGTCGAAGTACAGTCTCACGACCCAGCGTTCAAGTATCTTACATACTGGCTCGTCACTCACAGAGAAAAAATCTATTCCACATCATTCGTCGCCAGTCGCGATGGACCACCTGCGCTGCCTTGGACTGGTCCCAGTGATGATGAACCCATTCTCGGAGCTCAAGACGAGGATGAAGAAGAAGATGATCTTTCACTGGCTGCCCAGGACTTCGATGCATATTGGGTGAAACGTATCGCTCGTGACAAGTCTCGACCTATAGCATACAGTCCCGGCAATGGGAGCCATTATGTCAAGTTTGGTAGGTCGTTCCTTAAATTACGCCGCAAAGGCGATCTCTCAGGACTGGGGCTGGGAAATATCTGGTTGACATGCCTCGGAAGAGACGGTGGCGTTCTCAAGAGACTGTTGACTGAAGCGCAGATAGCATACCTTGAGCGCGATGGCAAGCAGACGTCAATTTTTAGCAACCAGCAGTCGGAATGGGTACAATCGACAAGCCGTCCACCACGGGACTTGGCCACAATTGTGCTTGCTGATGTCCAGAAGAAGGCCATCATCGAGGACATCAAGGAGTACCTTCACCCATTGACTAAGAAATAGTACCGCGACCATGCCATACCGTACCGGCGGGGCTATCTCCTATCTGGTCCGCCAGGTACCGGAAAGACCTCGCTCTGTTTTGCCTTGGCAGGTTTCTTCCAGCTTCCGCTCTATATCGCAAGTCTTACCTCCATCCCGGACGAAAGTGGACTAAGCGAATTGTTTGCTGTTTTGCCGGAAAGATCGATGATTCTTCTGGAAGATATCGATGCTGCGGGCATTACTGAAATCCGAGCACCAGTAGGCGATGCGGCCTCAGAAGCTGCAAGGAAATTTGCAGAACACCGCCATAAAGAGAAAGAGTCACGTATCCCACTTTCAGCCTTGCTAAATGCAATAGATGGCATTCTGTCGGGTGAAGGTCGAATCCTCCTGATGACCACAAATCACGTAGAGCAGCTTGACCCTGCTCTTTCTCGTCCTGGACGTATAGATATGACCGTCCACTTCGAGAACATCACCACCAAATCAGCCATGGAATACTTTCAAACCTTTCACAATACGACAGCCACGTTTAACACCACCTCAGAGAGCATCAAAAAGTATCAGGCTCGAAAGCTCTCGAGTTTCGACTACCCGGAGACCGAGGAGGAAGTGGCTCAGCTCGCTCGCATATCTGCTAAGAAGATCCCAAATGGTGAATTTAGCCCAGCAGAGTTGCAGGGATATCTTCTGCTGCACAAGTACAGACCCGACAAGGCTATTCTCGGAGCTGAAGAGTGGATCAAAGAAGTACGATTGGATAGGAAGTTGAAGATGGGACCAATGGCAGCGACTGAGAAGAGTGAAGAGCTGGTAGAGCCGGTTGAGACGATTGAAGTGACACCACCCTACGAGGAGGATGTAAGACAACGCCGAAGTACAAGAGCAAGGAGTAAGAGTGTGAAGTCAAGGTCTAGACGTAAAGCTATCTGAACTGGTGTTTGACGAAAACTCTGAAAAGTAGGCAAATCGTTGAACTGTCCTAGTAGTGGTTTACTGTAGCGTGTAGCAGATAGGGCAGGGTTCTCTCGGCGTTCTTCCTGGTAGACTATTTTTTATGGTCTGTTAGACAGATACTGTAAGACCTGTTGTAGTCATGACTTCTTCTCAACGAAATTCATCTTACCATTTATTGTGTTCAAGACTAACTAGACAGTGCTCGGAAGTGCCTAATTGCTTTCAGCAATATCTCTCTCAGGCTCTTCAGGCATCAAGTTAGTGCCTAGAAAGCTTGAAGGCCAGACGGCAAGCATGCAAGTTCTGCTTCCTTTCATGCACGACGCTAAATAGCAAACAAGGCCTTACGTTGCGTTCCCCAAGTCGTTGGAAATTTTCAACAAGGTCCCTGCTTTCAAACTCGACCCGCAACAAGTGACGCAGAGCAAATCACCATGCAAGTCGCAGCTTTTCTGTCAGACTTGAAGTCTTTGAGCGCGTGTAGTCACGAGGCAGCGATGGATCTGGTCTCGAAGCACAAATTGGCAGGAAAGATGGGCGAGGAAGCTGCTTCTGGTAGTGATCAGTCGAATGTTAGTGACGATATGCAGAGAGCGAACGAGTTGCTGTCATTACACCAGAATGTCAAGATGAAGCACGTTGAGCAAGGATTTGATCCGGAGCTTACGAAGGCGAGGCAGGAAATTGCCCATATTCTCAGGAAACTTGAACAGGATCGATGAGGAATTTGGTATTAGGTGTGCCGTGGAAGGCTGTCTTTTAAGAATATCCCTAGGTGCACGAGTGTTCTCCTCAATTCAATTCAAGGCCAGCCAACTTGTTTTGACAATATTGCCGATTCGCTCATCAATTTGCTACACCTCACTGCTCCTCTCAGCACGATCTTCTTACCCTTCCGATCACGCCTCTGGATGAATCCAAGGATACACAAGATCCGCCAACGTACTTCCCAGAAACATCCTCAGCACGAACTTCGGCAGCAATAGTCTCCTCAATATCGATTTGACCTTGTCCTTCTTTCCTTTCGGCTTGTCATCTTGAGGGAAGGCTTGGGTAGCAAAGATGAAGGCTTGACGCATGATTTCGCCTGGTGACAAGATACCTGCGGGCATGGCCAACTGTTGTGTCGCTAGGTTGCCGGCATTCTGATCGACTTGATTTTGTGCAGCTGCGGCACCTTCTAGGATCTGAGCTAGAGGTACTGTAGATTGTCCAGGACTCGAAGCTCCACTAAGTGTAATGCCTGGCCAGGCTGGTGTGATTTGTGGACTTGCCATTGCTGGTGTTGTTTTGGCGGGCAGTGCTTGGTCTACGGATTGACTTTGACGGAGTGAAGGAAACATGAAGGACGCTCTGAGCATTAGACTTCTGTTCTTCGACGATGTTGAACTTTGGATGGATGCTGCTTTTAAGATGCTTATTGGGATATGTTGTTAAGAGAGCAAAGGACACCTCAACCTGAAGCAGAGGATATGCTGCTGCGGAGCTCGCGTGGAAAGTGCCATCGAATCTGTCTCGTGAACCTATTCTATTTAATACAACCAATTCTGGAAGTTGCGATATGGTAAGTGTGCGGCATATACTCTCACAGTCAATTCCACAAACATGTTAAGTCGGCCATGAACTTTTCTTTCACCTGCGCTGAAAGAAGTGGTGCGACCCAACTTTCAGACGTCAAAAAGTCTTCCTAAGCGTCGCACTGACATTGAGCAGTACAGGCACAGGGTCAGAGCTCAATTGCTAGCTGAGAATAAACCAACTGGCGATGGGTTAGGAATCATCAAGAAAGAGGTGCTATTTTGGAAATAACTCATAAGAGCGCCAATATCTACGACTAGTCCAAGCCTACGACAATCAGACCCGAGTATTTACTTCAAAAGTGGTTCGTTGTTCACATATCTTTCAGTCTGCTCGGCCGTGCTGCCCGGCAGGAAATGCTGTCGAGTGTACCGCCCCCGAGCCACTGCCCTCTCGAATCTGTGTCACCGTTGACATATGTGAGCTGCCTCGTTATTCGAGGGCCAGGACCTTGTCAAAGCCGTCGTTGTCCTCAGACTCGCTCACAATCGCTTTGCGTCGTTCTAAGTCGATATAGCAGGTGGCCTGTAGCACTATCAGAATAAGATAAGACGTTTTCTCTGAGGGAACACCTACATATCTGGGATAGTACACCTTGGGAGACGGATCCATTACCCCACCCCAGTCGTGGATGTTCACTTTCATCACAATTCGTACATCTTTCACGGCTGATGCATTTGCAGCAGTTTTTTCAAGCTTCAAGATAGAGATGAGATAGTTTGCAAGCTCTTCGGCGTTCATAGACGAGGTTTGCGTAGGAAGATCTTTGGCTCCAGGAATCTTGGTGAACACCCGTGAATAGTACCTCTTGAGTTTAGGGAACAGCGGAGGGCGCGACGTGGAAACGCCAAAGCCGGGTCCCTGAATTGCTTCAATTACTTCGAGATTATCCCTGCTAAATTTACTGACACACTCGCTCAGAAACATCAACGTGTTCTGTTCTGTGATAGTGTATTGTGTGCTCTTGCAGTACTCAATCCTTGCTTCCAGGTACAATAATCTGCAGGTCAGGAGCAAATGCCAGTGATCAGAGACAGTGAAGGCGTCGTGCTGGCCTCTGACAACTGCTCGCTTTGGATCAGCTCGATCAGTGGGATAGAAGAAGATCTTGGAGCCACTGAAGACGTATTTGCAGATGCGCAGCCGTAATTCTGGAGCGATTGTCAATAGACCTGGAGTTGGTCTGCCTGGATTAGGTGGATGCGATAGATCCATGCTGTCGAAGCTGCGAAGGAGATGTACGGCAAGAAGGTGTTCCTTTGGCAAACATCAAGGAGACTAGACGCCTTCTACAAGGTGATGAAGGTGATCACTGTCCGTGGTAAATGATTGGGACCTGCAGCAAGAGGGAAGACCGCATCCGGGTCACCTCAACGTGTGCAGGCTGCTACACTGAAAGAGGGTACGCGCATGCATGTACCGTTTGTCAAACTAGCACTTCAGGTAAAGTGCCTGGCAACGGTAGCTTAGTAAACACAGTCTCTAGTAATAAGTGAGCATCACTTTTAGTGTAATGCCCACACCACGCTGCTGAAATTTGGGCAGAGAGAGAGAGTGAAGGTTGCAAGAGTACCTAACCAGCAGCTGGCTACATCACCAACAACATAATACTTCTAGAACGTAGGACGCATTGATTACCCAGAGAATGAATGCCTGCATATACAAACCCTTCAAAATCGCCAACCATCATCATGTACTCGTGCTGGCAGCAATTATTCAAGCCTTGCCAGCCATGTATTGTTCTCCATGTCCAGTGATACACCACCTCATCCTGAAATCTCAACGATCAAATCATTTTCGTTAGTGCCTCGGTCGACGCCTCAGACAAGTCCTTCTAGGTCTCGCTAACTTCGCCAACGCCAGTGTTGAGCTCGATGGTGTCTTCGCCATTTCCTTCGTTGACAGTATCGCCCACGCCCTCGTCGACCTTAGCTTCAGCACCATCCTCAGCCTTTTCCTCCTCAATAGCATCCTCAGTTGGGGCAGCTCGTGCAGGGACGTTGACCTTGACTTCAGTGTCCTTGGTTGACTTGGATGGTTTTCGAGAATGTGTCTTGCCCTTGGTCTTGGGAGCAGCCTCAACCCCAGAACCTTCATCGTCCTTGGTTTCGTCTTCCTCCTTCTCGACTTCTGCAACCTGCTTTGCTTTGGCAGTTTTGGCTTTGCCCTTTGGTGCTGTAGTCTTCTTAGGGGCCTCCTTGACAGGCTTCTTTGGTTCGGGCTCAGAAGCAGAATCATCCGCTTCAGCTCCCTTCTTCTTATCAACCTTCTTGGCAGTGCCTTTCTTGGTGGCAGCTGGCTTTGGCTCCTTCTTTCCAGGGCGAGGAGGAGCCGGCTGCATCTCGATGTCGGATTCGCCAGAAGACTCATTGGAAGAAGGTTCAGAGCTGTCAGGTGAAATAGGCTTGGCTTCAGGCTTCTTTGTGGCCTTGGTAGTCTTCTTAGGAGCAGGAGCAGCTTTGGTAGTCTTTTGTTTCTTCTTTGGTGACTCAGGCTGGGAGTGCTCTGATCCATCTTCGGCAGCGTCAGACTGCTGGACCTCCACTTCGTCTTCGGCATCGGAGGTGGGTGGTACTTCCACCTTCTTGGCAGGAGCTTTTCGTTTCGTGCCAGTCGTTTTTGGAGCCTTCTCAGTGGCCTTGGCCTTGGCTTTGGCAGCGGGCTTCTTCTCTGTGTCAGCCTTGTTGCCTGCCTCGCCTACTCCAAGCTTCCTCATGAGATCGCGAAACTTGTTTCTAAGAGTCAGGTTAGTAGCTACCATGGGACTGCAGATGGATTTAAGCAACAACGATGTCGTCTTCGTGACGGTGCAGCATGAGCGAGTGCTCCAAGCAATGCTTATCGTTGCATTGGTGTGTAATGAGAAGGATCAGCAGGAAGTTGACTTACTTGGAACCACCAACGCTCATACCAGTCTCCTCAGCCACTTTGTCGAAGTCGACATTAGGTTTCTCCTTGAGATTCCTAAAGCAGGCGGCGAAAAAGGCATCTGATTCGAGAGGAGCCATCTTGACTAGAAGCACAGTCGACGCTGTGGGTTGTGTATTTGCGCTTCAGCTAAGATTAAGTACCTGATCCGTAAGATACGGAGAGCCTAAAGACTGAAGGAATTAAATACCTTGAGATGATCGAAAGTTTGGATGCGGAAATGTTAATCGATCTGTCAGTAGATCGGGTTGTGAAAGATGCAATGTTGGAAATGTTATGTGAAAGAAAATATTGCGACAATGTGGGAAATGCGCGTCCTTATGTAGGCTCCAGCGTCTCAGAGATGCGAGAAGATCATGCTAGAGTCATGCGGCCGCATGCTTTGAAGTGTGTGTTTGCTGAGTGTTTCTTCACTTTCAACACACTATCGACATGAAATCCAATTTCTCCACATTGCAGACATGGTGGTATCGCCTAGCATGTGACATTTGTCCCTGTCGCTATTTGTGTCATGTTTCTTTACCTGATAGCCTCGATTATGCGCCAGCATATGCTGGAATTGGCAGCTCGAGGTTGTTTTTTCCTGAGTTGTCTTCCTGTTACCAAGTCAACATGTATACCAGATGAGCGACCACGGCGTCCGGCCACCAGTATGCGGTTTTTTTCCTTTGCTATAGTATGCAGCATGTTTCTGTAGGACCTGATTTGGCTTGAGTTCTAATTAGTGGTAAGCTGTATAAGATATCGCTATTTTAGAAAAGGTCAGGTGTATTGCTTGCCACCATTAGCTCTGAGCGCCTGTACCCAGCAATGTCCACATAACCCTGAGGCGTGCAGTCGTCCCAATAGATATCCTGTGCTTCGAGGTACGATCAGATCTTCATGTCATGACAGGGAAAGCACCAAGTAATAAATTGTCTGGTGTCTCATTCTGTTCGGTTAGTATGCACAGTGCTGGCAGTTCATTTGAAGTTGCTTCGACAAGATAGGTAATTCCACATCCGTGACTCATGCTGCCATCAATTACACCCTTCTGTATGCCCAATCAGTGGGATGTCTGACAAGGCACTCTTCCGCACGCAATGCGACTTCCTGATTCATTCTGACATTTCCTCGCGACGTACCGTGTCGTTCGTAGACGGATCAGGTCGACATGCTACCTTCATGTACCAGTAGAGTCCTCTCCCTTGTGAGTCACGCCCGTCGGAGCTTGTCCCACTACACAACAAAGAACCAGAGTGAAGGTATTGGCTTGGAGTCGTGGTTTAGCGTGGCTTTAGGTTCTTGGCAGCTCGGTGGAATATTGATCCGTCTCGACCGTCCGACCACGTTGTTTTAAAAATACAGCAAGTATATCTTTTGATATAGGTTAGAGCGGAAGCATTTCATTGACCTCAATGTGTGAGACTCGGAAGCCATAGAGTTGAGGCAATTATTCTGAATACCTACAAAACACAACAACATGCGTTCAGCCATGCACGGCACGGCAAGAAGACGTTTCAAGCTGGTCAAAGTTGCAAACACGTCAATCATAGCTCAAGCTGAATGAAGGGTTACCACCATTCGCCTATCGCTCCACTACGATATTCCTCTCTGGTCTTCTGCCTACCTATGCAGGGAGTCGTGACCTTACAGGACCCCTTCCAATGTAAGCACACGCTGCAGGATAGCTCAGCAGTGTCTCACCAGGCGACGAAAGTCGCAGAAAACCTCTTGCCCTGGTCCGCTGAATGACAAATAGCTACCTGGTACATTTCAGCCTCTCCACGTGATACATTCGTCTTCGATTGAAAGCTGTAAGGCAAGCTGTGTTATGCGCTTGTATCCATCCGAAAATATGGCACGCCTGAACCAATATATGCAGATAGCGTAGCCCAATCACGAGTATGGAGGGACAGGTGCTTCGCCTATCAACCACTATCAACCAACGGTCCAATGATCGGAGATCCAGCTGGTGTCCGTGGCTCGCAACAAAGGTCATCAGCAATGTCGCCGACGATGTTCGTCCGGTACTAATCCAAGGACACCTGGCGTTAATACGTACCAAGTAATCAGGATCTTCTCGGGAAGCTGAGTATTCTCTCAAGAAACAAAGTGAGCCAACGAAATTTCGTCTGAAATCCTCGTTGACGAATTGCTCACCATCCGACTATCGACCTGCTGCTTTGTAGCAGACTCATTTCGTCGTCGCTGATGCAGCCTCTCGCCGACAAGAACTCGTCTCGGCTGTGGCATAAATTATTAGCCTGGATAGAATGCCCAGTCCGTCTTGGCAATCGCTATGAAAAACGTGTTGCCATGATCGACACGATGCAGATCTCCAGAAACACGGCGTAGTCAGCCCAGGCAAAACCAGGTATTGTAACCGAGACACTGGTCGATCTTCGTTCAAGCACGCTTTCCTGGCGCGTCGCGATATTTGTCGATCACTTCAATCTAATTTCAACCTTATTTTCCATCGTTCTTTTGTAATTATCAAGCTAGAACGTTTTGGGTAGTTGCTCATCGAATTGCTTGATTTTCAGCCGTGAGCTGGGAAGCATCAGGTGATTCAGCAGTTGGAGTTCGCGTCGAGTTCGAGTAGTTTGAAGAATGATCCGTGGAGTTGAAGGACGAAAAGTATACTCGTAGCTGTAAGCCACGTTGCAGCTGTCGTTAGCAATCCAGATCAACAGGTTGACAGCCCTTGTTCACTCGCCAACATACTTTCGGCAATAAAGTTCGCTTGTCGAAAGTCTGTCTTTGTCAATTTCAACAAATACGGAGATCTTCCATCGAGTCAATCGGAACATTGAGCTTCGAGGTAACCATCAGACAAACTGTGCGAAAATACGAGCCTCCAGTTTCAGTGACGACCCAGCGATCGTTGCACCGCCTTCTCACCCGCAAGCTTCCTAGGTTAGACTTCGGCTATGCAGGTCGCGACCGCCATTCCTAATTGGTGCTGCTCGAGCTGATCTTCGTGCCTAAAACGGCAAGCGTATATCACTGCATGCTTGTCGTTTACTGGTACATCAGACCACTTCTTTTGCCCGTTTGTGACAAGCTTCGTACGTGATCTGCTGCTGGACAACGTGGTAAATGGATACGATTTGCGTGAGCTCCCGAATTGACATGGTTAATGAATTTATGCGAGCTCAAAACGCTGACTCGAGCTCACTTGGGGTTAGTGGATATTCCTGTCTGCTCGAAGTGGTGCTCAAGATGAATTTGGCAGCGCCTCAAGGGATTGTGCGTGGTTGACACCTCAATCTATACCCTGTCCAACGACTCCTGGCCCATGACTGCCAATTCCCCGGTTACTGCCGCTGCGGCAGTCATGAGTTGACCTTTGAGGCCTCCTCGATCCACGAGTCATGCTATTTGCCTCACAATTTTTTGTGCGATCCTGCGTACGGAATTAGTACCGACCTAGAACGGAGGACTCGGCATAGTAGAATGTAGTGACCAGACGGAGGAGCTGGGAGAAGCGCTCTGTGATAATCACTGATCAATAGTGTGAAATTTGGTGCGTAACTAATAGAACACATCTGGGACCATTCCTCAACCAGATGATCTTGAGCAAAATCGCGTCCAAGCGATACAATGTTCCCCAACACCATGCTAAAACAATTTTCTGCGAAGATTGCTCTTCTCGCTCAATGACGTGATGCAATAATAGACGTGTAATCGTAAAACCGTGCCTTCTGTGCTGTGCTCCCCTCCTCATATGCTACCGTAACCATATTGCTGCTTCACCTGTAATTCATGAGGCACTCGGACTTAGACCGTCAGTGCTCGAAGTGTCTATACCGTGACAACCCTTCTCGTGTCTCTTCATGTTGCTTCTGACGCTGAAGAACTTGCCACAACCATCGTACTTGCATTTGAATGGCTTCTCGCCTGTATGAGAATAAGTATGGATCTTCAAAGAACTTGGTCTCGAAAAAGCCTTCTGGCATGTCAGACACTGATAGCGGTCTGTTGAAGGTGGGTACAACGAGGAACTAGTTGGATAGTGGTGGTGGTATTGTGTCGGTACCATCTGAGGACCAATATGTGGTAACTGAGTAGGAGAGGGTATTGGTGGAGGGAAGTCTGTCGGTAATGGTTTCTGCTGCAAGAGCCCTAAACGCGGCGTGCTCTCTAACGGATCAGGATAAGTAGGTTGGGATTTAGCGGCCACAGACGAAGCTGATTCATCGGAAAGGCGTCGCGACGATACTGGAGAAGTTGAACCACGCCACTGCGACGGCTCTGGTACAGGAGGATAGGAGGATTTTTGTGTCGCATACGTGCCAGAGTGAGTTGCCAATGTGCTCATTGGCGGTTGGCCATTCACATTTGGGGAATGTGAACCTGATCGGGGCATGAAATCGAAGCTTGATGTTCCTGGTAGAGGTGGCGTTGGAGGAAGAGTTCTTCTTGGGCTGCCGGATGCAGATAATCTTTCTGGTGTGGTTGGTGGTGAACCAGCAGGTGATCGGTGATGCTCAGAAATGGGTGAGCGTGATTGCACTACTAGCTTGTCAGTATGCATGTCGCATGATATACTTCTTCTGCTTACCGTGCTCTGCCTGTTTATCGACCTGCTCTATCAGACTTGAGATTGAAGGAAGTGAAGGTCTAGGAAGACCACCTCTCTCCATCATTGGGAATGATTGTAGATCTCTGCTTTCGTGGAGGATGTTGTGAGGGAAAGAGAAAGCTCTGGGACTCAATACTGCTGCCATAACAGTTCAATGTGCACTTGCTAGCTTATGCGGCTGATTTCGAACTTGCTGTGCTGTGAAGTAGTGTCTAGCCTTGGCGGTTGGTTCCTTGTACCGTGCGTAGCCTTGTGCTTTACAGGAGCTCAAAGCCGGCGAAGGCGTAAGAATTAGAAGATCTTGAGCAAAAGGCCGTGATCGAATTGAATAGTTGTACTCAGAAGTGACGTTGGTGAACGATGTTCGAGTACAGCCTAGGCTAAAAGACTTGAGATGGAGGCAAATAAGGGTCGATCCAATCAACGTTGGTCTAATGAGCGGCGCGGTCTGCACGCAAAAGTCCCAAGCGATACTGGTTGATGCTGTTGAGGTAGATAGTCAGGTACAGGGTATGTAGTTGAGGTTACGGAAAGATCGAACATTCAGAAGGAGGGGAGTGTGACCACATTATGCACTGGAAAGAGACTTTGGGTTGTAAACTGCCCCAAGAGTGTCTCAATCTGAATGGGGTATCTTTTTGAACAAGCGACACTTCCCTGGTTTCGCTGGAAGGAGAATTGCGAGATCAGGTCAGACAAGGTAAGCGTGGATCAGCATGATGGGATGACATCTGGAGAGAGAGAGCCAAGTAAGGTTCAATGATGTGCAGACGAGACGAAGGTCGAAGTGGGTAGCCAAAATGTGAAGGAACAAGGGAGGCCTGCTAACGTTACACATCACCACTAAGGAATGACGGCCCTCGAGTTCGACAGGCACAGCGCCGCCAAAGCAAGCAGTGAAAGGCGTCCACAGCGGTTAATAACGATGTCATGCGATGAAGGCAAATTATCAGATTTCATGCTGATTGGCTTGCATAGACGATGGCTGTTACGACAGGGCCAACACGCGGCAGCCCATGCGGAAATGTCAGAGACGCCACACACGCCAACTGTATTTAATCGATCCTGGTTCTGCCACTCGTAAGCTTGTGAATTCAACGCTGTATTCAGAAATTAAGCAGACGCCGGCTGAACCTTTGTCTGTACCAATTCGCCTAAACATTCTCTTTTCGAGAAACGGGGTGACACATCCCGTATCGACTGTGCTGGTGTTCCGAATGTGATATTACGGCCACGCAGTAAAAAGCATCACTTCGAGTGCGATCACTGTTACACTAGGCTGCCTATTCATCCCTTGCCAATGCTCGCGAACTTGGCTGAGGTTCCTGCTCTGTCGTCGACCCTTTGTCCTTGACGAAGTGCTTTGAGAATATGTGGTCCAAAGAGTCCGAGATCCATACTATCGTGGGTTAGGCGCATTACTGTGCCTTCCCACAATATGTGCTTTGCAATTTGAGCACACGCCGATCAGTCAAGTGCTTCTAACCTTAGCGTCTTCTGTCGATATCTCTACCAACTCAGTTTGCGTGCTATCGTTCATTCGGTCGTGCTGCTGTTTCAGGTCGTAGTCTGGCTTTATGTATGTCACTTTCGACCTCTTCCGCAAAACTTACTGCACGGTATCCAGGCTTAAGTTAAACTATCGTGCTTCTCGAATTCCTTTGGACTCCGAAAGGACTGGATGCTTATGAGTGTCGGAGTTACTGTCTCAATCTACGTTTAACATATTTACGTAGCATATCACGACTGAAACGAGACTGCTTTGTGCAATATTTGCTCGGTTTTAGGCATACGGGTCACTCGATTACTGTAAAGAGAAGGAGCTCGGTGTGATAGGCTGCAGAGCAAGGTCCACGATCTTGGTAAGTCGACTGCAATAAGCTTTCGGTGGTGTCTGGGATCCTAAACGATGACAAGTGATCGTCTCTCGCGTAACCCGTTTGAGCTTGCAAGCCTTGTTCGATTCGCTTGAGCTTGCAGATCAACCGCGCGATCTGCAACAGTCGGGCTGGGAGCCGGGAACGTGGCTCTTGTGACGCTCAGGAGGATCCTGCCACTCGATGTAGCTTCGTTGGTTGCGAACTGTTTACGACTGCTCAGTACACGACCGAAGATGGACGCATGAGCATGGAGTTGGTGTTTGGGCCACCTATGACCACACCGATACTAGCCATCTGTTAGATGTCGAGATAGATTTTTGATGATTCCCCAAGTCAGATGAAGGTGCAGCCAAGGAGGACTGCATGACAGGGACAACGAGATCAAGGCAGCCACGTTCAAGCCACGGTAAGAACAGCCAAAGCTCGTATTTTTCTCGAAGTGCCGCATGGAGAAAGGAGATCTCGCAGTAATCCACAACTAGATTGCTAGTGCTAGCCTCCTGAAGATTACCCAGTTGTTCTGATAACTGAGGCTGATATCGTCAAAACCTCGTCCTGTCGTCCCTTCTTTTCCTGTGATATTGAGGTGTTCTGATAGTTGTTAAAGGTAAGCCAAAGTCTGTACATTCGAACTCGTGCTGCGCTAATTGGACGATACATAACGGAAAGCATCAGCTGAGGCTACTTCTTGGGCTTCCAAGATTTGATGAAAGGACCGCCAGTTGATTCAGAGTGATTGGTGGAGTCGATCATCTGCGTATTGGTGTGGCACCGACGCAAGCCACGAACACATGGCAGCCACGTCGATCTGCGTTGTTAGCGCGATATCAGAACATAGAGGTCGAGCTAGTCGTTTTAAAGCAAGCGTAAACAGAACTTTTCAGGTGCCCATTTTCGTCTACCGGGAGTTTGAGCATCCGCAAAGCATACTCTCCTTGCAAGAAATGCTTCGCCGGATTTACCGGATTCGTATTCGCAAGCTCGAGATTGACACTCCACTGTCAGCGATGCTCGCCCATTACGGCAACTCGAATTGACTCGAAATCAATCAGGGAATCCATGACCAGGTAGCTATTTTCGATATAGATACGGCGTTCAATTTTGAATCTTTCTAAGCAAGCAATACAAGTACTTTGAACTGACACGATTTGAGGTGACGCGGATGGATGGCATGACAGATCCACATTCGAAAGATAGTGTCGGAGCGCCCGTTAAAGCCAGACTATCGAAACGATGTGGAGCTATCCGATCTGCAGGTGGACTTTTGTGGGAGCAACTTCGACCAGCTGGCGTTAGGGAGTCATTGTATTGACGCTGAATTCGGCTGAAAGTCTGAAAGCGGCTTATTTCAGACGGTCTTCAACGAGAGACGCGATGCGGCACTGATCTGCCCAGGTTCTAGAATCCTGGCTAGCTTCGTGCTTTCACCATTCATGGTAAGGCTTTACCGCATCATCACTCATGACAGCTTGCTGCAGGAAGGTTCTGTCAATCGCGTGTTCGATTGCAGGCCATGCGGCAGACTTCTGACATCGTGATTATCAAAGCTCTGACACTTGACACCTGCATATACATGAACATTTTCCGAAAAAGCGTTTGCAGCCTGGGTGAAAGTAAATATATCATGGTTTGTTGTCGCAGGCTGATCTGATGCCTCAAGCACGCATGACACTTCGTCGAGCAGCATGGTGAATGCCCGTTCTCGAGCTTTGCACCAGGATGCTTGTAGATCTCTATGTCACAAAATCGCTTCCGAAGCCAAACTACCGACGAGGTCATCTGTGCCATGGTCCAGGAACACGCCTCGACGAATTTAAGACGAAGCCTATGCAGTATTTTCGATTGATATATTTGTATCCATGTAAATTGGAAACTTGTCTTTTGTAGATTGTCAGAATGCCTGCGACTTATTGCTTGTTTGGTTTGAGCAGAGAGCAGGCACTGCATGCTGATAGTCTCGCAGGGGGTTTGTTCGCCTCGAAACTTGGTCCGTTGCAATGCAATGGTGCTGTCTCATACAGCGCGAAGATGACCAAGCCGGACGAGAACATTACTCGACTTTCTGTGCAGTCCACTCATGTCACTACAGCGAACCTCGTCCAGGAACAACATCGCTGTTTCGAATGCCTAGCTGGTGGCATTAAAGGCCGCCTAGTTCTGAGAGCTGGCTAACAGACAGTACCTGCTATAGCCCTCGGCCATCATATCTTCTAATAAACTGCCTAAAATACGAATTCAGTCTTGCCATGTGTCAGTGTTTGAATCAATATTACTATGCGCAAACTCTGTCTGTGCATTGCAGACGTCCTTGACTTCTCGATCATGTCTAGCAATATCGTACTCATCCACTCGCGCAAAGAGCACACAAGTTAGTGGGTTGTTGGTTGTGGTGAATCGGGAAGGTGACTCCCATATGCAAAGTCAGCAGAATAACATGCTATGACTTCTGGAACGAACATCAGGCGTTGTGTAATTTTCCCTGACCTTCAAGCCATTCAGGTCGTGCCTGCCCAAACTTATTACAAGATTCTTCCTACTTCATTCTGTGTTCCGCCAGGTTAGTCACTGACCTTATTTTCCAATCACACGTCAAACCTGCATTTTGATGTGTCATGGTTCTCAATCGCGCATTAAAATGTGGCATCGTCGATCGTGGTCTCACTCGTTTGGCCAATTTATTTATCGCTACACGATTTGCTCACAAAGAATACATCATGAAGGCTGAAACCACCAGAAAATTCTCCTGCAGGTCCTCTGCATCTGAGGGAGAAAGACCTCGTCGCAGTAGCAATCAATAAACACAGGAATACATTGCACAATCCTCCCTCACCATTCTCAACATGAGGTTGTTCAAAGACATCAGTCACACAACCATTACGACTCAACTCGATACTGGCCGCCCCGACCATGTCTTCAGTCGATGAGAGGTGGCAAGGCTATGCACAAGAAGAAGCGACCACGATCCACCATGTCGATTACATCACCTCATCAACCTGGTCGGTCGCCTTGCCAACGGTGCATTATGCCCAATCCGTCACTAGTCAACATTTTCGTTCTGCAGCTTGGCTGTGGTTCAATCTGTGACTGCTAGCCTTCCGCTCAAGCCACCCTCACATCCAACTTTTCAACGCTGGTGGTGATTCGAGTCAGTCCGGGCAGGGTAGGTCTTACTTGGTACTTCACCATCCAACATACAATATGGCATCCAAGCAAGGAGAATCCGATAAATATGAGGTGTTGGAGACTATTGGTATGTGCATATTGAGCATGGTCTGGACATGGCTGAGACGTGACAGGACGAGGTGCCTTCGGGACCATCAGGAAGGTTAGAAGAAAGGAAGACAACAAGGTAAGTACCGTCGTTCACCGCACGTTTCACGACTGATCACGTATAGATATTGTGCAGGAAGGAAGTCAACTACGTAAAGATGTCCGGTAAAGAACGAGATCAACTGGAAGCTGAACTCAAGATCCTCGCATCCCTGAAGAATCCTTACATCGTCGAGTACGTCCACCGGGAACATATAAGGCAGACGCAAGAATTATATATCTACATGGAGTATTGTGGTGGTGGAGACCTTGGAGCTCTGATTACTGAGTTGAGAAACAAGGGCAAGATTGCGAAGGAGGACTTCGTATGGAGGATACTTAGTCAGTTGCTGGCCGCACTATACCGTTGCCATTACGGCGTTGACTCACCCGAGCCTGGTGATTCAGCTAGACCCAACGATTCAAAACTGCTGTCATCTCGGACGAGCTCAACGATCCTTCACCGAGACCTGAAACCAGAGAACATATTCTTAGACGGAGACAAGTCGGTCAAGCTCGGAGATTTTGGATTGTCGAAGATTATGCAATCGCACGATTTTGCTTCCACCTATGTCGGCACGCCGTTCTACATGTCACCAGAGATCTGTGCAGCAGAGAAATATACTCTAAAGTCAGACATCTGGGCTGTGGGCTGTATCATATACGAACTCTGCACGAAAGAGCCTCCATTCAACGCGCAGACACACCTGCAGCTGGTCAACAAAATTCGCAAGGGAGATGTGGCACCTCTTCCAAAAGAGTACTCGAAGGAGCTGAACGAGGTTGTCAAGAGCTGTCTGTTAACCAACCCCTTTCATAGACCTGATACGGAGAAACTCCTCAATCATCCATTTGTGTGGATGGCTCGAAAGCAGCAAGAGTGCCTCAAGATTACACGATCAGTTTGCACCGAGAAAGAGACACTACAAACGCAATTTAAGAAATTGCAAGAACAGGTCGCTGAGCTCGAAGCTGACAAGATCACAATGAGGGCCGACCTAGAGGCTCAGATACGTCGTGAGTGGGAGGTTCGAGCTCGACTTGAAATCGATCGACAAGTGGAAAAAGACAGACAGGAGATCATGACGACCCTCCAAGCTCAATTCGAGCACGAGGTCAACAAACGAGTCAAGGAGCAGCTGGCAAAAGCCGCCAGCTCTGTAGAATCGATGGTCGTGCCCAAGGAGAATGCAGATCGAAATATGCATAAGGAGCAACACAACCATCATTCGTCCACAAATACTGCTGAAGAGACAGACTGGACAAACACTACTGATCTGACTGAACTATCTGATCTCTCTATCCACTCTCCATCAACATCGACCTCGAAACCAGCATCTAGGAAGGCGAAGACGCCGTTCGCTAGATCGAAGACTGCTTTTGATTCACCAGCAGACATCCAGATGGCTGATCCCTCACCAATGTCGATCACGTCTCTCAATCTTTCGCCTCGTCGTCAAACATCGGACAGTAACAAATTGAGTGGCAAGAACCTATTCAGCAAGATCGCGACAAACAAAGCACGACTTGCTATTCCAGATGATCTCGATGAGGACAAGGAGAATGACCTTGTGGATTCGGACGATGAAATTATCCCCGACCTTCCTAGCCCAACAAGGCCTAAGCTCCAGAACACTGACCCTTTCAAGATGCCACCACCTGTGAACATGCCTCCCTCAAGGGCTAGACCAGGGATGCAGCGACAACATACTATTGCGAGCACCAACAGACTCGTCACCAAACCAACCTTGTTCCCAACCACCAACAGCTCAGCGACAGCTACACAGCTGCGTGCTGGTTTCGCCGCGACGCAGAACACTCAACCAAGTCAGCTCCCACGTAGTGCCACAGAAGGTGATCTGTCGCGCAAGCCATCGAGCCCAACACAGTCTGCCAAGCGTAGACTCAGCAAGATTCCCAGCAGAGCCGACCTTGCAGCAGAGAACCTGATGCAAGCCTCAATAGCAGTGTCAAATGCAGCCGAGCGTAGTACATCGCCGATTCGTCGTGCAGCAACCATCACGAACGGAAACCCGAGCACCAAGCTCGTATCCAAAATCGGTGGTGGTACACGGGGTGGCTTGAACGACAATGCTCAGCAAGTCAACATCGTCGCCGGCCGAACACGGGTTGAGCTCGCACAGGCGCGGGCCGGAGGACGTCCTATGACTGCAGAGTGTCCACCAAGCGGTGGTATTAGGGTGATCGAGAAGGAACTACCGCCAGTGCCTGTCTGGGATCCAGAGGTGTTGGGCGAAGATGCGATGCCTAGTCCGTTTCTCAAACGAGAGATCAGGATCATTAAGGGGTTACGGTGACACTATACCTGGAATACAAGCTATTCAATGCATTGGAAAGGTTTCTGCATGGCGAGGCGTTAGTGGGACTGGGGAAAGCCGAGGACATCAACGGGTTCCCTGCATATTGCTTTACTGTATAGATACCATCAGACAAGGCGTGATATACAAGGAAAGAAAGTGTGCATTTCCTTTGTGGCTGGGCACGCATGATGCGAGAAACGACAATGAAGGATGAGGTATAGACTTGCAGTACAGTAGATGCAGATGGAGAATGAGAACTGTATGCAAATATGCCGATTCTCGAAATTTCTCCTATAATCCTCGCAAATCTGGAGATCTGACCATCAAACAGGGTTTGCTAACCAGGCTTTCAACACTTGACACAGAGTTGTCCTGCGAAAAGCTATTCGTGTCGTGGGATAGAAGCGTTACACATGCAAGAAGCACGAAAATAATGTGGCGAAAGACTCAATATATACCATGGCAGCTTTATATGGTAGCTCGGGTTTATGTTTGGTAATCAGAGTACAGTGGTGAACAAAAGTCTATAGTAAGACAAGACAGGAACACAACAGTTTCGAAAAGATTTCTTGCTGTTTCTTCCATATTTGTATTTTTTTGGTGGGTAGTAAAGTCATAATATTTGTCGACGTAAAAAAGTGGTGTCTATTCAAACAAAGTCTCATAATAAATCCTCATCTATGACCTCCTCCATCTGTACCTGTCTCGTAGGAGGTGGAGGTGTCGACGCCCTCCTGACGATGGTTACGGCTTCTGGTTGCGGTACGGCGCTTCTTCTGGCTGCTTCCTCGTCCAGCCGAACTGCTTCGAGGAAAGAAGGGGTGGGTTGTGATCGAGGAGGAATGGTCAGGCGATATGCCTCGAGCTCTTCGTCGGGAATGACTTCTGTCGCGTCGCTCCGGAAGGAAGCGTTGAGACTGGGTGGGCGGGATAAGGGGTCTATGGCGAAGTCTCGAATCCGCGGCTGGTAGGGGTCATGTTCTTGATTTGGTTGCGGGTCTTTGGCGTCTTCTTCGATTGAGTTCTGGTATTCATCCGGTTCCTCAAGCACTTCTGTATGAAATGAGTCTTCTGCTTCGGCGGGATCGTCCGCCACCTTTCTGTAAAAGGGATCGTCCGCCTGGTCAGCATCTTGCATGGCCATCTCGCGCTCGAAGGCTTCCTCTTCATCCTTGAGTCGCTGTAGGTCATTTATGTTCTTGGGCGCATATTGGGAGAATTTGGGAACGGATTGTGCTGCTTGCGTGGACGGTCCACCGGGAACATTGGACTGAATATAGCCTTCCTGTTCTAGTCTATCCAGCTCTTCTGGTTCGAGTAACTGACCAGTAGAGCCTCGAACGGCTTCTTGTTTTCTTTTTACAATATTTGGCACGAATCTGCTCACGGCTTCTTTCTTAAGATCGCGAATCTGGGGTGCACTCTCGTAGGTCGTCTTTGCTTGCGCTGGTTCAGCAGGGGCATTGTAGGTACGTGATCCAGATCCAAAGTTTACGGTTGGATTCTGCCTGTTGCGCTTGAATTCGTTAGGTATAGGAGGTGGGGTGTCTTCGGGCCAGGGAATATTGCGAACAGATTCATCCGTATCGCTGGACTCATTCCCCGAACCTTCTCTGCGTTCGTTGTGCTTTCTCTCCCCATCGCGGTGTCTTTTACCTAGGGTACTTTGAGGTATGTCACTCCTCTGTGGCCGAGAACTCTGAAAGGGTGCCTTGTCGCCGAGTGTCTCTCTTGCTTTGTTGACCGCTTTCAGGTCTCTTTCTAAGTCGGCTAAGATGGCCTTCTCTCTGGGCTTAATGTCGCCTGCAGCTTCAAGCGCCTTGAGGTCGTCGATCTGGCGCTGTATACTATTAGGATTGCGCCGAGCTAGCTTTTCATTGCGGCGCGCTTGTAATTCGGCCTTTCCTTTCTTCAGCGCTTTGGCCTTCTCTAGCTTGCGCTGCTGTTGAGCAGGGTTAATTGATTTTTCTTTATCCTTGGGCATTTTTGAGCAACAAAGTAGGTTGTGATTATGCAGTTCGCGTCCAATACCGCGCGACAATCGTGTGATGAAAAGGACGATGGATGCGCAGGACGACCTTGTGATCAAAACCTAAGTGTCAACAGGTCACCAGTTCCAACTTTGTGTAGCGATGTTTAGGCAGTTATCGCGGTAGCCTTAGGCCTGGTGTCGCATGGAGCAATTGGCAGGTGTCAAGATTGTGTTAGCTCGTATGCACGGCAGTTGCGATCTGAATCTGCGCCTGTCGAAGAGTTGTTCCAGTCGTGACTTCCTCTTCTCCTAAGTCGCGAAAATTGCTTGAGTTGAGTCAAGGAAGGAGCGGATGACGCCGACACGATGCACATTCCAAATTTACAGGCGTGACAGAGGCAGCCGATCCTCCCTATTTGAGGCGCAACTTGAGTTGTTCAGGCGTCCGTAATAATCTTTCTTACAAGACCGACCCATCGTTGTAATACAACAGCAACATCCTTGGGCACGAACACTCACCTTTGCTATAGTCCGTGTTCCTGCATGGATTGGTCGTGCAAACCTAAAGGCAAGCATTACAAGGCACTCTGGCAGGTCTCCGTACAAGGGCGACAACCCCGCTATCTCGCGTCAAAAGTGCTGTTGGGTTCGGTGATGGAGGCACTCGAGAGCACCCTCAACCACTTACAGAAAATCTCCCATGCAGAAGGTTGCATAGGTTGCATATCTAGCGATGCACGCTCTTTATTCTGCTTCGTCTCTTGCAAGGCTTCTATCAACTGCTGTTAACCCTCGACCCCTCAGTCTTCTCCCTTCACTGTCCTCTTCCTTTCTCTGTCGCAGGCGATGAAACAGCCCTGCGGGCGTCATTCTGGTTGTTTTCTTGCTGATTGCTGCTTCATGAGCCGCTCTGCCGTCTTCCCACCCGCTGTTTGATCCTGTCTAAACTCGCTCCCGACCACACTCATCTTTACCCGCCCGGAGATCGCTTACCTCACAATTATTTCTCCGCTAGACGTTTCGAATTCCCTCAAAGACAAACGATCCTGATCTAATTCTGCAAGCGCTGGGAAGCTCATCGAATGCGCTGCCTCAGTCTGCTTGCTACCATGACCAGGCTTAACCCTACACCCATATCACATAACCCTATCGCCTTTCAGATACTCTCCAACCGTTTCTGAAAGTCTGGAGAACAAACCTATCAGCTTTGGAGATCGACTTGTTATGTCAATATCTGTTGCAAGGCACTTCTTCACGAGCCCGCCGCAATTTATACTGGCTCCAGCTGCTGCCATTCGACAGTAAATGTCCGCAGCGGCATCCATACCAGACACCAATTTAGGACTGACACAATCCGAATTACTCTTGTTGAGACAACAAAGCGAAGTCGCTGCTCAAAGTCGTGCAGGAGGAAGCGCCATGGCAGAAAGAGGTCGTGGCACCAGTAGGCATTCTCAGCCTAGTTCGAGGGCCGCTAGTGCTGCTAGCAGCCATAGTATACAGGGAAGGATTACAATGGATTCGAACAGTCTTGGCCGAATAGAAGGAGCCTTGAACAATTTGATGCGCCAGATTACAGCGCGCATATCGCAGGTAAGTTTGGACTGGCGCCGCTTGGACAAAACGCGCTGATAGATGTTCTAGTTAGAGGAGGCAGCAGACCAATCAGTACAGGCCAGCCAACGTGGAGCTGCTAATACTATGCAAGGTGCTGACGAGCAAATCGCCAGAACCAAGCGAATCATGCAGGAAATGGACAAACTCGACGCGAAACTAGAAGAAGTCGACCATGTTTGTGACGTCGTCAGGAAACTCAAGAAGCGATGTGATGCGGCTGGGGGTCGCCTCGACAATATCGCCGTGGCCAGAGCCTCACAACAGCCTCGCCCACGTTGATAATTTACATCACTCATCCTACATCGAGAGTCAACGAGAAGGTAATACCTCAGTGGTTCTACAACATGTGAAAGTGGTCGCAGCATCTGGAGAATCACTTCGATTCATGTTTAACGTAATATCGGCGAATTAAACAGGTACAGCCTCACGGCAGGGGATTTGCGATATCATTTTCTTACTGTAAGATATTTTTCAGGACAATACGGGACCAAGGGAATGGCTAAAAGTGAGGCGTTCAACGTATCGGGCGTTCGACAACGCGATCGGCAACAAGACTGTGATACAGTTCGTCTGCTAGGGCATGGCGGTAGGCTATGCCATGACATTATCACGAATTATGATACAGGACAGTCAAGGTTATTTCTGGATGGATATGCTCATCAAATCACGAATCGAAATGAATAGCACTTGAGCCGAAGCATATCTTCCAGTTAGTTGTTATGTCATGGACAACAGTTCAAGAACTATTGGCACAACAGCATCCTTCCCTTTGATACCTTGAAAACCAGTGTTGGAAAGCGTTGCTGACATGAGTTCACATCACAACATACTGACTACGTCCCAGGTCGAGATTGCTTCTTGACTCCCAGTATTCGCATCCCAACTGGAAAGCGCTTTTCAGTGCCACAAGTTCGGCATCTCACAACCAGAATATCAGCCCAAGGCTTCGCACAACCTTTGCTTTTGTTCTCAACACTTTCAATCGAGGTGACGCCATCTAATTGAATCTCATCACACCCTTTACAGACAGTGCGCTTGATCTCCTTTTGTAGCCGGATGACCGACTTACGACTAACACCCTTCAGCTGAGAGACAAGGTATCTTGTCTGTTCGTGATCTGGCTCGGCGTCTCCACTAGTAGGTGGATTGTTTTCCGTAAGGCTGTCGTCTGGAATGCTCTGATTAGCAGTTGAGGTCGAGGCACTTGAGAAGTACAATGCTGCCTTGTGCAGATAGGCTAGTCGTAGATGGACATTCCTTTGTGGTATTGATCCTTTAGTCTTTTTGCTTTTAGCCATTCGAGGTTTGAGTTTGATGATACAGATTCCTGTTGCACATCCGCAATTGTATAGTGTTGATCGTAAAGTTCCTTCAAAGGAATGCAAACGAGGCTGAAACTTCTTGGGGCTCAGGCATTTCTCGCTAACAGCATCACGTGAAGCGGCTAGCTATTTCGGGAGAAGCCGCATACGTTCCTGCCTTCTTCGCTCATCGTCCAAAACATTTCCTCCTCCACTTCTTTCAGCCTCGAAAGTCGACTCCCTCTATCCAACAACTTTATTTCTTCCATAATTGACACCTCACTTCATCTTTTCCAACTACTCCAACACGTTTGCGATCACAACTGCGAATAAAAAGCACAACCTTTTGTAAACATGTCTACCGAAGAGGATCTTATTGATTATTCCGACGAAGAACTTGAGACAACCAAGGCCCCAGCCGCAACGAACGGCGCCGCGAAGAAGGGCGATCTTACTGTGACTGGCGCAAAAGGTGATGCAAAGGCCAAAGGCAGCTATGTCGGCATTCACGCTACTGGTTTCCGCGACTTCCTGCTGAAGGGCGAACTTCTACGAGCCATTACAGACTGCGGTTTCGAACATCCATCGGAGGGTTAGTCATTCCAATCACTACATCTAGCAAATCTTTCCCTACCTTCCTGCGGAATGTTCGTCCATCTCCAAGATAGCTCAGATTCAGAAGAGAAGAGAAGAAAAATCTATACCCGACCTCAAGTGAAGCGTCAAGAGAATAAGAAAAATATGGACCACAAGTATACTCCGCGCACATAGTTGCGCGACTCGCAAGATCCGAGCATGAGAGGCTTAAAAGCTCAATGCAGGCAATCTACGGCTCGACCGCTCTTGCAAGGACGAGCACAGGGATGTAGCCATGGCTGCAGTGCAGCTTTTGGCTCTCCATTTGCTTCTGAGTCCTCCGCAGATCGGTCGAATCCACTACATATGTACGAAAAGAGATGGAGCATTTGTTGCACCATATGGTTTACAGTTACCGGCATGGACTTCTCATCTGGCTTGAGGGGATGGACGAACAGCTTCTGCGTTGCGATGCATTCATTACAAATTCCTTACGAGCAAAGTCTAACATTATTCGCAACCTACAGTCCAGCAAACCTGCATTCCGCAAGCCCTACTCAACACCGACATCCTTTGCCAGGCAAAGTCTGGTTTGGGTAAGACCGCCGTCTTCGTCCTTACTACCCTCCACGCCTTGGAGCCAGTACCTGGAGAATGCTCGATCCTCGTAATGTGCCACACTCGAGAGTTGGCATATCAGATTAAGAACGAGTATGCTCGATTTAGCAAATACCTTCCTGAGGTGAAGACTGCTGTCTTTTATGGTGGTACTCCAATGGCAAAGGACCTCGAACTGTTGAAAAACAAAGAGCAATACCCCAATATCATTGTTGGAACTCCAGGTCGTCTCAATGCTCTTGTCAGAGACAAAGCTCTGTCTCTGAGAAACATCAAGCACTTCGTTCTCGATGAGTGCGACAAGATGTTGGATCAAATCGGTAAGTGGTCTCCGCTGCCAAATCTGATAATCACTAATCACATTGCCAGACATGCGCCGCGATGTTCAAGAAATCTTCCGAGCCACGCCTACCGAGAAACAAGTCATGATGTTCAGCGCGACTCTATCCCAAGAGATTCGACCAATTTGCAAGAAGTTCATGAGAAACCCTATGGAAGTATACGTCGACGACGAAACGAAGCTCACCCTGCACGGTTTGCAACAATACTTCATTAAGCTTGGTGAGGGTGAGAAGAATCGAAAGCTCAACGAATTACTTGATACTTTGGAGTTCAACCAAGTCATCATCTTCGTCAAGAGCACTCTCCGAGCCACCGAGCTCGACAAGCTACTACGAGATTGCAACTTCCCTTCGATTGCGGTCCACTCTGGAGTAACACAGGAAGAGCGGTAAGTACTCCTGAACAATCAACTCGCAATCATGACTGACACTCCTTCAGTATCAAACGCTACAAAGAGTTCAAAGAGTTCAACAAGCGTATCTGCGTCGCGACTGACGTCTTCGGTCGAGGTATTGATATTGAACGCATCAACCTCGCCATTAACTACGATCTCCCTGCTGATGCCGACTCCTATCTTCACCGAGTCGGTCGAGCTGGTCGCTTTGGTACCAAGGGGTTGAGTATTAGCTTCGTCAGTGGTGAGCAAGATGAGAATGTCCTAGCCGAAATTGAGAAGAGATTCGATGCGAAGGTTCCGCAATATCCTGAAGGAGGTGTAGACAGCAGTACCTACATGCAGGCTTAGATAACTCAGATTGACCGCAGGGATAACGGAGGATATGTATGCGACGTTCTGGCTGCGAACGTGGCTCAGAATAACAAGTCTTACGTTTCGGACGGCGCAGACAACGCACGGAGACGACATCGGGAGAGAATCTTGAGCAGAAAAGACATGCAATATTTGCTGTTTACTTATGAGGGAATACTGCTGCATGGGAATTTCAGTGTGACAAGGCAGCAATGTACCCGGCGCGCTTGTAGTCGTGCTGCAGAAGAAAAGAATCACATCGCGTCCTATCTCGAGCTTACAGCTATCTTCTCATTGCTTCTTCATTATTGCTGTGCCGATCGGTAGCCGACCTGGCTACAGAATCGACATGTGGCCAGCCATCACGAGACCGGGTTCTTTCAAGGCTACCACTCAACGAAGCCAGCAGGTCTCACTTGGAAGAACGAATGATGAACTTCGAATACAGCAAACAAGACCAAGAAGTCAAGCGTAGAAACGTCAATGCAGGAGAAAGTATTCTGTTGAAAAAGACGGTGCATGTTCAACAGCACTCTGGCATCAGCTGGAGGTTGTGATAAACATCGTCAAAGTCATTGGTATTGGCACTATAACAACAAAGATAGAAAAAGCTCTGTAAATGCAGTATACGTAAGGAGCTACTTATTTCCTAAACACTTGCTGTAGGCAGACATACGCTGAAGCTCAGTGGTGGTAAATGGCTAGTGTAAGGACTGTGAACGTTGAGCGACATACGTTGTAGCTCGAGAAGGATACGGAACGGTCATTCAGCGTGAGCTGCTGCACTTGAGGGAGAACAATGCTCTTGATTACTCCTGAGATGAACACTGTCGGATATCTTGGTCGGGTTCGACAAGAAGAGGAAATGAAGAGCGTGTAAAAGACTTCCTATCTGTCTCGATCTCGGTCTCGGTCTCGATCTTGTCTGTTTGCTCCTTGATCTCTGAAACTTTACCCTTGCCCTTGCTTCTGGCCTTGCCTTTGTCTTTGCGCTGACGTCGACCCCTGCTCCGAGTGCTGGTTTTGTTGTAACTTGATGTTGAACCCTCGTCGCTGTGCTGGCTGGAAGCAGGACTGTTTGCTAAGGCACGTTTGCTCTTTCGTTCCTTATGCTCGTCATACAGTCTGGATATTTTGTCCATTTTGTTGCGAGAGTGATGCCACTTTTCGGTGTCCACAGATTTAACCGAGACTAGGGATTCTGCACGGCTGGCTGTAGGACTCTCCAGGTGACTATCCAGTGTAAAAGACATATTTGACTTCTCGTTGAACGGTTGGTTTGAGATCATGATTTTGTTCTCGTATTTGCAAGAATGAAGCTCGCTCTGCGTACATCGCTCAACGAGTGTCCATTCTCCATCATCCTCTCCCTTCTCCTTCAAGTAGGCAACGTTCGCACATTCGAGATGAGTACCAAACGTCGTGCTTGGATAATCCGAAGTCGTGATCCAGGAAAAGACTTTGCCCTTCGAGTATTTGCGGTCTGCTTCGTCTTCGGCCTCGCGCTTCTGGCATAGGCTGCAGGTGCAGTCATCCCGATGTAGGTCATGAATTGAATGGTTTGCCGAAGTATTGCTGCTTCCGGTGCTATCTGTTGATCTGCTACGGCACATTTCCACGGCTTCTTCGAGTGATCTGAGCCTCCTCCGAGATTCTCCAAGTGTCGACCTTGAGTACCTCGCTTCACTGGCCACACTTCTCGAACGGTAATTGATGGATGAATTATATGGATCCAGGGAGGAGCTGGGTTCATCGTCTTGCTGGTCCCAGCAGTACGAGCACAAAGCGGGGCTGACGGATTGTGCACCCCATCGTTTAATGGCCGTAGACATTGTCCTCCAGGCTTTGTTCTCCCTTCTTGCCTGACCGCAGTAAGCGTATTCTTCGTTGTTGTAGGTATCATCCGTTCTACGATATTCGCGACAGAAAGAATATGGTCGAGTGATCTTGTAACACATTATTGAGGACTGGAAGGGCCGTATAGTTATTTATGCACAATGGTTGCTGAATATGGGATGGACAGGTGAGCTTGGGTTGGGTTTTATAGTAAGATCTAGGACCGACCCTGTTTGTATGTCGTTGGAGCTGTAGGCGTCTTGCCCACGAATTTGTGCACGCAATCTAGTGCGTGGGACATTAACGTCTTTGCCCACGTCGTCCAAAATGATCCGACAAGCTTCAATAGACGTAGCCTCCATCATTGCTCATCTCGAGATTGTGGTGCTGTTGATGTGACCGTCGTAGTTTCCTGACTATATAGTTCAGACGAGTAACAGCTGTAATCAAGCAGGAATTACGCCATATCTTAGATCATCACAACAACCATTCCAACATCACCTTCGCTGGTTGTTATCTTTTCCAGAAAGCAACCTGTACATCTCCTGCGTTTGAGCAAGCATCCGTAATGCTTCAATTGCCGACCTGTCACTCACCTACCCCGACCACGTTGTGCAACTTAGCACGCCCAAACAGCATACGTCAACGTAAGCTACACAGATGCTAGACCAACAGGCAGTAGTGGCCAGGGTCACTGAGTAATGACCGAAAGTGCTGTGGGTGTCCAGTCCGTAGCTTCGTTTGTAAGCCTTTCACAGGTGATACGGCGAGTGACAGAGGTCATCGTTTTCGAAGACAACCAGATAATATGCGGAAATAGCCATGCCGCCATCGTCACTACCGCAACTCTTGTGGAGGAGGAATCTTAGTGACTAGTAGTATACGTCTTGGATTCTGGGAATGTCAACAAAGTGCATACGTAGACTTCGTGGCGACAATACTGGTCGCTTCTATGCGTGTGTGAGACAATCCTTTTGTCGAGAGTCCTACTTGCAATGGTTCTTCTCTCAAGTACCAGATACCTTTTAGGTTATCCCCTAAGTATTTGATTAGATGCAGTCAACAATGAAAAATGTAGTTAGGTACGCAGATCTGTCGTTCGGAGCAGATAAAGTCAACAGCTTCATGTTGTGTAGCGTGACCAGGATGAGGAATCTCATCACTAGCTCTAGACGACCTCTATGACCAGAAGCTAACGCGTCGGACGCGTCTCGTTTTGTCCTTCACATCGCCCACCCCACCATCACGAAAACGATACAGAATTATTTGCGGAATGCCTGAACACCATCTGACAGTCACCAAAGAAGCCAAGGAACTATATCCCAGGAATGCTAAGGGATTTTTAGTCAACATGGCCGGGTTCAGAAAATAGAAGAGGGAGATATTTGGCATTAGTGAGGACGAAGAACAGCTTGTCAGGGAACGCTTACCCAGTGATAACCAGTTGACAGGATATTTCAATAGTTGTTTGGATTCTCACAACCCGAAAATAGTGGTGGTACAAGAAGAACGAGTGTTTCAGGATCTCGTAAGGATTTGCCGCGATCGTGGGCGTTATAGAGGACCACACATTTTGGACCTCAATATCACGGCTTGTGACGACCAACATGTTTTCTATTCTGAGGCATGAATGTATGCATTCTCCCAAGGTGACCGGCGAGTATTTGGTGAAAGGCAAGCCTCGCCACGCGTGAATGGAAATGGACAGGATGACCAAGGGAACCAACCAACTCTGGTGGACAACGCAACTGTTGATCAGGGCGTGCTGCTTATGGACAACAGTGCGTTGCCGCACAGCTCGACTTCCACGATTCGGTCTCCAAGCGAAAACGTATCGCAAGTTGAAGAGAACAATGCCCAATCACTGTCTAAATGCCCCCGTCTATTACATCCCACAGCAGCGGCGGGCGCCGCCTGCCAGTGTGAGCACTTGCAGAAAGTGGTCGAAAACCTCAAACATGAGATACGGCGACAGCGAGAACAGTACGAGCGCGAAGCCACCTTTTGGAAGGACTCATATCATCGAGTCTTTTATGATGAAAACTTCGGCGCCTAGATCGTCAAGATGAAAGATGATTGAAGATTGTAATAACACATACGCTGAGTGACTATACACCAGACAAACCTTGACACATAGTCACGACTTCCCATCAAAACAAGCCTGAGTAGAAGCGATGATATTCGGTGCCGCACGTAACCTCTTACCCGAAGGGGAGGTGTGTTTGGAACAGCAACATGACCGCAGCCATGACCGAGCATTGCGTCAGGGAGATCGATTTCAAAATGAGCCAGACTCATCTGCGGGGTTGATGATCTGCCACTAAAAGCTTTCCCCATCCTTACAACCGGCGGTACCATCGGCATCCTGTTGACGATGTTACTGCGGGCACTTTGCACACAAATCATAGTCACGGCTCAATGGGATAGGTCAGTATGACTCCGACCAGAAGCGGCGATCGTGGAATAGATAAGGTCGGAGTGGCTGTGGTTGTGAAGTGATTTTGTACTCCTATCGAAATTCTGAATCTGCTGCAAGGGAAGAGCCATTCAAAGCATTTTTACCAGCGGACCAATACACAAAACTTCAAAATGTCTACCACAGGATCCTGCGCGTGCGGAGCCATCAAGTACGAATACACTGGCGAACCAGCAGTAACAGGTGAGTCCCATCAGCGAGCAGCAGCACTGCGCATATACAATTGCTGTCTCTCGCATTATTACATTCAAGAACACATACTGACGTTAGTCGAAGCTTTGTGCCACTGCATTGATTGCCAGAAATGGACAGGCGGGCCATACACCTCAAACGTCGTTGTCCCACGAACAAACTTCAAGGTCACCAGCGGGACACCTAAGACCTGGGATGCCAAGGGCAACTCAGGCAAGATCAACAAGCACTTCTTCTGCGGCACTTGCGGATCTGGCTTGTATACTGAGCTCGAAGTCATGCCTGAAATGACTTGTGTCAAGGCGGGTGGTTTAGATGGTGGTGCCGCAAGCCTGGGTGGAAAGGTCGGTGTCGAGTTCTACACCAAGGATCGTGTCTCTTATCTCCAAGGAATTGATGGGGCCAAGCAGGAGCCAGTCTTTGGCTGAGTTTCGAGTGAATGCTGAAAGCTGAGATGAATAGGGATGGGTGTAGATAGAGATGTTGCCAAGTCAAATGGGCTCTCACGCTCCGAGATACAGATACCCCATCGGAGATATGAAGACAGTATTTCCAAACCCGTCCTTGAGGGACACGTAAACGTATTGCTCTTTCTGCTCATTCCTGCACCAGTGACATGTAGCCCAGATGCTCCATCTTATGAAATGTAATGCACCTCATGGGCAGCGACCTCGATACACTGCCGTCGACACTATTATAAGAATCTACCTGCTGCTTCGAGCTTGCATCTGTACGAGCCTTCATGAGCTTGAACACATCCTCAACCCTGCACTTTGCTTACTCAACTCCCAAAATGGCATAGTGCGAATATGCGGGCTGCGAGTACGCGACCGGCCGAGTCAACGCGTTGTCCCTCAATCGCTTAACGAGCGCATTCTCATGCTCAATTTCACATCGCAACAAATAACGAAACCACGATTCATGCTCACTTCTTGCTACGACAACATATCTGGAAGCCGTTCGCAAAATTGGGAAGGTTTGCGCACTACCTAAAACGTCCAGTGCAGCCATATCCGAGCGCCAGACTAGCTCTGATATCACTCTTTGTACTCATTCTTATAGACCAGTCACTGCAGCGTCTTCAATTGCTGCAAAGATCGCGCAACCACACTCATCGAGCTAGCCGATCAACTTTAAGCTCGTCTGCAACCCACTTCGAATTGAGACGTCCATTCGAATCGCTAGGCTTTTGCCCAGCCCGATTCAGGCGAATGAGCCATGGCGCAAACAAAACAAGTGAGGCGTAAATCAGGTGTAGGCCCATCAGCGACACCACGCCATACCAAAGCGCCTAGGAAGAGCTTGGGAGGAAAATCAACACCAGGCACGTCAAGCAAAGCACCAAGACGCAGAGCACAACGTGAGTCCTGCCTGTGAAGTCCTCAGGCGACGTACTAATCCACCTTGAACAGCCGGCGATCCAATACCGCAGCACAGGCCCCGCCGCTACAAGCCTGGGACCGTCGCCCTTCGCGAGATCAGACGATACCAACAATCGACCGACCTGCTACTTCTCAAAATGCCCTTTCAGCGCCTAGTGCGCGAAATATGTCAATACATCCTCCCCTTCGAGGTTGCGAGGGAGATGCGCTGGCAAAGTCAGGCCATCATGGCTCTCCAGGAAGCCAGCGAGGCGTTCCTGGTCCATCTCTTCGAAGACACGAATCTTTGCGCTATACATGCTAAGAGAGTCACAATTATGCAGAAAGACATGCAGCTTGCGAGGCGCCTGAGAGGGGCTTGGGGTGGTTTGGGGTGATCGGCCTGAAAAAGAGAAGAAATAGATCGAAACTTTACCTGCACTTGCAGGCGAGCCACGTTGCAAGAACTACATGTTATCTGATCACACAGCTTGACAACCAGAGGAACACTTGAGCATGAATTGGACATGGCATGGATAAGAATCCGGACGTACGCTGCATTTCTACTCAGCATTTGCTATCACACGACATAGTTGAATGTGCGAGCAACAAACGATCAAGCTCAGCCAGGCAGGCTCAATGGAAATTCACACCCTCCGGCTCTCTAGAACCGCTACAATCTCCGACGCGGTGGCCTGCTCTAGCAACGTGAGTTAGCAGACTTCAGCACACATCTCACACCTGCGCACACATGAAAGCAGCAGCTAACTGGCTCGATGTTCTAGTGGAATTGGCACTCTCTTGCAGATTGAACCACCTTGTCAGCACGTTTGCTGCCACTCACAACTGGCCTGTTTGCGCTCTGAAAGCTAACCGACAGATAGTGAAGCAGCATATATTCTTCGCCAGGGTCGTACCAATGCTGAACCTCCGCTATTCCAGTGATAAGAAGTGTAAATTAGCTGGGTACTCTCTCGTCACTGTCAGTCCGTGCTGAACAAGTCTAATCATCACGTCAAGGATGAAGGAGCCAGGTAAAAGGCAGTCGCCTGTGCGACAAAGCTTGAGACTGCAGCAAAAAGCAAAGAAAAGTGAGGCCGATGCAAAGTCAATCGAGCAATTCTCAACCGGGACTTCAGCAATGGATCAACACCAGCGTTTGATCGAGCCAGAAGACGCAGGAGTGGTCGATGTCCCAGACACAACTCAGAACTCATCTTCTCCTCTTTGTCTCATGGATCTACCAGTCGAAGTGCGAATGATAATCTTGCGCTATTTGCTGAAAGGCAGCTTCGAAGACTGTCACAACGGATTTCTATTCGAGATTCCGACCTGGCTACTTGACTCTTCGGGTCAACTGAGAATGTTGGAATACTTTGACTACGAGGACTACCTACGTCGACCATCGACAAGCACCCGACAGTTTAGCTTGACTCCCAGTGTTTTGAGGACATGCAAGCAGTTGGAACAGGAGGGTGTCGACGTGCTTTACAAAGAGAATGCAGTCGGAATTACGTTCTTGTACCAATTTTTCGATGAAGAACAGTCAGACGTTGGATTCTACTATCGTTCATACTGTTTAGGTGAGCCAACACTCGAGAAGGCGTTCCAGAGGTATCCGAAGCTTAAGAAAATCGAGAAATGGCATTGTAGGATCCACGTGGGCACTACAACTCAGCCAGCAGAGCGATCCTCGCTCTACAGCATTCGGTACATAGTCAGAGAGCTGAGACGCCTGCCTACACTCAGAGAACTTCAAGTATCTTGGGTCAATGCTGCAGCAGACGCGACCAAAACCGACTATGCCCGGCTTCATACTGCTGAGCACGCCATAGCCTTCTTTCACTCCGTACCTTGCAAGACCTTCAAGGTGGAGACGGATCATCCTTTGAGAGATGGCTTTATTGAAGAAGTCCGTCGATACCAGACTCAGATCTCACAAGGTCCTTCCGAACAATCTGCCGCTGTTATGAATTCCTCTTCAAGTGTTGCAGACTTTGTTTTCACGATCAACCTGGAACTAGTTCGGGAGTACCTCGGCGTGACTCGCCGCCCTATTACTTTAGGTCCATCAGCTATCCAGATTCCACGCGGCTGCAATCAAGCCCTATTGCCCATCCTTTATATGGCGCACTTCTGCGAGTCCAGAACTCCACATGTATCACGAATTGACAGAGTTTCGTCGCAAGGTCGAAATTGACAAATGCTACGTAAAGCTCAAGGAATTGTACGAAATAACCATCAAGGAGGTCAAAGTTGTTGCTGTGCCATGCGAGCACATAAGGGACGGAAGCATGGGCACTTCCGAATGGCTCCAGCACAATCAGCAACTTCTGGAAAGGTTCAACGATGAACTGGAGGGGGCATTGAAGAACTTTCCGCACGTCGAGCAAGAGAAAGAGAGTCCTGTGCCAGCTAAGTGCCATCTCTCATCGCAAAGCTAGGACGAAGGCCAGCGCGAAAGCAGACCCGTCAGGGACTTGAGCATCAGACCAATGGTCACAGCGCTAGTGTCGCAGATTGACTAATAAATTCGTGCAGAGAGAGGTGGCATCAAGCACAGTTGTTGTTTGACTTGGAAATGTTGGAAGACGTAGCCATCAAAGCACGACCTCGAACCTCTACATTGCCGTTACTTTGGTAATCGACCCAAAACTTTCAGACAATGTTCAATACACAACATCTCAACCGGTCGGATCCGCATAGATTCGCGTCATGTCTCCCGATTAAAACGAACGTGATAGAGAGTTCCTCAAACTCATCAAGAATTCCACAGGCGTCAAAAGTGGATTCCTTCTTTCCTTGTTCTCCCCCACAAAACCAACCACCCCTCTTGTTCTTCCCCATGCTCTATTTGTGATTGTTTGAGGTCCACTTGTTCCCCCGATCGATTCTCGACCACTACTCGCGATGTCTTATGCGTCTCGGGATATCAAAGACGATGTCACAGAGACATTCTAGAACATGAACCCATGTGGATCGGTTTCTCCGACAACACTTCTGAGCTCTGGATTTCGAGCTTTGCGAGGTGGGATGAAGGCCGAGGAGGGGACTGTCAAGAAAGGTAAATTGAATGTCGTGGACGTGATACACTTCCTGTTTCTCTCGAGATGAACGACGCGCTTCGTAGGCAGAAAATTACTATTGACTTCCATCTTGACCAGTAAGTAGACTCAAAACAATCACACAGAACACGTAGCAAAGCCAAACCTCTACCATGAGAGTCGTCCGCGTGGTAGGCTACCACCAAAACCTCAAACTCGAAGAAGCACCAGAACCCGAAATCACCTCTCCCCTCGATGTCATCGTCAAAATCGGCGCTGCAGGCGTCTGCAGAACGGACATCCACATCCTCGAAGGTCAATGGGAAGACAAAGCCAACGTCAAACTTCCCTACACCATCGGACACGAGAATGCCGGCTGGGTGCATGCCAAAGGCGACGGTGTGACTAATGTCGAGGTAGGAGATAAAGTCATCCTGCATCCACTTGTGACTTGCGGTCTATGCCGAGCATGCCGTTTTGGTGACGATGTGCACTGCGAGAACAGCACTTTCCCGGGCATTAACGTCGATGGTGGGTATGCTGAGTACCTTAAAACTGGTGCCAGGAGCGTGATCAAGCTTGATCCGAGCCTGGAGCCGTCCGATGTCGCTGCTCTTGCGGATGCTGGATTGACTGCGTACCATGCTGTTGCTAAAGCGGCGCGGAAACTGAGACCAGGCAATTTCTGCGTCATCATTGGAGCGGGTGGCTTAGGACATATTGGGATTCAGGTCATGAAGGCGATTAGTGGTGCCACACTTGTAGTCATTGATCGGAATGAAGCTGCGTTGAAGCTTGCGAAGGATCTTGGTGCTGATCATGTTGTGCTAGGTAAGGAGGATGGTAGCTTTGTGAAGGAGGTGATGGATTTGACGGGTGGTAAGGGTGCTGAAGCTATTATTGATTTTGTTGCTGAGGGTGGCTCGACGAGTACTGGTGTGAAGATGATCAGACGAGCTGGAGATTACTATGTTGTTGGCTATGGTAAGTGGAGGCCTATTCCTGGAGATTAAGTCTTTTTGTACTAACGGTATATCACAGGCGAGAATATCAATGTACCAACCATTGACATCATTTCTACCGAGATCAACTTTATTGGCAATCTGGTCGGCTCGTACAACGACCTTGCTGAGCTCATGATTTTGGCTGCTCAGGGTAAGGTCAAGCTTCATACGAGCATCTACAAGCTCGAGGACTTCCAGAAGGCCATCGACGACCTTTCGGCTGGTAAGGTTCGAGGCCGAGCAATTCTTGTGCCGTAAGGGACAGGATACTACGAGAAGTCTTTCGATAATGCTGAGGATGTTCAAAGAACGGAAGTTGTAGTAAAACCTCGTCGTCCACGATGCATTCATGTGAACCACGTATTGCTTGAGTTGTGCTTGAAGGAGGCGTGACATATAAAATTTTTCTAGCTAGCAGCACGATCTTCTTCCTTCTTCTCTGCCGAGACACCAAAGCCGCTCATTGCCTTCAGTAGTTTAGCCATCACCATGTCCTCATTCGCCTCACCCACAATATCAACGGCAGCTTTGAGAAGAGTCCCTTCCGCTTCACTATACTTGCCTTCGACTGAGTATATCAGTTGTCCATTTCGTCTGCTGTCAGCGAATAAAATAGCCACGGACCTGGCCACCACTGCGGGAGTTTGTGTGCCTATACCCGCAACCTTCTCGATGAACCCTTCAGGTACAAGGCCAGTAGTCGTCCACGAGGGTGCAATGGCATTCAACCGGATTGGAATGTCGGGCTGTAATATCGGCACCAGTCCGCGCATCAGTCCCAACACGCCATGTTTTGCAGTAGTGTAGTCAACGGCCCGAAATCTCTGGAAACTCGATGCGGAGGCTGTAAGGACGATACTTCCACCTGAGTCCTGTCTCCGCATATAGTGGATGGCAAGTGCTACAGTATTCACGACAGCTTTCAGGTTGATATCGAGGACGAGATGTGTTGGCTCTAACAAGTCACCGTTCTCGTCCAGTTTTTCGTCGAGGTATGTGGTACGACCGGAGATGCCAGCGTTGGCGAACACGCCGTCGATCTTGTTGTGCTTGGATTTTGCAAGTTTGAAAAGAGCAGATAGGTTTGCCCAGGATGTGACGTCTGTTCGAAGAGATGTGAGGCGTTCGTGCTCGATGGGCAGCTCGTTCATGTCGCCAGCTACGACATAGGCGCCCTTTTCGAGCAGGAGCTTCGTGGTGCCCAAGCCAATGCCAGAGGCAGCGCCTGGATTTGTTTAGTAGTGAAGATTGATTGTGCATGGGAGAATCACCTGTGATCAGTATCGTTTGACCTCTCAAGCTAGATAAATCTTCGTCGTGGATCTCGAAGGCGGCCATCGTTAAGGTAGTGCTGCTGTTCGAGGCTCATTAGGCTAGACTCACATCAGTCGTGTAGCTGGCAGCATCAATCGAGTCTGTCTCTATTGTAAGCTGTGGGACAATGACAAGGGCTGTATCATAGCAAGTAGCATTCTATTCTCCTCACTTCGCTTCCAGTTACCGAGGTTGGAGCTATGAAGCTGAGATCCAAGTCTGGGTATGTCTATAGCTAAAGCTCGTGAACGCGGTGTTTGCCCTGGAGCAGTTCAACGACAATACCAAAAGCATTATTTCCTGTTCAACCAGCGACATCAGTTGCAAGGACTCGCTCATTGAGAACATTGTATGTATCGACCTCAACGAGTTGACATCTTGGCAAAGCGCGAAAATATCGAGATCCTGCAAGCTGGACATCGCGACAACATGAACAATGGCATTCCTGCAAATCACTGACAATAATGTCCGATGCATATGAAGTGGAAGCGAATCCGAGGAAGTCGCGAAGGAGGAGGAAAAGAAGCTCCTTTCCTAAACGCGTAACCCCGAAAAGGTAGGTATGATGTAATTACGTGTAAAAAGCTCTAACCCCGTTGCTCAAAACTCTATTCAGCTTCTGATTTGAGGACCAAAAAAAGCTTCTCGTATTTGCACTGAGCCATGCAATAGGCGTAAATACAATATGCTTACCAACAGCTGCCAGATCGGCGCTCTTCTGGCCCTGACAGCCACGACACTCGCTTACCAGGACCAAATACCTATACGACCTCTCGACCATTCACAAGGATACCAATTCAATCCGCTCCTTCACCTCCCAGGAACATCACCTTATTTCGACGCTGTTGGCTTTGGGCTTCAACACAAAGCTCCAGATGGATGTACCGTCAACGCAGCTTCATATTTAATCCGTCACGGAGCGATCTACGCCAACGATGATGAATATGAAGAATTCATCAAACCGTTTCTCTACAAGCATGAGAAGCACAGGGGCGGGTTTTCAGGTCCACTAGAGTTTCTCAACAAGTGGCAATCCCCTATTGATGAAGACAATCTTGAAGAACTCACTCCATCCGGCGCCAATGACTCTGTCAAAGTCGGTGCACACATTGCTAGACGTTATCCCGAACTTGCTAAAACAGTGAGCCGAGTCGTGGCTGATACTAAACCTCGCACTTTTGATACAGCCAAATCGTTCATTAAGGAATATCCGAAATCTGAAGATATTGAGATTGTCCGCTTCAACAAGAAGCAGCTTAACAATGGCACACGAGCTCTTCTCCCTCACAAGGCATGCAGCATATTCTCCAAATCACCTGGTGCTGATGAGCAGAATGCGTTCCTCGACGTCTACGGTTCTCGTGCTGCAGACCGCTTGAGCCCCTACACTCCAGACGACTACAAGCTTGACCCAAAAGATATCCTAGCCTTACAATCTATCTGCGGCTACGAGACTGGCATCACAGGCCACACATCCCCAGCTTGTTCAGTCTTCACCGATGCCGAATGGATGTCCTACGAATACATGTGGGACATGAAATACGCATACATGGTCGGACCACTCAACAAACTCTCAAACTACCTTGGCATGCCCTGGCTGACCGCCCAAGCCGACCTCTTCGACGCCATCGATGGCGAAAACAATTCTGGCGCAGTTCTCGACGACGATGACAACACCGACCCCCTCACCGGCTGGCCAAAATCCCAACGTCTGTTCCTCTCCTTCACTCATCGCGAAGTACCGCCCGTCGTCGCAACTGCCCTCGGCCTCTTCAACAACAGCGCCTCATGCGGCTTTGACGAGTTCCCAACCTCTCACATCAACTGGGCCCGAAGTTGGCGTATGTCCGACCTCATCCCCTTCCTTGGCCATGTTGGCATGGAGAAGATGATCTGTAATAGACCTGGGGCACCGGGTCAGAGTGGTGAGTATATACGATTCATCGCGAATACTGCACCGAGACCTCTGCCATTTTGCCAGAGTGGACCTGGCGCGAGTTGTCCGTTTGAAGAGTTCAAGGAGATTATTAAGGCAGGAAATGAGAAGTATGGAGACTTTGACGGTGTTTGTGAGAATGATAAATAGGTGACGGACGCCATTTGATGTGGATGACATCATCTGAAGCCTCTATCATCTGCTTGTATACTAAAATCTAGAATTCAAGGTGTCCCGTGTACCTGTACACTTCATAGAAAAGAGCACCTTGTAGCAACCACGACGAGATTTCCATCCAATCACGCATATACAATATCAGACACAGACCTTTCAACCATCAGAGACGTCCATAGCTCTTCCCATTAAGCCTTCTTCTGAGTGCTCTCCATCAACCAAGAAGGAATCTGTGGACCTCCACGCCTACCTCTACCCCCTCTACCTCCTCCACCTCCTCTGCCTCCCCTATTACTGTCTCCATGTCCGCCTCTATTTGCATTGCCACCATCTTTCTTCACTTCTTCCTTGGCTTTGGCACCATGACCCTTTTGTCCCTGCTTGCTCTTCTCCTTCTGCTTTCTCTCGTTCTCCTCCCAGATCTTCTCCTGCCGCTCCCTATACTTCCTCTCCTTTCTCTCCTTCGCCTGCTTCACGTCTTCTTCCTGCACTTTCTTCACTGTTTCTTGGGTGGCCGGAACGTTCTCTAGCGGCTCTTGTACCGACTTCGGTTGCACTTCGGTTTCATTCTCCGCTTCATCGTTCACTTCGTCAGCCCAGCTTGACGCCATCAGCTGTAACTTTGGCTTTGCTTCCGGCTTGACAGACTCAAGTTTCGACTCATCAAACGATATTCCAAGTCCGGTATTTGATGATTCATTGTTGAGGCTGGAGAGATTTGCGTCCGGCTTGGTGAAATGGACTTCGTTGCTGGTTAAAGCATTGCTGGACGGACCATCATTTGTCAGGACTTCGCTCTGCTTTCGTTGCTGCTGTCCCGCTCGATCTGCCTGCTTGTGCTCTTCTTGCACCTCCCGCTGTTTTTCGAACATCACCTGAAAGTCCTTCTCATGGTTGGGATTGGGAAGCTCTTGTGGTTTGTTGAATTCTCCTGCATCGACAAGCTCTTGCAACCAGGGCGCAAACTTTCCTGGCTGTTTCTTGCTGCTAGGTTGAGGATTGAGCGTGAGCGGCGATGGTCGGTTCTTGCGAGGACCAATCGGTGCTTTTGACGGAGTTGACCATCTTGATTCTTGCATTCCACAACTGGATTTACATGGCTTTGTGCTGGTTCCTTGGTAATTATTATCAACGATGGGCTTTGTCTCTGGTGACGGTGATTGTGATACAGGAGTTTCTGACTCTGAGGACGGCGCCATCTCTTCTGGTATTGAGCCGATGGGTGGTTGAGGCGATGATTGATGACCAGGGGTTTGAGAAGGAAGATTAACCAGAATTTGAGTAGGATTCTCAATCGGTGGTGGAGAATTAATAACAAGTGCTCGAGGCAATGGTTCAACAGGTGGTTGGGGTGACGATTGAGCGTTCGTTGGCTGTGAAAACACATCCTCCTGTACTTGTGGTGGCACTGCTGTATCACTTCCAGTAAGTGTGTCGAACCGATCGAATGTGTCGAATTGAACAGGTGTGTTAGCAGCTGACTCAGACGCTGCTAGTGATTTATTCGCATCACGTTCTTCTTCTTTTTTCGAGAAGTTATGCTTGCAATTATCCGCCATGTGTCCTGCGTGTCTACATATCGTGCAGTAACGCTGATAATTCAGAGACTTCTCCACAGGGCATTTTTTGTAGTTGTGCACTAATGTGCGACAGAACAAACACCGATCTTGATTCTGCAGTATCCGAGCGGTCTCCCGTGTCAGTGGCGTAAAATTATCCCGAAGGATATCCATTCCTACGAGGTGATCTGCCTCTCCCTGTAACGAGTAATACAAACCGTTCGGGTTAGGTGCCCCTTTTTTGCCTCTCTTCATACGCTCTTCGAGCCAGGTTTTGATGTTACCTCGCTCGTAGAAGCCATAGACCCACGCACTGTCAGCATCTTTCTCCGTGTATTCACCTGTGTCAAAGGTATAAGATGTTGACGGAGTAGCAACTGTCGCGACTTCTAACCGCTTTTCTAGAGGCGATAGCTCCCTCTCTACCCGCCGTAGGCCTTCCAGCCCACCGAACAGATCCTCATTTCTGTTCTGCACTCTTTCCATAACTGGTAAAGGTTGACCGTGCTCATCTCTGGTCCGAGGCGACGTGACACGAGGTTGCCTGTAGGTTGTTCCACGCGGTGTCCCTCGAGGGATTGGTGTCCCACGAGGCACCCACTCTGAATCGTAGGAGCATACACTACCAAGTGGGGTGGCGACTTGCTCCGTGTCCTTATCGTTCTGAGCATTATTAGAGCCTTGGTTCTGCTGCTCGGTATGGTTCACTTCCGTGCCTTCGTCATGCGAATGACCTCTACCAGACTTATCAGCAGGAGTGATGCGGGAGAAGAGTGATTGGCTTGGAGGAAGGTCAGGGATAGGTTCTCCTCCTTCATCGTCGCCGTCGCTGTCGTCGTCATCGTTATCTTCAGTATCAGAACTCTCATCCTCCCATTCCGAACTTTCTCCTTTCTCTTTATCTGCCTTGGCTCGATCAAGTGCATCCTTCAGTAGGACAATCTGCTGTTCTGCTTCCCCAAGCTGCCTTTCCGATTCCTCAATCTGACGAGACAAAATCTCCTCCCTGGCGATTTGATGCTTAACCACTCCCAACGACTCTCCGTGGATCGGCATGTCACTGCGGCTCATTGCAATTTCATGTTCAAGCTCCTCGACACGAGTCCGCAGCTTTGTAACCTCTGCGTCGAGATCATCACGGTCCTTTTTGAGCACGTTCTGTTCAATTTGGTGCAATTTGTACTCTTCAACCCGAGTTTTCTCGCGGTCGAAGCCCTCTTGCACTGTCCTTTCTGCTTTCTTGAGGAAGAACTCAAGGCGATTCCTTTCCTGCTGAAGCGTGTCGTAAGTAGCTTGCAATTTCCCAAGCTGTTTCTGCAATTTCAAGCATCGCTTCTCGCAAGTCTGGTCGCCAGGCTGATGTTTGAATATCTCCAACTGCTTCTGGAGGTTTTCGCATGTCTTTTTGCTTTGAGCTTTCTCGTGCTCGAGTTCGTTCTTGCTGTCTTGCAGCTGGCGCTCTGCAGCGTATCGCTCCCCAGTAGACCCGACCAAGGCGTTCTGGGTAATGCCGAGCCTGTGTTGGAGTTCGACAATTTGCTTCTCTAGGTCTGCCCCATGCTTCTTACAGGTCTCAAGATCCTGCTTATACTCTTGCCTTCGAAGCTTCAATCTATCATTGTCTCTCCGAAGCTTGTCATTGTCTTTGTTCAGTGCATCCCTTTCATCACAAGTCTCTGCATGTGCATGTTTCTCAGCTTTCAGCAGCTCATCTTCCCTCATCAGAGAGTCTCTCCACCCTCCTGTCTCCTTCTCACGCTGCCAGTTTGTGAGGTCGAGCCTCTCTTGCATATGGGCCTCTCTCGCTCTGCTAGCCCTCAGATCGTTCACAAGATTTTCGTCCGCTAAATTCTGCCCAGCGCCTTCATCAGTCATAGGAGACGTCGCAACTTTAGGAGTCCCGTGAACGATATCGTAATGATGGTGGAGAAAAGGCTCGTTTCCGCGTATGTCACAATCTTTGTGCGGGCACTGCTGCAATCCGTCGTCGTCGTCAATTCCAGCTTTTGAAGTGCTGAGCGGATGTTGCGATTCTGGGTAAGATCTGTCTCCTAGAATGGCAGCTGCTGTATCCCCAACTTTCAACTCTTCCATCGCTGACCTCGACACGTCAATCTGCTTGTCGCGCGATTCCAGTTGATCCTCGCATTTTTGCACTGCTGTCTTCTTCCTATCCAACTCACCCTCGAGGTCGGAAACTTGTCGCAAGTAACTGTCCTCGGTTTTCGGGTTCAGAAAGACCTTCGAGGCGCGATCATTTTCGTGCTTGACCTCCCTTTCAAGCTTTACGATTCGTTTCTCAAGTTTGGACTTGTCCTCCGAACATGCTGTGAGGTCCCGGCGAGTATCTTCGATCTTGATTCGCTCCTCGTCAAGCTGTCGCTGTATTTCTGGTGTAGAGGCATCTTGCGATGGTTCAGCTTGCTGTGTGAATTTCTTCAGACTTGTGAGATCATCTTCCGGCTGGACACGTAGTTGCTGTTCTGCTTCAATAAGCTCTGTGCGCTGCTCAAGTTCGTGTTTGTGTCGGCTGATCACATCTTTGAGCGTCTGGATCGTTTGTCGCTGAGTGTTGAGGTCAAGCTCGTTTTTGATTCCTCGTATACGATCGATGAACTCTTTGCGTTCCTCTTCGATGTGATCACGTTCTTGCGCAAGCGCCTTCTCTAGACTTTGCACTTTTCCACGCAAAATCATCTCCTCAGCATTGCAATCTCGTCCTTCGTTCGCAAGCTGGAGTTCCAGTGATGCTCGCTCCTTCCTCAGAACATCTTGCTCCTCCACTACTTTTGCTTGCTTATTGCCATCCTGGCCAGACAGCTGCCCTCGACAGTCTGCAAGGTCTTCTTCCAATTTCTTGACCTTTGCCCGCTCTTGTTCAGTTAGGCGTACGTTGTGGTCCCGAGCAAGTTGGGCTTCACGAAGCTGTTGCTCTGTTGCTGCTAGACGGCGGACCTGCTCCTGCACACTTCGTGCCGCGTCATCATGTTCTGACGGCTCTCTATCAGGATCGATCTGCTCGCGGACTTTCTGTCTCTGCAGCACGTCATTGCTTTGCACCAAAGTAGTATTGGTTGTCGTGAGGGGTTGATTCTTTCTGGTCAAAGATTCCACTTTCTCTTCTGCTGACATCCACTTTCTCCGGAAGTCTGTTACTTGTATGCGAAGCTCCTTCGACCCTGTTTTTGGATATAGCCGTCGAAAAGTTCTAAGTCCCGTTTGTGGCTCATCATTAGTGTACACAAGATTCACATTTGATTCGCGTAGCTGGTGCAATTCTTCTTGGAGATCTTTACCATGCTTCTCGCAATCTTCCAACTCTTTTTTCGCATCACTCAAGAGTTTCTCCTGATGCTTCCCAAACTCCTTGCATCTTTCGAGGTCTTCTCTCGTCTCCTGCAGTTCTTCCCGAAGGACATCTCGACGGTGTCTGAGTCTCCTCTCGTCTCTTTGACTAGTCTCAAGATTCAGCTGTGATGTTCTCCATTTCCAAAACAACCACCAGATCCAGGATAGGAGCAGAGCAACGATGGCCAGCAGGGTCCAGAAAATGTGCCAGCAATAACTGAAATTGATACACCAAAGTGCCGTGGCGAGGTGGTATGTTCCCAACCCCAGCCAAAACAACATAAAGCTGAACAAGTTGTGTAGCCATGGATATCTGCACTCCAAATCCTGAAAGTAAAGCAGTAGCCAAGCCCAACAGCTGTACCATAGACTTCGCCTGTGGTCGTACGTAGTGTCGTCTGTAGCAACAGGAACACCAAACACCACGAGGTCCGTGGTATTATTGCATTCGCTGGAAGCGTTGGGGTCAATCGTGGAGAACCCATCGGCAATCCATTGCTGCCATGCAGCTGCAGCCGTGATTCTTTCAGTCTCTATTTTCCGTACGTCTTCTGCTCTAAAAACGTTTGAGTGGGTGCTGTGCTCCCATGATGGAGCCGGTGGAGACCATGCAACAAGACCAGTCGAAGGAACCATTACCACGCCTAGAAAGAGAAGTGATAGGGCACTGAGGACTGATAATATAGCATGGTTAGCTATCAACGACGGTATTGGCATGTTGGATCAGGTCTTTGAGGGATATCAAGTATGATAGTTAGAAAGCCACATGGCGTACTGTTGCAAAAAGGTGTTTCACCACTCGCTTCTTCGGAGTCCTCACTATTGCCCGTCGTTCCGCAAGCAGGGATACCTGAGTTGGTACAAAGAAGGCCAGAAACAATGAAGAATATTGAGGAGGAGAACGGGTATCGTAATTGAAGCTTGTACCTGCGATTCGCTTGCTTGCCACAAGGAAACAATAATTCTCAGACGCTCAATACCTACCTTGGCCATGTTGTACATTCCTGTCATCGTTAGCATACACGGCTTGTACAGCCCTATCCTTTATCGATATTTATTGCATGTTGTTGCCATTGTTAAGCATCGCATCGTTGCCATCGAGGTTCTGGTAGCCTTGATTGTTCAAATCAGTCCATATGTCCCACTCGAAGGTCATCGGCATTTGCCACAGATCTTGTGGTACGAAAGGCTGTTGGAAAGAAGTACCGAAAGCGACGGGAGACATTGTTGTTGATGGTACATTCCCAAGAAAAGGTGCATCCATGCTGGGAGCTGTTGTGAATGCTTCAGCATAATTTGAAAGGGGAAAGCCTGTTGTTGACGTTGGTGTTTCCGCTGTAAACCGTTGTTGGTTTCCCGGTCCTGATTGAGGTGATCTTTGCGCTGCCATATTCGAGGTGTTGCTACTTCCTAAGGCGGATCCACCTACTGAGGCACGTGATTTTGGAGGAGTCATTGGCCTCGTCATATTCTGTGCCAAGGCTTGAGCTTGGGCCATTGCTCTTTGTCCGGCTGCTAGACTCTGTTGTTCTTCGGGCAACATCTTTCGCTTGCGCTTCATGCCCTCTTTCTCTGCTTTATCTAGACAAAGCCGTGCTATTCTTGTAAATTCTGAACAGATTGCCCACATTCGCTTGAATGAGCCCGTACCCTCCTCAGCAGTCACATTTGACAGGAAGTTGACGACCAGATCCATCAGCTTGACATCTGTTCTCGCTCTAGCATCTTGGGGGTTCTGTAATATGTTGGCGAAAATGGTGACCAAAGCTGATACTGGGAAGTAGATCACCAACCAGACACAAGCGAAATCACTCTGTGGGATATACTTGATGAGGTGAATTGACGCTCGAGCCGCTTGCACACAGAGTGCTGCAGAGGAGAAGACTCGAGGGTTCAAAGGCTTTGCATTCAAACCAGAGATGGCATAGTCTGCGAGACGACTAGTCCAGTATCCGTGGTGGACTGACATGCGGTGTATCGTCGCTAGGCAATTGTAGTATGAGAAGTGCAGTACCACAATATGTACTACTAGCGGGGTGTGTGATGCTTTGATTTCATGCTCAGGCCGAAAGTCGATAGGAATCTTGTCCTTCCAATCTTCAAGCTCCTTGTCGAGGTCGCCTATTGTGTTTAGTAATTCACCGTCACTCTGTTTTGATGCTTCAACCGAGTATAGTCTTTTGTAGACTCTGCTGCTTATGGTAGCAAACTCGCACATGAGCCTGAAGAGGTTGACCTTGCCTTTGCCATCGGCCAGGGGGATATTGCCAACGTTATCCGGTGGATCCTCTGAAGGTAACTCGACATTCATATCGTCATCGTCTTGAGCCGTCGGGCGACCAGATCGCAGACAAGTATCCTTGTCCAGTATGTAAGCCAACCAAAAGACCCGCTTGCGTTGTTCTGCCTCTATTGGGTTCAGATTGAAACTTGCACCTCTTTTGTGTAGACCAATGCTGTGAGATAAACGAAGTGCTGCGGATATGAGAAAGAATGAAGGTTGTGGGTTTGCAGTACCACACATGAAGAAAGCACATCCTACCAGCGCTTGTACCGCAAGCAGGTCCGCGTTGGCCATGAGGAGTTCGGTGAGTACTGCCAACGCATTCTTCAGATAAAGCCAAGCCTTTTGGTCGTCCTCTTGTGGTACGACCTGACTCATAACTCGCAATCTGTACGCAATTGCCAAGGCGATATTCATACACGCCCACCAACTGCTGCTTTGGTATGGGTCATTTGTATACTGTTTCTCGGCAAGGTGCATGAAGGTCGGTTCGTGGAAAAGTGGAAACATGCAGTTGAAGTTTTCGAAATAGTCTTTGAAGAGAGACATGGCCTCATCCCTGGGTGGAAGTGGTCTGAAAATACGTCGCATGAAGAGGTCGCCGAAGATTTCTGGTTTCCAGTACATCCATTTCTTCTCGTCTTCTTCGTTCACGGCATTCTGTATCGTCTCTTGGAAGGAATTATCGCCAGTCTTCTCGTTCACCCACTCGATGCCTTTCTGGGAGAAAATGGAAAACGCCGAAGACGAACCTGTTCAGCATCAGAAACTATCGACCCGAGAGCAGAAATAACGAACCAATATATCGTGTTTCACCACTACCATTTGTGACTAGAGAGCACATCATATCAGATATGCTTTCTACGTCGGCAGTCTTGGGACTATTACTGCTAGGCGAGGTCACAGAATCCTGAGGAGTTGCCACTGTATGTTGAGGAGTACCAATCCGCGAATCTTGCTGCTGCGAGGAAGGGGTGGCTGTATCGTGGATCTGCCTCGGAGATGATGGTTTGACTGCTTGCGACTTCTTCTCAGCCAGACGTCTTTCAATCGCGCCAAGGTCGCTACGACCGGCCTCTTCATCAGTGATCAAGCCAGATATCTTGAGTAATTGTTCCATCCGGCCAAGACGATTTTCGAGGCCCTCGATGTATTTCGCGCTACAGGTATAAGCATTGTGCAATATGGTTCTTCTTCTGCTCGACTTACCCTTTCGGTGGATTGCGTTTCTTTTCGATGTGTGTAAATATGCATTCTGTCTTGTAGTTTGTACAGTGACCGCATTTTGGAAGCCTGCCATCACATTTGATTTTCTTCTTTCTGCACATGTCGCAGGCCTACAAGGACATCAGTCATGTACGCGATCGGAACAAGGTGGTACTGACACGAGCGATGCGCCGACGCTTAGGATCATTGTCATCCAAACCATCGCCATTCACGTCAAAATAATTTCCAGACGGAAGCACTTGCGGTATTAAATTCCCGCTCGCATCGTACGCGTTGAAAATTGGGTTCGAGTCACCAGGAGTAGCATCTGGATAATTGTTCATATCGTAGGTGAAACCATCCATGTTTGCAGAATGGTCCATAACGACTCGCAGGGTTCATACCAATGCCGATCGATGTAAGCGCTCATGCCGAGAAACTGAAGCTGTTGTATTAACGTCACCAAAGCAAGTGTACTGGCAGCTGTTATAGACAAGGACTGGACAATAGGGCGATGGATTTAGGCCCCCGATGATCGAGACTGGTAGTCGATTTGCAACTGTACCGCGATCTGGTGCAGAGCAGCGACCTCCAACACGAACACGTCTATGCTCAATTTCGACAGGAAAACGAGAGGATGGGTTCAACTCAAAGCCAGAAGATGCAAGCGACTCGTGAGAGACGTGAGATTATCGATGTCGGGTATGCATCTACCACTTCATTAATTTACATGTAGGTTCCTCAGAAAGTACGAGAGGCATGATGCCTCCGATTTCTGGTCATCCAAAACAGCAACTATGACATGATCATCCGGAAAAAAAGGCTCCGTGTGGTTCGCCGAACCTGCCTCAGAAAGACCGAGCGTTCGATATACTTTACTGAGCACCAACCAGCTGCACATCAGAACCTGGAAGATGTGGTAGGTTTTTGCCGTTTTTGCCATGACTCGAAATTCGGGCCTGCCAAGTTCTTGAAAATGTTTCTTCTACTCGAGTAGTCAACCTAGAATAGCATTGAACGATGTGTCATCACAAGATGCTCACCAGGTCTTGTCCATCTTCGTTAGGAAAGTCCGACAGGTACAGTCAGCAATAACGACACTTTCCTGAAGTCCAAGACCCTGTTACCATCCTTTGACTACGATCTCAGACTATCGGAAATTGTTAGGTGACACACTGCATTGCAGGTGGAGCCACAAACAACTAAACTCGGTCTGCTTGAACACGGACGAGGAGGAATGGAGCCTTCGTCCATGGACGGAGTTAAGCCCACGACCCAGCTCCTAAAGGCCGGATACGTGTGGCTTTCCTGCTAGCTATTGGCATCTGGACGTGAAAGAGATTTCTCTCTACTGAAGCAGCGTAGTCACAATGCTGAAGCAAAGATTGCACGAGGACGAGGTCTTGCTCAAACAACGACTTTGAGGGTCGATTGGGGCGCCACGGCAGCCCGCGGACCCCTGCGCGCATTCAGGGTCCTTGAACGGACCACAAATCGCTATCTCGGCCGATTGAATTTCCAAGAGGTCGTCTTACACGTGCTGAAGATGACTCAGCTAGTACCTTCCATGCATCTGGACGTTAGTCACGAGCGAACCTTCCCAGATCCCCCTGCAAGTGCATGTGCGATGTTCAGGGTATACAAGGAGATGCAGGATCAAAGGACAGATGCATGGAAGTGGACTGAAATTGATTGTTTACTCAATGCTGATGATGTGATCTCTATATCCCACGGGCTCTCCGACACGGGCAGCAGCGTGACCTTCTCCAGCCACCGACTGTAGATGTTGGACGATCGCAATAACTCCTTGCAATTACCTAGTATTATATACCCACAAGAAAGCCAGGCCATGCTGATAGGCAAATCTATATACGTGCATTGCAAAATCGCTCACTCGAGCAGCTGGTCGAGGTCAAAAACAAAATGCTCTGAAATACAAAAATATCCTAGCTGTAGGCAAACATGTCCAATTTGCAGATCGTCAGAAAGTCTGAGGAGTCTCCTGCCATTTTGGCTTTGTTCAGTTTTGCGGAACTTCAAGAGCCGTGACGAAGCGTTCAGGCTGAGGTCGGCCCGCGTGCAGACTCTTGTGTGTATTGCTCAGAGAAAGCTTCTCGGCCTCCATAGCTAGACCTTTGCTAGCATCACTGGCAACGACGACGTCCGGATGTGGTAATGCGCCGTTTGCTGTAGCGGGTATGGTGACAGTAGATTCGAGCTCAAGCTTGCGAGCAATGGCCCGGCTGACCTCGGCTGTATGCGCAGATAGTGGACCAGGCTGAGTGTGGCCAGGAGGAGCCGCCGATATGTCGTTCATAGTCGTGGATTGGGACGAGACGAACGTGGCTGCAGCAGTCTCTGCTGCTGAGGCGCCTGTACCATGCGCTCTTGACTCGTAAGTCTCGAGCTGCTCGGTTGGTGCCGAGGTGGGTAACGATACTGAAGGGGATGCTTGTGGAGGTGCGACCTGTTCGGCGGACTTAGTAGGACTGATGTATTCAGCTGTTGTTGCGGGCAGTGCTGCCTGGTTACTGGGCAAGTGGACTTGCAAATCGGCCATAGGTGCAGTTCGGATTTCTGCCGTCGGTATATGAGAGGGTGCTTGTTGCTCTCGCGCTGGCGGTGGTTGAGCATGCCTGGTTGCGCCAGCACTAGCAGATACAGTTGCTCCTGTTCCAGGAGAAGGTAATGTCGATTGCCTGTCCTCCTCCGGTAGTGGACTCGGTGAAGGCTTCGAGATATGGCCGTTCGCGGTTGGATTTGTAGCAACATCCAAGCTCTTTTTACGACCGCTTGAGACAACGGAAAGCCTTTTATCGGGGTGGACAGGCGCCTCTGTGTAATCGGCAGCGTAGACAATAGGCTTCTTTTCAGCGATTTCTCTATCACTTCTTCTGAGCTTGCCGTTTTCTGAGCCGACCACGACTCGTTCACCATTCAGCCACAGAGCTGGACCTTTGACCCAACCTTTATTACCATCTCGTTCAAGAGCAGCACGAGTTTCAGCGTCAAGGTTCGGTATATCGCCCCACTGCCAGTCTAACTGACCTCCATATTTTTTCGGTATCGATGTAGGGTCCATGAACTTCTCCAGAGTTGGCGTGACCTCAGCTTTGCTTAAGATGAATATTTTGGAGACAGTAACGGGATCGAACCAGCGCTTGATCCAGCTCCATACGGTTGGAAAGAAACTTGGCGCACCAATGATCTGTGCTTGTTAGCAGGAGGTATTCGCTGACTTGTCCAAGTCTATACTCACAAAGATGCGGTCCAATGTTTCTGGGTAGTGAGCAGTCGCAAGGACACTAGCGTCTTGCATGTGGTTTTTGAGATTCCAGAATTGCCTTAGACTAACACCATGGATATCGACGATGTTGGTAGAATTCGTCACAGGTATTTCAGGCTTCGGTCTCTCCAACGTTGAGACAAATGGGAGGATGAAGTTGAGTAGGTTGTGGTAAAGAGCAAAAAGTGGAAGAAGCTTCGGGGCAGTAGAGAGGTCTTTGTGGTTGGGCAGCTTCGCCTTGTACGCAGCTGACTCTTTCTGGTATTTGTCGACGCTCTTAGTATCCAAGCCCTTGATTTCGTAGACGTAGACAGGAATTCCTCGACGGTCGCGATGGCCGGTCCATTGCGGGTACTGGCTCCAGTCAGCGCGAGTTCTTGCATTTCATAGCAAATCGAGCTTACCAGCGTCCTTGCTCTTTCGAAGAAATCAACGTCAAAGTGCTCGTAGAGTTCCTCAACGCGTTGCTCTTTCATCCATTTTTCAGTATCTGTAAATTGTACGATTGCGCCTGTTATGTCGAACTTTCGAGCTCGTAAATACCGTCTGCATTCAAGTCAGCTCTAACATCTCCAGGCCGCTCGGCAGCCAGGAATCCCTACAGCAGTGTGCCATCGTCGTGTGTAGGCTTTCCATTCACTCCATCCGGGCTCCACCAACCGTCTTTCTGTAGCCTTTCTTTGAATTCGTCGAGCAACGAGGCCTGATGCTCTGAGAGATGGTTCAGCACACCAGTTCGAGTATTCGTAGTTGTGATCTGGGCCAGGTCCGGAGGTGCTAGACCAGACCCATTGGTCTGACCTGATTTCTGCGACGAGCCGGTAAGAGTTCGATACAGCTGGGCCATTGCGATTCGAGTCAATAGGAAGAGCGCAAAGCAATTCTCAGACACGTAAAGCACGGAGGCTGAGTAAAGATAGCACAACGAGGCACGGAGCGCACGCTGTCAGTAATGAGAGCTTGGCCGACATGGACGAGTAACGAGACCCGACTTCCATCTGCACAATTCTTTCTGACGGTCGAAGATCATGGCTTACATCCGTTACTCATCCATGACATAGTCAGGACGCGTGCCGACCGAGCTGGGATTGGGCACCTAAGCTGTCCAGGGGACGCCACTGCACAATTTTAGCTTTGACTTGCACCAAACTCGGGAGCCAACTTGCCTTGAAGCCGACTTATCCAGGCTCGTCCAAACTCCCTTCCGTATACAAAAGTGAGGTCTTTGTTTTCCTCACCGCTGTCACATCACAAGATCGACGCTGAACGTGGTTTCCTCACCATTACGAAAGGCATATATGCGATATCAGCTGTCTTACCCATCATGTCGGTGTCACATCTCAGACCTGCCTTTGTGACCTGGCTATCTGATTAGGCCGTCCGCGCCGACCTGCTTATCAAAGCCTGGTTTACGAATACGGCAAGCTCGAGCAGAGGAGGCCTTAGCTCAAACACCTGACCGCTACTAACTCTGGAGAAGCATAAGGTAACGGCCGTACTTTGATCACGAGCCTTAGTACTGATGGTCTACTAGTATTGTGAAACAATGGCCGTCTGCAAGGTGCAAATGAAAGCGAGTACTATTGTGGTTCTCGTAGGAGCACCCTCTCTGGCTCTCTTGCGATTTCACCTTGAACCTACCTAGATAGTATGCACTTCTGTCTATTTCTATTCACCTAATTCAATCGTGACTCTATCACAGTCTATTTGCAGATCCCATTGTCACAATAGCCTGTGTCGGAGGAGATACAGGTATCAGCGACGCCGTACCAGCACCTACTTTGACTTCCCACTGAATCGTTGATCGAACGACATTCCTCGATGCACCACTAGTATCTATCCAGCTCCCTTCACCATCAGCCGGACTAACTGTCACTGTCACACCGCGAATTCCAGCCACGAGCTTGCGGTTGCTGTCTCAGTGCGCATATTGCACTGCTTGCACGATTTAATCGCACTCTAGGGATTGGCAGTGAAAGCTTGCAGGAAGGTATCAGGGGAAAAGACCCGGAAGCTTCAACCCAAGCTGAGATGTAACACTCAAACGCGGGATCGTTTGATGAAGTTGAGGTCTAGCCATTGGTAATTGTGGTTTTGCGAACAGGCTTCGTGTTAGCCGACATTAGACACTGCCTATTCTCTTCAGCTACAGCGAAATCTAGGCTGTTCTGTATATGCTCTATGCTTATCAAAAAGCTTCTAAGATAGGTGCTTGAGTATTTTTATGAATGCCCTTGAAATTGTATGTCTGTAGATATCAAGAGCGTTTGACTTCCGCGACCACAGGCCCAGACTTTCTTTTGTTACAAGACAGATCCATCACTCGCGTTGCTTGGACCAGGACGGCATCTATGCGAAAGACTGATGTAGTGTATCTGCGACTCTCGTAGAGGTTTGGTGTAGTAGTAGTGGTCTTGTGCGTTGATTGTGATCGTTGATCATGTGAGTACGAGAAATTGCAAATTTATTGATTGAGGACAACGAAGTTTTACCTGGGGCCTCGAAAAAGCCTACAGCGGCGCCCATATCTCTAGCCACGATCCTCTGTCCACGTTGATATATCGAAATTCCAGAGCAATGTGAGCCTCAAGAGGCAGGATGGCTCGACATACCTCCCTTGCACCACTATGCAACGTGCTTGTCTCTTCAAAACAATTATTAGCGTATCGTGGTCAACAAGATCAGCCTGCTCAAGCAAACACCGCTATCTTTCAAGTATCTCTGGTCACTCGAACGGCAGGTATCCTCCTTCGACTGCCCCAGGAAGTCATCGCGATCTCAATCATCTTGCTTCAACGACATCTCATCGCCGACTCCGATACTGATTTACTGAAAATCGCCGATTATAGTGCAGAATCGAATTTGATTAGAGCTTCTTCAGGAGCTGTTTATCTAGCAGCAAAAGACTCGTTCTATCACCTTTCCCCACGATCAGTCATTAATGTCTACGGACTCTTGACTTCGACAACAAGTTCGCCTTTGCGGTTCATCTCTTCCTCCGGCCACCCATCCGACGATTCCCCAGATCCCAACACATATCTTGTCTCCGAAGGCACATATCAGAGACGACGAGAGCAGCTGTTCATCGCGGAAAAGAGTATCCTCGTCTCCCTTGGCTTCGACACCAAAGTCGTGCTACCATACACCTTCGCCCTAACCTATCTTCAAGCTCTATCCGCTTCGACTAAGGACCTCGCAGAGAGGACACTGGCGCATCTCAACACAGCCTTGCTCAGTCCTCAGTTCTTGTATTTGACCCATCAACCCAATCAGCTAGCTGTCGCAGCTATTTATCTGGCCGCGCGTGACCATGGCATTGTATTGGTGGACGAAGAAGTACCCTGGTGGGAAGTCTTCGATGTGGGAAGAGAAGAACTTGGCTTCTTGGTGCTCAGCCTCGCGAGCATTGAGAGTTTCGCTAAAGCTCAAGAACTTGATGGATCATGACGGCCACAATAGAGAATTCAGGTGCAATCTTGGTAAACAGGTGTCGACTGATGAAGTTCCATGTACAAGGTCCAGAAGCCGCCAGATCTCAGAAGTTGCTCTACTGCTCTCTGTTTTGCTCTCGAACATTCAATTCTGACAGACATGACCCTCCTTTGTCGTGGTTTCAGCACTAAAACAGCTGCAAGCAAACATTGTCTCAAACTGTCTTGTACAGAGCAGAGACCGTTGCAGAACCATCCGGAATTAATGTGCTCGGACGGGAAGACCGACATGCTATTGAGCTCACGTCTCTTTGTTTCTCTTATGCATGAGAGACAACTTAGAGGATGGCTATAGCAAGCACAACTGCTGCTCTGCTTTCACACCTCCCCTTGCACACACAATACTACCCAACCTCGAAGACAAGTCCACTTCAACAATCTCCTACAAGGTCCATTCAGCAAGTCAAACGCCCAGCAGAAACTTCATCTTTGCTCAACCACGAATACCAGAGATGACCTTGGCAAAGATCATCGAAATCACTCACACGGTCATCATGTCCTTGATCATCACCTACTTCCTCACGTCGAACTCATCAGAGATGCTTGGAATAACCGCCGTCACCACCTACTTCAGCATCAGGTTCACCAGGGAGGTCTTCCAGCAGCAAAGCAACAATAATACCGGTCGAGCAGCATCCCAGCGTCAACCCTGCAAAGACTTTCTTTACGCAGTCTCCACTCGCTTCCTGGTTACCCTCGTCATCATTGGAAGCATCACACGCCCCAAGACAACATATGGCATAATTCTTGCTATTCTACTTTTGCAAATCTATCAGAGGTGGACAGAGAAGCCCGGAAATGTTGGCGCTCGTGGTACGTTCAACCTGCACTTTGCAGTGCAAAGTCCTGAGGCTAGTACTCGTGCTGACTCTTTTTGTTAGACCCATCACGGTTCCCAACTGTTGTGCCGGATGATAATGTACTTGAGTATCATCACGATTTCCACAATCTGATTGAGGCTGAAGGGGAGGAATGATTCTATCCGTGCATCATCGAGGGGAGGGGCTGAAGAAGGAGGAGCGTAGGAAGGAGTGGGACCTTTAATGCAATACACGTCAATCGCACCAATCGCAGAGTGTGTTCAGACTATGGCTTGAAGATGAGGCAGGAACACAAGGCTCGCGCAGTAGGGGCAATTCAGATGAGAACAACAATACGGACAACAAGCACAAACACGCATCTGGACATGCTTGCTGCATTCTGAGAAGTCAATGTCTCTAAAATCAATACCACTGTCTCCTTCTCATCAGATATCATCGTGATTGACTCTGTAGTTGTTCTATGATCAAAATGCACTCTCTTTTCAAGTTCAAAGGAGGGATAGAGCGATGATAGCTCAACTCTGTTTCCATGCGGTTCCATGCGTGGCTTCTTAAAGTTATCAAACCATCTCTGTACGCTCAGCAGTCAAAGCTCAACAAAAGTCCCACAGTGTCGTCACGTTTGTTGCTATACAACACATCGCGCCGCAATATTTATGACTAGTCATGATCCCACTTTGATCTTGGTGTGCAGCTGCCTCTTGGTTACTTAGGAAACGCTTGTTCTCCGGATTGTAGTCGTCTGGCTTGCCAGCATTCTCGACATCAGCCTCGGCTTCTTAGCTGTCACCCACAGGTACGACTGTCTTATTGTCCTTGTTTCTTGTTCTCACCATTTTTCATCGTCGGAGTAGCCTTGATGTTTTCATCCAAGTGCTTCTCGGTCTGAGTCACACCATTTCTCAGAATCTCGTCTTCACGCGTCCTTGCATTAGGCCCTATTTGCGGAATGAGCCATGGCATCGAAACCGAACCCGGACGCCAGTTGCCTTTTTCATCCCTTGCTCTGCCAACGGGCGCTTGTGCAGCATCTGCTCGTCCATACTTCGCTCGGTGTTGTTCCATCTTGACCGTGTATTTGGCCGGGTCAGTTCGTCGAAGACGTTCGAGTTCAACTTCGTGCTCGAGCTCGATTTTCTCTTTGTCATCGATAACGTCGTCTTCATCCTCACGTTGAAACGTCTCGGTCAAGACTAGATTACGAATTGCGTCTGGAGCTTGATCGATAATGCGGTCGAGGAGTGCGTCTTTTCCTCTGCACTCGGAGAGGTCTACTTGCTCTGCCTCCTTTGGTTCGAAAATGTAGTCCTCCATCTTCTTTGACCCATGACGAATAACGTTCTTCTGATCGACGACGCGCGAGAAGAGTTGAGTTTTGAAGATGGATTTGTTGTACAAGGCTTCTTCGAAAGTTCCGCCTGCGCGAAAACGGTAGACAAAGACGGGTCTCTTCTGACCAAGTCGATACGCTCGACCAATGGCTTGTTCCTCCCAGCTAGGATTGAAACCAAAATCGTAGATGATGACTCTGGTAGCGCCCTGAAGATTCAAGCCTAGACCACCGGCGCGAGTAGAGATAAGAAAGACCTTGTATTCGGCAGTCTCGTTGAAGACCTTGGTTGCATTTTGTCGCTGTCCAACGTTTGTGCTACCATCTATTCGCAAATGCCGGCATTGCATATCCTCGAGCATGTGTTGAAGGAAATTCAACGTAGGAATGCTATGAGAGAATATTAAGACTTTCTCATCTTGTGCAATGCTCTCTTCGATCAAAAGTTGCGTCACCATAGAGCGTGTCGACAAGGTAGGGTCTTCGAGCTGGTTGAGCATGCCAATGGACTGGAAAAGCTCTAAGAACTTAGGCAATAGTGCCTCCATTGATGAGCCTTGAACATCGAGGTTCTCAGGTAGATCTAAATCCTCATTATCGCCACCAACATAATTAGTATTGAACTCATCCGATTCGCTCCTTTCCTGATCATCATTAGCCTCGTCCTTGTGGTCAAGAACGATTTCGCCGTAGACTTACCCTCAACTTCATAACCAAGCACGAAGGGTGGTTACAAAGCCACGACAATATCGCGAGCCACTGCCACAACTGTGCGGTGTTCGACTTGGGTTTCTTACCATCAATTGAGCTGACACCAGAAAGAATGTGCTGGGCCATCATTGTGTATATTTCTTGTTGAAGAGCCGTAAGAGGGACAGTGATGAAAAATTCTGTCTTTTGAGGCATATCCTTCGCGATGGCAGATATATCTACCAGGTTAGCATGGAAGCATCATACAGAGTTTAGTACACACCTTTTCGATCGATCTTTGGTCCTAGGTCTCGTTTGAGGACGTAGAGCTTCTTAACCGAATTTCTCTTGTCATACTTGCTGCTCTCAGCATAGAGACCTCTCTCGATTGGCTCGGAATACTTGGCACGGAACTGGACTAGGGTACCCAGGTAACCTGGTGCGATCCAGTCGATCATGGTATGATACTCCTCGAGATGGTTGTTCAGTGGCGAGCCAGTAAGGGCAATACGACTTGATGTCTCAAATCTCATAGCAACTTTGTTCACAGCGGACCTAGCATTCTTCATTTTGTGTGCCTCATCGGCGATGACAACACATGGTTCTTCTAGCAGGGACTTCTCAAGCATAGCAAGTTCGTCCAGATTGTCATTCTTCCGTGACGGCTTGAGCAATGACTTCAAACTCTCGTAGCTGATGATCAGTATACCCGGATTGGTATTCCATTCGACGACTGTTCTGACTTTGACAGGTCTTGAACCAGACACTCTGTAGAGCGCACCAAGTAGGTCTGGATCTGATGGAGGAGTCCACATTAATGTCTCGTCGTACCAGTTGTCGACGAGACTTGCTGGACAGATAACAAGTGCCTTCTTGCCACGCAGATGGTTGGGGATCAAATTTCTGATTGATTCACCGGAAGCTTGGTTGGCTCTAGCCAGGGTCACCAAGAAAGAGATGACTTGCATGGTTTTGCCTAGACCCATGGTGTGAGCAAGCAAACAACCCTGATGCTTGGGGTCCATGATCAACTCTCGCCATATAAATTGAATACCCTCGACTTGATGCTCTTTCACTCTTCGGGCGATATGAGGGTCGAGATAAACTATCGGCTCCTCAGTATGAATAGGCACTAGACGAACAGGTGACAAGTCTTGTGCTTGGAGTCTCTGCATTAGGAGTTGCCGTCGAGCTTCCTGTTCCTGGACACGCGCCTGGTCGTCTTTCTGCTGAGAAAGAGCTTCTTGATCTTGTTCGACGGCACGTCTTCGTCTCTTAATTGGCGATTCGTAGTCGCCAATCTCAATCTCAGCGTTACTGTCACTTAAAGAGGTATCGTCAATCTGCTGTAGTCTCGAAGAAGTACCTTTTGAGGTCGAAAACGCGAAGAGGTCCCGTTCGCTGGTGCGCGATTGTGGCAGTAGTTGAGAATGATCTTGTGTTTGCTGTTGTGGCATCTGCATGTTTGCTGGAGCGGTAATGTAATGTCGTAACAAAGGCCTCAGTATCCTGTCGAAGGCGTCTGCCTTTTCATCCGTCATCTCATAGGCAGCATCACGGAATTCCTCTTCCACATCCCAGACCTCTCTCCAACCTCTACAGCAAGCGAAGACCATGAAGAAGAACGTCCATAGGATCTCAGCCTCAGCGTTCGCTGGAATGTCTTCTTCGTCAGGATCAATCTGCTCTATCTGACTGATGAGGACCTTGAGGTGTCCAGGTACTTCATGCGAGGGTATTCGCGATGCCATCTCCAAGACGTCACGAGCATTTGTTCTGTTGTGCCTGTAAACCACCTTACACAATGCTTCGAAAGGGTCTTTGACATCCGCCCATCTCTTGGCTCGTGTTTCCTGTATGTCAGGGAACCGTTGCTGAGACTGCTCCTGTTTGACTTTAGTAGGCGTTGTTGAGTTGAGAGGTGGCGTTCTGATGCTACTACCAGAGACACCACTGTGCACGGATTCTGAAGGTGAGCTGCCCAACGTGATTGCATCGGCAAGAGTATTGCCCTGTTGGCGATATCTGCTTTGAGGAAGACGATGACGGTCGAGATCGAAATCTTCTTCATCATCTTCTTCACCTTCATAGCTAATTTGAGGTTGGCCTGGTTGTCTCGAGACATTTCTGAGTGGTGTGCTGGGAAAATAAACGACGTCATGTTGTGCTTGCGGCATTGGCGACGACTGCATGGCGATGTCGGTAGGGAGAGCGGGTGGCATTGATGCTTGCTGTGAGTTGGACCTTGATGTATCTGGGAACATATCGTCCGGTACAAGATTCGTGTCGAGATCGACGATGTAAGAATCGTCAGACTTTGGTTTGGACAATGAAGCTGCAGGCTGAGGTATTTGAGGTCTCCAATCGTCATCAGTTGGATCGTAGGGTAGAGAAAGTTCACCCTCAGAGTCTGAAGCCAATGACATTTCGTCTTCATCAACTTGGTCGGTGAAGTCTCCTGCGTCACTACTGGATGAGGACAGAACTTCGTCGTCTTCTGCAAGTCCTTCAGGTGGCTGTGCAATGTGTTCTGGCACTGTCGAAAGTAGTGGGATTGTAGGAGGAGTGTTGTTTTCGAGGACTTCAAGATAGTATTCACGTTCGCTGATATCCTCCACAGTAGCCTGTATATTGAGACAGATCCGTCTTACTTCATCGCTCTTGGTGTACTTCATAGAAGGGTGCGCAATCGAGGCACGAAATTTAGCCAGACGGGTCCGAAATTTACTAAGGTCGATCTGCAGGGCGTGCTGCTGCGGTTTTCGTGTTTTTGCCTTTGCAGCCTGCTTCCAGCGCGCCAATGCAGTCTTGTGCTTCTTGATTTGCTTTGTAGCCTGCCAAGCCTGCTTGTAGTCCTCGATCGCCTCGTCAATAAGCCGATCGACCTCCTGTTGAGATAGTGCCAACTCCGGCGCTATATCTGGGATTCCAGGCTCGGAGTCGAGGTCGTCATTGAATGAGTCGTCACTATCCAGAGTCTTCTCAACATCGCTTTCATTGTAGGGTCTAAGTATTTCATCTTCGGAGTCTTCTTTGTGTCTAGCAAGAAAGTCCTGCCATTCCCCACTCAGTGCAGCAGGATCAAAATCTTCGAGACTGGTGACAGGTTGAGCAGAAATGAGCTGAGGCACAACACGTCGCTTCTTAAGTTCAGGTTCATCATGAGGAGTGGTATCTGTCTCGGATGTGCTCTCTTCTCGCTCTGAATGCAATCGAGTCCTGGAGGTCACATTCAACTTTTTGTCATCATTGCTATTGTTCTGGTTGTAGAGGACAGATTCGGACCTCAGGTATTGAACGATCCTTCTTAACTCGCGGCGTTGCCCGAAGGAAGAAATGCCTAGATCGTCTTTAACATGGGCGTCTTCTAAAGACAAAAGGTTGTCTCCATCGATGTCGTTGGCTCTGAGGATTGGTTCGAGGACGTCCTGGTTCAAGATCGGCTTGATCTGGAGCTTGGTACGAGTTGCAGAGGTGGAACAACAGATCTGATCGACGACTTGATCGACTGACCAAGTAGATGGATCTGGTAAATCCGGCTGTTCCATCTTGTTGATTTGTCGACTCGAAGGTCGATGGTGGATTTGGAAGGACATGTCGAGGTAATAGTAGTGCAGGCGCGTCGATGACTCAGCCGCAAGTGAGGTGCAACTGAAGCAAGAATGTGCCGAGTTAGACCAGAGACGTTCAGGCTCAAAGTGTTGTATTCCTCCAATGTGCAATAGTCACGTCTAGTCGTCCCTGCCGAGGTCTCCGCCCTTCACACGATACTGGCACTCGTCCGAACACTCTTTTCCTGATCGTCTTCCAGTATCTCTGATCAGCTCGAGACTATAGAAGCTGAGTTGCATCGCCATTGAACCCTTCAACCATTCATCAAGATCTTCTTCCACTCTAGGACATTTAATCGTCACCACCTCACTCTTACTTTGTCACAAACTTCACGCTCAGGGATTGTCCCAGACCTGTACCCGATTCTATACTCCAGTCTGGTCTCTAGAAGAGCACCGACCTTCAAGCACTGTTATCCTACTTCCGAGCACGACCGCACGAATTCTGGCGGCCACAGATGGTGATAGAGTCGGTGTCGAAGCATAAAAATCCGCATTGTAGGAGAAACTGTCCAGGAAAAACCACTCAACCATCTAGTCATCGGCTTGCATACTTAATTGCCATGTTGTACACGCAATATAGCTGGTAGGCAAAGGTTTGTCGGGTCCAGTGTCGTGTCTGCTTCCAAGGAAGCGGAGCTCGCCAAGCGCAGAGCGTGTGAGAATTAGGTTTAATCTCTTGAGCCATCAACGACATTCTCATGCACGATATCAAAAACTTGAATAACCAGAGTCGATCTGAATGACCCTGGTCCTGTAACACAACAATGGGAATTAGTCTATGGGACTCGTATCCGCCGAAAGTCTCTGATGATCAACTTCAGTATCTTGCACAGACTGTAAAAGATTGGACGATCTTCAATGGCTTGACGGTCCGGCCGAATCCGTCTATCGTCAGCGAAGAGAGTAATCCTAATCATGTCCTGGCTACTAACGCTCCCGTGACATTGTACCCTAGCCCATTTCCAAAGCAATGTTTCGAGCAAGCGGAGGATCTGCAGAAGGTCTACAATGAACTCTACGCAGCTATTGCTACCGATGAGGAGTGGTTGGGTGAAGTTATGAAAGAGTATGCCAACCACTAATGCTGTTTCAAAAGCCCCATTCTACCCAAAGATTTTCTGACGATTAACAGGCTAGTCGAGGTGGACGATTTCCTTGCCAATCTATGGAAGATTCATCTTCAGGTCAAAGAGGAAGGCTATGTTCAGGATCTCTCTCTTGGTATGTTTCGGTCAGACTACATGCTTCACGTCCCAGACGATAGCTCGTCCCCATCCTTGAAGCAGGTCGAGTTCAACACGATATCATCGTCTTTCGGCGGTCTCGCCGTCCGAGTTGGCGACCTGCACAGAGAACTTGCTACCTATCCAGATCCAACCCACTCAATTTCATACCCACCTCACCCACTCTTCAATACAGCGACATCTGCAAGCATAACGTCTGGCGGCTATCCACCGACCAATGAAGCTGTCGACACTCTCGCCTCAGCTCTTATCACAGCTCATCAGTCATACAGAGACTCCAGAACCTCACCACCATTGCCTCAGTGTATTCTCTTCCTAGTTCAAGACAACGAGCGCAACCTGTTCGACCAGATGGCCCTGTCCCAGCATATACGCACCACTAATCGCGAGATACCGACCTTTCGTATTCCGACCAGCAAAATACTCAGCCAGACATCTATTCCAGCAAGCAGCGAGAACCCTTCCCGACCGCTGATCTATACTCATCCAGCCAACCCGAATGCTCGATATGAGGTTACGGTCGTCTATTTTCGTGCCCTCTACGCACCAACAGAATACGACACCCCCGCCGCCTGGGCAGCACGCCATCATCTCGAACGCAGTGCTGCCATAAAATGCCCGTCTATACTCCTTCACCTCTCCGGCTCAAAGAAAGTCCAACAAGTTCTCACCTCAACTGACCCCTCCCACCTCGAACGCTTCCTTCCGAAGACGTCCAAAGAGACCCTCGACAGCCTCCGCGCCTCTTTCGCTCCACAATACAGCATGTCTGAAGGTCCTGACTCCGAGGGTGTTCGTATCGCTCTCGACCCTGATCTTGCCCAGAAACACGTTCTGAAGCCCCAGCGTGAAGGTGGCGGTAACAACATCTACCGCTCCAATATCCCCACTTTCCTTAAGGGTATCAGCGAAAAGGAATACAAGCAGTATATTCTGATGGAGCTCATTCAACCGCCGAGTAAAGCCAGAAACGTAGCCCTGAGAAGCGACGGACAGATTGTGAGCGGAGATGTTATCAGTGAGCTAGGCATCTTTGGAACATGTCTCTGGAGGAGTAAAGTTGGTAGTCAAGAGAAGAACATCTTGCAGAATCGAATGGGTGGGTACTTGTTGAGGACGAAAGCCAGAGATAGTGACGAAGGAGGTGTGGCGGCTGGATTCAGTAGTCTCGATAGCTTGATCCTGTATGAAGAGGCAGTGTGATAGACGAAGGTTGACTATCTCGAGCCAGACTCAGGACATTGAGGACATTTCTTCGCCGAAGAAGTGCTGAGACATGAACTGCCAGCCGTCGTGGTTACCTGCTTGCTATGCCAGATAGATACTAGACCATACATAGCTGCGAAAGACTTTCTCAAGCTGCGCAGCCTGTTCCTGAAGTCTTTCCTAAACCACAACTGCTTTCACCATACCACTGAAACTCGCTTCACCGGCACCGAACAACTGCATAGCCCTTGTCTGTATCAGCCCGTCCGTGCCCGCCTCTTCCCGCCTCTGCTCTCCTATCCGCCTGCATCCCTGCCCCACTTTGACCTAGTGATACCTAGACCCTGTTCGCATCGCCACTGTAGCTGCAGACCCCCTCGCCGCCACCTCACATCCTCGTCTCTTTGTCCTTTTTGATGCATAATCGACACCACCACATAACTAGCACCAATGGATACACTCTTTAACGGCTACCATGGTGCAGTCGTTAGCATACCCGCCTCCCATCACAAAGTATGTGGTAAGCGGGAGACTCGGGTTCAAATCCCGATGGCAGCATGCTTTTTTGCTACTTTGGTTCTGCGTTCATTTGTGTAGTGAAGGAGAAGAAAGTAGCTCAACAGGCAAGTATGCGCATTATGATATCATCTGTTCATGCAGTTGCTTTGTTTTGAGATATGATTTTTTCGTTTTGAAGGATTGCAACTGATTTCCGGAAGGAGGATGATTTGCGTTTCGTGGTGAGCGAATCATTGATACCAGCGATTTGCTGTTACAACGCTCCTGGGATTATGGTGTCCTTGTTCAACTACCACAAATCACCCGGACCTAACTGAACCTGTTCCTATCAAGGTGCTCGCTGTGCCATTTCCTCCTACCCTAAAATCTGACCTCGTAGCTCCCAGCCCTGGTCATGTACCTCACCCACTTGACGCTACTATAGTTGCCCTTCTCAAACACCTTGAGGTATCTCACCAGTAACCCCGAACTCGTGAACATCAAAAGACTAAAGTTCACACTCAGTGGTGGCCGACTCCAGGCCTTCTGCTGCGTCATGCTAGTCAGACTGGCCTCCGCGCTGAGGACGTATTCGCTGCCTCCTACAAAGCGAGCAATCTTCCACATGATACAGTTGTTTTCAGGTTCATATTTGGCTTTTCCCTGAGTTGTGCGATTATTAATCGCAGCTGTATTGAGAGGAGTAGGAATGCGGATGAGGACATTTGTAGCGAAGAGTTTGGCACCATAGTTTGCTTTTATGGCGACTGAGTACTCGACTTTTGTGGTTCCTACTTCGCGGACGATGGCTTGGACTTTGAAAGGGAGGTTAACGTTCTCGGTGGCTCGGTAGCGCATCAATTCGAACTCTCCATCTGGTGGAATGAAACTGATAGTCCGGTCTTGATCGAATTTTCCGAGTTGCACGCACTGGTGGAATTGGCAATCCTCCAGAGTGACACTGCCAGCAGCGGCTTTCGTGGCTTTGCGAGAACCATCACGATTTCCGATTTCACCATACGAGGGACCACCGACTTGATTAAGGAGGAGCTGATCGTTGAGCCCGAATTTGCATTCTGGTGTGCCGGTCAAATATGCACGCATAACAATCTGACCAGAGACATCCGCACGGAGGACAGTACCTGTAGCAGACATGAGAAGGTTGACATCCTCTATTACATCAACAAAGGCTTCGTTCTTGCGGTACTTGATGTCTCCTCTGCGCCATGACTGTGCGCCGGTAGCCTGCATAGTAATTCTGGAGACGGAATCGCCTGGGGTCGTGGAAGAGACGGACCGGATAGCGGAGGAGATGTTGTCTGGAGTTATGTACATCTTGAGGACATCGACGTCGGTGTTTTGAGGGTAGCCAAAGTCCAGAATCTCTGCTCGTTGTCAGTCTGTTTCTCGACTGGCTCTTGAAATTCCTGACCATCTAGTAGCTCATAGATGAGCACAAAGTTGTTCTTCACAGCCTCTTCATCAAACTTCCCAAAGTAGCCCTTTCCCAGACTAATAAACCTGTACAGGAATTCGAAAACGATCGCAGCATTGGCATTGCTCTTAGTGACTGCCGTGATGTAGATGTTCTCGTGTTTGACATGGCTGAAGGTAGTGGAGCCGAGGGTCAGGATAGGTGAACGAACTTGAGGGTTGGATATGACCTGGATGCGGAAGATGTCTGCCAGTCGTGGGCGACAATCAGGTCTGAAGGCGCGGAATATCAGGTTCTCGCCTTTCTGATTGAAGACGAGAATGCCGCTTAACATGATGGAGGCTCAGCCGAGCAGTACCGAGCACATCCATGGAAGAAAGAAAGTAGAGGTGGGGATGGAGGAAGCAAATCAGTAGGAGAAGCTGTGCTTGGCGGAGTAGGAGCGCATGTACTTCAACTTGTTTGACCTTTGCGACAACCAGCATTGCACATTGTCATGGCCTGATAAATGCTCTGAACCTACTGGACGTGTCTTCTCTTGTTTGCGATCATGATATGAAGCGACAAAGTGATCCTCCAATCACCCATACCATATCCCAGCGAGGGAGTCAATTCGCTCGGCCATGGCGCAACCACAACTCGCTGCAGAGCCCGACTCAGCATATGTAGCCATGTCCTGCTTCGAACTCCTTCTGATCGAGCTTGTACCTATGGCAGAACGTCTTGCGCGAGAATATGAAGCTTCACTCGACCAGCCTAGTATCACAAACAAGGCATCCTCGAAGACAAATACCTCTACTACAGGGACAGCAATTCCAACGACATACGACGGTTTACCTGAGACAGAAGTGTTCAAAGACAGTGTCTATTTCAGACTAGAAAAGCTAGGCTTCAGGGTTGGGTTGGGTTTGAGCGAGCGGTTTTCCAAAAATAGACCACGTTTTTCCGACCATCTGGATGTGATCAAGTTTCTGTGCAAGGACATCTGGACAATCGTCTTCAAGAAACAAATTGACAATCTCAAGACAAATCACAGGGTATGTGGGCTGGCGATATCCGGTGAATATGGCTGACATCTGGCAGGGAGTCTACGTTTTGACCGACAGCAAATTTCGGCCCTTCTCGAGAATGAGCATGCACACAACTCAAGAAGCTACTGTACGAGCACAACCGCACCTCATATTTCCCTGTGGCATAATAAGAGGTGTACTTTCAAGTCTTGGTATGAAGGCGACGGTGCAAGCGGAAACCAATGAGCTACCGATGGCTGTCTTTCAGATCAAGACTGTTCCTCAGAAGACATGAGTGAACTTTTCCACATCTGAAACCGGCCTTGCTGGCTGAAAAGCTATGAGGACTGAAAAAGTGTGGAAGTCTATTCTTGGCTTGCCTGCTTTTGTTCACCTTCATGAAGTAGTGGCTGCCTTTACAGCTTGGACGACTCTTGACTGCGCTGAGGTATCGTTCGCATGATCTCGTCAAACTCTACCAACCCTAGCAGATTATTCTATCAGTGTTAAAAAACACTCTCTGGGAAGTCTGGGGGCCGTACTCACTATTTTTTGGCGAAGCTGACACCAGTCTCGATATTGGTCTTGAGACCCTTGATGGCCTCGTCGATCAACTTCTTCTCGTAGTCATTGGCTGTGCCTAGAGGGTTGTTGGCCTTCTCCACACCACTGGGTCCCAGCTCGCAAGGAACCGAGAAATAATCCACGCCGGTCTGCTTGGCAATCTCCTCACCACCTGGTACACCTGGTAGGTAGACGAAGGTTGGCTCGACGATGCCCTTCTCGCCCTTCATGGCCTTGATTACCGACTCAGCAAACCGGAAACCAGCATATGCCATTGACAGAGTTGCGGAGCCGGCACCGTCCTTGGCTTTGACGACCTCGTCACCACCGAATTGCACTCGGTTCACCAAAGCATCGAGCTTCTCCGATGGGATGTTGACCGACGGTTTGGCTTGAGAGAACAGCGGTACGATCGTTGCACCAGAGTGACCACCGATGACTGGGATATCAACCTTGCTCGTGTTTCTCTCGCCTGAGATGTCTTGAACAAATGTCTCAGCTCTTACAACGTCCAATGTGGTTACACCGAACAGTTTCTTTGGGTCGAAAACACCAGCCTTCTTCAAAACCTCGGCGGCGATAGGAACGGTGGAGTTGACTGGGTTGGAAATAACAAGGATGGCTGCCTTTGGGCAGTACTTGGCACAGGCCTCGATGAGACCCTTGACGATGCTGGCATTGATGTTGAACAGGTCGTCTCGGGTCATACCAGGCTTTCCTGTTGACGAAGTCAGCAGCTGCGGACAGAGAACTGTGCGAGAAGGTCATACTTGGTACACCGGCTGGGATGATGACAACATCAGCACCAGTCAGAGCATTCTTCTTAGCTGATTCTGTCTCTTCTGTCTCGCCTTTCATGTCACCCTTGGCGGCCACGAAGCCCTCAATTTTCTATGCAGCGTCAGCCTTGTTTTCTTTTCGAGCTTCAAGTGTCACTTTGTATTCTTACAGCTTTGGAGGAGATGTGTGACAGATCTGCTGCCACACCTGGAGTGTTGACCACATCGAATAGGGCGAGGTCATCGATGAGCGTGGAGATCTTGCAGAGCAGAGACAATGGCTATTCTGGTTAGCTTGACTCTATTTCATTATCACTGTAGGACTCTCATACCTGACCAATACCGCCGGAGGCACCGAGAACAACAGCTTTCACCATCTCGTCTGATTTCTAGAAAGTGTGGGGTAGAAGTGTAGTAGTCTGCTTGGTTTGTAGAATTGCCTTGAAGCTTTGCTTCTGCTTGTTCAAGAAAGATGCTTAGGTGGCCAGAGTGTTGGGCTTGTGGAAGAATTGGTACAGAAGAGAAGAAGTCAATCTCTATTCGAGTCTTTGGTTCCGCAACTACAATATCGCAGGGCAGCTGCGTTCTGGTGTAAACATTCGTTGGAAAGTACAATGCGGGGCTTGCTCCTCCCGGGGTTCAACGGAACGTTCCTGAAAGAGATGTCCAGCCGCCAATGCCCCTTGTGTCCGATTCTGTCCGACTGCACATTCTTCATCTTGCTTTCACTTCCTCGCCCTGACTGAGAGTTGGATGCTTGCTGTGCTTTCGTTCTGAGTGATATACATGCTCCGTTACGGCCCGACACTCGAAAACATGGATGCCAGCAACAGTGACGTTGCTGTTGAGTGACGAACACCACGATCCGAATCCATGGTTCACCTTCACTTGAAGTGAGTGCAGGGTCGGAGGTGGGCATGCTAAGACCGATGAGCTACCAGTACTCCAAACCCGAAGTTCTTCCAGGTAGGCAGTGTAGATGTCTTGTTCAGTGGCTGCGACGAGTAGCGACCAGAATGAAGAGAGGGGTACTACTGGTAGATGGCGCTGTAGGTCTGGCATACTAGTTCTTTCACCAGATTCAAGTTTAAAGGACGTTCTCTTGATCAAGACCGCTGTGTCTATAGTCTTGGCTAAACGATCACATATATACTTCAGGTAACAGCCAGCAGACCCGACCACAATTAGCAAACACCAGAAACGACCACGCGCAGTCTACCCTCAAAAGCACGACTTGTGAAACGTCAAGACCTGCCCGCTGACACTTGACTTTGGTTATGTTGTCACGAAGCAATATCATGAAGGTCAGTCATCAGCAAACGCGTGTCCTGATTACCATTGCTCAGGTACCTATCTGTTCTATTCTAGGCTCGCGATTTTCCTTCTCTGTCTGTCCTTCAGGCGAATCAGCAGACAGGCTTACTCACCGAGTGCGCGATCGATATTCAGATAAGTGACCCAGCGAATCACTTATGCCTTCATTAGACGATCGTCGCCCGATCTGTATGACAATGTTACCGGAGGTTGTGGTCATTGTTCTCCAAGAGCTATACAAGAATTCACGCAACGACTTCCTGGTCTCTATGCGGGTTTGTCAGGAGTGGCATGGTCTGGCAACACCGATCCTATGGACGGATGTCTTCGTCCAGAGTCTACCAAAACCAGCATCGTACTCCTCTCTAGCAGCCTTCACTATGAGCACGTCTGTTGTGCAGAAACTTGGCCAAATCAGATCTTTCACATGGCTCATGGCTGCCCGCACGAGTTTCAAGATTCGTATGGATCTGTTTGCAAGACTTAGTAGACTCATGCCACATATGACCAGCCTCACATCCTTTTCCTTCACAGCTAGAACGGACCCAGATGTCCTTGCAATATCGCAGTTCACTAGCATCCTGACATCACTACCTCCAACTACACGATACCTCGAACTTGTGCGGCAGGAAGACAGTTACGCTGTTACTCTCGTGGATAAATGCTCTGTCTTCGAAGCTCTTGGGAAAGCCTTGCCTCAGCTTCACAACTTACGCTTAGGTGGTATCACAGTCACTGGATGAGGTATCAACACCCCGACACTGGTGTTGAAGTCGATGTTTATGGAGGATGGATTGATATCTCAGAACTGCTTGAGAGAAGCGAATGGATCGAATACGAGAACAACGTACGATTACCAGAAGACGTTACCAAACCGAGCTACCTCAAGCCACAGTGCAAATTCCACTGGTATCAGCGAGCTGTCATTGAAGCGCACGAACTTCGTGGTGATCGTGGCCACGGTCCAGCTTCTGAGCTGTATTTTTGGGAAAAGCTGGCAAAGAGAGGTTTGTTGCATATCCAATCAAACAGCACGCTCGAAGTTCCTGCCTGCACTAGCCGCGAACGTCTGGTGGAAGAATTGAATATGGACCCCAACTCTGAACAAGCAAGACAGTTGAAGGACAGATTTGGTACTGCTTGAGGAGGGTTGCGACACAATATCCCGTTTAGCTTACGTGTAGGACGTATCATCATGCTTCTTAGCTATGTCCTTCCAACCATTCCTAGTTGGAAAGATGAGACTAGATACTTCCCTAGACATTTCCTTTGTGCCTTTACGACCAGCTCGATGATGGAAGATCGTCATGCTTTTGCGTCACTGGCACTGATGCAAACCAAGAGCAAAACGCTTCAGTATGCGTACCCAGGTATCGCGTAGAACTTAGCCAAAGATATGTCTTGTATGACTACCACTGGGCTACCACTTTTGAAGCCAAATAATCTGTGAACTTGCTATGGTATCATCATCCAGCCGTGAAAAGACACCGAGTCTTCTCGATATCCTACCAGGAAACACGGACATGTCCTTACGGCGTTGTTAGTTTGTGCAAGTCCATGTAGCCTGGAAGCTTCGAGGTTTGGGGAGCAGCAGCCTGCTCAACGACGGCTGGAAGATTTTAGGATGTCGAAACTTCGTTCTCTGGCAATCCGAGTAGCAAATCCTACATGTCTAGACCTGATTCTCAGGTACAAGCGTCGAAGCGTATCCTGGAATTCATCGGCCTGGCTCTGCAGCCAAAACCCCAGGTCAAAACTCCTCAAGCATAGAACTAACGTATTTCACAAAACGTGATCCCGTGAAATCCAAGCTGTCTTGGCGTTTTGTACTACGACGAATCACAACTCAAATTAACGTGAAATGCGCCGCTAGAACAAAAACAGAAAATTGCAAACAGCAATCACGCTTTCTGTCTAATCTCTCTCAACTCATTCATCAAAATTTTGGACGTCTCTACACCCACTCGCAACCTTGCAGATGCCGTTCCTTGATAATATCGATGATGGCAAGTCCTATTCTGAGATGTCGGGCCTGCTCGATGCGCGCCTTCTCAAAGCCCTTGATGTTATGGGCTTCGAGAACATGACACCAGTACAGCAAATGGTGCTGACCCAGTTGCCCAGCTTTCAATCTGATTGTCTCGTCCAAGCCAAGACAGGAACCGGCAAAACTGCCGCCTTCCTCCTGCCATGTTTGCACACACTCTTGAACTCGCGCAGGCCCCTCCCGAAGGGTCAAGTTGGCCTGCTCATTATTTCGCCTACCCGCGAGCTTGCCCTACAGATAGCCAAAGAATGCGATCAGTTGACTTCTCAACTTGGAGAGAACAAGTTAGAGTGTCATGTTGCCTTCGGCGGAAGTCACAGAGCTAGCAACTTGGCCAGGTTCATGAACGGATCACCCTCTATCCTCGTCGCCACCCCAGGTCGACTGAAAGACTACTTGTCCGAAAGCAACGTGGTTAGCAAGTTTGCTGATGTAAGAACAGTAATCTTGGACGAAGCCGATACTATGCTCGAGAGTGGCTTCCTCACTGACGTGAGAGAGATCCTCAAACTCCTGCCACCCAAAAGTGCAGGATGGCAAGGTATGTGTTTCTCCGCTACAGTACCAGCAAAAACTAGAGATGTCATTGACTGTATACTCGCGCCTGGTTATTGCAGCTTGTCCACTATTGACAAAGCTGAACCTCCCACGTTGGATAAGGTTCCTCAGTATCATGTCATCATGCCGTCGGTCATCGACACGTTCAACACACTAGCATCTCTTCTCAATCACGAGCTCACACCCGAATCAAAAGCCATCGTGTTTGGCGTTACTGCAAACATGGTCGCGCTGTATAGCAATCTCTTTGCACAAAGACTTACGTCGCTCAGAGTCTTCGAGTTGCACTCCCGACTGAGCCAGAACGTCCGCACCCGCACTACGAACGAGTTCAAAACCGCCACTTCTGGGATCATGTTCGCTTCCGATGTTATTGGCAGAGGTATGGACTTTCCCAACGTGGATCTCGTTGTACAGGTTGGACTTCCTTCAAGTGCTGAACAATATATTCATCGGGTGGGTCGTACTGGAAGAGCGGGCAATACAGGCCGAGCCATCATCCTACTCACTCAAGCAGAATCTTTCTTCATCGCTGCCAATCGCCGCCTACCTATTCAGCCACACCCACAGACTGCCACGATTGTGAGCAATGCAACCACTTATGCCCCGCAAGTCGAGCAAGCCATGTATGCTATCGAAGAGACCGTCAAACAGCGGGCTTACTCTTCATTCTTGGGCTTCTTTGCGGGCTCTGGTCTACTTAAACCATTGCGTATGGACAAAGTTGGTCTGGTACGGATGGCAAATGACATGGCGACGAAAGGCATGCACTGTCCGGAGCCGCCAGCTATGGAGAAGAAGACGGTAGGGAAAATGGGTCTGAAGGGTGTGCCAGGGTTCAATTATGCTTCTGCAAATGCAGCTGCTGGAGATAACCCTGCTCAGCCACCACGAAGGCCACGCCCTATCAACAAGGAAGGATCGAACGGGAGTCGGAATGTATTGAGCCCAAAGTCGGGCGGCACAGGAGCGGTAAAGAAGAAGCCGTTCAGAGGTGCAAGGAGAGGAGGAGGAAAGACTGGTACGGATTGACCAAACCAGTGTGTCACCGCATGAAAGACCTTGACCTAGTATTTTCAAGTGGCATGTCACTGCATGCCGATATTCTTCCCATATTGCCTCGATTGTGGTGCAGCAGTTGTCCTTTGTACACTTTTATCACGAGGAGCTTGGATCCGACCTGGACATTAACCTCGAGAAGGCCATAAGTTCATGTGATGCTGGAGCTCTTTAGTATCCTATGGACCGGGACTTCTACACAGACACGTGCAGTTGGAAGGCACACTGCTGCAGCATCGTTGCGACTTGACTGCTTGCGCCGGAACTGTCTCAGCTATCACTACAGGAAAGATGCAAACACGAGCCATAGGAAGGGTTTGCCTGCCAGCTTAGTCAGTTATAATCAACTTTTCATCGCTACGGTGGTGCACGAAGGCTTACAACGTATACTCTGAAACCACCGATGTTGTGTTCTGACAAGCTGCAATGAAATCTCTATTCCGAGGTCGTTCTAGCACCATACACTGGGCACATAGGTCCTTCAGACGAAGAATGTGGACCTGACTGTCTCCAGCACTACGAATTTGGGGTCAGAAAGCAGAGTTGGTTGTATACGTTCTGGTACGGTGCAATGTACATAGTGAAACTGACTTCTTGAAGGACATGAGGCGACTCGATGTGGCATCGACGACAGCCCGATCAGCATCGACCATTATTGATGATGAGGTTACAGTGCCTGGGAGGATTGGAGCAAAGGCGAATGACTAGGCCGACGAACAAAAATATTATCTAGTTTGGCAGGGATTGAGCACGGCTCGTTAAAAAGTCGAGCTTGCGCTCGAGGATTACTTTATTAATACTGATAAGCTCGTGATAAAAATCTGAATTGCTGTAGAAGCTCTACCAGCATTCCATGGTGATCGATGCACTACTCTTCCAATTAATGATCTCTGCAGTTATTCAAGTCGAGTATTCGACAAGATGGTAGATCATGCAGGTTTCCGTGCTTCAGTAGTCAATGTCCACAGAGGAAAGTGCAGACATCAAAGCCATGCCAAAGATGTTTGCAGAAAGAGCATCATCCGAACCATGTACCTCGCTAAGCAGAGTAGATACACTCGCTTTGTACTCAACTCCAATGATGCGATGCAAAAAGGCATCAACACCTCAACGGAATCGACCTGCCTGACCGAAACTCGAGTACTTTGCGTAGAACGACCGCGAGACGGTTTCAGCATACGTCAGTCGTCTGGTCGGCTTCGGATCGACTTCCTCGATCGTCTTTTGTTCTCTGACCTCAAGTTCTCTGTACATTCCCTCATCGTCGATTTTCAGTTCACCAATCGTGAGTCCAATCGGACGGATTTTTGTAGTAAGAAGTGGCCGTCCACTGATAGTACCTGGCCATCCGCTGGAGGAGTTGATTCTGTCCTGGACTAGCGTTGTCCACAGGATTTCCCTTCTGTCACCATCCAGTGTAACCGGTTCTTCGTTCCAGCTCCCACAGAATTTCATGATTTGTTGAGTTTCTTGGATGAAGTCGTTTCTAGACTCAGTTCGCTTCTTGGCTTCCTCTTCAAAGAACTCGTCTGGAAATTTTCCATCATAGGGAGCTACATGAATGCCCAGATCTGATGCCTTTTTGCGCGCCTTTTTAGTCATCTGACGAGCGTCTTGAATATTCTGCTGATATTCTTGTACTTGTTCCTTCATTGCAGTGACTCGGTCTTCCAGAAAGCACCAGAAACCAGGTGACATGGCGAGGGCGCCAACATCGATCTCGAAGAGAAGATAACACACTGCTGCTTGCCACAACGGACTGACATTTCCTGCTTCGAAGAATGTGAGGTCAATATCTAGTTCGTCCGGCGCGTTGAAGAGGTCGAGGATTTGGAAGATTATTTCCGGTGGAAGGTCGGCGGCTACCTTGACCATGATGGTAACTTTGACTTTGACTGATGAAGGCGAGGAGGGGTATCTGGATTGGAAATGACTTCGCGTCTTCTAGAGATCGTCAGAATGTGGTTTTTTTTCTTTTTGGACCGTAGTACTCTCTGGGACAGATGAGTGCGCCAAGCGAGGGTCCTGTTTCTATTGTACTGTTGACATTAAGGATATCCAGAGATATGTTAGAAAGCTGGATCGAAGACGACAACGCGGGCCGGGAATAACTGATGAAGTGTCACTATTTTCGTGGTCGTTTGCAGCACTGGTCTTGGACGTTGTGTTTATTCGAGCGTATCACTTTCGCGTGGTTGTTACTAGGCAACACTTCTGGCCTCTCACTTCCACGAGGACACACATCGAGCGCAGTGATGTGCAGTAATTCGTCGTCTTGCACGTCCTGAGTCGCGACCCGGGGACACTGTGCTAGAACGACATAGTCGGTAACACCCGTCAATGCTTAAGAGCAGTCACGTCCATTGACTGCTGGTGTTGTCGCCGTGCCTTCCAGCCTCGAACAGGATCCATACAGCATCTTTCGTAAGATCAACGGAGGTTACTATGGCCTCGACTGAAACGTATCTAGTCAGTGCCTACTTCATGACGAGTGCTGTCGCGCCTGCCGAATGAAGTCCAGAGGAGCTTGGTTAGAGACGAGCTGCAAAGCAAGTCGAATTGGAAGTAGAGTGACTGCAAAATATTGCCGCTATAAGCACTTACGAGCATTCACCAAGCGGCCATAATATTTTGAATCCGAAACATCGGATCAACATCTCGGATGAGCAATTTTAGCGCCGGACGAACTTGACCTAGTGTCACTCAAGCTTCATCGAGCTCAAGAACAACATCACGACTGGGATTCAGGAAGACGAACTGGTTGCACAAGCATCGCTATTGACAGCAACCTCCACCAATCGAGGTGGACGATGACAAAATATTGCAGTAAATCGGCATGTTTAGTTCCACCTCCGACATGAGAATGGGAGAGCCTATATATATGGCAGATTCTAGGAGATAAGATGAAGAGGTGAGTCGGCCTACAACGAACGAACCTAGGACGTCTTATCCTTGCCTGCAATTGTTCTCATCATCATGGTACTTGACTTCCTCTACTCCCAGATCTTCGTGACTCCTGCCATTCCGACAACCCCTCTACCTGGCCAGACCCTCATTATCACCGGCTCAAACACTGGTCTGGGCCTGGCAGCAGCAACTCACATCGCCTGCCTGAAACCTGCACTTCTTATCCTTGCAGTACGAAACCAAGCGAAAGGCAATGCTGCACGCGACACGATCTACAAAGACACCGGACTCAGTCCTGAAGATGTCAAGATCGAGGTCTGGGATCTGGACATGAGTTCTTTCGCGTCCGTGCTCGCTTTCTCTGATCGCTGCGCCAACGACCTATATCGTTTAGACGGAGTCAGTCTGAATGCTGGCATCACGATGGCGAAGCTGGAACTCATGGAAGGGTACGAATCGACCATTGCGGTAAACGTCATTTCGACTTTCTTACTTGCCATCACACTTTTACCGACTTTGCGCAAATCTGCAATGAAACACAACATCACGCCACGGCTTAGCATCGTGGGTTCTGAAACACATGTCTGGGCACCGTGGAAAGAGAGCACGACTCCGGAAGGGACGAAGATTCTCGAAGCCATGTCCGCACCTGGGACGAAAGTCTCACAGGCAAGGTACATGGACAGCAAGCTCATGCAGATCCTTGTCTTTCGACACCTTTGCAGCTTGTTCGTTGCACAGCAGCTGCCTGAAAATGCCAAAGTCATCTTGAACATCCTCAACCCAGGCTTCTGCTACTCGGATCTTGGCAGAGATTCCTCACCACTTGTGCAGACTGTGATGCGGTATTTTCTAGCGAGAACTCAAGAAGTAGGTGGAAGACCTATTGCTGCAGGACTTGTGGCAGGTCTCGAGACGGATGGAAAGTACATGCATGATGGGGTTGTTGCTGAGGGAGCACTGAGTAGATATGTCAAGAGTGAGAAGGGTGAGGAGATGGGAAAGAGGTTGTGGGAGGAGCTTAGGGAGGTTTTTGAGCAGGCGAGACCTGGTGTTGTTGGAAAACTTTGGGAGAAATGAGCATATTGGATGTCTTGCGCTGGCTCGATATCTATGAACGAGCAGTGGTACTGGTGCATCTCATAGTCGCATTATGTGTTGAGTAGTGGTCTCCCCGCCTCCAGGCCACGGCCTCGGACTCCTGAGCAGAAATCCTTTGTCGGCCACCACGTCCTCTGACATCACGCCCGATGCAGCGTCTCTAAGGATTTCCGTAGCTCTCAATCAGTATCTTCGATTCCTCGTTCCTCCAGAACATCCCTCAACGTCCTTCCTTCCTTCTCAGCTATCAGCCCCAACAATCCTAAAGCCGCATCTCTAAGATCGTTGAACTTTGTCACACTCTCCTTGTACCTAGCGACTGTGTCTCGAGCCTGTCCAAGAGCCCGCTGATCAGTTATATCATCATCATGACCTTCTGGCATAGATGCATCGTTGTGATTGGGAAATGTTGAGTTTGGTGTAGTGCATTCATGAGGCTCTACAACGGCTGTTTGACTTTGCCTTTGCAACTGAGCGATTTGCGATCGAACTGTATCGACATCTGCATGTGCCTTGGCGATTTTGGCTCGTAACTCGTCTGCTCGCGAAATGTGTGCTTGTTTTCTAGGACTCCCAGCCATGGTCTGTGTGTCCCTGACTTCGGCTGTCTCAACGCACATATTGAAGTTCTTCGTATTCCTACTCAGAAGGTAAAAGAATCGTATTGACAAATCTTGTGCGTTGCCCCGACTGTTCTGATGTGTTTACCTCGAAACCTTTAGTATTACCAAAACGGCATTTGAGCGCAGCACGCAAGACCAAATAGCATGGAAACTCTTCGATCCGGAGACTCGAGGATCGAGATGAAACATAATTGCTACTGGGGTGGTCAATTTCTGGTGTATTGGAAGGAGTAATAAAATAGTGAGAAGGCAGTCACGACCCATCGTGCTGGAGCGAACAATGAAACTTGTCATTCTTCTTCAAATGACGTCGCTTTCTATAGCAGAAAGAACTCGAATTTGTTACTGGCCAAGTTGGTGCCTCATATCAGAATGCAGAACCTCGCACGATCGCCAGGTCGAATATGCGCGCAGAGAGAATCTATACGATGCTGATTTGTAATGTGGCGTGGATCACGTCGCAGAATTCCTTTGAAATCGATAGAAGAGAATCACACTCTGTTCCATGTCTATGTACTGTCACCACTATTACACGACCTGGTCTGTACATGTTCCACGTTCACTCTTCAACAAAGATAACCTCACCGAAATCGCTGATTTCACATTGATTGTTTGCTCGCCCTCGGAAACCCCATATGCAATGTCCGTCTCGACAAAATGCTTCAGTGTTACTATATCATGCCACCCTAAATAAATTTCGTCTATTGGAATTGTCATGCGTATTATACCATTCTCGTTTCAATCATAAATTCGTCAAAAAATTGTTGCTGTAAATAAATCATAAAAAGAAAATGCTTCGCTTATCTGCACGCAATGCTAATATGCATATCCAATGATTTCAGGCGGTGTATTTTGTGCCTTTCTTCTGCCAGGAAGTGCCCAGCCAGATTTTCGAACTCCGGTGCCGACTCTCTGTAAGGTGATGCGTGGTTTCGGAGGAATTTCAGAATATGGAACGCTGCCTTCGAGATGTGCATGGACGTTGACGGCACTATTCGTGTCTGTCCTGAGCCAATACGGTGCTGCCGGTACAATGGGTGACACGGGGGCTTGATCAGCGATCGGCGCCAAGACAATATTAGATTTCTGCGTGGCTGACGATGAATCTTCCGTGAATAGTGGCGCTGTCAAGACTGACACTGTCGATGATGCTAATTGAGACAGTGCTAAATCCCGATTTCGTGTGGTGTAATTGCTTGAGGCGTTAGATCTTGCTGGGCTGTTTGGAGGTGTTTCTTCGTCGTCAGGAATCATACTCAGACGATTGCTCTTTCTAAAACTCATACGGTAGCTCAGGCCTCGCTTGACCATGCCTAACCCACTGACACGATCTCTTCTCGATTCAACGAGCAAAAGTGGTTTGCAGTGTCCTTCACATACTTCTCGCTTGCTGGATTTGCGCGTCAAACGTGCGTTGCCCACTGCAGCAGGTAACTCGCATACCGCCGGCTCTCGAGATATCAGGGGTCTCTGCACTCCTGCGGCCATTAACTCAATAGCACGTTCTACACTGATCCCGGAGCCTGTATCGCTCATGGCCAGCGCTCGTTTTGCCTCCAACTCTGGAAACCCCATATCTTGCACCAAAAGGGCCACGGCTTTGTCTGTCGGGTCTATCACGTCTGTTGCTTGCTCTCCGCCACTGTTCGATGATGTCCTGACAGCAGATACGGAATATCTCTGCGACTGATCTCTGTTCTGCATTGGGAAGAGTGTCGGTCCTAATTTTGCGCTCACATTCTTTGTCAATGACAGCGGAGAGAAGAGCATAGGGTTTGAGTTTGTTGACGGTATAGGTGTGGAATTGACTGGGGACAATGGGTCGCAATCAGGTCGAATGTCAATACGTTCATTTATCGAAGGAAAGCCTTGCAGAGACATCGATTGCCTATTTGTTTGTCGTGTATCAACTCGTAGCGACTGTCTGTGCGCCTGCATCGAATGTAACGGTCCGTTTATTACAGCATGAGCCGGATCGGAAGAGCTGCGTTTGTGGCTATGCTGGACACTTTTCCTGTAGTCTTGAGCCTTTTGACGTGCCTGTTTCATCAACCTTTCGCGGTAGACGTCCTCGACAGCGGCTTTGAGAAAAGTCGCACGACTCCTACCTTTCGTAGGTGGAGACCACCTTGTTATGCCAAGAACTTTGGCCTGCTCAAAGTCGCACGACGACAGTGTAAGAACAGCTTTAGGTCCGAGAGATAAGATGTCATGTATCCAGGCACTGAGCAGGACGCTATCAGAGACTTTCGCCTCTTTCGCATTGTCGAAAATGCCTGCCTGGCGTGCCTCGTCTTCCCGACCTCTGAAGCCTGACAGTAGGTTCTCTAAGCATCTCCAGAGCTCACTCATATCTTCCAACTGCTTCATAGTACATGCTGGTCTGAAGTAATCTGACCTGGTGGAAGATTGACCATATTGAGTGACGCCCCCGTTAAGCCATTGTGCCTGTTTTGACAGCGTAGCATCAGACGCTGAAGTCTTCCCGAAAGCGTTGCAGAAGCACCAGATTAACCAAACCGCGTCCTCGAGTTCTGCTTTTCTGTTAGGTTCATCACCTAGCAAAGCAGCAAGCGATTGGGGTCGCAATATGAATTGGCAGCGCCAGACAATGAAGTCCTCTAGAGCTTGGACAGTCGCGTAATCCCTCAACACAGATCGCAGACGAAACGGGCTCGGTTTTTCAAGATGTCTTACCGAGTATCGAAGTTCCCAAGCGGCTGGTGATTGGCGGTACAAAACAGAATCCACAAGCATAGTCTCGTATTTCTGAAACGTCACGTAGAAATCCCAACTGACCTGAGCACAAGCTTGCAGATCATCGATGTGTTCAAGATGTGACATGATACTCATCCTGACATAGTCAACGTTGTCTACCACAGAAGGTACTGCTGACTTGCTCGGACGCACTGTCTTTGGAGAGCTGGGTGACGATTTTCGGGGAGCAGAAGTATTACTGATATGCCGTTCCTGGCGGACATGGATTGTAGTCGACGACTTTGGTGTCTGTGGAGGGCTCGTGCTGTCTGCCATGGCTCGACCTAGTCTCTCGCCCCGACTCGACGGTCTCTGTCCCTGGCGATTTCTACGCGGTTCGTCTCTATACACCACAGGCAGAGAAGTTTCTGATCTGGCCTTGAGACCTGCCATACTTCCAAAGCTGATACTCTTCCCTCTCGTACGTCTCTTCAGCCTTTCGTGTAACGCATTCTCTTTGTCCGACTCCTTTGCAGAATAGTCGGACGAAGACAGGTCTTCTGTTTGACTAGACTTTGAGGATCGCCGTGACATACAGGAGGAGGCATTACTCAATTTTGTTGAAGGGATTGAGGAGGACACGCTGGATCTATAGCCAACCTGATCCTGCTCGCTCAACGCAGCAATCTTCATATTCTTACGTCGCAGGACTCGAGGGGACGTCGATGTTGGCGCAAGCTCAAACCGTTGAACAGGTGTACCGTGCAGCTCGGGGAAGCGAGTCGTCGTTGGAGTGGATGGAGGCTCTTGAAGAGATGGATTTGTTGACAGTTCCTGTAGTCGACTTGCTTGTATGGTGGCATCATCAAACATATTCAGGAAGTCATCGCTTTCTAGCCGCTCCAAGGACGGAAGCGTGGTGAGTGAGACGGTACTCGAGGTGAACTCATCGTATGTGGAGGAAGCTGTGTTTGTGGAGAGTAGACTAAACCTCTTGGTGAGGCCCAGATATGGTCGATCAAGCGTAGGAAGTCGTAATAACGACGACATATTCTATGAGAGTGCTCTCTCCAGCAGGCGGTCGTCCGTCATCAATTGGCTCGAGCAAAGGAGCTTGACGCGGTAAATCAAACAAGACGACGAAGTCTGTAGAGCACTCCATGGGTCAGCATGATGTGACTGGAGAGACTCGACAGGAATGGTGCGACGAGAAGATGGAAGCTCAAACGGCATGCTGCCAGGTGGATATGTCTTGGTTTGAGAAGGCTGGTGTATCAAGACCACGAAATGGAAGGAAGCGCCATTGACAAGGATGCTGGCGATAGTGGGTCTTACCGTTAGCTGGATCGGGCCAAACCACGACCGTTGAGGAAAAGGTCAGCTGGGCAGATCAAGCATTGGAGGCGCCACTGCAAGCTAAAGATAGGCGCCGATCAGAAGTTGGTGTTTTACGGACATGCTTTTGCTTCGCCCTGTTTCCACGTCGAAGAGTATCAGGCTATGCAGGCGCGAGGCACATTCTTGAGCGTGGCAATTGCTTTTGTTTTGAGTTTGCGACATTGCCATACTGATGCCACGATCGACGTGGTGGGAATGGTCAGTCAAGCCATCATACCGACGTCTGAAACACGTATTCTCGCTTGTGCTTTTAGCTTGCAGCGAGGCCGAATTGGTGAGGTCAAGGAGTGGTGACCTCTTCGTGCCTACCTAATCAAGTCTGCCAACTTTCCTTATTAGTTTGGTCACTTGCAGGGGGTCAGTCGTGGTCTCTGCTTACACGAAGATCGTCTTCAGGTACGACACAAAGTCGTAACCAATCTCCGCATTTCAGGTGATAGGATTTGGCGAAATTGTGGTGAAAGAGTGCGTTGGCACGATCACCCCATGAAGTTGTTCTAAGTTTCGGCTTGACCAAGTTACAAACATCGGGAGCAAATCAATCCGGTCAACCGTTAGATTCCACATGAACTATCTCATTTATGGCCACGTGTAGTAAAGTGGCGTGGTTATTCCTCATCCACGAAAGAAGGTGCCTAAAAGATAGATTGTGTTCTTGATAGCCTTTAGGGGTACAAATGTACGCAAAGTGTGCTATCCCAATCTCCTTCTTACAATGAGCTATGAACCGTGTCTATCTCTAATTCATGATAACAACAACGTCTGCAGGATCCAGTCTCTCCTCTTTCCATTGATCAGGTTGTCCTTTTTATTGCGCCGCCAGAAAACTCATGTAGATACCCCAGAACAGCCCAACAGTGCTTCCGAACAGTGTTCTGCGCTCCAGTGGAATGACTGTGAAGCTCAAAAGCGCCACAAACGGCCAGACCCGCCAGCCAGCCTGCATGAGCGGCCAAAAGTCCTGTTACAAGTGTCAGTTACCTCATCTGAGCAGACGGTCGTGCTCTACATACGTCCTGAACCTGGTTCATGATGCCCGCGCTGTTCTTTCCTCGAAAATATGCCAGAGCTGCGATGTAGCCTACTGTGTTCGCTGTTGCGCCAAAGACCTGATCAAGCAGAAATTTCTTGACTGTGTTTGTCTTGTTCAAAGACCTTCGTCCTTGTTTCTTCGGATCCATCTGCTGACCAGGAAACTTGCGTTCGAGGAAGACCTGCCATGATATATTGGGTGGGCACGAGATCAGAGTCCAGGTAAGAAAGAAGAGGAAGGTGGCAGAATCGAACGAGAAGGGTTTCTGTGAACATCAGTCCTGAGTCAGCTACCATTAGAGGTTTGCACATACATCTCTCTGCCGAGCTGTGAGAACCTGAGCGATTATGTTCGAGAGTGCTCCTAGAGCCAAAGCCTGCGCCGTACCAGTGACCAGAAGCGACGGCATTTTGGTCGGATCACTTTCTGGATGTTGGCAGCATATGAGAGGAAAATATTTCAGCCAGGAGAACGGTCTGAAAGTGGAATGTCGCGTCTTGATACACGTCCTTTCTATATTGACACATTTGCACTACTGTTCTCTTTATTGACTGCGCTCGGGTCCTGATGACGTACTTGGGGCGGCTTTCAGGCGGAAAACAATGATCGTTGGCCCCCACCAGATCCGAGGAAGCACCCCACGTGGATGAACTCCAGTGTTTCGGGATCCTTTTGCGCTGAGCACCAGGATATCCCCTGGTGTTATTCTTGTACAGAAAATTCAGCATTTGGACGTGATCGAGCTTGATATGGATGTGAGAAATCAGATAGCCCCAACACTGAGAGTCGACCGTTGAAACTTGCTGTCACATTCGCTGTGCCTCAGAGATTTACTTAATGCATTCGGCAGTCTTCGCATATGTTGGGAGATTGACCAAGTATACGATCTGCCCAGGTAGTCTGACGTCCTTCATCTGAGTCTTGTGGCTGAACGGCTGGCAAAAGCGCTCAAAACAGCCCACTGAACAAATCGTCAATGGCATCTTTATGCTTTTTCGTCTTCTTGCGAATTTGTTGCCCACTCATATTTGAGCCATAGCTAGGCAGCAAATCTTGATTGGCTGGATGTATTGCAGTATCAGGTCGTTGTAGTTTGGCGGTCGTCGTTACATTGACCTGAATGTCCGCGCTTTCTCCAAAGCCTTCAAAGTCATCGTTTGCAACCACCGCCGCACCTTCGTCTCCTGTCGGGCGGCCAACATGATCATACCTCCTTTCAATTACCTCGCCCTGATCCTCTCCAGTGACTCTCGTGCTCAGCCCTAACAACGACCCTGGCGATCCAATCTCAACACCTTCTCTACGCCCTTTCCTAGAGCTTGCTTCGTCCTCCACTCCTCCCACACCACTAGGTAAACCCACCCCATGCGCACCCGCAGCAACCTCAGCCAGCAATCCCATCAATACCACTCCCAAGTTCGCAAACTGTGAATCCGCCACGACCGTACTGAAAGTAACATAACACTTCGGCACCAGCACCTCTCTCACATGCTCCTCGAGCACTTCTCGTTGACTTCGCAAACTAGCTTCCTTCTCGAATTTGCGCCGAACTTGGTCTGATGTGGTGGCTGGTTGAGCCGAGACTGCAGCGAGGGATTTGGTGATGGTGAGAAGACGGGCTAAGGATTTGTGGAGAAGAGAGAGGTATTTGAAAAAGGGTTGAGCACGATGCTGGTTCTTGTTCCGGCGAATGGCGAGGTGAAAGAGTAGGATTCGTTGTGAGAGACGAGTGATCGAATCTGGCTGAGTGAGTGTTGTAGCGTGACCTGGTTGTTGCAGAGAAGGGATCTGGTAGTTCAATGGTGTTCGAGGCCGGCGAAGACCTTTGCGACGTTTTCGCGTCACTCTCCGCTTTGTGTTCTTGACGAGCGACGACCCTAGCTTGTCTCTAGACTGCCCGTCTACGGCTGGTTTGTTTTGTGGTCCAACTTTGTCCATGTCCTTCTTCTTGATAGTCGACTCGATTACTTGCTCGTGTGGTTATCAGCATTCACCCACTCTGCAAAGTCCCACTGCCGATACACACCACAAATCCAGCTGAACAGGACATATTGATTCGTGCTGGCTGGGTGCGGTCTGAATTACTAGAACGTGGTCGCGATGAACAAAGTAAGAAGATTGAGGCGATAAAACTCGTGGTTGTCCAGAACTCTTGAGCCAAAAGCGGAGTACGCCAAGCGGTTTCTATTAACGAGCTCCCGTTTCTGGGGTTTGCTGAGTGCTGAGGGTCTTTGTGACTGGTCAAATACTCAATGCCTTTACGGTGTGCTACGACTTTGGAAGAACCTCATACCGTTCGCTCTGATTATGCCTGAAGCGTGAGTATATATCCGGAGTATCTTGTCCATGATAAAGTCAATGAGTCTGGCTCGAAGCACTACACACAAGAATTCAATATTGCAGCTGTCTCACGTCCAGACAATCATTACCAGGCTGTTCCATACTCCCGCAAGCATGAGCAACAGCCCGATCGACTACAACAACCGCACTCTCCGTTCCGCGTCCAACACACCCAACGGCGAGGTCAGTCCCGCTACGATATTTCATTACCGCCAGGATCCACCTCCTTCAAATACAGTCTGGGCAACATACTTGGGTGGTTCAATCGTTCGTGGATTTCTGATAGCTACTGTCAACACTGACCAGAGTCTCAATGCTCGGTATCAGCATGTCAATGACAGGAATGAGCTGATGACGGGAAAGTGTAGGAGCGTGCCAGAAATACTTAGTGATGGAAGGTTGAGATTACATGAGGAGTGGGAGTGGATTTCTGGCGATTGCAGCAAAGGGACCAGCGTTGTCGAAGAACAATCCGAAAGTAATGGGACGACGTCGTAGGTCCGATGATCCAGGTACCGTTACTCAGCAATTACTGCAGCATCCAGGGCTTCTGTCAAATTTCCGCCAAATCAATTGTCATCAGCCTCGTTACGACGGCACTGCCTTGTCATCCCCGAAAGGATCATCCTGTGTCTTTGCAGCATGCCTGTACTTTTCCTCGTCAAACTGCCAAAAGCCAGCAGTAAGCTCAGGTTGGATTGAAAATCCGATTTTCGCACACAATGCCTCGACTTTGGGATCTATGCCTGTGTTGCTGAAGTATTTCGTCTGCCATTTCCTACCTTCTCTTTCCTCCTCCTTCCGCATCTCTCTCTGCCTCACCTCTATTCGATTCTTCTCTGCACTGACTCCAGCCATATCCCGCCGCTCCATTGCCTCTGTGAATTTCCTCCACAATCTTCGGCTCTCCAGCGCATCTTGCTCATCGAGTGGTGCGACATCTATTTTAGCTAGCTTCTCCACTGAGGTTGTCGCGTCGTATGTCTCGATTACCTCGTTTCTTCTCACATCCTTGATGGTGAAAGTGCCTGTCCATTGTCCCTCGGCGGTGTACAGCGGCTCCGACTCTCTTCCTTCTGCATACAGTGTTGCGAAGAACGAGTTCCGCTTTCCTCTTAGCCAACCTTTGCCAGAAAATGTGATCTTAGTGGTGTAGCCAGAGGTTGACTGGATGTAAGCTGGTGTGTCGCTGTCAAATTCTGCAAATGGTGGTGGCGGAAGAAAGCCCGTCAGATGGACTTGTGGGTTTGTAAGCAAATAGTCCTCGTTGTATTTGTCGATGTGTAAGACCACTTGACCAACCTTATGAAGGTGAATCATGCCTTTGGCAAAAAAGGTCTTGGCGGCATGGTAGCCTTCGAGAGACATCCCGGCGTCGTTGTTCCACATCCTATAGGCTGTCACTGGTGGATGATGACTGACCTGTTCTGAGATGACTTGTGTGGTACCGTAAGAACTGCCCGGAAAGCTGCCAAGAAAGTGTTCACCAAGCACAGGATTGAGCGGCTTACCCTTCTTTCGATCCTTGCGCATGTCGTATTGTTGCTTCAGTGTCGTCAAAAACCAAGTCAGTACGAGGAGTGCTCGTTTTGATGGATTTGGCTCCTGAGAAGGTGCAACGAATCTTGCTGGTTGCTCAACCCAATATGTAGGAAACTCGGCCATAGAAGTGGTCGAGAGGATGAAGGGAGGTGCAGTGAATGATGCTAGGTCTCCTTTGAACGAAGCTATTGACTACATGCTTCAGTCAGTATGTATTGATACGCAGGTCATGAGTAATGGCAGAGTATTGCCACGGCTCGTGTTGTTCGCAACCAGAATGGCTGGTGGATCGTGGGCGTATTGCACCTTTAGAAAAGATAGGAATTCTTTCTTCATGCCTTTGGGCATCTCAATCGGCTCTTGATTGTCCATCGTTGCTGCCATACTCGACTACTTTGCAACTTTGTCGCTTTTTGGTCGTCACCTTGTTGTGATTGACTCTTTTCGTGGTGGTGGTCGTGGTCTTCAAGGACTCACATAGAAAATGCCACTTTACAACATTCGTGAATACCAGAATTGAGCATAATGCAGGTACGCAATGAACGCGACACATCGTAAAACAGTAAGGAGAGCAGCTTGTCTTGGCTCCACGGATGGTCATTGGCTCATCGATGCCGTCGGAGAATCGTGAAGTCCGGAGTCCGATGTGGCTTCGACGTGATCACTCATGACATCTCCATCCCCTCAGTTCTCTTCTTGTGCATCGACCGCTTCTGAGGATTTTGCAATTGGACTTCGCGTCGCCGTCGTTCCAAGGTGTCTGTACCGGAAATTCAGAGCCTAACCCAAATATGGCCCGTTGCAATTTGCTTAGTCGAAAGTATGAGGCATGTCAGTTAACCGACGACCAGAGCTGCAGGAGACCATGGAAGAACGAAGTGAGACGTGATATCGAACCTCCAGCAGTGATTGATACTGGATCAGAGCAACAACGGTCGAACCTTCACTTCTCCTCCCAAGGCCAGAGGCCACGACCTCTGACTTCGTTCATATCAGGATCCTCCGAGTTCCCGACAACCTCCATCCATTGCTTGAGGAAGACTTTGTTGGCATTCCTGGCTGACTGCCAGCTCTCTGGAGAAACCCACTCCTCCGAGCTGGAATCCAGTTTGTCCATGAGGAAGAGTTTGAGCTCTTACATCGTCTCAAAATCGTTCCATTGACGTCCATGCTCCGGTGACTCAATTTTAACAATTGGTAAGGGCACGAACTTGACATATTAAGCTCTGACCATAGGCGTGAAAGCTCTAGGAGCTCGTGTCGAAGCACTAGATCGCTGCTTGTATGAGACGAGCGACAATAGCGAAATAGCCTTAGCATCGTATCGTCTATTGCCCTGGCAGCAGCCAGTCTTGGTAACTTTGCTGCTATGATGACTTCGAAGGTCTTACGACAGATCAAGGAGTCTCTCCGAGAGTGTTCATCTTGTGTGGAGCTGATACAGGGAGTTGCAAGTGCTTCTTCGTCCTTGGCTGCTAGAGCGTTGGATATTTCAGCAAAATCAGGTGTATCGTTGGCATATATGAAGATCGGCTCTATGGAGGTGAACTGCCAGTCGATGATGCTAGTCACATGGGTAGGATCCTCAGCGGAAACATAGATATTGCGCTTGTGCAAATCCCAGTGTAATAGCATGGGATCTGATGTTCGTGTAAGTTGCTTGTCTTGTGAGAGTCGTTCCATGGTCAGCTGAGCAATATCAATTAGGCGAGAGTGCTCATCTTCAGTGCCTCGACGAGCCAGCATATCGTCTCTTGCTTCTTTGCTTTTGTGGATACGCGAGCGAGTCGCGCACAAAAGTCCATTGACATAGTCCTTGAATGTATTCCCTGAATACACTGTTACCTCAAGACGATAAGCCAATAGGAGAACGCAGCATACATAGGCCCCAACGTTCTGTCATGATCTGCACCAGAGCACCAAAACCATGCCCTTGTTACTCTGGGCCGCAGTGTGGCCCGCTGATATAGCCGTTCCCAAAATCGACCTTGTTCGTGCTGTCAATGTTGGCGTCGGCACAGCAGAGGCTACCGTAGGCGGGAAATTTTAGACGAGCAATCTCTACCATTAGCTTTGCCAAGGTCTTCGTCACGAGCATGTGCTGATGTGTGCTCATCGTCGGCCACGCTGTGTGAAGTTGAATGCCGGGAACATGCTCCATGATCATGTACGGTGTACCCACAGGATTGAATTCGTCTGAGCTCCATTCGAGCACTTTCGGGACAGGAACCGTGGTGTGTGAGGCCACTGCACGGTGTCAGCTCGGTAGTCTCTCGAACTTTATATGATACTACCATATCTCATGACGGCTACCTCGGACTGTACAACGAGGTCTCGAGCTATGGTAACCTTGAAAGGCAACCTAGCCACCATCTGCTGACCATTGTCGAGGTGAAAGATGAAGACGCGATTGAAACCTCCTTCCTTCTTCTCGTAGCTCAGCACTCGCTCGGCACCATCGCATAGACTCACGACCTTCGCGCATAACCCGGCGAAGTCAAATCGTAGGCGGCGAGCCTCGAGTTGCTCCTTGTCGCGATGAAGCCAACGTCCACTGGTATAGTTGAAAGGGTCTGGAAGTTCTGGAACAGCTGAACATGATTTGACGCGAATACCCAGTGGACGGGTTGGACAAAAACAATGTTTGAGAAATTTTCGGATCATTGACAGAAAACGGTGAAGACGCACGATCATACTTGGACACTGTGGAAAGGAGGCAGAAGCGATTGCCAGTCTTGGAAAACGACAAGGATACAGCCTAATCACTAGATGACTTTGTACTTGAGTGCGACACTACATCGAACCGACATTCGTCTTCAACACACTAACTACGAACTTGAACATCTCAAGCTCAGAACAAATTAAACGACCAGTTGTAGGTCCAGTCTACATCACCACCATAGATGAAATGAAAAGGCCCGAGCCTCCACCTTCTCACACCTGGAATGACCGGTGCACTCTGACTTTCCACCTTATCCATAAAAACACCCCACAGCAAGCTCGCAAGCACGCCAACCAAAGCCGGTACGCCTCTCGTCCACGAGTACCACAGGATTAGCATAGCAATCGTCCACAAAATCCATTCCTTCCAATTGAAGCCGGGCTTGAAATGCCCGTCCAGAATTTTGAAGACGCCCTCCACAGAATCAACTCTCAGTCTCGGCTGCAGACTCGCCTCACCGCCGCGATAGAGCAGCGCGAACGCAGTACGTGTCGTGTGGCTTGCGAGGTAGTTCAATTTGAGTTTGAATGCTTGCTCAGGGTGAAGGTTTGGATTGAGCGAGTCGAAGAGGTCCAGTGTGGCGAGAGCCTTAAATTTCCACTCGCGGTAGGTGGGAATAGATTCATGACCAGACAGGACGGAAAGGGTGGGATACCGGATTGAGGGAAGTTTAGAGGTGCTGTTCGACCGGCGGGTATGGACTATCTGGAACATTGGGGTTACTGGGGAGAGGGAGGAGCCGCGGCGAAGTCCAAACTCCATATTGACCTGCGTCTTGGGTCGGGCTCGGACAAAGTGTTTATTTTGGTGTGAGATAGAGTGTGAAGAGAGATGATAGAGGTTGGCAATGTGAACAGTAGCACGATTGGCGAGCATGAGTTTTCGTGTTGTGCCGTGCTGGTTTCGGTAGCTTGGGACAAAGGCCAGTTGCGAGCCATTGTTGTCGGTACTGTTCCGCCAGCTCACCGTCTAGAATGCCAGTATGTGACTCTACGAAATGATCTGCATTCCTGGTGGACTTCCGTTTGCGGTGAACAGATCTGACAAAGGACATATCGCGCGACATGGCTGGTGTCCTGCGGCACGTTTTCTCCTGATCGGTGTAATGCACCAGTCAATACCATGGAAGCCCCTCAGCTTTCAGACTTCGCCTGAACAGTCTTGTCCCCAGCATCGACGATGACCGCATCATCACATCCCTCATCATCCTCAAAATCCTCATCCTCTTCGCCTTCCTCCTTATCTCCCTGTCCTGACTGTCCCTTCCCCTCCTCCAGTTTCCTATACTTTCTCCTCTTCTTCTTCTCAGCACTCCTCCTCTTCTTACTGACCTTCTCCCTCTTCTTCTCAACACGACTCTCACTTCCTTTCTCCAACACCTCAACTTTCTCCGCTAGCAGTCGGCGCGCAATACTCTCATTCTGTATCCTTGATCTCGTCGCCTGGCTCTTGACCACGATCCCTGTAGGAAGGTGCGTGAGTTGTACGGCGGAAGAGGTCTTGTTGATCTTTTGACCGCCTGGGCCAGAGCCTTTGAGGTAGCGCTTTGTGGTGTCTTCTTCAGCGACTTTGGGACGTGGTGGGAGCGTGTCTTTCTTGCGAAGAGCTGTTAAAGTACTGAGGCAGGCCACGAAGGGATATTTTCGAGCATAGTATATCACATGTTTGCTGGAGAGGCGCGATGCGATTGTTGAGATCGCACGGCGCATTGGCGGGCAAGATGCAGAGGTGGTATACTGAAAGCGGCTGAGTGCTGGCTTGTGCAGAGCTGAGATTAGTGTGTTCTGAACGCCTCAGGCATCATTTGCATTTCAAGCGTGAGCAAGCAAATATCTGGACAAGTGACGAACGATATTACAAAATTGATCATCTTGGACTTGCTGAAAGGTTATGAAATTTTGGATTTTGGCGAATGTGTCTGTCTATATCACACGAGCTAAAAGTCCGTCCCTCGAGTCGATTTTCCATCAAGGAGAAATGGAGATCTCTGGTATATCCTTACTCCCCTGAGCAGCCTCTTCACACTTCTCAACAGGGCGTTGGTTCTTCCGGAAGATGGCTCCTGTTCCATCTCTTGATGCACCTCTGCTGAGGTTGAGGTCCAGATCCTGTGTCTGGTATACTGTAATTCTACCAATCAGATTGTTCTCCTTGCCTCTGGGCAACACAAGCATGATACTCTACGAGCTCATATATGACTGTAGGGCTTGCTGGGCAGCAGAATCCATTCCACCTACGGCTTGTCCAATTCTCCCTCCGTTTCTCTGGTCAGCTTCTTTCAAATGCTGTCCAACCCATTTTCTCAAATCAGTAATATTCTCAAATGGGTCTTGGGGCACTTTTCTGACAGTGTTCAATGCAGTAAACCCAACACCAAATACCGTATCTTCCACATCTTGGTCCACAATCATGTCATCACTTTTTGGAGGTACCGGCGGGTTCTCCAACAACTTCAGTAAAGCATTACAAGTCAGTGGCCAGCCTTTCGGGTATCGCGTGACGAACGCTTGGGAGTCTGCAAGCGTCTTGGTTAGGGCGACTGCAGCGATTTTTCGGTCGATCGGACGAGCGAGTTCTTGTGTTTTCGGCAAGATAATGGAAAGGTATAAGCCTCGAAAGACATCGTTCTGGATTTTATCTGTTTCGACGACAAAGACATCAGCTCCTAAGCCTCGATTATCTTGTGATGCAAAGAAGTGGTAGAAGCGAACAAAGCGTGATTGGAAACTGGCTGCTTGTTTGCCTTGCAATCGCGTGAGCATGATATTGAGTATGTCAGTCCAGTAGGGTTTCAGTGCTTCCGGGGAGAATGAGGTAACACAGTCTTCGAGAAGGTCGCAGCCATATCCCTCGTTTGTCTTTGTTGATACCAGTTTCTGGAACAAGCCTAGCACGTTGGGTAACTGATTGTTCTTGACAAGATCGTCTGCTGCTCGTGGAATAATGGCCGAGAGCAGTCGGACCAGAGCTGGTACATTGCCTCTCTGTTCCCACAAGACAGGACTAAGCACTGGTGCAACCAGAGGGGAGAAGTTTTGTGGTAAGGGCTTAATGGGTTCCTTTTCAAACAAGGCTGCAAGCAATTGAAAGACGTATGGCATAAATTCGTCGACGCCGTTTTGAAGAATATTCGTGAATGGGCCGTAGAGGGCTGTGCATAAGGATTCGGCAGTTGAGGCTGCGCTGAAGCGGATGACTGCGCCAATCGACTCGAAGTGGTAATAGTAAAATCGAGGATTGCTTGGATTTGTGGCAATGATGTTTGTGATGTCGATGAGGTGGTGTAGTACGCTGCCTGCTACTCGACTGATCTCTTCTCGCAAGACAATAAGCACTCGCATGATGCAGCGCATCACGAATTCATTCTCTTGCACTTTCGCAGGCTGTCGATCTCGAAGTATGAGACTGAACAAGTGTTCTGTCAGGTCTTTGGCCAGAGGAACAATATTCGCAGGGTCGATGATGGGCTTGTTGGTGGTCTGATCGATCAGTGCCAGAGCTCTTTCGGTGACCACGGCAGCATAAGTGTAGACACAATAGTTGGAGTGACCAAGATGGTTGACCAGTAGTGGAATGACTTGCTGCCACTGATCTTTACCCATCAGACTTCTGAAGACATACAAATACTTGATAGCATCGACTTTGAGTAGAGGTTGAGCATTAGCATCTTGCAGATCTGCTGCCAAGTTTTGCGAAAAAAAGTCGCCGATATTGACACGCTGATTGACGCTTACAATACCGTGGCTGACTGTTGCTGTTCCTTTTGCGGCGATTGCATAGTATAAATTGACCGCTGTATCCTTTGACCGCCAATTCGAAGCAGGATTGGATTTGTGGTCTTGCAATAGCTTTTCGATAATACTCATGCCTATCGAGGTGACAGACTCCTCAAACTGATCACTGAGTTCTTTCAAGAAGTCGGATGCGGCTCTCCGACGGGTCTCGCTGTCGGAACCCTCCAGGTCCCTACGAATGAACTCTATTGGCTCGTCCTCAAAGGTCTCAACGTCCGAGTCGCGTAGAGCAACATTCGGCACAACAACCTTTTCCACAATCTGGGACTGCACATTCGGATCGTTGAAGTTCTGGGCTTGCTCGTTGATCTTGGTGACAGAAGTTAAGAACTGCAATGCCTTGCTAACTAGGATGTCGTTCTTGGGCTCTGGACCAACAGTGGTGAGCAGAGTCCATGAGCTCTGGATAAAGCCTTGCACATGCTTGGCGAAATCCTCGTAGTATTTTCCGACATACAGAGTTAGCGCTTCGAAGATATTGGCCTTCGTGGTTTGTAATGGTCCAGCCTCATCCTCATCTTCAGTTTGTAGTGCTTTGTTGTCGTATGTCAAGTATTTGAGCAGGAGGCCGGCTATGCCAGCCAGATTATCCTCGACAACAGGAGGCAGGTCCTGACATGAAAGATCGTAGAAAAGTTGCAATATTAGATCCAGCTCGACAAAGGCTGCCTTGAGAGCAGTAGTATCGCTAGCATGACTGTCGATATAGGAATCCAAGGTCTGCCACAAAGTCAAGAAAGGCGAGCCGAACTTTTGAATGACATGGTTGACCTCTGCGTACAGCTCGTCTGATCGGAATAGAGGGCGCCATCTGCCGAATATGGAGTGAGCGACCTGTAAGACACCAGTGTTCACTTTGATGTTGTCCGCGGTCAATCTAGAAACCAGATCATCAACCAGCGTGTCCCATCGCTCATAGAAGTCGCTGTCTGCTATTATACTTACGGCCTCGCCAAGCTGTGATTGTATATTCGATGGGACTGATATCATCAAGCCGATGATTTCTTTCTTGATAGCCACCACATCCTGCTCTTGCAACTTGTAGTTCCCCTCAACATCGGTCCAGTTCCTTTTGACGAAGTTCTTGAAGAAAAGGGCGCTTGCAAGTCGTGTCTGCAGAGGATGGGAGTCTGAGGCGGTGATTTGCAGGAGGAGGAGAGCGAAGCCTGGCTGTGCTTCTTGAGATTTTATCTGCGCTTCAGCTGTATCATTGTCAGTGTGAAGATCTTATCACGTAGCTGAATACTGACCCTGCTTGTTTTGCTTTGGATCTAACGTTGCATTTAACAATTGCGCCAGAGTCGTCAGCTCTGCCATCGTCCTGCCGGCTGCGATGTCAGGATGAATGTAGATATACAGCCAGTATAAACTGCAACGGCCGTGCAGGATAGAGAGCGCAGGTGTTACAAGGACGATTTCAGAGTAGGACGATAGTATTGCTGCTCAGCGTGCTTTCAAAATTTAAACCCTTAGCAACGGCAATGTTATTTATTTTCCTAAACCGGTCACAGAGGGACGGCAGCGGCGCCTCCCTAACAAGTTTCTAGTGATATGTCCAAGTGTGTCTGCCTACGACCAACTAGTGCACAGTACGATTTGAAGAGTGTTCTAATCTAATACAGCGAGAGCAAACACATTGGTCAGTACGTCTGCTGCCTGACTGTATGTGACCGTGCGCATATGGAGGTCAAACAAAAGTGTTCATGTTCGATGGCAAGTCCTGATCCGATGTTCTAGCTTGATGAAACACTACTCTGTTTCACCATGTTCTCAAGTCAAAATTAACATTCGTAGTGAGCTCGAGCTTGTTAATTACTGCAAGTACGGCTCTTCAATATTGAACACGTTTTTTTCTTTCAGTAGCCCTATATTTCAGCATAATCCGGCGCGTGACGTCAATGCGATGGTTGAAAGCTATCTCCCCGTTCTAGGTACTTGCTAGTATCTGATCCATTCCTGGTTTTGTCTTATTTCCTTCTCCTTCCGTATTGTCGCAGCTACCACCGTGCCTCCATGGATGTGTTTCTTCTCCAGGTTGAGCAAAAAAGTGTGCGGACACTTACTGCCTGGTGAAGCAGGTGAGAGTCTCTCGCTGAACTTGCCTCGCATGAAGGGCGTGAAAAAGGAAAATGGAAAATTTACAGCGCGTGCCGGCAGTAGCCGCCAGGCCTGAACTTCCGCGTCCCCCGATTTAGTGATCACCTCAACTTCCATGTCCTTCTCGCCACCACTATCAGATCTGTTGAAATGCGCCCGCATGCATCACGACTGACTTGCGAGTCCATTGCCTGACCCAATTCCTCTCACATCACAGATCGTCTTCTGACTTTTCAGCCTAGCACGACTGTCCGCAATCTGCATGTAACCTATTGAAAATTGAGGACCTGGCCTTGGCATCAGGCTTATCTTGCTCATTTCGCTCTTGAATCACGAAATGACTCAACTCCTGCGACGGGAGCTTATTCGAATTGGCGTCCTTATCTCATGAATGCTAGCCCTATCTACTGGTCTTCCTTATCTTGACCACCATGAGCGTTGGCCACCAGCTCAATGGGACCACGTCCAGGTCTGCCTCGAAAAGCAACATCAGTGATACATCCAGCCAGAGCGATCAGAAGTACCAGCCTCCTTTTGTGTCTCCCCATGATCTTGAGGATGATGTACACCAATATGACCACTCCGGCCACGAACTTAGAGCCTGGCTTTCCAGCTTTGGCGACCTTGATCATCGAAGTGACGGGACTAGGACGGATGTTTCCCGCCGGTTTAGACTTGACGAGTATCATTATCCACTAGAAGAGCCTTACTCAATGCTCCCGATGCTGGCGAGTCAATTGAGACTGTGGTTCGATACTCGGGTGTCAAATGCTCAGGAAAGAAGTGACGTTGTCTGGTTGCTACACTACATTTCAGACTATATCGAGCTTGGTCATGTCAGCCTGGATGCTGACGAGGTTTGTGGACTCTGCACTCAACTACTGTACGTTTGCTACGAGGCAAGGTACCCCCAACAAATTGAAGGCTGCTTGGCTATCTTTCTATCAATCGCTAAAGCTGGCCACTTTCCACGCAAATGCCTCAAGGAAGTCCTCGCTGCTTTGTCATCCGCGGTAGTCATCTTGGAAAAGCCACTGGCACGACTGCCCGAGTGCGTTCAAATCCTTGCGTCCGGGCCCCTTGCAAAGGATACCATTTTCGCGCTGTATTCGCAAATGTTGGCCGTAACTAGGAACCACGACGAAGAGGAAGATTCACGAAACACCGATATGTCCCGAAAGCTGGCATCTGCTCGCGGTGCAGCTCGGCACTTGAGCAGACTTCTTGAGGTTACAGTACCGGAAGGAGGGCATATAATCGATGTTCCACAACTCCTCCAAACAATCAGGCAAATGGCCGAAGCGAAGTTCATACGCCTAGCTACGGAAATCCTCGTCCTGCTCTACCATCTATTACGGAGCTCTCGGGTCGAAGAACTGGTTCAAGCACAGCATACATTTGCAATCTTACTAGACATCTTCGATGTCTGCAGAGACTCGACTATCGTACCTGACCTCTTCGACTCTACCTCGAAATCCAAGTCGCGACAAGAAGAGAACATCGCTCGTGAACGTCGCTACAAAAAGGACCTTGACAAGTCGGCGACAGAGTTCCTAGGTGCGCTTTCTCTTGTTTTGCCACAGATGGAGACCGACCATGCAAGCAGAGCTTGGAGGCATATTAGAGCTGGAGATTACCTTCGTGCGGAGGCAAGAGCTGGTGCTATTCAGTACATTAGAGAACAAAAAATATGTATACCAGGCCAAAATGCAAACTGGTACGAAGAGCTCCAGTTATTGATCGCCAGAGTCTTAATCGGAAATCCCTCTCATCGATCCGACGTTGACATGGAAAGAGCTTTGTATGATGGTGAACAAGTCAGCGACGGTTTCATCGCAGAGCAAGCGTTATTGAGAATGAGACAACGCATTGAGGTGCTTCATCTATGCATGGGAGCGATTCGCAGCTGTCCTTTCCAGACTGACGAGACTGCTCAAGAACTACCTGCTACTATGACACCTCTTGAGGCGGGCGCGCAAGCTTTGCAGAAGCTTTTGACCATCGTTAATTCTGAACCCACTGGTGAGGTCGTCCGAGTTTTCCTCGACGAGCTGATTGATCTATGTACCAGCTCTACTGATGGTTCCGAGCCACCCTACGCCAGTGTCATCATCGAGGCTCTGCTACATAGCACTCTCACCAATGCTCCAGCGGACAATACTGCTGGTAGTGTCTATTGCAAGAGCACCGAAGCCCTTCGCTCCATCTTTGTGCAAAGTCTTGCTACAACCACCAATGTCCCCAACCAAGTCTTCCAAGCGTTACTGCAGATCGCAGATTATCGAAAGTGTAAGTCGCAATGTGCAAGATTGGTGGCAATGAGTGTGTTGTTTCGCATCAGGTGTGATATAGCAGGCACAATTTATATCGAGCGATCCTCGGGAAGTGCCTACATGGCAAGTGCTTTGTGCAAGACAGACGAATCCTTGAGGGCCATGTTTTCCGAGACCGACACAGACAACCAAGACCTTCGAGGCAGATCCCGCAAGATGCTTGAAAAGCAGCTATGGATGTATCCACGAGAAGCTGAGTTAGTGGAGACGTGGCTACTTCCTGAAAACCCAACTGTTCATATCAAAGGAATCGGTGGTGCACATAACGAGCATGACCTTGATATAGCAGATTGGATCTATCTCATTCACACCAATTTACTCAATGACAAAGACTGGGAGACTTACAGTTACGCAATTGTTCACTTTGGCAGTCAGTTGATCAACACGTGTCTTTTCGAGCAGAGCCAGGAATACCTCGCTAGCTTGCGCGGCTTCTTAGCTGGTCGAGTGCGCGAGAAGGCGAGTATGTTCGAACCGCCAAAGGATACTGGTCTTGATAGGGATGATGTCGCTCTATGTGTTTACCACATCCTCGAACGCCTCATTCCGTACGCGAAAATGCAACCACCTAGCCAGAACTATGAGTCTAGCAGAAGGGGCGTGGACCTGGTTCGCGCGTTCCGAGCAGGAATAGGAGAAAATTTGTACGAAGGTACTGCTAGATCCTGCATTCACGCCCTCTCCCTCTGCTGTTTTGAGACGCCAGAAGCTATTGGTACGGAGTATCCATCTATCGTCACAGCTATGATGCAAAAAATCTCTCAACCGCACCTGCTTGTTCATATTCTGGAGTTCCTGGCTCAGGTAGCTAGGTTACCTCATTTGCACAGACACTTCATGGACGACGAGATCAAACAGATATTTGGTATCTGTATCAGCGCACTGAACAGGCTTCGCTCGACGGAAGTCACGAACACCATGGATCAAAAACGAATTAGTGCTCATGCCCGAACCAAAGGTGGCCTACTGACTCCATATCGAGCGGCGATGCTGAAAGAGGAAGGACTTACCCAGTACTCATGCGCTCTGGCGTATCATACTATGATATTCTGGTTTTTGTCCATCCCGTTACCTCGCAGGAACGAGAAGATCAAAGACATTATACCACCTCTGATCAGGACTGACCCCCATGGACAAGGCAATATTGATCAGCAGACGGTTGTCTTGATTGACATGATGCAACGCACAGCCTTCTCCGACCTTGCCGATACAGCGCGAGATGAGAGCTTCTCCGGCGATGATTATGAACGAACAACCTTTATCGATGGCAATGCAATCATTACGATCGAAACCCATCGAACGAACGGTCGATCTCAGATTACGAAACGGCAAGCTTCTGGCACGACGCACGCTGTGTTCACGCCGTTGGTACAAGAGCTCACATCTCATCACGACCGCGCCTTCCGGGACTTCCCTGATCGTGCAAGGCCATCCCACACGTTCCTGAACATGATTGGGTCTGCAATACCTATCGCACTTCCCGAGCAACCGCTCAAGCTGAATCCCAATGAATCTTATGTGAGCCGTGGAATGAGCGTACTAGACAGGACACCTGTTGTCGATAGCCACGCCATAGGTGTGATCATCTTGAAGAATGGACAAATGAAAGAGAGTGAATATCTTGCCAACACAACAGGAACACCTGCTTTTGAGAGCTTCCTTGACTCGATCGGCACGAGAGTGTCTCTGCATCCTCCTGTGCAGTTCATACCCTTCAATCTCATACCTAGCAATGAGGACGGACCAAATGATGGTGATGAGACAGTGGCTTGGAGAGACAGGATCAACGAGATCGTGTATCAGGTATCAAGCTTGATGCCAAACACAGAGGATGAATGGCAGACAAGGAAAAAGTCACATCTCGGCAATTGCAACGTGCTCATCATATTCAATCAGTCGAACAAGCCGTGGAAGTGGGAACAATTTCAGTCACAAGTGACCATGGTCAATATCGTCATTACACCGGTCAACTGGGTCTCGAATCAGCAGAATTCGGATGATGTGGAGCACGAGTTCTTCACAGTTGAAGTACTGACGAAGGGTGAACACCAGAACATTTCCGCAGCGGCAGAGAAGAAGGTTGTATCTCGGACAACACTGGCTCAGCTGGTCAGGCTTCTAGCATTGAATGCAAATATTTTCTCTGGATGTGCTAAAAATGAGAGTATAGGAGATGCAGAGTTTCCTTCTGCCTGGCGTTCTAGGTTGCAGCAGATTGTGCAACTGAAAGAACGAACACAACAACGGGTCCTCGACAACGAGGATACATTGGCAAAAAGGTATGATTTTAACAGGTGGACTTAAGCATCTGCTAGCAGATGCGCCTGGTGGTGAGAAATTAGCAAGGCGCTGGGGTCACAAAAGTTATCGATTTTATTATTCAAAGGACAAAACGTTTCTACGATGTTCAGGGCTCAAGACGGGACGATTTTCGCCCTGTCGGACTGCGGTGTTATTCTGCCACGATACTTGTATCTCCTTGTAATTTTGAGCTGTACGCTGTAGCACTACCTCGTAGCGATAGACCTACAATCTTGTTCATATACTCTACTTTCGTGAGCCTGACAGCCAAGAGATGCCCTTCCAAGACGAGCTTAGGGGCTAATACTGTAACACGTCTAACCCCGCATGCATGAGCCACATGGCATGCTCGCAAAGCAATACGTCACCTGAGGCGTGGAAAGGGCAGCGCAGCAGGCACCCTCGTACCTTCCATTGTCGTTCAAGATATGCTCACGACAATATGTATAGACCAGCATAACGACATGCTTGCACCACCATTTACGATAGTCACTGTCACTCACTATGACTCAACGCGCCTCATCGTCTAGAGATCCTCCCTCTCCATCGGCGTCCTTTTACGATGTCTCCGATGACGAAGAGGGCGATTACAGCACAATTGCACATACCAATAGCGGCCGAGGCGTCAAGTTGCTCTTCTCAAAGAGCAAAGTCTACGTCCATCCCTCGCCCCAAGCAAAAGACAATATTGCTGGCTTCATAGCTCTGGTCGAACAACGTACGGCGCCACTGTCTTCTGACGAACGACCCCCAACATCCGGCTCAAGTCAATCAAAGACCAAGAGGAGTGATGCTTCGAGATACCTTCTGGCTTGGGTACCGGAGTCATCGCTGGCTCAGGATGACTTTAGCACTTACGTCAAAGTCGATTTGAAAGATTCGCATGCGCCGCCGAAGCAGACATACCTCGTCCCTCCCTTGCCTGTGTCCTCCACCTACGACGATTCGAACGTGGGACCTTATGCTTTCTCGTTACCGTTATCACATATCTACTCTATCCTCGTACGACCACCAAGCATCGGTTGGTGGTTTGGAAGTATTGTAATTAACACAAGGTCCGGCTCAAGTTTGCCTGCGCTGTTTTTCCACGACTCAGAGTGTGAAAGCACGATCTTGCAGCGGAAGGAGAGGGCGAGAGAGTCATTCAACCCTTTTGGCGAAGGAGGCGATTTGTTCTGGGGTGGTGATGAAGTCGTCCGCTGGCTGAAGCAGTACGTAAATGTCGAGCGCAGCACTGCTGAGCCTTCCGTCTTTCTGATTGATCCGACTGAGGAGGATCTGGTTGGTTTCGGTCAAGGCAGGAAGTCATTGGAGGGTCAGTCAGCAGAAAATCAGAAGAAACAGAGCGTGGGACCAGGCATGGATCCCTTGACCAAGACACTGAAAGAGACAAGGTGGAAGTTACTGGAGAACTTTGCTAAGATCACAACCTTCGCCCGAAAGGCGGTCGACGATCTGGCACACAACAAGAACTTACCTCCACAGATGCGGAATTTGCTTCAAAATCCGGAAGTAAAAACTATTCAGGACGAGTACGATTCAGCTAGACTGTACCTCGCTCGTTGGGCTATGAGCATTGCTGAGCAGAGTGAACAGGAGAAGAGGCAGAGGATCTTTACAGCCAGAGACGTGCTCGAGACTGAAGACACTGGCGTTGGCGAATTTGAGATCTTGGATAGTGCAGATGGTGTCGCAAGTGATGGCAAACGCCGACCTGTCAACATGAAAGAGTGGAAAGGCTTCTTCGATGCCCACGGTCGATTACAGATCACCGAGGATGAGGTCAAAGAGCGCGTCTTTCATGGCGGTCTGGATCCTGAAGATGGTGTGCGCAAGGAGGCATGGCCTTTCCTTCTCGGACTGTATGCCTGGAACAGCACGACTGGCGAACGCAAAGCTCAAATGAACAGTTTGCGCGACCAATACATCCGATTGAAGGGCCAATGGTGGGAACGAATGATTGAGGAGCATGCAACTCCTGAACAGGAAGAGTGGTGGAGGGAACAAAGGAATCGCATTGGTAAGCACTCATTCTTTTCGTCATTGCCTTCTGCTCATAGCTTTGCTGACCTTGCCGTCCGTCACATAGAAAAGGATGTCCATCGTACCGATCGTCATATACCACTTTTTGCTGGTGAAGATATACCACATCCGGACCCTACCTCGCCTTTCTACAACGAACACAGTCCCGGCACGAATGTGCATATGGAGCAGATGAAGGACATGCTTCTCACTTACCTGGAATACGACACACCCACAAATGTTACACCATCAGACTCGGCAGTACCCGTTAACCCTCATCCACAGAATCTCGGTTATGTTCAGGGTATGTCAGACCTGCTTTCACCTCTTTACGCAGTCTTTCAGGATGATGCATTAGCCTTCTGGTGCTTCACTCGTTTCATGCAACGAATGTCCCGAAACTTTGTCCGTAGCCAGGCGGGCATGCGTGCACAACTATCAACCCTCGACCAGCTCGTTCAGCTTCTTGACCCACAACTTTATCTTCACCTTCAGAAACTCGATTCAACAAATTTCTTTTTCTTCTTTCGTATGCTGCTTGTCTGGTACAAGCGGGAGTTCGAATGGAGCGACGTCCTGCGGTTGTGGGAATCATTATGGACAGATTATCTGAGCTCGCAGTTTCATCTCTTCATTGCCATCGCCATTCTCGAGAAGCATAGGGACGTTATCATTGACCATCTCAAAGGCTTCGATGAGGTTCTGAAGTACATCAATGAGCTAAGCAACACGATCGACTTGCAGGGCACGTTGATTAAAGCCGAGGCGCTCTTCCACAAATTCGAGAAGATGGTCCAGGCTATTGACAAGAAGGATAACTTTCCTATAGCGCCAACATCAGAAGCAAGGCAGCGGCAGGCAAAGGGCAAGGAAGTTATCGATAACGCGAAACCCCAAGGCGCCAGTTCTAGCAGTGACGCTCGGCAAGCGAGAACGAACAGTCAGGTTGACAAGGATAAGGTCATCTCGCAAGATTTAAGGCTTTTGCTAAGCAGGAAAATCGTCCAGATCGAGGAGGGCGCTGATGCTGGTCAGAGGACGAGAGCTAGTGGGCTTAAGGATTGAGGCAGCAACAAGCCGTCTAGATGTAATTCGTTTGCTTGGCAGGCTCCAATTCCGTCAGAGGTGTGCATTTCAGCTTAATAAATGAACGTCTCATACAGAGAACGAAGACAGTTGATTACTTCGACCGAAACTGAGATTGCGAATGCCGTATGAGAATAGGAACATACCGGCAGCCAGCTACGAAGCCCAGATGGGGTCGTGTCTAATGGTTGTACACGTATACTTTCTGTACTGTATTCTTTGCGTTTGTAGCTGAACGTGTGGAGCTGGTACTTTTGTTGCACCAACTATCAACGATTTCCTTCTCGGCGTTTTGTGTGTCTCGGCTCTGGATTGTGCATAGGGGTATATTTGCAATGTATACGACTGGGGGAACGTAGGAGGGACCTGCTACAGCATGAGCGAGTGTCAGGGATCTAGTCCGGGTGCGAGTCCGAGTCCTTGGTTATGAATTGGTGATATTGGAGTGCGTGATAGGAGAGCAGGTAGCTGTAATGGACACAACGTATATACGGGTGTAATGGTTCTCCTTTCCATCCAAGTCACCCATGTTGATTATACCACAGCTCTTCGTCAGGCAGGCTGCGAGTATCATGTTGGCATGCAGGGGAGCACCTCACTGAGACCTAGTCTGATAGTGTTGAAGACGTGCATGTTTTTCGGCTATGTCGGCAGGCATTGGCACTCAAAAGACGAAATGAGCCAAGCATGTAGTAAAGCATGCGAAGGATCAGCTCGCAGACACGAAATATTCCGAAGAAACTCGTTGGAGCTAGGACAGATTCCCACCAAGCTCACGAAGCGCAAAGACTGTATCAAGTCTCTTCGGCATATCCGAGCGCAGAAAGTTTGAGAACAATTAGGTACAGTAATGAGGTGAGCTAGAAGCGTTAGGGGAAAAAACGAAGAAATAGAAGTCTCTTCGGTCCATATGGATTAGTTCTCCAGCTAGCCACGAAAGTCTGAATACGAGGTTGTGGCAGATAAGGTTTTGGTATGAATGCCTTTTTGGGATGTTCGGCGGACAGGGTCTTTCCTGTTCTGGAATGCTAATTGGAGTGTGGTCATTCGTTCCTCTCGATCAGAAAACATGTACGGTTTCGGGGTTATCACATCCTGCAAAACCTGACGTTATCGAATTCATCAATATCCTAAGCATCTGCCATGCCGATGTGGTGGGAGGTTGCGCGGAACTTCGCGGTTCCAGCACCGAACTGTCGGGGAGTTCACGTGGTCTGAATCTGGTTAGCTTGAGGGAGACGCGAGCTGCAAGACTTACTTTCTCGACCCTCACCTCGTGTTGTTCTTCTCTGACACTGGATTGCCATGTGGCTGGCACGCATCTGCTAATTCTAGATTCTTTCCAGAAGTGCAGTGAGCAAGGTCTAGCTCTAGTCATCTCACGCACACACACGCCCTCTCTTTCTTTCGTCGGGATACGAACTTGTCGACGTGATTGAGGACCGGCAGCCGGGTAAAGGCTGATTAAGATGCGCGCGAATATTGCAAGTCGATTGCTCTTGACCCCGGTGCGACACAGCTTTAGTTTCTACAGATTCTAGAATGATTGTGAGCGTATGCCATGCACGAAGACTACTTCGCGTGCTGTGTAGGAGCATCTGGAATGAGGTGAGGTGCAGCTGAGCATGCAAACTCTATCTGGTCCAGACCTTCTTACGGACTAACAGCTTTTTATCGTCAATCAGCACCATTTGCTCTTCAATGGTATCGACCCTACAGGTTGCGTTATGCAAAGCCAAGAGTCTTTGATTAAGCTAGCCAGATATTGGAAGGTTTTTCGCTTATGTCTGCACCAGAACAGTCTCTTCAGAAAGCATGAACTCTATCACTACACGGCGCAAGCTGAATGTGACAGCCAGTCTGTAACTGCCGGTAGGATCACGAAGTTCGGTATTATGGTGACTTATGTTAAGCGTGTTGAGACACTTTCTCATGCCGTGCTTCTCTTCTTCCCTGGTAAAACATCAAGGATTTACCACCAACTTCTAGCTACTGACACCCGTTGACTCTCAAGGATGGTACGAGCATTACTTCCAGCGGTTCTTGCGGCAATGCTGCCAAGCTTAGCAAGAGCAGCAGTTCTGGAAGCTCGTGCTCCCGCGGTCTGTGGAAGTGGTATCTATTCAGAGCTTAGTATTCTTTCTGGATACCCTGCTGCTCAAGCGTTGTGTTCGGCGGTTGCTCCAGTCACTTGCACAACAGCTGCTGGTAAGGTAAGACGTGATTACTTTGGTTTGGAAAGGCGGCAAGCAACATCAACGAGGCCCACTACCACCACAACGACCACAACCACCAGAACTACCACTACTTCCAGAACAACTACCACCACTTCTAGAACAAGTACTACCACTAGGACCACTACGACAACTAGACCTACCACCACCACTACTACCACTAGATCCACCACCACGACACGATCAACTACTACAGCTGATGCCCGAGCGACCGCCTTAGCGAAGCTTATATTGCAAGTCAGAAGTGTTATCTCAACTGCATGCTCCTGTATTACCACACCACCTGCCAAAGTAAGTCTTCACTTCCTTCTCGCAGGGCCCTCAGAACTATTGAGCAAGGCCGTCGCTTATTAAATGTTTCACAATTCAAATTTCATATCGTACATACTTTCGCGCTAAAAGATACTGCTCAACGAACTAACCACGAAAACAGGCTTGCTCCGTTTCTGCCACTTCAACATCCACTACCACGACGACCCCTACCACCACAACCACTGTAAGTACTCGCAATTGGGCATTCCTTCACAGCTATACTAAAAAATGGTTAGACCACGACCACAACCACGACCACCACGACAACAACAACACCTTCGCCAACACCTACACCAGTTCGTACTTGCTCATCCACGAAACGCTACTCAGGCTGTCTCAATGGCGAAAATGCCGGCAATTACTTTACCAATGCAGGCTCTGACCAAAGCACTCTCGACTTCTCCTCGCTCGATCAGTGTATATCAATATGCACTTCAGACCCAGCTGGACAATGTCAAACGGTCATGTTCAATTACAATCAAGGCGCTGGATGTTATCTGTTCAGTGCGCCTGTTGAACAGATATCTACTGGAGGAAGCTGCTATTACGACCTCTATCAGCTAACCTGTAATTATGCTACACCATCTTGACGACCTGTTTTAGAAAGGGAAAGCAGTTTGCAATAAGTAGGCCAAGCAGATGTAGCTGATAAGATAACGAAGTTAACGACATGAGATGGGATCGCTTTGGGTTCATGGTGGTTTCGAGTCAAGCTGGCTTTCCTTGGGATGTGATACATTTTTGTGTAGCGATTTGACAGTTCTGCACATAGCCCTTTGATGACAATAGTAGCAGCTCAAATGTGTGATGCTTCGGGCATCGACTATCCATTCACTCTTTATGCTTGTGTCTTTCGTCCCATGGACCGAGTTTATTGGTGCTCGCTGACCTGGTGAAAGGAAGGAGAAAAAGTTCGGCAGCATGTAGTGTGGAGAAACCACGTGCAACGAGCTTGAATATGGAGAATACTAGTCCAAATGTGGTTTGGCCCGATCTGATCTGGCTTCTCAAGTTCTTCTGGACTGTCCGAGCTGAAAAAAGATTCAGGTCTTTTCATTCCACTCTTTATCAATCTTGTACTTTCAAGACCTCATGTTCGTGTATATGCGTGGTTGACGCTCAGCTCAGGATTGTTGTGTCATGGATGTATCGCGATGGAAAAGCATTTTCCTACCTGGTCCGTTCTGTGACGACCTCTTCAGAGGACAATGACTGGCATTGCCTCCAAGAGCACATGAACTCTATACCATGCCAAGCAGAGCCGCCTCACGCCTTCTTCGGTCCAGACCCTTTCCCTAGATCTGGTGTGGGCACGCCGTAGGTGGAGCGTTGCTGAGTCAAGTCGAAGAATCCTTCCGATTGTGCAGTGGCATACTGCTACGAACTCTCGGCGCCCCAACTACGCAGCATTTCTTGTCAATGGGGTCATCTACGCACATAAACTCACCGCGTGCCTTTATCATCGGAGTCCGTTAGTCTTTTAGCTCCTTCGCGACTTTCAGACTGGACTCGATCACGGCAGGACCTTCCTGTAGGTGATTCATTGCAGCTTTTTACTACTACGCCATCGGTGGTACCGAAACTCGCTATAATGGACTGGCATATCTAGTCAGCAAAGCCCGACAGTTGGCCCTGGCGACCTCAATCCTCAATCCTCGTCAAAGCACGACAATGCGAAAAGTTCCAACTCTGTTTTCCTGCTTGCTTGCAGGTCAAGCATCGTTGGTCCTAGCACAGTCAGTGACATGTGCTCAGAGTGCTGCGGCACTGGCATCGTTAGCGGCCGGCAATGCAGACATCAAAGCGTATTGCACGTCGAATTACAAGGTACCACCTCAGGTGACATCTTATGTCACATTGACGGCGGCTACAGTAACGAGTGTTGCTTCTGTATCTACAGTGACTTCGTTCACAGGAACCACAGTTAACACGTGAGTTATCAACTTATGCCTCCAAATCACCCAAGTCCTGACGTCTTCACAGAATCAGTTCGGTCGAAACGTCTTTTGTGACAAACAGTGCACAGACCACAGTGACAGTGACTACCTTGGGCCAGCGGATGTCGAAGCGACAACTGACGAGCTCTACAAGTGGAACCACGACAACCTCCAGGTCTAGTACGACCACAACAACTACCCCAATATTGAGGACTCCTACTACTACTACTACAATAAGTCGAGTGGCAAGTACTACTACCACCACTACCACGAGTCGAGCATTAAGCTCGTCCACCACCACCACGACAAGTAGAGCCGTAAGTACTACAACAACGACCACGACTACCACACGACCTTTGTCCTCGACGACCTCATCACTAGCTACCACCACTAGCACGAGAACATCCACAACAACAAGCCGGACGTCAACTACCACAACGACGTCGCTCGGTCGCGTACAGTCTGCCCTTAGCAGCTGGCTCGCTGCAAATTCTGCGCTTGTTGGCCCAATCTGTACTTGCCTCCAGGTCGCAACACAAAAGACAGCAACGACAGTGATAACGGTGACGCCGACAGCCAGCGTCTCAGTCGTGACAGACACGGTAACAAGATTTGATGTCTTTACAACCTCGACGTAAGACAACCACTTCCCGAATCTTTTGCCTGTAGCTAACCCTTTCACAGCGTCGTACAAAGCACAGTCACAGTGTCGACTGACACCACTGCGACCGCAACAGCCACAAAAGTCGTCAGCTGCGCATCTAACATAAACAATGCCTGTACAAACGCATACAACAGCATTCGTCCCGCCTGTCACCGTCAAGACTACCCCGAGAACTCCAAATCAAACAACGGTGGTTGCCAGGGTTGCTTGAGTCGTATCGCTGGTTGCGATGATGGTCAGACGTATTGCTTCTCGGGTTACAGGTGGCAAGGGATTGTTTGTCGCTATGATTCGGAATGCTGGGATGCATATGGTGGCACGACTTACGTGTGTGCCAATTTGTTCGGAACAGGAACGTGTGTCAGCAACGAGGCACCGTACGAGTGTAAGCCAAACCCGATTCCAAGTAGTACGACAACGACAACGACTACAGTGACCACAACAACGACAACAACAACGACGGCGGCGGCAATACAAGCGCCGTCAAAGAGAAGTGAGGTCATGGAAAGGTCGTACCCATTGGCAAGGCAGGCTGATGAGGGTATTGCTGGAAAGGAGTGGAGAATGGGTGATAGGATGCTTGTAGCATGATCAATTCTGAAGAGCCAATGATTACGTATGCATACTCATTACAGCCCAAGACATTCGTGCATCTCCAGCATGCTCGCTTGCTGGCTTTACAACGGACAGATCCCGTTGACTACATATACTTTACACCATGCCGGATGACAATGCACCATTAGACCTCGCCTGCACCGGGCCAGTGATCGATATCACGTAGGAAGTTCGCAGTCTCTCGGTCGGGGACGCGATCCAGAAATGTCTACACGAAAATTGCACCATGTGCTTTGCCTACTGATATGAAGAGCACCCCAAATTGGTCTGCAGCTTATTTGCAATGGAAGAATGTAGTCGTTTCGTGGAAATGCCGGAAACATTGTCCAGAAGCTCTTGTGGTGCAGGCTCAGGGCAGATGTAGTAGTATCTAGTTACGAGTTGCAGATGAGCCCTTGCAATATCATCTTGCTATCCAGTCGCTCTAGCGCTGATTAGTGCGGTCTCCCTTTGACGATTTGTAAAGGTATTGATAACGTTGTATGTGCAACTTTTGTAATGTGTGGATGTATGTTGTAGAAGAAAGCGTTCGGGACTGGTCGAGGGTTGCAAATTCCGCTTTTTGTATACGTCAAGTTGTATACCACATTGAATGCTGTTGCGCGGAATCGTCCTATTGTAAGCTGCGTGAGCTCTTGGAGCAGGTGATAGCACCGCTCGTAATAGTTGTGCCTGAGAACAGCGGCAGCTCTGCCATTCGTTGTTGCACCACACTGCTACCCACGTACTTGCGCTCCTCGACCAACCCCAGATGCTGTGCATTTGCGCTGGATGAAGTAGCGTATTGCTGCATTCGACGGTAAGCCGTGACGCACACGTCCGTCCTCGACCTTCGTACTGTGAGCGCTCACAAACACTATTCTGGCATCAGCACGTCTGCCTCACCTGCTAGGCCCGAGTCAGGCGCCCGTGTGCCTCGGAACAAGCCCCCACCAGCCCCTCTTTCAATAGTATATATGTTTTAATTCCAGAAATTGTTCTCAGAGCTGGCCAGACAAAAACAGTCAATCACTGATGTCCAGACCAAAAAACCAAGGTGTCCTACGGGGCTTAGGGAGTTTCTCAGTCTAAGGCTTTCCTGAATTCCTAGGGAGTTCCCTTTCGGGGTTGAGCAAAGATCTGTGGCCGCGTGGGTGACGTTTGATCCTGTCGTCGGGGAGTAAGGAACCTGGGCTGAGTTTTTGCCATTTCGTTTTGAGATGTTTCTCTGGGCTAGTGTTCGAGTCCCGTCCTTGTTGGCTCTGTGCAGCACTTTTGCAAGACTGCATTCTGCCTTTTGTGTATTTGCATGATTCTTATGTCGCAGGCTCAATCAACCTCTTGTTTTTCTTATTTTAATTCCTCTCTTCCGATGGTGTTTCCTCATATAGCGCCCTATCATTACTTGTTGCAGATAAGAGATCGGTTTTTCTTGGCAGATTTCCTGGCGCTACCAGTCTGGCGCATTTGTAAAACGTCTTTAGAAGCGCTTTGTACTTCGACTCGAACCTGCTGTTAAATGCTTGCTCATTCCTTTATTGGGATTGGTCACTTCGTTCACGACCCAAACACTGCATGCTCCTGGCAGTAGCCGAGGACACGGACTTCTCACTTACGTGACTTGAAACTGGTTCCAGTGCTTCACCTCTAGCGAAATAGCTGCCGGGTCAAGAAGATATGGTTCAGACGTCGCAAAGCGAGTCTGCACTTGCTTGACTTGGTACTTAGTCGTTGTGTCTCATCGTCGTGGTGAGCTGAAGAGCTGGAAGTCGCTGAACTGCCTTGAGACACTAGTTGAGCATTTCCAGCCAATACAGGGCTTTCAATCTCCATAGACTTGGCTGGTGAGCGCCGAGGACATCATGGCAGTATCTGAAGCTCTCGCCGCACAGACACAGCGATTTGAGCTTCTGCCGTGGCGTTCAGCTAGGTCTTAGGATTCATGTGAAGCACCTTCACACCAGCATCACGATCTGTCAATTCGTGCCACTGGGTCAAGGCGATGTGAGGTGAACGTGTAGACTGTCACGCATTGGTACGACACTCGCTACCAGAGAGACCTGAGTGAAGTGCAAACAGACTCAGCGTCTCGCTTTACTCCACAAAATGATCTGCAGCAGGGATCTGAAATTACTTCACTACTGGTTCGAGGTGAAGTGTTGGTAACGATGCCCACTATGGCTGGTTTTACACTGTGATAAGCGGCAACTTTTTGAGATTACACATCTCCACCTCAACATCTTCACAAAGACTAGAATTGTTTGAAGGACATCTTAGCGACCAAGTATAATTCTGCTTATAACACAGCATCGGCACAGTATCGTGTCATGCAAGATGTCATCCTTCATCTGCCTAGCTGGCTCACCGGGACTTCCAGCTCCACAAGATCACAACTCGATGGAGTCACTATCATATTCTTCGTGACCGGAAATCCAGGACTAATTGGTTACTACGAGCAATTTCTTCAGTTGCTCTGCACGACTGGTGTAGGGAAAGACAGTATTGTAGCGGGAGCGAGCTTGGGTGGATTTGACAAGGGGATGAACTCCGTGTGGAGACTGGAGGACGAAGGAAGTGAAGGAAATACTAGCGATAATGTACAGCACTTTCAGTCTCAATTTCAACATCCACCAGGCTTTGAGCCGAGAAATGAAGGCATCTACGATTTGCAAGACCAGATCAAGTTGAGTCATGCGCGATTGAGTTACCTAGCCAGGTGGGTAAGAGATAACCATGCTAGAGTGGCTGATATGCCGATTCAGGTGATATTGGTGGGACATAGTGTGGGCGCATACATAGCGCTTGAGGTTGTCAGAATGCAGCATGAAGCGTCCCTGTCAATGTCCAATGTTGCTCCAATTTCCGTCTCAGATTTCAGAATTGTCGCAACTATGCTCTTGACACCGACAATACATAACATTGCGCATTCGCCATCGGGCAGGATAGCAACCCCTGTACTGAGTAACATCCCTTTCTTTCCGACGTTAGTACAAGCTGGAGCTGGTCTTCTGACCAGCGCAATGCCGGCTTCGTGGCTAGGTGGTCTCGTTGGCCGGATCACGGGCGTGACCGGAAGTGCGCTAAATATCACGACTGATTTTTTGCAGACGCCAGGAGCGGTAAGACAGGCTCTGCACCTGGCTAGGTGTGAGATGCTGGAGATTGGAGAGAATCAGTGGTCAGAAGAGGTATGGGGCATGAACGAGCAGGAGAGACAGATGAATGAGGGCAGGTACGAGGTGTGGAGGTCTCCAAAGCACTATTTCCTGTTTGCGAAGGAAGATCATTGGGTGGCGGACAAGACACGAGACGCGATTGTGGAGAGTGTGAATGGCAGGTCCGAGGTCATCGTAGACGAAGATGGCAAATTGGGGTTGGTGCATGCCTGGTGTTTGAAGCAGAACGGATTGGTAGCAGGAATTGTCAACAAGTGGATCGAAGATGCCCTCAGGGAAGAAAGAGTATAAGAGCTGTTTCAACGAAGGAGACATCATTCATAATTGCTTGCTGGTAAGATAGCCAGCGTTCTATATCTTAGCGCCAGAATTGCGAAAGAGATCTAATAGAGGATTTGATCGAGGCTCTGGATGCCTAGAACTGACAGATTCCGCATCAGACTGCGTAGTTCCAGCTCGGAGTAATGCCAGCAAGTCCACAGGTTTGCTTGCTACAGGAGCAATAGGTGGTGCTGGACTCGGCTGTGAATGTAACTGCATTGAGAGTGGTCCAGGTGATGGAATGAAGGTCGACTCTAAATCTGGCTCCGGAATTGGTAGTCGTGCATGAGCTTCAGCTGCGTCTCTAGACCTCTTGGCTGCCTCAGCCAGATCTAACATGAGCTCGGCATTGGCTTTTCTTGATGGCTCAGTCGAAGTACCTACCTCGCTATAGATGTATACTGCACTGGCCTTTGTCTCCCCCGTTTCGGGATCTTCTCTTGTGATTTCGACGAAGTCACCGGATATTGCTGTTCGACTCCTGTCGGACTGTCGCAGCTCTGCCTCAAAGTTGTCAAGACCACTTCTGTTGAGTACGATCGCTCTGTAACGAAGCTCTCCGTAGTCTCCTGGCGTGAGCTGGCAGATGAACAAGGTACCAACCACGCCAGACTTCTGCCAGCTATTCGAGGACCAATCGTATATGGTTACGTAAGGAGCGATCGAGAGGATATCTGTGACTTCAGAATTCCATTTCTGGATAACAGCTAGGTTGAGCTGGGCTCTTGTTCGTGCTATTGGAGGAGCGACTCTTGGTAAGTCAGAGACGTAGCCCTGATCTGAATCATAATCAGACGCGACGACTGCATGAGAAACCATTTCAGGCTGTAGTGGTGGAGGTTGTTGAGTGGTTGAATTAAGAGGAAGGTATTTCGGGTAGTCGACAGATGCTTGACGTCGCGCATGGGCCGGGCGTCGCATTGCCATGGCTGAGGGATTAGCGCCAGGCCGCAACCAGATCTTGGAGTGAACGTGGTCTGTTTGCCCTTCAAGTGGCAGGACACTGTCAGTGCGATACCGAGAAGAGCTTTCGATGTATTACAACGCGCCTGGAATCGACCAGTGTTCGTATAGAATCAATTGACCTCGAAATGGCTTGACTCGACGAAGGACAACTTTGTAGCCTACCTAGATATGTAATCTTTACAAGTTAGATCATTATAACACGTTAATCGTAGTGAAGAAAAACTATCTGGAAGGAATAACGCCAGCGATGCACTGTCAACATCGTTTCCTATGTTGCTCGTCGCTGCTGTACCTGACGAGCTGGTGGGACCTTCCTCGTCAAGAATCCGCCAGTCAGAAGGAGCAAACTTAGGCCAAGCCTGCGGCAAGAGCAACCCCAGACTAAATTTCCTAGCGCATGCTTGGTGGGCGATCTGGCACGGTCAATTAGGGGTTTGGGATTCAAACAATTACCACTTCTTACTCTTGATTACACTCATCGTCAGACTACTTGCGCCAACACTTGACCTTGACCCACAGCTGTTCTGCACGATCCGACTTACGCTGGTGTAAATCGAGGCGACCTCCTGAAGCGATCAGAAGATCCATCAAACCATGTCTTCTCCATTGAATGCGGTATGTCTTTCTTTCATACCTCTCACTGCTATTACGACAGGGAACTGACGATGATGCTGTCAAAGGCCAAGATCCGCAAGAAGAAGAATGTCAAGAAGGGTATTCAATTCTCGATGATGGTATGCGGTGCAAGTGGTACAGGTATGGACGGTGCGACTTTGTGCACAACCACGACTGACCTCGATCAGGAAGGACAACATTCGTGAACACATTATGCGGGAAGAGGGTACTCGGCCAGAAAGAAGCAGACGACGCCGAAAATGCGCACCTGGAAGAGGGCGTCAGGATCAAGCCAGTCACTGTTGGTACGTTGGCCATATCCTCTTTCGCTGACTGTTATTGACCATGTCCAGAACTTGAGCTCGACGAAGAAGGTACAAGAGTATCGCTGACCATCGTGGACACTCCTGGCTTTGGCGATCAAATCGACAACGAAGCCTCGTTCGGAGAAATCGTTGGCTACCTCGAACGACAATACGACGACATTCTGGCTGAGGAGTCCCGAATCAAGCGTAACCCAAGATTCCGAGACAATCGAGTTCATGCCCTCCTCTACTTCATCACACCAACAGGCCATGGCCTGCGCGAATTGGACATTGAGTTGATGAAGAGACTGTCACCTCGTGTCAACGTCATTCCCGTTATTGGCAAGGCCGACTCCCTGACACCTGCTGAGCTGGCTGAATCGAAAAAATTGGTCATGGAAGACATTGAGCATTACAGGATACCGGTCTACAATTTCCCTTACGATATCGAAGAGGACGACGAAGACACGGTTGAGGAAAACGCTGAGCTGAGGGGACTGATGCCTTTCGCGATTGTGGGCTCGGAAGATGTGCTTGAGATTGGTGGCCGAAGGGTCAGGGCAAGACAGTATCCATGGGGTATTGTTGAGGTCGACAATCCACGCCATTCCGACTTCCTGGCTATCAGGAGTGCTCTCCTGCACTCTCACTTGGCCGACTTGAAGGAGATTACACATGATTTCTTGTATGAGAACTACCGTACCGAGAAACTTAGCAAGAGTGTGGATGGCGGCGTTAGGTATGTAACATGCGCTAACATTGAGACATTACTAACCTTGTTCCAGTGCACAAGATTCGTCCATCAACCCAGAAGACCTCGCCAACCAATCTGTTCGTCTCAAGGAAGAACAACTACGCCGTGAAGAGGAGAAACTTCGAGAAATTGAAGTCAAAGTACAGAGGGAAATCAATGAGAAAAGACAAGAGCTGCTGGCTCGAGAGAGTCAGCTGCGTGAGATTGAGGCCCGTATGCAGCGAGAACAGTCTACACACGGTGCTGAGCTCAACGGCGATGCTCAATGAACGTGATCACGTAGCGTGTGTGTATTTGTTTCTGCTTCTTCGAAAGACACTGCAAAAGCGGGATCTTTGTGCTGTAGTAAGCCTAGCAAGCGAGCACGATTGTCAAGACCAAGTGGTGCGGTAGTATGGTAGTATGGTGACTGAACCTTGACGGTTGTCACTGGTAGGAGAGCTACATATCTAATGCCTTTTCAGAATCTGTCTCTCAATATGCGTATGTGAACGCATTATCTTCAAATGAAGGAATTCACACTGTTCTGCTGTGCTGAAGTTACTATTCGCTTTGTGTAGGCCCTGTGTAGATGAGGCTTGAGGGATGGAGGATGAAAAACGCAAATTTATTCAGATTGATTTTCGAATAAAAATGACGTGAATGACCCGTATGAAACTAACCATGCCAATGGCCCAACACATTCGACTCGTCAACAGCGTGATGGATGACTGCAAAACGTAGCGTGCCATACATCTTGAACCTGTTCTTGCAAACTGGTGTGATGTTACAGGAAAGGAGCTGGGCAACCCTGCTCTCCTACTATTTTGCTTTTCACGTTGATCGATACATTCTGGAAAAATGCCGTGCTCGCACTGTGCCCGAACTCCTAGAATGCCACAATTTCCACCGTCGCCAAATTTCGTTTACTCCTAACGTCTTCGACGAATACTTAGTCAAAGACCTGAAAATTCTCATGAAATGCCTCACACAAACCGCAGGAAGAAGCACGTAGTGGCCAAGCGCATCGAGATTCAAGACGATGATGGCTGGATACGTGTGACAACTACGAACACGAACGGCGCACGACGAAGACCTAGAATGCTGCAACCCCACACTGACCATGACAGCAGCCAAATTTACAAAACAGGACCGGAACCAGGAAGCACAGTATCTAAAATACGCGCTCACTATGAGAAGATTGATAGTCTGTGGAAAGCCTCGGAGGCATACCGAGCGTTGGTTGACACGTTGAAGAGTCAGGTCTTGCAAGCAGAGATCACGGACGGCAGCATCGACAAGTGCATCGTGTTTGGAACAGCGAGTTTCTGCGGTCTACGTGATGGCTGGATCAAGAGTGCGGACACGGCACTATGTCAGCTTGCGGTATTGAAGACGATTCAGAGCACGATAGGTATGCTTACTGCGTTCTGTTGTCAAGCTGAAGTAGACTGACATGACCTGCACAGGAGAAACACTAGGCCAAATGCCACAAGCGATGGCGCAAGAACCGGCCTACAACGATCTTGATATCGAATTCCTCAGGACGTTAGATGTCGAGGTTGCAGAGACTCCCCAAGGATTCGAGCAGGTCACGCAGAAGAGCTTGGTATATACGCCGTGTTCTGAAGGGCATGTGTTGCGACAGGTCCTTGAGGGAAAGCCAGCTATCTTACTGGGAAAGAGTGTGGATTGGTATGCTCGAGAGAGTAGGGATATGCAGCCTGTACGTGCTGAGAAAGAACCAATGCAGGCGAACGGGCAAGATGGGGACAATCGAAGAGACAAGCACGACCTGCGAGACGGGAATGACATATTCAAAACCTATAGAAGAGGCAGCAACGCCGTCCGTCTGCCAGATTTTGCCTATAGAGATCGCCATCCATTCAGAGATGAGTATCTGTACTGGAAACTGCAGTTCGATAATGCCTGAACGTGATTGAAGGTGGAGACTTTCTGAACACTCACATCAACCACGTTGACACGTGTATTGGTCATCGACGAGTGAGGTTGTACAAAGTGATGCATAATACGCAGACTTCATGGTAGACTAGTGTGCTTTGGACTCTCTGCTGTGGCTGGATACACGAGATAGATATCGCTCGGGTTGACAGACAGTTGGCGACCCAATCAACAATTACCACGAAGGCCAGGTGGCAGGGAGTGGCTGGGAAGAAAAGAAACAGCGCCCAAGTAATTCGCTTGAATTTTTTGGATGAGTTCGAAAATACAATCCTGGCGATCAGGACTCTTCGTATTTTCTTCGATATCGATCCAAATATACATCTCGCATCCTCAGGCTGATTATTCCAGACGACCTCGGTCGCGTCTCTGCCAAATATTGAAACACGTAGATTGAACCATACTCTATTGATCTTAGCTTGGACGGTCATCGTCCTGGCAACAAGCTCTGCGGCAAGAACAACCAATCATGACTCACACGTCCCTTTCGTTTATTTGGTGTTTGGGTGGAGAAAATGGCCAACCTCCTAAGCCTCTGTCTCCATCCTCTGGTTTATCTGCTTTCCCCTGCCATTTCTTTCCTGGTCTGTGTTCCTTCTCTCCATCTACACACAAGCCATCTTCTACCCCAGCATTCCTGATCTTTTCTCTATTTCGAGAACATCAGAAAGCATCTCTGCTGAGAACGAAAAGGTCCCAATCCTTTTCCTTCTTCTCCCCAGAACCCCTTTCAAGACGTCAGTCTTGAGCTCTCTTTTCTCTTAGGAGAGTCGAGAGCTTGAGACGATCGACAAGTTGGCAACCTGGACTTCGACGCCCGCGTCCCTATCCCGATCAGTGTCTTCCCGTCAACGTACCGGAGTGACGCTACTTCCGTAGAAACTACCACCGAGACTAGGGTAGAAGGGGAAGTCAACCAAGGGGCCAACACCCAGCGCGTCGGACGGGAAGATACTCGATTCCACCGCAAAGAAGAGACCGTCTACGCAGGAAGAGGCCCAGAAGAACACCCAGCAGTTACTGACGAATTTCGTGTCGTTGAAGAACAGCGTGTTTCTGACCAGCAATACCCCAGCCGATTCCAAGAACGACAGTATTCTGACCGACAGTTTGAACAAACTGGTCGATTTGCTGAAGTAGATCTTTCGAGAGAAAGGTGAGCATCCCCATCACTCTGTCCATGCTGCCACTAATTGGGTTGTTAGATACCAAGAGCCTGCAGATTACAAGCAGACCAAGCAAGTCAACGTCGACGTTACCACAAGCCGACCACCAGCAACCCACGACTACACTCGAGAGCGAGAGTTTGTTCGTGAGCGACCACTCCCGGAAACTCAAATCGACATCACTGAGCGCGAATATCGCCGTCGTACTCAACCGAACTACGATATCGAATACGAGCGTCGCCGACCAGTTCGAGACGACACAGTTTACCAGAAAGAGACAGTAAGAGAAGTCAAAGTCGACAAAGAACCAAAAACCAAGATGGGCTACTACGACGACCACGGTGAATACCACAGCTTCCGACGAGGTGTCGAGCGTGCTGCTGACAGAGTCTTCCACCCATTCTCTGGTGGTAGCCACCACGACCATGCTGTTCAGCAGGATAGTGGCACGACACGAGTCAGAGAGGGTGTCACCGAGACTGTCAGATACGTGCAGCCACGAGGTGGTGTTCCAGGCAACACTGTCACCATTCCATGCCACTTCATCCGCATTGGTGACCTTTTGATCCTCCAGGGCCGACCTTGCCAAGTTATCCGCATCTCGCAGTCTGGTCAGACTGGCCAATACAGATACCTAGGTGTTGATTTGTTCACTCGAGGTCTTCACGAGGAGTCATCATTCTGCAGCAACCCAGAGCCATCTGTCGTCGTCCAGAGCATGCTTGGCCCTGTTTTCAAGCAATACAGAATCCTTGACATGAGAGATGACGGTGCTATTGTCTGCATGACTGAGACTGGTGATGTCAAGCAGGGCCTACCTGTCGTTGATCAGGGTGGTCTGTTTGGCAAGATTGGTCGTGCCTTTGACGATGGTCGTGGTAGCGTCAGAGCTCTTGTTATCAACGATGGTGGCCGTGAGCTCATTGTCGACTACAAGGTCATCCACGGCTCTAGACTCTAGATGAACCTGGTGCGTGAAGGGATGTTGTGGTTGCATGCTTGCAAGTTGGTGATGATGTTGTGGCCTTTGAAGAAGTTGACGACCCCTTTCTACACCTGGATAAGTTGCGGAGGAGTTTGTTAATATTGAGCACAGTGAGTTGGTTTGAACATAAAAAGAACCTGGGGTCATGTATCGGGAGCCCTGCAGGAGTCTTCATTATGCAAGCTGCCCTTCTCATGCGCAGCTGATGTTGTTGGTGATTGTCGTCACACAAATTATGTTGTCCTGCTCGACTGGCCGTCTGTATGAGCACGTTGTTGGATCAGTTCGAGCTCAGAACATCACTGGGATGTTGAACGAGAGTCGTCTCCTTGCTTTTATTAGCAGGTGAGCCTCTTGGACCGTGCTGGAGAGTTGGTCTTGGTGCTCCTGAATCTCATTATTGGACCATGCTGGCGGGAGGTTGAGTTGGGGTCGATTTGCTGACAATGTTAATCACGAACACATTAGCCACAGTGTGATGTACATTGCCTCGCTCTGACCAAAGATGAGTATATAGTCTCCTAATGTATGACCTTGTTAAAGAATGTGCATTTACCAGCAGTCGTCCAATATAGCAACTAGATCGATGCTCCATGATCGGTATGACCCCCTCAGCGATTGTCTTGCCCAATCCATTACAGTGCTTCTCAACCATCAACGTATTGCAGAAAATTCGCTGCTCTTTTGCATGTCACGATGACAGACGTGCTTGTCAAAACTGTCCTGTGATTGACTTGCCACTGGCAGTGATTCAACCATGAAGCACGTGTGTCGTTACCCTTGCCATTTTCGACACGAATATGCCGATGTGCGCGGCCATATCATTGGAGCATAAGCAATCAATCATCAACATTTCAAGGCCTCCCATCATTCTTCGGTGGCGCTTCTCTTCTCAAGCTCTGTCTATCTCACCTCGTGCTGGCATTCTGCCAAGCACACTGTGCGACCAGTAATGTTTCGGATGCGTCGTCACGACGAGCTACCTTATCTAGCTTGTCCATACTGATTCCGTCTCTCATACCTCGCATGGTAGACTCTGGACACGACAACAGCAATATGTGGTCACAGATATTTATCGCCGCCACAGTTTGCCTGACTGCCAGCCTGGCTCTCTACATTAACGATCTGCTTCAGAAACGTAGGAGACTCAATGGCCTACCTCAACCGCCAATGCAGAATTTGCTCATAGGTCACCTTCACATAGCAGATCTTTGCAGGAGTCTTTTTCCTGATGACATACATGTTCATGCGTGGACAGACTTCGTACGAGAGAGATGGAACCTTCCGGAGACCTTCTACGTTGACTGGCGTCCTTTCGCTCCTCTATGGCTCTTCTCTGCAGATCCCGAATTAGTGGCCGAGTATATCAACGTCAAGCAGAATTTGCCCAAGAGTCCCATGGAGACGGGTTATCTCGACAAATTCTTGGGTAAGAATAACATGGTGGCACTCGAAGGAGAAAGATGGAAGAGCCTGCGATCGATGTTCAATCCTGGCTTCTCAGCATCCAACATCATGACATATGCTGATGCTATTGTCGAAGCTAGCCTTAGGTTCATGACTGTGCTGGAAGAGAAGGCTCGGAAAAACGAGCTGTTCGAGCTTGAGGAGTATGCCACCAGATTGACTATCGACATCATCGGACTGGCGGTCTTCGATCTTGATATGGATGCTCAAAGAAAGCTCCATCCCATTGTTCACTATTTTCGGGAAAGAGTGCTAATGATGCCTCCTGCTACTGCTATCTATCCGTGGCAAGCGGTGGAGCCTTTGAGGCCTTTACGCTTGTGGTGGAACTCGAGGAAGCTCGATAGGGCTATCCTAGAAGAGGTCAATCACAAGATCGTGCGGAGAGCGAAGGACATACAAGACGAGGCCGGTGATAAGAAGGGCTCGAAGAAGAAGTCGATCATTGACCTTGCGTTGAATGCATATGAGAAGGAGATCTCTATGAGTGATCCTTCTGGGCAGATGAAACAGATTACCAGTCCCAAAGACGTGCCGAAGAGCTTGGAAAGGGATTTGATCGACACTATCAAGACGTTCTTCTTCGCAGGACACGAGTACGCTAATCACTGGTTCGTTCTGGAAGTCAGCTAATCAAGTTTAGCACTACATCGTCTACCATCAGCTATGCATACTACCTACTCCACAGAAACCCTGACGCAAGAAAAAAACTCGACGAAGAACTCAATACCGTCTTCCCACCAGGAACATCCGCCGCTGAAACTATCCGAAAAGACCCATACATCATCAACAAACTTGAATACACCACGGCCGTCGTCAAAGAGACCCTACGCATCTTCCCACCAGCAAGCACACTCCGCTGGATCAGCCCCCAAGGATCCGTCCAACACACCACGATGGTCAATCCTCGTACAGGGGAGCGTTTCCCCCTCGAAGGCGTACACATCTGGCCTACAGCCTACATGATAGGTCGAAACAAGCGCTTCTTCCCACAACCACGACAGTTCATTCCTGAGCGATTCATTCCTATGCAGACCCCGTTTCCTGCCAGTGAGCTCTTCACGCCAGCTGGAAAGTATGCATTCCAGGCTTTCTCTGTCGGCCCAAGGAACTGTATCGGACAGGAATTGGCGATGGTGGAAAGTAAGATTATCCTTGCGTTAACGGCGAGGGAGATCGACTTTGTGCTGGAGTATCCTGGCGAAGAGGCGGATTTGCAACCACTTATTCCGGAAAGTACTGCAGTGGAGTTTGGGAAGGAGTACGAGAAGGGTGTGAGAGAGGGAAGGATCAAGAAGAATGTGGTGGAGGGGCATAGAGTCTATCAGACGTTGAGTGGGAGTGCTAAGCCGAATGGACATTGTCCTGGGAGAGTCTATTTGAGGACGCAGACGGCGTGAAAGTGATTCAGACCAGTGATCTCCTACTAGAACCACTTTGCGGGTGTTCTAATGGAGTACTAAGCAGAAACTGGTCTAAGATTGTGGTCAGGCTTGCGTGTGCCAAACGTCTGCCTTGCACACAGGTGATGGCTCTACGAATCACTAAAAAATCATCTGCAGTATGCTGGCAAACAAGATCTGATCGAAATCTGATGCCAAAATATCAGGAGGCAACTCGTACCTGATCGCTGGTCGTGTACCAGGGTCGTCACCATCTCGCTTTGTTTCTCCTTCGTGTCCGGAGCTCTTCAATATCTGACCGAATCTGATAACCGCTGACACTGAACCTCAGGTTCTTCTTCGATCCTCTGCTCCCACTTCTAATCATGTTTGCACCAGACATCGATCGGCGTTGAGTTCTGGAAATAAACCACACCATGGAAAGCAGTGACATCCTCGAGAGTGAGTACAGCGACTGTCTGTTCAACGTCGAGGCTGAATCGACAACTTCCTCGGTCTTGCACCTCTACCCCTTTCATCACGATGTCGCAGTTGACGCAAGTATCATTATCAGAATCCGAAAGGCAATGTAGTTCTCGTTTAGGGTCCATGACTCGATGAGGATGGTCGTCGACTGGGGCATACATGACATAAAGCTGATCTGTGGCAGAGACCCAAATGAGAGGCTGGGTGTATTCACCGAATTCACAACCGAGGGGAATTGCTTATGTTTCAGTATCTCTCATCTTCACTGCTGGGACAACCTCCTCAACACCCTCTCGTCCTGAATTCTGAGCTATTTCCTCAACTCCTCGGCATGCCGCAGCCAGAGGCTTGCATTTGATCCATTTCGGAGTGGCAGCTGTTATCTGGACCACCAGGTCTTTGTCTTTCACATCGTAGTAGCGGAGGGTGTTGAGTTCTTCGTAGAAGACTTGGATGATGCAGTTGCCTGGAGTCTGGAGCGTCACGGCGTACATTAAGATATTGCAGTCCACACAGCTTCCACCCATGGAATATGATACACAACCTAGCTCGGGATCGCCGGATATGGTGTGCCAGGTACTGTCGACTGGGACATACATCACATATTGCTCGCTCTCATGAAACCAATTTACGGCTTGGGTGTTTTCAGTCTTTGCACAGCCTGCACGCTCGAGTGACTGTTCAGCTATCGGATTTGCGGTCGCTAGGAGGGGAAGTGAAAGTATGCTGCAGGCCAGCAACTTTATGGCATACATCTCGAAGATAACAAATCGTTGACTCGGTCGAAGGTGTGTACGAGGTTTTGCACTCTCTAGGGAGCGTGGAAGAGGATTGAAGAGGTAAGAATTTGGTTGGATGTGAGAAGATCGAATGGAACTGAACAGGGAGGAGTGATTATATACTTTGGGAGCGCCGGCATGTACTTTGCAAAATGTGACTCTGCGATCTCACCGATCAGCGACCGCTGGCAGTGGCAAATTTTTCGAACATTCGAATGAGCCTTCACTCGAGATACATGTGGGAGAGTGTCCGCTACACCAAAAGCATCTCAGATTAGCTTCAGTCCTACCTCGAACCACGTTCGAGGTCTGCAAGATGACTGTGATCGAGAACCTTCTCGGAATTGGGCCTCGAATTTTACTACAACAACAATATTCTTATATCCTTCACTTCACATTGGCCCCTCAAAGACCATCAATATTTACCAGAAGATATTCATTCAAACCTTGATCGATGAGAAGGATTATGCACCATTCTCTGACCCATGACGTCTTCAATAATCTCGTCTGTGAATTTGAGGTCCTCCTCCACGGGCACAGTATCCTTGATCTTAAGCAACATTACTGGCAGCGCAATGATCAGACTGCCTGCAAGCAGAACCCAACATGAAGCAAAAAGGTTCATATACGGTGTCCTTCTTCTGTCCAAACTCCAGATAATGGCTGCACCTGCGGATTGTATCCCTTTGTAGAAGCCTGCAAAATTAGCAAGCTTGCGACTGTTGTTCGTAATAGCGCCCATGAACCTGGTAACAGTTAATCAATCATAGTGGCTACGTTGACTCGGAATTGCTTACCAGTATACACAAGTTTGCCATGCTGCATCGTAGAAACCGTAAGTAATGTATAGGAACATTGGTCCAATAAAGCCATTGTCTGTCCAATCGTACTTTCTCGGAGCGTGATCTCGGGTGTACTGCATCTGGAAGACATACCCGCCGCCCCAGACGGCGAAAGTAAGTATGAACATGACCAACCAAGCTATCTTCGCTCGATTTGTTCTCCTAACGTTTGGGAAATCTAGTGCAAAGCCAAAGATAAGAGCTCCGAACATTTGACCCAACCAGTAAAGAGCGCTGTTAAGTGCTCGAGTACGCACATTGAATCGTGGTAGGTTGACACCGTTGAATTGATAAGTGTAGAACCAGTTCGAGGCAAAGAACATTGGGAAAAGCAGTATGACATAGACGTCAGTTCGAAGTGTCTCCCATAACCCAACGATCTCGCTTCTCCATGTAGGGTGTTTCATCAGGATGATTCTTGAACCGTCAGAACGTATGATGTGCTTAGCATCGACCAGCGTCCAGGAGAGGCAAGCTCCAATGAAGGTGAGAACCAGAATAGCAATGTATGTACCGTCGGTAACAGGAACATTCGAGTCGACTTCGTGGAAATTTATACCCAATGCTCCCTGGAATTAAGATTAGCGTCTCTAATCCACTTTGCTTTCTTCAGGTTAACCTACCAGACTGCCGATAACAGCACCCAAATTGAATATTATCCAAAACCAAGAGATGTATCGACCTTTGACCTTTTCTGTAGGATAGGACATCATGATCGCGCCCTGAGCCGACCAGAGAATACCTGCACAGCAGCCGAGCAATACGCCAGCGAAGACAACATAGCCATCCTTGTGAACGTGGTTGTAGTACAGGTACGAGCTGATGTAGACGCAATATCCAAGACCACCAAACGAGAGCGCAATCCTGATACCGAGGGCATTGACGACGGTGCCAGCGAAAAAGCCAACAACAGCGAAAGTAGCGTACAGTGCGGAATTTGAGGCAGCACTCGCTTCCACGTCATCTTCTATCTGCCCCGCGCCGCCGAGACCGTTGATGGCATTGAACATACCTATAGAGTATCAGTAACACATCAATAAATATCATATTATTCGTACCCGGACAGAGGAAGCACACGAAGGCGACCAGAAGCAACTGCGACTCAGGTGAGGCATACCAAGGAAGTCTGATAGGTCCGAGTTTTATGCTTCTGTACTTCCAGCCGGCTGGTGTTATTGTTTGTTCATGATCAAGCGAACGAGCCGTCCACTGAGTGTGAGTTGGGCTCTTCGCAATTCCATCCATTGTGTTAGCGAACGTGCACCGTAGAAATGAGATGAGCTCCAGGTCAACAAGTATAGTCTAAGGTTGCTGTCAGTACGTCGACTTCGGACAGCGGACTCAGCAGTAAGAAGATGGTTCGAATACGTTGCGGCAGCCCTGCGCAAGCACGAGCAGAAGAGATACAGCGAAGAGAGGACTGAGCTAATGGGCAAGTCGAATTTTGAGCACAGCCAAGGGACGATCACGTTGCGAGGAGCGCATGTCGCCCCCATCGTGGTAACACAGAAGGCAGGCCTCGTCTCGCAGGGGTGTTGTGGTTGCTGCTAGCTTAGATGGGCTGAAATGAAAGAGAAACACTTTCGTGGGAAGACAGCAAGGTGGTTCGAGCCTGCCAAGCCCATTTAGCTCTCTCAAGTGCTCCACACAATTCCCTTCGCGTGTTCAGCTGTCAGTATCCTCGCCTCGCTTCAGTGGCAACAATCCGACGTGCAATCTTTTAGGTATTGCAAAGACCGGATCTGGCACTGAGATTGTCAGAACTCAGATATGATTTCCTGTCCTCGATAGGCTATGTCTGAGCATTCTTACACCTTGCCATAGCTTTGTCACATATCAAGCTGAAGACCGCACTCTTTGGGCACATCACTGATCTAGAACGACTCGACGGAGCCATGCCATTCACTTTAAGGCTGATATTGCATGACCAAGCAAGCCACATGGGTTAGTGTCAGGAAATGAGCAGCTACGAGCACATCTGATCCCATCCACACTCGCTTAACTGCCTCGCCAAAGCTTCAGTCTGTTCGATGATTTGCTCGTTACAAGTGGGTGATTCCGCCTGTACGGCTCTCACGATTGAATCATCTTGCTAAGAGGTGGTCACTCTTTCATCGTAGCACAAAAGGCTGTAACACGCCGAAGCATGTCCCCCGAAACCAGCCTGTCGTCCCGTCCAGTCCACATGCTCGGTATCTAATCTCTCGCGCCTTTTGTCCATACTCTGGTATGGACTGCTCAGCGCGCTCGCTTCCGATCACAGCATGTATGGAACTTCGCAGGTATAGGTTGAATGGTCACACCTATTCGCAGTCATGAGTATAGCCTCTGCAGTTCTTGCATTGAGCAAAACAGCCTCGAGGCTAAGCGCTTTTCTCCTCAGACTTGACGGAAATGAACTTTCAGCTGATGATTCACTCAAGAATCTAGCAGTGGATGTTCAATCGCTGGCCCGAGAGTGCGATTCTATTTTCATTGCCCTTAAGGAGTTGATGAGCAAACACAAGTCTCAGGTACCACCACACAATGAAATCGACAGTAAGGTGTGGAGTTGTCTTGCGACTGTGGTACAGGCTACGAGTCGAACAATTCAACAGACGGAGCTGGTTGCGAAGAATATCGCAGGATATCCCGGGAACATTACAACTCCATCTCAACATGAAATCCAGATGGGAAGAGGCAAAGATCAGATAGCATGTATGCAGACGGAAATATACAGGCACAACAGGAACTTACATGCCATGCGCTTGTTGACCAACATGTGAGCTCTATCCTAGACTGATCTTCGGCAATACTGATCTGACATGCAGGACATTGAGGACACCCCAAGGTCAGGAGATCGCCGAACTACAGGATCTTGTCGAAAAACTACACACATCTTCGAAAAGCGCCGCTCAACCTCAGCTGTCTTGCAACGAGTCCACGTTGGTAAAATGCGCACAAGAATTAGTCGCAAAGTGCAGGATCACATACGAGCCTGAGTCAGCCACGCGTTTTGGTACTTCGCAGCAAGCACTACTGAACTACGACGTTCAGGTCTCGGAATGGGTGAATACTTTGGATTCCAATCGCCACTCCGATCAGTCAGACGTACTTTCTGATGAACCGTCTGTCTTTTCTGACCACGACCGGTATACCTTTCCAACAAGTGCCACTCCCGATAGTCATATCTCTCGAAAGGAAATCACTGTCACTGGCGAAGATGACGGTTTCGATGATGATTGGGACACTGACCTTGCTCAAGCAGCACTTGACGCCGGCATGAAAGCATTCAATCTGCAGGACTGGAAAGAAGCCGAGTCTCTACTACGAGAAGCCCTACACGTCCTACAGCAGCTTCATGAATCACGACGCACTTTCTCCGACATGTTTCTCTTGGAGTTCAAGATTGCTCTCTGTGCATATCACACACAAGAAGCAACGACTGCCGCAAAGGCTCTTCTAAAATTGAGCCAGCAACCAACAGTTTCAGATGAGCAGCGGATATGCGTATTCGATGCTTTGCACCTGTTATCACTCCTTTATATTCGGATGGGACAGACCGAGCAAGCACAAACGGAGTGCAAGAAAGCTCTGCAAGCACGAAGAAAATTGCTAGGCAAGCAGAGCGATGCGGCTCTCGAGTCAACGGCACTTATGTCTCACATCTATGTATTGCTCGACAATCGTGCTCGTGCTACATCGTGCCTTGCAATGCTGCCAGAAAACAAAAGGGACACGATTCTCAAAAGGGTCGGAGAGTCCTTAGGTCTACCACTGGAACACGTTAACCCTGTGTCACCCACAGTTTCAAGATCAGAGTTGCCGACACCTCCGATTCAGAGTGCGGTTCCGATGTCGCCGTTCATATCGTCCATGAATAGCGACACGCATGGCTCCGCAACCGCAACACCTTCGCAGACAGTGAACTTTGTTCCACAACGCCCACATCTACGTTCTTTCTCCAACCAGACAAGCTGGAACAGTGGGCGATCCTTCACAGTAAGATCGAACTCGTCCACCGAGGACAGAGGTGGTTCTAGCACAGCAAATGACGACAGTACTAGTAGATATCATGCTGTCTGCCCGGAAGTACTTGGTATCACCATGCCTCCACTGGCGACGCGCGCAAAAGCAGCAACCTCTCAGATCAAACCTTTGGCCCGAGCCGAAATCCTCAACAATATCGGATGCAAACCCAGAGACTCGCTAGAAGATGCTGTTTGCGACGGCAATCATACAGCTTTTACGAGCATCCTCGAAAAGAAGCTAAGCTCATGGCGATCGAAATTTCGCAAGCCTGGCCAACCAGAAAGAGTCACAGCACTACACTATGCTGCACTTTTTGGCGAGATCCACATGGCTCAATGCCTTCTGACCGCGGGCTTCAACATTAACGAGATCCCATTCGGATACACAACCAAATTCTCTCCACTGAAATTCGCTGTTGGTGCTCGACAGGTGGCAATGGTCGAATATCTGACCGCAAATGGTGCCAGACCATCTGAGCCAGATACGTGGTCAACGCTGGCAGGACAGTTGATGAATCGTTCGTGGCTAATGAAGACTATCTCCGAACCAGAGAGGGACACGCTCGCCACTCGAATTGTGGCAATCATGAGGATATTGCTCAAGCACGGGTGGAACATCGATGAACCGTATGACGACTCTGGCAAAACTGTGCTCCATCAGGCAGTCACTTTCTGGACCGGCTCGTATAGTAGTGATCTGAAGGTCCGCACCACTGTGACCTCATTCTTGACTGAACAAGGTGCTGATGCTTTCCGGGCAAACGCTGAAGGTAAGGCACCGTACGAGATGGCTTTGGCTTCAGGTCATCATGAGCTTTTGCTTATTCTTGATCGTGCTCCGAAGAAGACAGAAAGGATGGATCCAGGTATGATACTACCTGTTGAGCTTCCTGGCTGAAATGTATAGTACGCTACGAAATGTCATCATCGTAATTACGACGATTGTTATGAATGGACTTCTGCTCTGTTAGTTTTAGTAACAGCGCTGTTTGTAGTCCACGCCCGTTTCTTATTGAAACAAATATATTTACTGTTCGCTGGACTGATGTCCTCTAACCACTAGCCTTCAACGTCTTCTGGTATCATGTCATCGCTGTGGAGAAGACTTTGGCAGGTGTCTATACACGAATTGATATAGACGGTCATCGTGATTGAGTAGTGCTTGTTGGGGGAAGAGGATGCTGCGGCAGAGAATGCATACTTACAGTACATGGCTAACAAGACAGAACAAGATAGAACAAGGCAAGTGTACGCTACGAGATCCTTGTAGTCTTGAGCAACAATATTATTATGATCACTCTTAACTACTTCAACAATACCATGCTACGTGTGTTACTGCCACCTTTGCGCGCTTCATCTTCCTTCCGCCTCCGCCCACCGAACCCACCTTCTCACACATTCGTCCACCCCTTTCAATCCAGCCCTCGTAGCCTCAACCTCAAACCACTCCTTGTGCTCTCTCCCGCAGTCTTCACATACTTTACTCACGCCCATTCCCAAACCCCTTAGCTCAAGATGCACCAGCCTCTCCACACGATTGACGTGCGGCACCCTGGCGCCGTCAGGACTCCTTGGATCAGCTGCCTCAGAGGCGTAGTGCGGATAGTAGCGTACCAACGTGATGTTCTGATTACACTGTTTGGTCCATTGAGTCATCCTACGGTGGACGTTCTGGGCACGGCCGATTTTGAGCAGAATCTTTGGTGGATTCGCAGAATTGTTGTTCTTGCGTACCGAGGCGTAGCGGTCGAGTTGAGTTGCGCGTTTCCGGCGAGGATCAGTGGAGGGTGTTATAGTGCTGCGATTTCGTGATGTGTGTTGGTAGTCGATATCTCCGTCGAGAATGGTTGATGCGACGTCATCGTCGGGTGTGCTGTTTTCAGTGGTCGGTGTCAGCCAGAAGATGTATATGTATCCGGCTTCGTCGTCCTTGGCAAATGGTTTCGCCAGTTCAGCAAGAAGGGTGGATGTCGTTGGTAGGTCGAGATGCTGTGGAATGAAAGAGAGGAAGTTTTGTGTCTGGGTGTGTGGTGGTGATGAGGCATGTGCTACTGGTTGTGGACGTGGTCTGGTAGGCGTGAGTTGTGCTTGACTATGTCGACGGCTCTGACTCTGCCTTCGAGGATCATAGTGTTCTTGCATCTGAGGTTGTGCAGGTCTCGTGCTGTACGACTGTGGCCTTGGCCTTGTTTGGCTTGAACGTCTCTTCCTCCTTCGTACAGGCAAGTCCTCATCTTCGTCATTGTCCGCTCTGATACAACAACTCCATGATGCTTTCACATTCGATCTGCCGTAGCTCTCCTGCTTCTTCTTCGTTTGCCTTTGCGGCTGTATTGTCTCTTCTACCACGTCAGCGGGAATGCTCATCAGTGGTCCTTCGATACGCTGCCACTCGGTGGGCAGAGTGTCTCGTTTCTTCACCCTTCGCTTCCTGAATTTGTGCCCTACCTCACTCTCAGCCTCGAGGTCCAGCACGCCGACTTTTTCGGCAAGTGTGTCGATGCTACTGCGCTTCTGAAGTGGTACTATTCTAGTAGTCTGGTCATCCACGCGCTGGTTCTGCTTCATTTGGGCGACGAGGTTATCCGCCTGGTCCTTGTGCTGCCAGCAGAAAAAGGCAGCAGCATCTCCTTCATTCAGAATGGCGACAACACCAGTGCCATTGCCGTCGCTCTTCCGAAAAGGTGAATTCGCAGGCGAAGAACCTGGCGTGGCTGCCAAACCTCGACGACATGGCCTTCCAGAGCTTGTAAGGCCTTTACACGTGGTAGCGGGATTCTTACTATCCGATCGTTCAACAAGTGCTTCTGGTGTTAAGCCTTGAAAAGACATGTTTGCGAGCAAGATACTGATTCTCACGTGGGTGTTCAATCGTCTTTCTGACGGAAAAAATCCTCGACTTTACCTACCAGTGAAAACATGAAAGAGACAAAGGACTCAAAGAAGAAAGAGAAGGGCTTTCAGGGTACGTTGTTTGGATATCGTTGTCCAAGTAAACTGATTCATGGAATCACAATAGACATGGCACTGTTTGTTGGTACTTGTGCTCACCTGAAGTCCAACAGAACAGCATATACATCACAGTCATATCAAGATGAAGAGAGATGATAGGAGGGAGACTCTGACTGTCAGAGCGCTGAACGAATCTGTTGATTCCATCGAGGTAGGGTGGCTGGGAGAAGGATTGTGGAACCGCGATAAACGTCGTAGATCAGCTCTACAGCGGCAACTTCTTGGGAGTTAAAAAATGGATGTCGTTGATGGCTGGGAAAGGCTAGTAGCTAGCGGACATGCTCACACTCATCGCCCTTTGTTAGTTCATCATTTACACGTAGCATCTAAGTCGGAAATGGTGATTGGCATTGATACATTCAAAACATTTTTACAGGCTCAATGCTATCTATCTAGTGATAGCTAATCTCCCACAAACGCCGTTTCACCACGTAGTCCATCAGAAGGGGTATATAATGAAGAGAAAACCTGATATTGTCAACATCATCTCGTCTCAGATCGCCAGCTCCGTGTGCATGCAGTTTTAGCTCATGTTCCTGCTCCAGTCCATGTGTGGCAATAACTCACCAAGTCTTCCGTCAAATAGTGTCGTGTCAACATATCGTACCTCTCATCATGTCACTGTCTACCTCGTCATCGTCGCTTTTGCTCATGATTCGCTCGACTCTCCTATTCAACGCCTGCAGCTCAACAGGGCGCCAGTCCAGCAAACCCATGACGGCATCCTGGCCGTTTTCTAATTCCATAATCCTGTCCTTGAGTCCAGCATTCTCTGCTCTCATCACACCAAGTACATTCCAAGCCTCGTGTGGATCGACCCCGTGGCAGATTCGACATGGTTGTATCTGGGCAGGGACGTTGCCAACAACTGTCTCAACATTTGTAGTCAGTGATTTTAAGTGCTCGACCTGGGAAATGCTGACACTGGGAGTGGTAACACGACAACGGCCGCGTCTGAGAGTAGGCGATGGAGATGGACAACCAACAGAGGTTCCTGGTGAGCGTTCGTTCAGGACGTCGTCGTTTGAGAAGATGGAAGCATTTGTCCCGCTCATGTCTGTGCTGGCGCTGTTGGTCGACTCAGCGGACGAGATACGCGATGACCTGTTCTGCAGCTTAGGTTCCTGGCTGTCTGGCGACGTGTAATCTGTAATGACCCTGATACTGCGCAGGGCGGTCTCGTTCGCTTTGAGTTGTTCGTTCTCTGTTTGTAGTGATGATATCAGCTTGTCTTGTTGCGCTGACCTTTCTGCCAGTTCTAAGAGTTGTGCTTTGAGATGCTCGTTTCGTGTCACAGAAGCTTCGAGCTCATCTGCCTGAATGTTCCTTTCAGACGTGACCTTTCGTAATGCTGCTACTTGTTCTGTGTGGGCGGCTTGCAGGATTCGTAACGCGTTCTCGGCATTTTGTTGCAATTTCTTGAACGCGACCTGTGAAAACTCATCCGGTGTGCCATCTGGGAACAGGGTCGAGGCAATGCTTGCGGCGGCTAGTGCCTCGTGATCAGCTTTAGACTGTGCCTCGGGAGGTTTCCGAGTGAAGAAGCCGAACCGCGAGGTTGAGCTACTGGCCGACTGCATTGCTGGTCTCTGTGGTTGGATATGTGTCGAGTGAAGCGATTCTCGACTCTCTGCGAAAGGTGTCTGCATCAGACTACTTGAGACAGGTTGTTCGGCGGCGACGAGACCGATGTTGACAGGATCAGAAGACCCTTCGAACCATGTAGCTAAATTTCCAACCTTGGTTTTTGTCCTCGTTCTGGTCTGCTGTGCAGTGGTATCGTCTAGCACGACTTCTTGGGTTTGTCGTTTTGGAGAGGGGGATCGTGAAGAAGTCACGAAGGGCAGATATGTGCTGGAACGCGTCGGAGATGGCGAGTCTCGTCTGGGCAGTAGAAGAGGTATATCGATTGCCGAGCGTGAGCGAACGTGTGACCTAGAAGGTGGTGGTAATGAGGGGATATTGTAGTCATCGAGCGTGGGCCATGTGACGGACTCGGGATCGTGCTGTGGCATTTTTCAACGACGATCTCAAATCAAGGGAGGTGCTCGTTCGCTCCTTCGCTCCAGCTCTCAATTACACTTTCAAACCGGATGTGAAGAAAGAGTAGGTGGGTCAGAAGTCGTTCCAACGGATAGACCACAAGTCGAGGCTATGTCGTTCTTGCTCGTGCAGATGTTCTGCGACTGATCTTGAAGTCTTGCGTGTTGAGGACTTTTTCGGGCTGACTGACAAACAACCTGCAAGGCCAATCTCTTATTGCAGCTGTCGAAATCAGTCAGTGGGTGTGAAGCAGAGACTCTACATGACGTCCTTCCTCGCTGGCTATATTCTGACCACACTTGCAAAATCCCATGGCTGGACTTGGAGTTCTGCCTATCAGCGCTTCCTTAAAAGAGTTGGCAGGAAACAACACCCCCACTATGAGCTCAAATGCCTGGAACTTTATGCACCTACCCGCGCCTATTCGTACCTATAAAGCTTAAAGACACCAGCTGCAGAAACTTTTAGCTCAGCAATGACGACTTGCCGAAAGATTGTGCTCTGCATCCGAAGAAAAGGTGGCAAGGATTGAGATGACGCGGAACGCGCTACAAAGTATGAAACGTGATTGCACGACCGTTGCCACCGACACGTTGCGCGCATGTGGGGAGATGGCGGCAAGCTTCGAATATCCCAGCCACGCTCAGAAACACAACTGGCTTGTTCTCAATGTAAAACAATATTCTGCATCCGGACAATAAGCACTAATTGTGACTGTACAGGCAATGAGGAGGTAGAGTGGCTCAGCGCAAGTTAGTAGAGACGTACGAAGAAGTTGTACTGAAGTAGCGAGTACATTTTCTGCTGCATAAGGCAGCCATTTCAGCTCAGGTATATACAACGATAAAAAAATGCTATCAGCACATCGTAGAGACCGCTTGATCAAAACGACTTTTCACTGCGCCCGTGTATCCTCGTGCCACGGAAAGATATCCTCAAAACAACGCCGCCGCTATGCCATGCTGAATATCAGACTGAAAACCAAGACAGAATCACCGACTGCAGCAGCCTCATAACGAAGCGCTTGATGAGCTCTGATCAATCTTCTTGTACGCAACAGGCGCTGGCATGCCACCTCCTTCTAGTGGCGGTGGTGGTGGCGCACTCTTTCCTCCAATCTCTCCTGTCTGCCCACTGAAGTACTTGCTGAACTCACCTGGGTCGTCGAACGGTCGTGGCCCAAGCAATCTGACTAGATCGTCTCGGACGAGCATCTCTTTCTTCAGTAGCTCTTCCGCTACAGCGTGAACAGCATCCTTCTTCTCTGTCAGTAAATCCTTGCACTGCTTGTATGCTTCATCGACAATACGTCGGACTTCCATGTCAATGTTGCGGGCTGTTTCCTCGGAGAAGGGCTTGTGTAGGCGTTGTTCATCGTCCTTGTAGTTGAGATAGCCGATTTTGCTGGACATGCCCCATTCAGTCACCATGGCAGTAGCCATTCGAGTCACTTTGTTGAAGTCGTCGGAGGCACCAGAGGTGACAGTGTCGAACCAGAGTTCTTCAGATACACGACCACCTAGGGTCATGGCCATTCGGTCCATCAGCTGCTTGACGTTCATAAGGTACACATCGTTGCCACCGGCTGGGAGGTATTGTGCATATCCAAGTGCACCTTGACCACGTGGAATAATGGAGACTTTGAGCAGAGGGTCAGCATACTTGAAGAACCAGCCACAAATGGCGTGACCAGCTTCGTGGTAGGCAACAGTCTTCTTTTCCTCAGGGTTGAGAACAACGGACTTCTTCTCGAGACCACCAATGACTCGCTCAATGGCTTGTTCGAAGTGAGTCATCTCAACAGACTTGGCATCAGCTCGAGCAGCGATAAGTGCAGCCTCGTTGACACAGTTGGCAATATCTGCGCCAGAGAAGCCAGGAGTGAGTGCCGAAAGTCGTCCAGTCAGATGTGGGAGGTCCTCGTTGGTAACGATCTTCTTAAGATGCACCATGAAGATTTGCTTTCGGCCGTCCATAGTAGGTCGATCGATCGAGATGTGTCTGTCAAATCTACCAGGTCGCATTAATGCCTTGTCGAGCACATCAGGTCTGTTGGTACCAGCCAATACAACAACTTGTTCCGAAGTGTTAAAACCGTCCATCTCTGTCAAGATCTGGTTGAGTGTGGCCTCTCGTTCGTCGTTGCCACCACCAAATTGGTTCTTTCCTCGGCTCTTACCAATGGCATCGATCTCGTCGATGAAGATGATACAAGGTGTGGACTTTCGCGCATTGGCGAACAGATCTCGGACACGAGAGGCACCAACACCGACAAACATCTCCACGAACTCGGATCCAGAAACGGAGAAGAATGGTACACCAGACTCACCTGCCGTAGCTTTAGCTAGCAACGTCTTACCAGTGCCTGGAGGACCGGACAGGATGGCACCACGTGGGATCTTTGCACCAAGCTGCTGATACTTAGTAGGATCCTTGAGGAAGCTGACGAATTCCATAATCTCCACCTTGGCCTCGTCCATACCAGCAACATCGTTGAACTTGACTTTGATGTCCGTCTCGTGGTTGAACTTCTTGGCTCTGCTTTTGCCGATACCAAAGATTCCACTCTGACCACCAGCACCTGCACCACCGGCTCGCCTGCTCATCCAGAACAAAACACCGATAAACAGCAAGGTGGGTCCGAACGAGTAAATGGCAGCAGAAAGACCGACCTCATCGGTATATGCGACAGGTACTCGCTCGTTCTGTGGAATACCAAGCTCATCGTGTGCTTCGTCTAGCTTCCTTTCAAAGCTCTCCACACTACCGATGCTGAAATAGTAGTAGAAGTTCTGCCGTGCAGCAGGAGACTCAGGATACATGTTGGCTACTGCCTCTTTGTGTACCTCAACTCGAACTCTGTTTTTGTTGACCACGGTCAACTTGTCCACAAGACCCTTATCAAAGAATGTGGTCCTGAACTCTTGCCATGTGATGTCTCTGGAGGCCTCACCCGGAAATAAAGATCGATAGAAGTAGTAGGACAGGAAAGCTGAGATCAGAACCGTACCAGTGTCGAGCTTGAGCTCAAAGGTACGTGGTCCACCAGGTCCAGCATTTTGCTTGCTGCGAGACTTGGCTCTCTCTCCTCTCGGGTCTTCGCCCTCCTTGTCGCTCTGTTGCTGCTTGTTACTCTGGTCGAACATACCCTCGGAGTCTTTCTCTCCCTCACTCTTCTTGCTCTGCACTTTTCCATCTCCATACTCATCCCGAATCTGTTGTGCCGTCATTCTGCTCATCTTGGTAAAAACGCCTACGAGCTTTACGGTTGTGCCCAAATCAATCTTTTTGTTAGGATTCTTCTTTTTTTCCTCGAGAATGTCGCGTAGCTCTTGCGGTATACCACCCTTTGACATGACTTTGACAGCCTCGTCAACAGCTTCAGACTGCGACTTGGGCAAGCCGTTCTTGACCATCTGCGCAACATCTTGTATAGCTTTCACCTCTTGCTCGCTGAGAGGGACGAAGCCAGGTTGCTTAGGATCCTGCTGGGGCTCGCCATCCTTCTGTGAGTCTTTGCCAGCTGCTTCAGCGTCAGTGGGAGAGTCGGACTTGGTGTTTTCTATTGCCTGAGTGGGTGTGTCGCCTAGCTCTTTATCATCGTTGTCCTGCTTCTTGTCCTTCTCGACTTCTTTATCGTTCTTGTTGGGAGGTTTGGGGTCGCCAGGATTGACAGTGGCATACGTCCTGGATATCGGTGGCCGTAGCAGCTTTGATGTGTATCGCTGTGGATGAGGACGAGCTGTGGCAAGCAGACTTGCTCTTCTCGAAGTGCATATCGCGCATTGATATGCCGTCCTCGATTGTCGTATTATGTTTGGGCGAAGGAAGCTGGCGGCCATAATGGAGATTGTGGGAGGGCACCAGAACCGCTACTGCGGCGAGTCTATGGAGAGTGAATGGCAATCGTGAAAGAGATCCAATACTTGAAGAAAATAGAAAGACTAGGGACAGTTTCAAAGGAAGGCGACTGTGAATGAGATGGTGTTCTGGATTCGCCGCCTTGCTGAAATGGAAGGAAATCTGTCAAGCATGTCATCTATTCCGCCTGCTACATCGATAGCGTCAAATCACCATCGTCACGAGTCTGAAAAGGCAACTCATCCTTGCCACGCCGCTGCTTACATAAACTACCCGAGCTCCGGCCTCACTCCCTGTGTATTCCCCGTTCTCATCTATCCATCACGTCCTGCATCTGTTTCACGTCTTAACTCCTTGTTCCCCGTATCTTAAATCAGTTTGTCAGGTCCTTCTACCGGCAAACATCCTTGGAATTCTCCCTTCGTCAAACTTAATGGCTTCACCCAGTTGAGGTCGATATTTCGAATCTTCGGCAAGTCTTTGAGGTGGTGCTCTGTCGCCACGTCCAGCTGGCTCAAATAGGCTGTTCGACTCACCGTCCTTTTCTGAAGCGGCACTCTTGTCAATCGCATACTCTGGTGGATTACGGTATGGTCGCGAGCCGCGATGGAAGAGCCCGGAGTCATCTTCAGTCTGCATGGCCAATGTGCTCATTATGCTGCCAACGGCTCTAACAGTTGTAGCGTGCCGTTTTGCCTCTGATTTGCTCATGGTTGCTGATCGAAACGAACCTCCATGTTCCCATTTGATTTGCATTTCCGATGCTACTTCCTCAGTCTTGAGTGTCCTCTGCTCGTACTCCTTCTTGCTTGTTGCTAGCCACTTCCCCAGCTCCTCAGACTCGACTCCTCTCTTATCCTCCCATCCACCGTTGTACTTGTCCGAGATTGACAAAGTCTGTACCGACGCAATTACTCGTCTCAATCTGTGTCGTTCTTCTTCGTTTGGCATTCGAATCTCCGGCCACATAGGACTTTGCAAATCAACCAAAGGGAACTTGATGTCTGTTACCTGTTCAGCTTCAGTTTCAGGCAGCCGAAAATTCTGGGCTTCGGCTTGAAGCAACCCAGGTGGTGCTGCCCTAGCCTCTAGGCCAAGCTCTGGCCGTTTCTCCTCGAATGACGACGCAGTACTCGACCTTGTTCTGGACTGTCTTTCTGTCCTCATTGGCAACCTACATGTCTCTGTCATTCTGTTTCGATGAATAGCAGCCTGGCCGAGATATGGCCAATCAGCTTCGGTCCTGCCGTTCACACTTGCAGCCATCCGACCGGTCATACTGTCTACTCGAGGCTGATGTGTGTCTCTTGACACATAGATTTGCGATCTGGCTTGACCGATCGAATTCCTCTCCATTATCAGATCTTCTATATTGGCAGATGGTTTGTGCATCGACAAGGTCCGAGGCTGGAATCGGTCCTCGATGGTCACGTCTGGTGCAGGCGTACTGACAGGATGCATGATAGTAGCAGCAAGGAACAACTCTGGGTGTTCCTCGAATAGTCTTGCACGGTCGCTCTCCTTAACCTCGCACTTTGCCGGGCTCAGGTCGTCCGGACCAAAAACATGAAATGTCGGCCCACCGAGCTCAGTAGTACCTTGTTGCCCCAGAGGAGATGGGGTGGAAGGTCTACCTCCTAACTGTTTTTGTTCGACTACCGCCTTATCTGAGTTTTGTCGTTTCAAAGTCGGCTTGAACAACGGGGCCTGGGCCGTCGTGGACGGTAAGCCTGAATCCTGAGACGACTCCGAGTAGTACGAATGTTCTAAGCGGTTATACCATTCCAGATCGCGAAAGAGGGGTGGTGTTGCTGATACGTGATGCTGCGGGTAAACCGTATGGTAGCCCTGCAGCTGAGAAAGCATTGGCATCATATCATGATGAGACGGGCACCCATAACCGTCGTCGTGCAACATAGCTCTTGGAGCAAAAGGAATGATTGGAGCAGTAGGAAATTCTCGGTAACGATATGGTGTCTGCACATTCCTGACTATCTCGGCCTGAGTGGTAAAATTAGATTGTGGTGGAACAGTTGCTGATCGAGGAGGATCGACAGAATTGGGTCGTGGTGAAGATGACTTGTTCTCCAGGTCTGCTTCAGTTTTGCTTGTGTTTTCTTGTTCTGCTGGCTCCGACAAAACTAGTGGTTTGAAAGTCTTGACACCTTTGTTCCGGTTGGCTGATGTTATTCGACCGAAAGCCCCAAGAGGAACTGGAGCTGGCTTGGGTATTTCCTGTTCCTCTGCGTCTTTACGTGCTTGTTGTCTGGCGGAAGCTGCCTTGGCGGCGTTGTACTCTGCTGCTCGGGCCTTTGCCCCGAGCATACTACCAGCTGCCTAGTGCCGGGTCAAACTCAGCAGCCGACAATGTGCGAATGACTTACCTGTGCAGGAGTTGGAGATCTCATCGCTGAAGGTGCTGTAGGAATAGCAAGGTGGGGAGTGTAAGTGTCAGGCCGTCGATAGTAAGGAATGCCCGCAATCGGATCTACTGGTAGGTCAGAGGGTAGAAGAGGGTGGTAAGATGCTGGCTGCATGGTGAAGTCGGCTAGTGGAAGCTCGTGGGCTGAAAGTTGTCGTCGAGATACTGCGGATGGATTAGATTGTGCCTGCCTGGCTCGAGAAGCTCGAACTTGAGCGTTCATACGTCGCCTGCGATGTCGTGTCTTGGGGCTCAAGAAGTCTGAATCATATTGATCCATATGTCAGGACTGAGGAAGATTAATGCGATGAGTTATAGCATGCGTTAGAAGACAGCGGTTGAAAGACTGAAACAAAAGCACAAAGTTGTGAGTGGCAGTCGCAGACGAGCGTTCTTTCCTGTAGCCAAATTCTTTTATCCTTAAAATCATTCAAGACTGGTACTGCTAGTTGCCTGCAGATACAAGTTGTGATCAAATGGAGTGTTTGTGTAAACACGTCTTGCTTCGGTTCACCATCACTAGTGCAGATGGCTGCCTTTCACTCTGTACCTGCACTGTTTTAGTATGACCACGTCTCTGAAATATGCACCTGGTTGTCTGCGTGTCTTGGGAGGATAGCCTCAGCACGAGACAAGTAGTGTACAGACAGCATGACTGAGAGGCTAGAAAGAAAACATCAGTGTCGACAGAGTGGTGTATGAAGTTGACAAGATATGAGATATGGTGGCTCAAACCAACGACTTGTGAAGCAGAACCTTTTCTCTATAACCGTTCGTCCTGCTTATATCCTATTGCTTCCTAGTGGTCCGCCAAAACTCAAAGGTCTCCTGTATCCATCGTCACCACCGGGCACAGTCTCGTACTGACCATAAGATGTATTACTAATGCCACCACCATGAACCCTGGCAGCCTCAAAGCTATAACCTGTATCTCTTTCGTCATGAGCAACATCCAACCTCGAATCAAATGCTTCCTCATCCTCTTTGTATCCATCGCCAACACTTTGAGGGTATGATATATTGTTCTTCTGAATTTGGCCAGTACGTGGTGCAAGTCCTGTGCGCCTGTACTCCATCAACAACTTGAAATTGAAATAGCTCGTCACTATGAAACAGCACATCATGAGCACGCTGAACACAATATCCGCCTCACTGATGCGGCATTTGCTGGCGCTACCGTGAGCGAAATTGTCGCAGCCGCTCTTCGTACTATCTCCACCTCTTCCCTTACCCGAAATGACATACGAGGCAAGACTAGCCCAAGCACTGAACCAGAAGATACATAAGAGACCGTCAACAACGCAATGGGCGTAAGGATGCGAGAAGCGAGCGGTACGCGACCAGATAGGGGTGAGGGACTGGTAAATGACCATGGGAATGGTCAGGAAGCACTGCATGACGTTAATCAGTGTCTCCGTGTCAGGAAGAGCTGGGACAGTATTTACCAGCCCAAAAGTCCATGCCAGACGACCGTCAACACCTCCGCCTTGAGTAAGAGCAGCCAGAGACAGGCACCATGTCAGAAAAAGCAGAGCTGCACTGGTAATGTAGATATAGTTCTTGATCTGTCCGAGCCGATCTTGTTCAATGCGCATCTTGTCGGTTGTAGTTCAGGCTGGACAGGACATCGACAGCTGATCACGAACTCGCAGCCGCTGTACGTGGGTTGTCGAGAGGAGGACCTCCTGGGTATCCGAGGTCGGTCGTCTCAGCTTTTGTGTCAAGGGACAAGTACAGTTCACAAGGCAGCCGCCACAACTGCGCGGTTGTCTCGCGATATAGTTGCTGCAATGGGCGAAAGGAGGTCAGTCCGCAACTTCGTGGCCTACTGAATGCAGGTTCAAGATCGAGGAGAAGGCGTGTTGTTGGTCGAACAAATAGGCTGAATCAGAGCTGGAGTCGATAGGTGTCCGAGTAGAACAACATACTGTGCTAAAATGAAAGAAAATGTTCAACTGCGCCTGCTGAAACTGTTCCCAAAGCAGCAAACGAGGCTGACTACCTCAGACGCCTTTTGGGGCCAACCGTGCCCTTTTCAGGTCGTGTTCTCGCCTAAATCAGCCAAGGTGGACACGGCTCGCGGCTTCTCCTGCAAGATCTAAAAGCCTAGAAGTGGGGGTCAGGAGGCAAAGGTTCGCAATGATTTCACCACATCTACTTGAACACGCAGTAGTACTTGATCACATATCGAGAAGATACGTGACTACTGGCTGATAGGATGTGTGTCCATTCAGATCCCTTGTGAGCAGAGGCTCTTGCGTCAAGCCATATATGTCACTTTACTCTCTCTTCGTCGTGCTTATCACATGAAAAGTCCTACAATTCAAGAGCGAGCCATGTCACTATCAAAGTGGTGTCCTCAGAAACTTCCACTCTTACCCGTGGAAGAGCAGGTAATTCACTGCATCACCGACAAGCATACACAGTACATATATCGAGCATGTGATTTCGAGGTCTAGGCCTTTGGCTCGTGCTTTTTGCAAGCTCGTCAAATCGAGCACAACCAGAGACTACGAGCTCAAAAGCAGCTGATCACCGCGACAGGATACAAGCATTCGACACGATCTAAGAAAGCATAGAAGTGATCCTCGGTGACCTTTTCAACACTATGTTAGGTATTGGCTATTTTTACATATAGAACATTCATTATCGCTGATACACACTCAACTCGATCCGGGATCCAATCCTTTGTCGACTTCTACACGATCAAAATTCCTTCCCCAGCAATATAGCTTCGCCCTCATCCCATCCTCGCTCCCTGGCAAACTCAAGTACTGTCTGTCCTTCGTCATCCTTCGCGTTCAGGTCTACATCGCTCTTTGACTTCTGAACGAGCAGTCTCAAAATCTCGGCGTCACCTCGCTCAATTGCTTGCATGACACCATTCCATCCTCGGTATACTAGGTTGATATCAGCACCGCGCTCAAGCAGAATCTCAATGGCTTCTGTATCTTCTGGTCCACAGCACCTCCGCAAGGCTTTGACGATCGGTAGATGCTCACCTGGAGCATTGATGTCCGCACCAGCCTCATCGAGAAGGAAGTGTACAATATCGATGTGTCGCTCGCGAAGTGCAGTGGTCATTGGACTAAAAACACCGCCTGTCTTATCTTCGACGCTGAACCCAGCTGCGGCAAGTAGTTTGACTGAATCGAGCTGATCAGCCACTACGGCTTGCTCAATAATACCCTTCGAGTGATAGTTCTTGGGAAGACATGGCAAGATCTTGGTCATAATAGTCGGACTCCGGATCGACATTACAAGTGGCCAGTCGGACCCTCTGATGGCTGGGTTCGCACCATGAGCGAGAAGGATGTCGACAAATTGCAGATTGTTATCACGTATCGCGGTGGAAAGTGCTGTTGCGCCATCAGCCTGGCTGTTCTTGGCATTCACATCAACTCCAGCGTCAAGCAGATTCATTAATGCTTCCTTGTTGTTGTGTGCCACAGCTACTTCTAATATTCCTTTTGGAGTATGTATATCTGCACCAGCAGCCACAATCTGAGGCAAGAAATGTAAGCGGTTGTGTGATACACATTTGAACGCTGGATACTCGGATGCCGGCACATTCGGATCTGCACCGTTTTTTAGTAAAAGCGTCACGATTTCACTGCGATCGTCTCGAATTGCGCTGCAAAGTGGTGTGTACACGCCGTCTTTCTTGATGTTCGGATCGATTTTGTACTGAAGCAGAATCTTGACTGACTCGATGCAATTCAAACTTGTGGCCAGCTCCATTATGCCTGGTGCCATTCTTGGCTTGGCACCACGGGACAACATGAGCGAGAGAAGGGCTGGATCATACGTTGAAGGCCACAGAGGATGTTTCGGTCCTGCGAGGTTGGGATTGGCTTTGTGATCAAGCAGGAGTGTGGCTAGGTCGACACGTTTCGCAAACAAGGACTTGACAAGTGGTGTTTCTCCATGGGTGCTCTTCTTGTCTGGTTCGGCTCCTGACTCAAGTAGAAGTGACACAACGTCGGCAGAGGTCGTCTTGTTGATCGACTTGAGAAAGGGAGTGTCGCCATCGGGAAGCATTTCGTTCACACCACATCCATGCTTCAGATATAGTTCGAGCAAATCGATTTTGTCGCCACTGATAGCCATAAGTAATGGCGATTCTCCTTCAGCGGTAGCAGAGAGGTTTGGGTTGGCACCGTACCTGACAAGTATACTTGCAGCCTCGTACGAAGACATTTCTGTTGCTGTGGAAAGAGGACTGAGCACTCCACCATCAGAATAATTTGGATCTGCACCATGCACGAGCAGTAAACGCAGACTGCCAAAATCTTCGTGCAGGACGGAATTGTTAAGCAATCGTAGCTCTGCGAAAATCTCTGCAGGTATCTGCTGCTCAAGCAGTTCCTCAAGAGCTTCATGATTTCCTGCTTGCACAGCAGCAATCAAAGCGGCTTTCACTGTGGTCGGTGTGGCAGGTGGAGGCCTCTGAGTACGACGGACGGTAGGAGGCGAAGCCGTTTTAGACAGTGCACGAGGCTGAGACGGGGATCTTCTCTCATAGTCGTAATTTTTGAGCATGTCTTCAAACTGGATCATTGACTCGACCGTTGTCATACTCGTATCCGATATCGTTCCCCGGCGAGACTCGTCGCTGCTGTGGTGAAGTTCCTGGATCGCTGGCGTTGTCAGACCTCGCTTCAGCTCCGTACTAGTAACGCATCTTTGTGCTGAAACCTTTGATTCTGGTGTGTGTAAGTCAGACTGTCTCGAACGATTGGGAAATGCTGCAGAGCTTGGCGTGGTGAGACCTGTAGGCTTGGTTGGTAACGTGGGACCTCCCAGCAATGAGCCTTCCCAAGCTGGAAGGGGTGGTAACTGATCAAGGTTCGGAACGATCACGTTCGTAGGAACAGTCCTATCTGTACTCGTAGCTGATTTATTCGATGGCTGTCGGTTTGAAGCTCGCGTTGAAGACGAGGACGCTGAGGGCGGCTTCTGACCATTGGCTGCCTTCAAGGCTGTTGCCAGGCTAGTATAGGCACTGCCCGTAGACGATGGAAGGTTGGCGTCACCAAGGATCCATTTGAATGCGAGAGAACCCATACGAAGACTATCACGATCTTTGGCAAGTGCAGCACTCAATCTGTGGACTTCTGTGTCGATTCCCATCATGCCAAATCCTTTTGTAAGCTTGCTGAAGCCCTTCTTGCGCTCATATATGAGGAGTTTTGACAGCAAGAGGTCCAGAAAATTAAAGTTGTCGATGGTCGAGCTAACCTTATCAGTAAGCTCTTTTGCAACGTCGATAGGCAGTTGGTCTTCTGCTCGAGCAGCCTCTAAAAGACCTGCTTGTATTGGCCATAGTGTCTGACAGACTTCCAAGAAATTGATCGCAAGGCCACGGAAACCGTGCGTTTGATGGCTTTTTGAGGCTGTCAGGTATTCGACAGTCCGAGTCGAATTGATGTTCGCTAAATTGGTTGCTCTCTGACATAGTTCAAGAAGTACTGTGGTAGCGTCCGACATCCTCGTTTTCACCTTCGTCACGCATGAGACAAAGTCAGATGCTAGGGAAAGAAGAAGCTGAGCGGCATAATTCCAGTTTTACCAAGCAAGTCGCGCTGAGGTTCAAAATGCCACACGTCTAGCATCTTACACTTGACCAGTCTCGATTGACGGGGACTCGCGACCCTGCAATTAGAATGCATGATTAGACTGGGGATATCGGGACGGGATGCAGGACCGACACGATTCAATTCCAGTCTTTGAATGACGAGGGATGGCACTATCGAGTTAAAACCCGCTTCACAGCAAGGTAGAAAATCAGAGGGTAGGACGGCCACCGCGTTCTAGCTGGACTAGTAGGGATTCGTTGGCCGCATACTGGTCGAGTTTTGAAGCAATGCGACCCAGGGAAATGGACTATGGTACTAGTCTCTGAATGTGGACTTCCACGTGCACCGTGCAGCCAAATTCGTGTTTTAAGGTTTACGAGGTAATGCCGGTTATTTGTACTAGTGTCGAAGACTCCTGCCACTTTGATGCTGTTGTTGATTCGAGTCCTCTGGATGCACTTGTGTTTCCCACAGTTCTCACAATACGTAGCAGAAAGGAGTCCAACGGACAAACGCGGTGTCTTAGAAGCATCCAACCAGTGACGGTGACGCACGACATCACGCGAGCATGCTTGCAGCATTCACAGTTTGAAAGTGCCTCCTGTACAATGCAAAAGTGCACGAAAACGCGGTGTGGTACAAGTTCACTGTAAGTCCGCTCCCATGAATCTACAAATCATATTGGACAACTATTGAAAGACGTTTGAACCCGCCAAGGTAACCCACTGGACCCCAAGGCGCCTCTCTTAATGCTCAGGTCGTCGTCTACTTGTCATAGAGAGCCTTTATTACGAGGCTTGTTGGTTGCGGATTCTGCATTGCATTAGGGGGCTCAAACCTTTTTTTTTTTGAGTTTTCGAGAAGGCGAGATGGACGTTGGTGTCTCCGCAGATAGCAGAGGTCGTACTTCAGTTCTGAATCAAACACTGGCCATTGAACACCAAACTGGTCTCTAGTGATCGGCATATTCGTAAGAACGTTCACAGCAGGACTTTGGCTTGTATCTCGCTTACTTGACCCATTGGCACTTGCAAGCACCATTGAGGAAAATCTGGGGTGCGAAAACCAACGTCGATACGCCCCTGATCGGCCAGACGGAACGAGATGTCCGCTACTCGTACATCCACAAAGTTTGTACCCACTAACCCAGGTTCAGCTCAATGATTTGATTTGTATCCACTGAAGCTACTGTACGGTAGCAGAAAGGACTGGCTAGTACACAGGTCTTACTTGTGTTGTAAGATACTCATTGGTTCAATATTGGCGCTACCTTAGCGGGTGCAAAACTTCCTGGTTTTCCAAGTATTGGCAACAAGCGCAGCTTGTGCTTCACGTGAGCAGAGATCTTGAGGAGCAATTGTAGACGAGTTGCTATAGACCAAAGTGGCTAATTCCGACGGATAATAAGACCTAGCGTATGGATCTCCTCAAATTTTCAAGGACTGGTGTGGTTGTTTCTGCAAAGCTAGTGACGACTTGTAGAGCTTGGAGTAGAAGGAGACGTTGCTCAATATTGTTATTACCAGAACACGAATTTCGGCTTGACTGGTGGGAAATTAACCAGAATACCAAGTACACCTCAGATGTGGTGCGTTGAATGTGCAAGTGCGATACATCTACGCCTCTTGTTCGGCCCTGGCATGTAGTGCAACCACGATAGGTGAGCCGCTAACGCTCCGTGTGCTCACATTGTGTGCACAGTAAACTATAGGTCAACGAATGTTACGGAATATAAAGAAATCCCGCTTAGTAGTATATAGCTTATCAGATGAGCTCTTGTTTCGTAGTATTACATATATGTCTCTCAAGTATAGCTAGTCGTCGCAACCAAGAGAAGTACGATTTTAGAAAGGTAAGCAAGGCTGCGCGAAAAGTCAAATTCGGTGGCTGTTGTAAGGCCTATGAGAGGTATGCCTCAAGTATCAGGCATCAAGTCCTTATATGTACTAGGATCACACCGCCATCACCCTTAGATAGCCCTCTAGCCTCAATCCCATCATATTATGACGACTATCACTTCTCATATCATAGGCTCCGCCTATAGATCATTACAGCTGTAGCTTTGTTCTATTTTCGTATCCCTCGTCAGCACGATCACACCTTGCATATATGGACATAATCTTGCGGGCTTTCCTGATCGACAATGGCTACAAGTTCTCGAGACAATTCATGCACGGAGGAGTTTCCCGTTTGTCCATGAAGCCGAGTCACAGGGTCTGGAACGTCCTTGCTCTACCCTGTCAGGATTTAGTAGCTTCAACTTGCGAGAGCTCAAAAGAAGCCGGTTGTTCGGCAAGTGCCCACCACGCTCGTAGGACCGACTGTCGCCCTCCTGGCTCCTCACACTTTACGACTTGTACACCGCTTAACCACCCATGGTTCGTACAGTCCTCGTTCAACACAGTCCTGGCACTTTTGATAGCGATACCCGGGTGCGGCTGCCTGGCTGAGAGGTATAAAGTCAAGCACAGTAACCTTTGCCGATAAGTATCAGAATGGTGCGCAGTATAGCATCCTCAATGTGGCTTCACTCTAGGTTACGATCACGCTCTGGGTTCTCTTTATTAGACTACCAGGCCAGTCATTTTAGCTAATGTGTCCATATGCGAAGTTCTTGGAACCTTTGTCATGTTCCAGCGCGTCCGATGATTAACTAGCACTTCCTTGCGGTTAACAAGCTCGTTGACAATCGCCTCGTTTACAACGGCTTGAAAGGGCTGTCATACTCTACCACTTCGATAAGAGAGGTATACCTGTGATAAACCTAGTCGTCCAGGTCTGGTCGTACCCTACTCCACGCTCACTGTCGATCCTATCTACTGGGAGTCTGACCATGATGGCTTGTACTTGTTCATCATAAGCGCATACGCAACAACAGGTACGCGACTCGCTCTGTTAGAACAGGACAAAGAACGACAGCCCTCTTACATGACCATCCCGCACATCGTACACTTCTCAATTTAGAAATTCTCCTGGAAAGCAGTGAACACCGATGCGACGATCTCAGAATAAGGCTGGATCCAGCCACACTGCGCAACCACATGTGAAGGCTGAACCCAGTTACCCTCAATAATCGACCTTTTCTTGGGGCTCTTCCGTATGCATGAAATGGAGACTATGCAGTCAAAGACCCTGGACTAGGACAACACGTCATCGCATGCACGAGCGTTTGCTACACCTCTCTCCTCCATCACAGAAAATGGCATGAGAGTTTCAGATTCTGAGTGAATGCCTTGTATAAAAATTAAAGCGACGAGCAGGGAAAAGAGTTGATTCACCACTGCTTGAGCGTCGGATGCATGGCACATTTGAGCAAACAATTGCCTGACTCCATGCGCACAATGGCTGTGGCTTGAGTACTGATATGCATCGATGATCTTAATCTGCCTGAGACTGGCTTTTAAGGCCACTGCACGACGACGATCATCGTCTCGATGGCGCCCCTGGCATTGTACGACAAATGTTAGAATCCCTCCCATTAAGCAACACAAGTTTTTTGCAGTCCCTCTCAGACTGAAAACTGTCACCGGAATGGGAATTTCGCATGTGGATCGACTATGTGTGCAAACAAAAAGAAGGAAAAGAAACAGTTGTGAAAAGTGATCATACTGTCATGTGAGGCCATCTCGGTATGCGACTGGTTGATCTGAACTCGATTGCTTCTCGAGATGTCTTTGTGCTGTTGATACCTTCTGAAGGAGCCGATTGGAGGGAGACGAGAGACCTCCTTGTAAGGCGCCATGCTGAATACGCACCATCCTTGGGAGAGCTATAATTCAAGCAGATGATAAGGACCGAAAGACTACCAGGACTTCATGATGCAACTTATACCGAATATAGCAGTATTCGCAGGAGTGGCAAAATCTCCTGCATCTGGTGCAGCAAGCACTTCCGATGCTCATAATGGACTCGATGCAGATCTTGTCCCGTCGTATTGGTGCGATCCAGGACTGGCTGCGACACCTGACGGCTTGTAAATTGAGATCTTCTGTGGATCGGCTCTCGACTGGCAGATGATGATGCTCGTTATGGTCGGATTATTCTCGTCCTAGACTATACACCCTTTGCATGACCCGAGCAGTTGCGTTTGATTTGCAGCATCGGCAATTCAGAACTGACACACCCATGGGCACATTCAAGGATGTGAGTCGTATGTTGCCGATGTTTTTCGCATCCCACCGTAAGGATGACCGACGTGCGCTACTGTGGAAATGTTGTTACTGGTGAAGCCTCCCTTGCTTGAGTACAGGCTGTCACTCACGAATAGCAGCTCGAAGCGACATTACAAGTACTTGATGCAACGATTCTGCATGCAGTAAAGCGACCCTAGGCCCTGTTGTCCTGCACTATGGCTGCTCAATCCTACAGCCATTCGCCAGAGATGGTCCCTCCCGTCCCACTCATGGCCTCGATTTGGAATGCCTTGACGGGCGCAAACTTAAAAGCAGTGTATCGTCGAATAGCTCAAGCGTCCCGGAGAACGCGCAATTTTGCAGCTCCAGCGTGCACTCGACTCATTGATGCCTCGAGGCTGGCGACATGACACACCGGTACTAGCTTTATCAGGTGGCTGCAAATCCAGAGTGCGTTTCTGGCCTGCCTTATTGAGCAGTCGCGATTAAGTCCATATGCCTACGCGTCACTAACCTCCTCACCACTTGCCAATCTGCAGGTCACCTACTCGTCATGCCATACACCATACAGTCTGACGCAATACCGCTGATTTGCCCGTTACCGACGTAAACTTTGAACCCCAATGGCCTGAGGCGAGTGGGTTTTCTAAAGCACCCTCGACTACCATTGATCACAACAGCCAGTATGTATGTGGGTGTCCCAATCTTCGTATCCAGGGACCTGCTATCAGAATCGAGAGCCTTATACTTACCAAATGTTAAGAGGTAGCGAACACAAGCATCATATCAGTCAACGAACGATTTTGAAGGGTTGTTCATTGCGATGCTGAACTTACTCTGACTACAAGATAGCAGAACGCTGTCAATGGTGCCACAATACTTCGTCACGTCAAGAGGAGAGTACTGCTGATCGGCATACAGACTAAAGAGCACGGCAATATCTAGAGGGTCAGGGTCGAACACTTACGTCGTTTGACTGAGTAGCTGGAATCTCGCAAGCCCAGATACACCTACAAAAGTTGTGCCAGCGAGAAGCACTTTCACAACCCTGGCGTACTGGCCAATTTCGCTAATCAACGACACGTCTGCAAGAGAAAGCGGCAACCTACGTCGCTGCGATTGTCCTACCTAGTATGGAACATGACTGTTTTTATGGGACTGGTGAATCTACCAAGAATTCAAGTTTGTGTCTTGCATGGATATTCCCTGTCGACTGGTTCGATCCGCATAGCAATCTTGTGTTTCCACAGAGGTCTTGCGGCTAGGCTGCCATGATCTGTTGTAAACACTTCAGAATGACTAGAGTATGGAGTTACAGGTCTGTCCAAGTTCCAAGCCTGAGGAGCAAATTATCTACTTGAACACATCTCGTGTCCACATCACCCTGCGGAGTACCATGACACTCATGGTATCAGAAGCATGGTAGCCTCGTTACGATATGAGCTCTATTCGGAGCTAGGGTCGTCGCTCCGGAGCTGTTAGGCTGCTCTAACGCGACTATCGAATGTGAAGACTGCACTATGAAACGAGCAGATCTAATGCTCGTCGTCAAAGACAACCCATACACCACACATAGCACGACGATAGATCGAGCCTGAGGACGACTGTGGCTTCCATACCGCCCCGTTGAGTCACATAGCCTATCGGCCAGGCGCGCAAGAACAGTATCTGCAAAGAGCTGTAGGTGTGGTTAGCGCGAAATCGATCACAGCGCTACACCGCACAGCTGCATCATCTGTCATTGCCGCTTCTGCTCTTCCACTGCAGGAACGATACGAGAGATAATAGTGGAGCAATTTGAAGCTTCAGACCAAGTCAATATACTAGTGTGATAGAAAAGCTGCCCAAATATGTACTCCATTCCGTGAAGAAGAGACAGACTGTCAACGCCGTTTGCTCTTACAGTTGAAGCATATTTCCCAAACGGTATGCGAAGTCAGTCGACGGAAGAGGACATTGGATTGCTCTAGGGCTTTCGCGACTCTTCCTGTTTCTATCGCTCGCATGTGAGTGCCTTACTTTAAGAACCTTGCTTAGGTGGATTCCAATGCCGTGTTGATGCCCGATGACTGAAATCTCAAGCTCTTTGAATGAAAAGCAACACAATTGGGAAGGCTAGAGAGGCAGACAGTGACCTTGAAGACCGACCATGACGACAAAACCAAAGCCTGAATGCCAATCTTCTGCAAGCTAATTCGTCCGGGTCAGGTCTCGTTCGTCCATCTTACCAGCAGGCAATGGCTGCTTCTTCGACTTTATACTTCAGTGGTGACAAGCAGCGATTGTAAGCTAGCGGTACTTCGCTGCACAATAGGACCCTGTCATTCCAAGATCCCAGCCGTTGGCCACGGGCAATTAGCTATCATTCTACTGGTGCACTGGGCCACCTGAAACGCCGCAGATCGAAGTGTTGTCTTTTGTGTTCGAGCTACAGTTATCCACTTGTGACACTAACCGTATTCTGCGGTAATGGACGATCTTCCGACCACTAACCTCCACATTTCGAAGATCGACACTCAGAGCACTTCACGTGCGCTGGATACGTCGGTGTAGTGAAGGCATTCTCAAAGCACGACTTATCTTTCCGCTTACTCTGCTCGAGTTTGCCACATTGCCACTCAAATCACCTTATAGCAGCGATCTGGACGTCGACTTCGGAAGGTCGACACGTTAGTGGATATCACTTTGAGTTCAATGTTGAAGGACGTTGAGACACTCCCAGCGGAAACGCTGCTGACGACAAACTCCAACCCCTTGGCCAGACTTCGACCCTTGTCTTTGGGCTTGAGCTGGAATGGTATGTTTGTAGCTCGATTCTTGGCATTGTACGCTCGTCGTTGCGAGTTGTCAATGCTCAGACGACTAGAAGCTCAACGAACACATAATGTATCGCATGCAAGAAGATACAACCTCGCTGCTGGAGGCTATCACGGTATCACAGCAGTGGAAGTTGGAGTCATGGGGTCTTCCACGCTATCATAGAATTAGGTTTCGTGGGAAATTGCAAGGGAAGAGCCGCTGCTATACAACGTCATGTGGAACTGGTATGAGTCCGCAGGGAAACCTCGAAGACAGAACCTCCATACACTGCTCGACAACGCACTAGTCTTCACTCACATCAGTGCCCAATATCACAACTCTATCAGATGCAGCGTGTGTTTGATCAATACGGATCGAAGATCTCTCACCAGTAGACAAAAATGTCGCCATGGGTGGGGACGAAGACTCATTCCGTTGTCAAGGACAAAAGTATCATGTCGTCGTGACTCAAATTGCGAAAATACAGAAACCTCAGTTATGGTGCCACGCTACCTAATGCTTGTCATTCTCTCAAGGTTGGCTCGCCGATCAGGCATTGCACAGGTGGACGAAGTGAACACGGTGGAGTAATTTCCATTGCGACAGGCTCAGGACTTTTCGATGTGGACCACATTGAAGCCTGTCACATTGAAAACGAGCTGCGATATGATTTTAATTACGAGAAGTATTTCAGGCTTGGCTTCTAGGACCCAAAGATTGGACACAACACACGTTCAGGAAGTACATATAAAGCTGGGACTCATCCTAGAAGTAAAGATACAACTCAAACACGCAACCATCCATCAACAGCTTAGACACACAATCACCAGTCCCAAGTACATACTTGACAGAACCACCTTCATCACTCTTTAAAGCAAACAAGATGCATTTTGCAAAGTTGTTCCTGTCTAGCATGGCCTTTGGCGCCACAGGTCTGTTCTCCTGAGCCTCAAACCAATGCTGTAGGACTGCACCTGAACTTTTTTTTAGTTATGGCTATTGCTATCCCTCAACCACAAGCAGAGGAAGCCAGCATCGAGAAGCGACAAGTTGCAGCAGTTGCCACCAACCTCGCAAACACGGTCAACACTCTGGCTACCACAGTCAACACTGCAACAACTGCCATTAGTGAGTTGCAGTCTTCCAAGTGGCCATCAAGACACAGAATCACTGACAGCTGTTTGTAGGTTCTGCTATCTCCGTCAATGCAGACGCGGCTGTTACTGCGAATCTAGGTAACATAGTCGCCGCACTCCAGACCGCACAGGCCGCTGTTAGGGCTCAGCTCGCAGGTGCCGCAACAAGCATTACCCTTGCAACTGCAACTTCTCTGCAGAACACCCTCAACCAATTGAACACGATCGCGGCTGGTCTGCAGACCACTCTGGCCAACGTTGAGACTGGTATGTACATTCAACTCTCCCATTCCGTTGTGTATTGCATCAATGTTCTTGTCTGACTCGCCACTAGCGACCGACGTGGCTGTTGCGTCCGAGATTGCTGCTATCAGAGCTGCACTTACCGGAATTGTGACACCAATCACCACCTTTGTCAATTCTGTCTCAGTGACTGGTCTGGTGGCTGGACTTGTTGCTACACTCAACGGTCTCGTCGGTGGGATCATCGCCAACATCAACGCCATCATTGCTTCGTTCTGAAGAACCAGCTGTTTGACTGTAATCACTTGTCGACCAGTCCCTACAGCAAGCGGATGCATACGCGTTGAGGTGGAGGACTGGTCATTGGAGTGTTTGTATCCGAGGTATCGTGATGGTTTTTTACGACCATAACCACACTCCTTATCTAAGAAATTCTTACTATCGTAGGCCATTGTCTGGCAGTCTTCCACATCCGCATTCCTGCGGGTAGGTAGTCTTTATTCTCCGAATTCATACCGAGTTGAATCACGGATGAGTAATGATGTATATATTGAATGTCATTTGTGTTTGGAAGAGTGACATGCCTTTTGTCGTCAACGTTCCGAGAATTGATGGGATCGACCACCCACTCCTCAGCTCGTAAGGGCAGAATTGGTTGGATGAATTGACATGAATATTCGGCAAATCCAGGATGTACGAGGCTTCCAAAGTCTTGCCAGAGTGTTTTCGAACACGTAGTGCGAAGACACTCCGGATTTGCAAGCAAATTGTTTGAGATTATCGCGACATTTCCAAGGAGACCGAGTAGAGACATAGAGGGTCTAGCTCACCGGAAGCACTGTTGACGAGGAAATGTAAGCACGATACTGAACAAAGGTGAGTGGACTTGCCACTGTCAAATCATGGGTTCTGTCCTTCTGATCAATGCTAAACAATCTCCTCTTTACCTGTTCAGCTGGCCGATCAGTATTCAGTTCGCACCTCCATCACTTGCTTGAAGCGCAGATCCATATTGCTGCGCTTGTGGGACTTGCGTTGCAGTGTTGAAAAATGCATGAATGGACTGGTATGTGGTTACCAGCTTCCGACGTCGTTGGCACCTCATCGCATCACGATGCTGTCGTTCGCGGGCATGTTCATGTACATACGAGTAGTGTCGGCCGAAAAAAGTTCTGCACAGACAGAACAAACAGTGATTTGAACCTTTATCTGAACTCATGCCGGATCAAGCCCGAAATATATAACAAAACGCCATGCTAGAACGCTGCGTGAAACACAAATACCATCGTCTTGATCTTGGACTGGTGCCAAGCCATTTTCTCTCGTTGATCTGATTCCAGTTCTTCTTGTTTACTGTTTTTCACTTGACCGACTTTCTGGAAGTAGCAGCAACACTGCTTGTGGGAGTCCTCTCTCTTTCCCTCTCTTCCGCCTCAGAAGAGATCACCCTGACCTGTGGATCTGGAATTTGGATATCCAAGCATAGATAGCCTGTTCTCCGCAGGCTGATCAGCTTGACTGCATCCACACTTCCCACCGTGCGATTCCAATCCTCCATCCAGGCTTCTAATTTTTTCAATCTGCCCTTGATCCCCCCAGGCCTTAGGTCCTCCCAAAACCAACCTGTCAGAAAACCGAGGATACCATCAATCCAATTCCCAACACCGAATGGATTGTAAGCGTGGATGAGTGTGGTATTGATGTGCTGGACAATGTAGCGGAATTCTTGTTCAGGAAGGAGAGGATCGAGAATCTCAGGGTAGATATTGCTAAATGTCGGCGCGAGGTCACCAACGATCATCCAATCACGGCGAATGCGAATGATACGGGTCGAAGTGTAGACAGGAGAGTGTAGTGGAACGTGTGGGTTGAGGTGTGGAAAGCAAGGGTGCGAGGGTCCCCAGGGTGGTTCCTCGTCAAAGGGTGTTTCTTCGTGACCTCGCTCGATGTCGTCGTTTGTGATGGTTGAAGCAGGAGCTTGTGTAGTTGTTGCTACAGATGGGAGTGGGAGTGTCTCCTTGTCAGTACGAGTGTGCTGCGACGAGCGCATCGAAGCTAGAGAGTGCACATGATGCAGAGATCGTTGTGAATTAACACGTCGTGGAGGATGAGTAGGTTGATCCTGCTCGCTGAAGCCATAGTTCTGGGCAAGCTTGGACTGTAGTGTTGGCTCTTGTGCCGATTTTTCCTGCGTGTTGCGTCGCGAAGGCGGCTTCGTTCGAGGCGGACTTGCCGGAAGTGGTTTCTCGTTGGACATGGAGGGTCTGTAGTCGAATGAATGGGCACTCGCGCGATTCGACGGCAGAGCAATACTCGTACGATGGCCAGTCTCTGGATCTGGCGCGAAGGAGTCTTGGAAGGTAGGAGAATTAGGAGAGTTCTGTCGCGATCGCCGTTGTTCAGGTAGTGTTAGAAGGGTATGCTGTTCCGTCCCTGGCTCACGCTCAGCTTGTGATAGTTGCACTGGTGTTGGTCGTGGGATGTGATTGATCGGATTCAGCAGTCTTGAAGTATTCGCGACAGTGCTACTGCCTGCTTCCTTGTTCTGCTGCCGAGCCAGAAAGGTTTCTAGGAAGGACCTCCTGTACTTTGGTTGTGGTCGTGTTGGAGGTTGCACCGGCGCAAATGCTGCAAGTGGTGGGATTGCTGGCAATGCTGGCAGTGCTGTTCGCTCCCCAAAGTCTAGATCATCGTCTCTTACAGCTTGCTTTTCCAGCGCTCGAGGTGATAATGTTTTGGATGCTGTGCGAGCGTGAGCCGTGGTTGGTGCTTATGAGAGATAGAGGTAGTAAAGATGGAAATTACAGGTGTTGGTCGCGCCTGCCGTGCTAGCAGAGCCAGTCTGCTGGCCGCGCTGCAGAACGTCGGAGATTTGTAATTGGCCAATGGGCGCATCATGCAGGTGAACTATAATTCATTGTGCTAGGTAATAAACCACAAGCAGAAGAAACATGGTAAATGGTACAAAGGGGAAGAGCAGAACATTGAAGCTATAGTTTCTTCTGCACCTCGCCTTCTTTCGCAAAGAATGTGTATCTGAATAACTCAGAAAGCTGCTTCGACTTCCTGGACCGCTGCCGCTTTTAGTGTTTCACCAACTTGTCTTGGAGACTGGCTCCCCCATTCATCACAGCTCCTTTTCGACATGTGAGCCACATCTACAAGCTTTGCCTCGTGGTCTCATCCTTGAAATTTAGGGGTATCTTTTTGCACCTCCATGAAATATTGACCAGGTAGCTCCGATCTTGATTGTCATCATCAGAAGGCTTGATGGCCAGACTGATGCTGGTTAAGGAAGTCAACCTTCAGCTTGAACAACGTCTCAGGGGCTGCGTTTGAATAGTGTGACTCGCATACTTTGGGTGACTCGATGGTGTCGACAGGGGTATTTAGACATCCAATGCAGCCAATAAGCAAGCAGAAATTATAGCTTTTTGAACGGCTAAATTGTGCCTCAAGAGCTACGAGTAGAAACACGCCTTTTCCATCACCGGTCCTAGACTGCTTGTTCAGCTCCAACTGCTCTTTTGCTTCAGCAGCCGGCTGGTCCTGCTCTTGCGTCTATCTCTCTGACAATCAGGAACCTACTCGCTATCAATCCAGAGACTACTCGTCCCAAACCACTGGAAAGTGGCCTTCCAGAAGCTAAATCGTGGAGCTAGCCATATCCCCGGAAATCTGATCCATCTCGATCGCGCTCACAGCCAGCTGTACCGCGGCGTGGTGCCGCCTCTCCTGGGGTCGTGAAGACAAATGTCAAGTATACGAAGATCAGTTCGCCAAAACACTAGAAGCAGGAGCTAACGTCTCTATGATCGATGAGGCTCAACGTGCGAAGATAGAGTTCTTCGAGAAACTACCAACCTCCTAGCTACTGTGCCAGTAACGTTGATAATCTAAGCTATACACGCTAGAAATGAAGCGGAACTTAATCGATTCCATCGATCTCCCAGACCAAGTCCCGACATCTTGAGATTCACGCGAGACAGTCTGCCCAATCTAGCCATTCGAGCAGACTGCAAGTGAACAGACGTCAACTTCAGCCTCAAAGGTAGCACACAAGTCCGATCAGTATGATCGCAAGTGCCATCACACTCTGCTGCTTCGCGTTCATCCTTTGAGCGATGGACGATGAAATCGGACTTGACGCTGCAGGTGGTCCACTCGATGATAACGCTGATGAAGTCCTGGTTGTGACAACAGAGATTGATGTCCCAGCAATGTTGTCAATGCTTGAACTCGATGTAGAAGTTACTGTTGCCGAAGCCGCGGTGGTGTTTGCTACACTGTTTCCCCTCTCTTCGGTTGATGTGATTGTCGGGCCAGCAACGGTGCTGAATATGGGGTCGCTCATCGCAGTCGTGACCGTCGCGTAGGGTGCTATGCCTGGTGAAATACTGAATATTCCGCAGAGTTGTGCGATTGCGCTGATTGTTGCTGCATCCGTATTAGCAACTTCTGTAGGAGAGACGAAAACGTTCGTACTGTCGTAGTCATTTTGGTTACATGCCTGCCTTGCGCATGTGCTCACCCTTTCGAGATATTGGTTATTCAGACACAAGCAGCTCCATTCGCTCTGAGAGCACGACGTGTTGTCGACATTGGCAATACATGGGAGCTACACCATCTCTCGTAAGCTCGAGAGCTCAAGGATTGTGCTTGTAGAAGTGACAGGAACTTACGCCACATATTGGAGATTGACCATGAACTAAGGCTGTAGTGCTCCACAAAGCAAGTGCCAGTTTTTGACCCTTGACGGAAACCATTTTCGAGGCAAGGTTTGGTTATTGAACGTGAACGACTATAAGTAGTCAAGAAGTATTCGAACTGAGACTTCAATCAAACACCTTGCCGTATGAAAGCGATGGGGAAAGGTCAGGCAAGTACCTGCAGTATGTCACAAATGAACGGCAAGGCAGCCTTGAATAAAATAATCGCGGTAGGTACCACGTGGCGGTATATAAAATACGCCATGAACGTTCGTCGAACATATCCAGTAGCAACGGCGGTCCTGTTGAGATGACGATATCCACTTGCGCGGCGTGCAATCCTAATGCTAGAGACAAGAATAAACATCAAATAAGTATACCTCTACATGCTGAGGACCAACGAAATAATGACAAAGCATTGCGGAAGGACTGATCAAACGCAACGAACAAGATTCAGTTGAACCAAGGACGAAACGGATGGTCCCAGGCAAGTCAAATAAATAAGCTATGATGCTGCAGATCTAGCAGTAGGCCTTGACTGTCGAGGCAGTCGCTCCCGAAACAAAGTATTCATCCACGTCGTGAAAAAGGTCGACACCTATAGGCGCATGATGGCCTGATGGGATCGAAGTCTCCTTCCTCGCCTACAACGTGACCATTAAAGCGAAGATGGAACCTGCAACAGCACCAGAAACCAGCACAACTCTCGTGGTATCAAGTAAGCTCACTGTGCTTCCTGATGCACCCGATCCGCTCGCAGCCGAAGCAGCCGATCCACTTGTCGTGCTCAATGCTTGAATGCCAAACGTCGTGCCGGTGACCACATTACCGTTCACGGTCGTGGTCACAGTAGCAGGAGCAGGAGTAGCCGTGGTCGAAGAGCAACCGGACCACAATCCTGTCCACGAAGAGAAAGGTCCCCAACCTGCTGTCCACGTTGTCCAGGAAGCAGTTCCGGAGCAAGCAATACCGCTAGCTTTTGTGCCAAAAGGACCGAATCCACCTGCACCACCCGGACCACCAGGGCCACCACCATGACCACCAAAACCGTGGCCACCCCAACCATTGCCCCAGCTACCGCTGCCTGGACCCCAGCCAGAGGGAGCGGAGCCGATAGCAGTTGAGACCGCAGAAGCCCAGGAGGCCCACGCGCTGGAGTTCCAGCCACCTCGTGGGCCCCAGCCAGCACCAGCTGTGATGGTTGGAAGGAGTGAGCCGCCTGATGTGGCGGAGAAGGTGGCCTGTTGGGCGTTGGTTACTGTTGCACCTGCATTGGCGCAAAGTTGGGCGATAGCGCCATAAATTTGTTCTTGATCTGTGGCATTTGTGCAAGATGTGCTATTGATAATGTTAGATATGTTCAGGATTGAGCTAGAGGCTGCACTCACGCGACACAGGTGTTGATCGCAGCGATTTGAGTAGCGTTGTTGCAAATGCAGTCCCAACCGCTAGCCCGATCGCAGGAAGCTCCATCCCACGACCCCATACAATCATTCCATGAGCAGGAAGGCAGCCATCCCTGGGCAACAGCCGAGCCTGCAAGGGCCGCAATAGCGAAAGACTTCATGTTTCTGATTAAAAAGTATGTGTGGTAAGAAGTCAATGAAAGTTTTGTCTGTGGTGTTAGTAGGACAGAACAAGATAGTCAGACAAGGAACAGTATTCTCATATATGCGCAACGGTTCACGTCAGGCCCGTAAACGTGGAGATGAGCATCATAGAAAGCAAAGTCTACTCAGCCCTGCGGCGAGGCAGAACAGTGTGCAAGCTGTACTGTACTCAGCAACATATGGCCCAGAAGGATTTGATTGCGTATGCCTTCGCAATTCCCCCATCGAACGTAAGGGTCATGGCTACAGGAGCGGGAACGCGAGCAGAACTGGAGTACCTCCTCGTAATCACGACGTTTTTGGAACACAAGCTACATTTCGATTGGATGAATTGGGAATACAAGCGATTTTTGTGGTCTGTTTTGTCCGTTAAGCAAGCTTGGCAGATCACCTGTGATTGGTCATGCTATTTCTGTGACCGCTGTAGCCCCTCGATGAGATCGCTAGATGTCGCTAGCGTGATCCTTATTTATCACAGGAATATCATTGACGAACACCAGCCTCGGTCTCAGCCACGACTTCATGTCTACTTCACCTCTTGTGTTGGTCTCGCCGTAGTGACCTCGTCGACGGACTTTTGGTGAAGGCACAGTCGCGTGTGCTGACATGAAATCTCGCTATTCACGACCCTGCGTTACGATCGTAATATTGGTGGATCTCAACGGCCAAATGGTCCCCGTTTACCGATGCTTGGCTTTCCCCAAGCGCGTGTCCAAGCATCTTCCGCTTCTATGGTGCAGATCTGTAACGACCCACAGGTCTTGTGCTGTCTGACGTGGTGTAACGGACAATGTGCAACCTTGCTTATTTTTGCCGTGAAGGATCGCAATCACAATCGGATATTCAGGCAATGCAGGAGCTTCCTATCTTTGGGTCGTTCTTCGCGTCGAGTGAGCAGCTTCATGGCACTTCAAACTGCTCAGGCCTCATGTTGAGCCTGCAGAGCTTGGCAAGGCAGCCACTAATTTGGAGGAATGTCTGAAGGCCTTCCAAAACTCGCATGTGTGTAAAACCAATCTCTTTAATAAAGTCCAGCTTTGCAGTTTCGGTCAAGGTAGGCATCGTTTTCGTGACTCGAAACATGGTGCTTACGATATCGTGTGATGAATATCCCAAGTCCCTGATTCTGTTAGCTCAGTCCACTCCACGACACGGACAGCGCAGCCTACCATAATTCTCGCAGTGTATCAATAGCGTCGTCGATCCTGCACTCGTAACATGCCTTGATCATGGATTGGACCTTGACAGGATGTGGGCTATCGACTACTCGGAAGACATTATCACCACTGACAAAGCCGAATCCAGCCCAGGTACTCTGGAGGTTGTTCAAAGCCTGTCGCATGTCTCCCTCGGCACTGAAGACAAGAGCAGCCAAACCGTCCTCCGAGTATTCGACCTTCTCGGCTTCGATAACCTGCAACAAGCGCTGCACGACTTGCGCGTCGGTGAGTCGCGCATATCGCAGTATGGCACAACGTGACTGTAGTGGCTCAATGATCTTGTTTGACTGGTTGCATGCGAAGGCGAATCGAGTTGTGTTTGCATATATCTCCATGGTCCGCCGAAGGGCCTGCTGTGCGCCAGAAGTCATACTGCCTATGTGTCAGCTCAGTAAGGATGCCCACGCTCCGAACTCACCTGTCTGCCTCATCCAGAATCACAATTTTATGTCTTCCTGGTGGAAGTGTAACCTTTTTCTGAGCGAACCCTTTGATTCTGTTACGCACCACATCGATGCCTCGTTCATCGGAGGCATTGAGCTCGAGCACGGCCTCTTTGTAGGCATCTCCCAGCAGTGTTCTCGCTAGACAGAGTATTGAGGTTGTCTTTCCAATACCTGGCATGCCTGATATAATTAGATGTGGCATGTTTCCATCTTTTGCAATGATTTTCAGTCTCTCAATGGTCTCTGCATTGCCGACGACATCGTCGAGGTAGACCGGTCTATACTTTTCGACCCTGTCAAACATAAGTATTGGCAGAATAGGTAGTGAGAATGCCTACCATGGCAATTCATATTCTGGACCTGCGCCATTAGGTACTGCTTTGGCTTTTCGCGACGCTGCAGTCGATGATTCTGCTTGAGATATCTCGAGTGCAGGCATATCTGGATTGCGAAGCAGCAATCAGCTTACTAGAAATCCAAAGCCAGCACTAGAGCTGTGCTGGCACGCGAGAAAGTCGCGTCGACGCGTCAGTCGCGGGAAGTATTACGGAGAAGTGAGGGGCTGGTCATGGTTTATGCTTCGCCGTAGACGGTATAAGGTGAGAATCACCCAGAGCTGTAGAATAGCCAGACGACATTGCTCGCTCGAATCAACAGTCTATGAATACAGGCGTCTTTCTCCTGTTCTTCACTGATCGTCCATTCGGCGTTTCGGCAAGAATTTCGGGACAAGCTACTCATCAGAAAACGTGTCAGCACTGCCGAATGAACCGCAGTGAGTTTCCCTATTTGAGCCTAAAAGTGGCACATAGATACATATATATTCGTCAAGTTGACCCAACTCATAATGTTAACAGTGCACACAGACATCCATTTTCTATAGCTATGCTTTCTTTTCTTCTTCCGAGCCAATAACGCTTCGACTCTTCTCTACTTCGTTGTCACTTGTCATAACCTGATCTTCGAAGGCCATTTGCACAGATTGTCCTTGCGTTTGCACATCCGGTCCTGTAAATCTCTTTCTCGCACCCCCAAACCAAGTCACCACCGCGATTGTACCGATCACACCAAATGCTGCTGAACAATAATTCATGTTATCTGCTGTCACAGGCCCAACCTGCGGAAAGTTGAAATCGATTCCAGCGAAAAACAAGAACAGTAATCCAGCAGCATTTAGCCAGGGACCATATTTGCCAAGACTGTATGCTGTGCCGGCGATCAGTCTATGAGTCTTGAGGTTAAGTAAGCGCGCAAGTAGTGGCATGCCGTAGCTAAGGTAAAAGCTGAAGGTCGAGATGCTAATGACAGTACTGAAACCTTCATAGGAAGCGAAGTAGAGACTGTTCAAAACCATTTGAGCAGCCGTGCAGAGTAGGATGGCAAAGACGGGCACAGCACGCTTCTTGTTGACACTGCTGATGATCTTGCTAAAGGGTAGGCCGTGATCGCGAGCGAAAGCGTACAAAGATCGTGAACCTTCCGCCATCAGGCTGTTGGCGCAGACTAGTACAATGACTGCTATCAGCGATCCGAGGAAGGTCGCTGCACCTATATTGCCTGTGCTGTCTGCGAAGATCTGGAGAACTGGTACACCAGTGGCCGTCCCTGCAACTGACTCAATATCGCTCGTGCAAAAAAATGCCGAAACCAGGAAGATAAATCCGGTAATAGCTCCTAAATAAACCGACATGACTATCACTCGAGGCGCTTCCACAGAAGGATTCAGCATCTCTTCCGTCATGTGGGTCGGTGCGTCGTAACAGCACATTCCAAAGAACGATTGAAGCAGACCAATCATGACGGCCATGCCACCACTAGCGAAACCAGTATCATTTTGAAACTCTGTGAAGACGAAGCTGGCACTCTGCTTGTTTTCATTCGTCGCAAGGATGGTAATGATCACAATGAAGAAGGAACAGACATTCCATACTAGTATGCCAGTGCTCAACCTTTCGAAAAACCTTGACAGGGTGAGGTTCGATGCAGCGGCGAGCATTGCGATCAGGTAGGTGAGTAAGACTGTGTGCCATCGCTCTATCACGTAGTCCGGGTTGTTTAGCACAACCATGCCAAGCACAAAATTTGCCGCGATGAAGTTGTTCGTTGCCCCCATCGCAACGATGCCAGTGATCATGAACCAGCCTGTCACGTAGCTCATACTCCTTGCAATCGACTTCGGTGCAAGGATAGCGACCCACGAGTATTGCCCACCCGCGATAGGGTAAGCAGAGCACATCTCGGCAAAGGAGTAGGCGACAAAAAGTGAGCAGATTGAGATAGCAATCCAGGACCACACCATAACAGGTGGACCACCAGATGTGATGCCGACAATGAGTACACCTGCGAGGGCAGTCCAGCAGGTGACGATGCTGAAGGAGAAACCGAGCATGCCTAAAAGAGAGAAGGAACGCTTCAGTTATGTGGTGGTCAGCAGATCATCAAGACCAAGCTCCGAGCGATATGTTCATCGTCCAACAGATAGCTATTGTCGCAAACATTGCCAGGCAATGAGTAATTACCTTGCTCATAGCCCAGATCTGCAAGTTTGGCTTCACTGCTGACTGTCCTAGCTAGGCCGGCTTCATGTGCAAGACCTAGCTTCTTGCCAGAGACATGTTGGCCAAGTCGTCGCACAGTCTCCATTTCGTGAAGCAGTGGTCAGCCAAAACTTCTGTTGAAGACACCTGATGACTGCTGCTGATGTAAAAGCCAGAGGAAAGCACTGGGAGCAGCGGTCGTGTGCACAGGAACGTGTGGGAGATTTCAAGAATAGACCAAGTCCGAAATTCAAGCTTGACGTGCATCCCCATAGAAGCTAAGCGTAGGCTACCAGCCGTGTCACGCACGAGCTCAGATACTCTAATTCGTATCTACCAATGAGATACAGTACGAGACATTGGTGGTAGGAACCTAAATCTTGAATGGTGATCTGAGTGGTGGTTTGCTTATCTGTAATTAGGGTCTTTTGCATCCAATCCACTTCCAAACTTAAGCTTCTGCGGAAGTGCCTGGAGTTGATGCTTCTTTTCCGGCTAGGCCTTAACAGTATAGCAACTTCGTTCAAGGATAAATCATGTGCGCCAGTTTGACACCGTGGAATGAGGTCCGAAAAGTCGCAAAACTATGATAAGGTTACTGCCACATTTGTGTTGGACCGAGCCGAAGATCACCCCGCTCATGGTACCAGCAAGGTGTAACATTCAATGTGATACCGCATAATCGCCGTCTAGAATCACATTTGTCCAAATTCCGTCACGGGTCAGAATCAGGTATTAATCCTCCTCCACCACGCGGAGATGAGCACTATGCGGCGTCACTGTCAAGTCCGACGAGATCGATCTTGGCTTATCTCGACCAGCTTGCCTCGGAGTTTCAGGTTGATTCGTCCGACTTTCGTCATTCTCAGTGGCTATGTCGAAGATCGAAAGCTCTCGCATGCGAGGTGTCATTCCTGAGGTCTTGCGTGGTGATGGGAATGGCTGTCTCAACTTCGAGACGGACTGCATAGCGAATAGCCCTGGTTGCCTATAGGATGGTGCTCCAGCAGGATAGACACTTTGATTCTTAAGTGATGACGAGCGTGCGTTCACGTCTATTACCCTTGGCAGCTGAGCGCTAATGGAGGCAGCTTCTTCATATCGCAATGGTCGTCTTGCGAGACTCGAAGCCGATCCAGGGGCTTTCCCATCTGCAATTGCTGACATTGCAGAGACGGATCCTAAACAGAACGTGAGATCGCCGGAAGAGCCCGACCGATGAAGTAGAGGTGGTTCGATTGACGATCTCGCATCCAATAAATTGATGTTCATCCCAGACAACACTTGAGACCTTCTGTCATCACATTCAGTCACTTCCGACCCAATAGAGACTGATTCTCCTTGTCTCAAGTTTTCCTTTGAGACCCAGAAAGACGGCTTGTCTTTTTGTTGCCAGTCCTCGTTCGCCTTTTGAAGTTCCTCAACGGTCTCGCTGTATGATCGCTTTTTAGAACTCCAATTATTGACCTGACTGTGGAACTTGTAGTAGAAAGGTTTGTAAGGCGGCTCGACCGGGACGTTCGTTTTCGTCCTTGACGAACGACTCCCTATCTCATCACTTGCGACACAGTCAAGACTCTTGACACGAAAGCTCATGCCCTTGATGAACTCAACGATAGGAAAGTCTGGTGCTCGTGGTTGCCAGCATTGCCTGCTGCCCTTATCAAGCTCTTCGAAGTCGATCTTGTGGTACTCTTTGGAGAGCCAAGGATGTGCAAGTGCTTGTTTTGCGGTCGTGGCTTCACAACCGTCGTCAGTCAAGAGACATTTGACAAATTGTCGAAGTTGACCACTTATTCCTTTCCATTCTGGCGAATGTTCGAAGGAGTGCAAGGCATTACGCATTGCTCGATTGTCGAGGCAGTCGTCCTCGAATAGATTGAGGCCAGAAACTAACAGGATTAGAATATTACCAACCGACCACATATCCGTTCTTTTCAGGCTGTCCATTTGGTGTGCAGCTCGAGTCGCGTCTTCCGCCGCGCTCGAATATCGTGTGAGTACAATCTTCCGAGCAGAACTGAAGCCGGTCAATACCACTCTTGCTCCAACTGCACGATTCATCAACAAAATATGTTCGGGTCTCAGGTTTCGGTGTACAATGTTTCTTTCGTGTAGATGCTCCACAGCCAGCAAGATCTGTCGGATAAGTGCTGCGATTCCCAACTCAGTCAATTTGTGATTATTGACTTCGAGATAACACATAAGGTTGCCTGCAGTGGCGAGATCTTGGAACATGTACAGGCTGTTGTCACTGAGTAGGATTTTATCGAAGGATATTATGTTTGGGTGCGTCAAGGTGGATAAGATCTTGTTCTGCCGAAGATATGCTGCAAGTTTCCTCTCAGTGGTGACCATGCGCTTTTGTTCTTCGGCCCACGTTCGGAACGCCTCAATCTCCTTTCGCGTCTCGACCTCTGCAGCAGATCGTGGCAGATGAATGGATTGCCTAGTCTGCCCTTGATCGTTTAGTCTTCTCAGGTCAACCACTTTGCAGGCCAGTAGGGTACGAGTCGTTTGCTCAATAGACATGAATACACATGCAGAAGCTCCTGAACCAACGCATCGATCAGTCACGGTGTATCGTGAGCGAGAGGTCTTCAGACGTCAGTAGCTTGCTGCAAAGTGAGGGATTTGCTCACCTTCATCTCCTGCTCCTGCACAAGATCGAAATGTGGATTTGGCCCACTTGTTGACTGGTAAACTAGGGTCGTTTTTGAAGTCAACCGGAGTCGGTCGCCGTCACTCAAAAGAAATGCATTGTTCTTCTTGCCCATCAATGAATCATTCCAATACACACCATTTCGCGAGAGGTCTTCGGCATATACCAATGACTCACAACCAGATTTGGCGTTCTGAGCAATGGTGACATATATGTGAAGGTGTTCCTGTGACATGTAGGGGTCGTTGAAGGTCCACTGACTGGGTATAGTTAGCTTCGACCTGTCGCGTGGATTCTGTCGCACCATTTGCTCGAGTCTCGTCCAACAATCATCTCGTGAGCGGCTCTAACATTTTGACCTGAACCAGTCAGCAACCCCTTACACAGATCGTTGTTACCGGCTACTGTTCGAAGACTGATCGTCATCGCCGAGAACTACAAGCGTCCCCACGATCCCCAACGACGAGAAACCGGCTGGTGAACGTAGGCGTAGTAGCATATTCACTAGATGCTAGAACAGACTGCAGTGGTTATAGAGACCAGAAGAGGAGTGTGATGTGTGAAAATAATGAATTGACGAGGTTTGAGACACGAGTTCTTTGACGTTCTTCAAAAGGACAATCGGCATGAGCTGAACTCATCCAACTCCGTTCCATCAAGGCAGCCAACACACGCCAGAGATGAACTGAATGCATGCTTGAAATCTTTTGGCAGGGGCGCGTCCGACGCGCTACTTGATTGTAATGGGTTAGAAGACGGATGATGTGAGGAAGGCACGACCGCTGAAGTTGACCCCTTCGTTAGTAGTGCAAATGCTAGGTCGTACGAAGTACTTCCCGACGCTTTATGGTTCAACGGTCGACCGTACTGAGATCTACAGGCCACTCCGTATGTTCAGGACAGTCAATATGATAGCTGGAGCTAGTATCCGGCTCTCATATTTCGGTTAATGCAGACAAGCTGAGTTACCAATGAAGACGTAGTGTGTTGTTGAATAAGGCAGCCACAGCGACAGAGTAAGGACACCGTATCACACATGTCTCCCATCGCCAGAACTTCGTTTATTCAGTCAATTTGTGTTTCTGAAATGTGTCTATATGATTGTAGTCAGCTCGGCTTGGTCAATGTAGACGAGGACGAACCTACCAGGAATTTGAGGCATCCACTTGTTTCTATCCCGCGTAAAGAACTCTCCTTTAGGAGGCAACGCGTCCGGACCATCATCCAGCGTGCCTGTCATGATATAGCTGCCTGTATGAGCTTATCTCCTTAACGATAGAAGGATCTTTCACGTACCGAAACTTGTCTTTGTTCGCCTCGCCATACTCGCACAGAAATGCACCACAATTATCACAAAACTCCCTATGCACTCCGTTGTCTTGGACGAAAAGCTTTGGCTTGTCTGAAGTCGTGTATTTGAACATGTCGATGGGTGTCTTAGCAGTTAGGCCAAATGCCCCTCCCAGTGCAACCTTGCAGGAACGGCAGTGACAGAGGGTCGTGCGGGCGTCGTCAACATTGTTGAGAGCGAGTTCGTAGCGTATGCGGCCGCAGGTACAGCCGCCTTTGAGGTCGGGCATGTTGTCGATCGTGATTATAAAATCTTTCGAGTCAGTCAAGGTCTTACTATAGTACGTTCAGGATGTGAGAGTTGTTTGCTTGAGCAATTCATGTGGACCAAGGTCTGCGTGTTCTCACACAGACGTCATTGGAGAAAAATCTTAATGCTTATTGGAAGCTTTTCAAATCCTGAGGCCCACTTTAAGTCGCTGGGAAACAGATTGAGATGTACAGAAAGATGATCGTGTCAGGATTGCGAGCAAGGCATGATAAATGTGACGATCGTGTTGGACGAGCACGAAGGCGCAGGCTGAAGAGCACGTTTGATGACTAAGAACTCCTTTTATGTTAACACTGATTCCGCTGTTACAGCCTCTTCTCGAAGAACGTCAGCCCCAAGGGTGAGGTGGTAGTAATTGGGAGTTGTCTTCAGAGCAATGCAGATCTCCTCCCCGAGTTCTCAGCTAACTTCCATCGTCCCGTTCCTAGATAACGTGGCTGTCCACTCTGCCTTCATGATGTTGCGGAAATCAGTGAAGGTAGTGTCGCTGTTTGGTACGAATTTCTGGGACTTTCCATTGTCGTCTCTCCAATTAAAGCCATCGTAGTGCACGTTGTCAGTTTTCATGTAGCTAATAGCGCAGTGTCAGTCCAGCCATGCTCTGTCTGGAGCAAAATGACAGCGATCTCACTAAAAATCAGGCTATCAAGACTGCGCGAGGAGGAGAACTTACCGATAGCACCGAATTGTGCAACACACAGTAGCTGTGTCGTTTTGAAGTTTGTGGATCTGGTATTGCTCGGGACTAATCCAGGTAATTTGACCTTCCGACAGTGTCGCAGGTTGTCCAATCCAGGCTGTGGTTTCAAGTGATTCGTACCAGGTGCATGTGATAGCCCCGTGGAGCACCTGAGCGTGGTCAGCATACACGGCTTCTAGCTGCAGGACACCCACCTTGATGACGGCACATGCATCTCCGTGGTCGTGTATTGGCGAATGATGACTTGCGGGCCAGATCTCTAAGACATACGGTATACCAGGTGAGTCGCCCTACGTTATTAGCGAAACCACAGCTTTCATATCAAACACGAACCTGATTATAACCCAGAGTAATCCTCAAGTATGTACCTGCCAGATCATGGCCTAGTTCTCCTGCGTTTGCCTTCTCTTGCAACTTTTCAAACGCCCAGCAGCCAGGAGTAATACAGCTATGTTGTATGGCGTCTGAAAAATTTGGAAAGTCATCGTCATTGAGGACAATCTTGGCCCCAGCGATATTCCCGTAGAGCTTTTGGCAAGCATCCGGAAGGTTGATTGGGGCTGTGAAGAAGCCATTCTCGATATCCGAAAGTGTAATCTGGTCGGAAGTCCGCACAAAGGGTGGCAGATCCATTACGATAGGTACAGGCGAGACGACAGGGCTAAGAATATTGCCCTTGTCCTGCGTCACCTCTATAGTTTTGACTGTCTCGAGCCAGCGGTACTTCTCAACATCATTCCACACCATTACTCCCTCCTGATCTTTGTGCTTGAGAGTAGCCTCTATCAGAGTCATCGTTTTGTTAGTAAAGTGTTTGCCGTAGCGCAGCCAGCCGTTATTGGAATCAACGGAGAGCCAGTAAGTTGTTTCAGCAGCTATATTTAGGAAGCTTGCATCTCTTGACTTGAGATCAATGTAGTCTATCTTGTTTCGTCCCGCGGCATCCTCGTAGAACAAGAGAATATCCCTGGGGCCAATCTCGAGATGAAGTGATGGTCCACCTGCAAGGTCGCTGATGATGGCAAAATGAAGGACGTTCTGAGCTGAAGATCTTACAGCTATGGTCCCTTGACCTTTGATAGGCAGTTCGTCGGTTCTCTGTAGAGTGATCGGCTGAACTGTGTCACCGTGCTCGGTCTTCACCAAATGTGCTGTTCTTCCTGGTGCACTCTTAGCAAACTTCCCAAGCTTGGGCTTAGCAACAAAGAAAGGATCGAAGAACTGTGCTGGGGATGCCATGGTTGTGGTTGCTACAGAGTCAGAGAGAAGTCTGGAGGTTCACAGCAATTCATGAGAATAACCATCTACGACTTCTCGTCACTCATATGTATGTAAGCGAGCCTTTACAGCAAGCCTATACGAAGAGCTGAGGCAGCACATTGATGTGTCGGCCAATGAGATAAATGACATATTCAGCTGAAACCGCTATGCGGAGCTACTGGAACAATAGCCACGACAGGTCAGACAATCAGCTAGCCACGACAGGTCAGACAATCAGCTAGCCACGACACTCACAAAACAGATGAGCTGCAGCAAGACCTGACAAGTGCATGAAGCATGAACACAAACAACTTTATTGTAAGACACGCTGATGTGCAACCGAACGAAGTGTTTGATTGAAGATAGTGTTGTCTGGAAAAATTGATGCCCCCGATCATAAAGAGAGGAGCAGAAGCTGAACAGACAGAAAGTTAGACTTGTCGAAACGAGCAAGACCACGTGCTGCGCGCAACGATTGGTCAATCACTCTCGCGCACGTGAGAGATGCTGTCGCGCATACTGCGAGGCATGCTTGGAAACATCTGTCTATGCTGCCACGGCTGGACTCGCACAATTTGAGCTCAGAAGTAATCGAGAATCGTGCCTATCTGGACCACCTCCCGACAAGCACCACATCTGATAACGCTTCTAGCAGAAGCCGTCGATGAATCGATTGTGCACACCATATGTCTGAATTGTCGATCGAAAGACCCAGCAACAATGCATGCTCTCTCTCAACAAGACCTCTCCTCATCACTACGTGCTAACAAGTGTAGCTACTACAGCTGAGCGCTCTGTGTCGCCTAAATCAGAGGAAGAGGTCTTGTGGTTGAACAAACACGGCGAGGACACAACCTAAACCGATCCGGATCCATTTGTGGTTGAAAGACCGTTGCCTCAAACACGATTCTAGCCTAGGGTAAGAAGTTATCAAGCAGGCAATCAACCAGACTTCGAACACTGCTGCTGCGAAAGACTAGTCCCTTCGTTGCAGTGGCCACTCTACCAGAGTACGAGCCCAGATACTCCTCAAGCACGTTCCGCGCACAGACCTGCTGCTTCTCTAATCCCCCGATGCCGAGATACACTGGTGATCTCAATATCCCTCTACAATACAATGATCAAGAGTTTGGATGAAATGCTGCCAGTCGGCCGCTCGACAAGCACATAAGGGCTGGGATTGAGGATAAACCCATCGACGAGCTGAACACAGCAGTCAAACTGTAGCCTGGTCTTGAATTCGAGTTCAGCGTATGGGTCCAGCTTGCCATTATCTATTGTGGTTCGCACCGTGGAGATATGCGTTTTGAGTTTGAGGAAGTTGTCAGATGGTAGAATTGTCAAGGCTTTAACAATAAAACCACTTTCTCGCTGGTGTCAAAGTCATCTCAAGATAGTGTTGACCCTCAAAGAGCTCAACGGTCCAGGTTAAAAGCCATGATTGTGGCGTCCTTTGCTATTACTGCTGAGAGCATGTCTATCATGTGCAAGATGTCCTCTTGTCAGTGAAGCCTCCGCTGTTTTTCTTTCACTTCACCAGAATTCTTTCACCCCACAAAATTTGTTCACTGGGCCACAAATTGATTCGACCAAATGATCAAGTAAGTTTGAAAGACTTTCGACACAACCCTGCTTTCAGTCCAGCGTAGGCAAGATCGAGCGTTCCTCCTTATCGAAAAGTTTCATTCCCAGTGCAACATTACATTACCCATGGAGCTATACGTGAAAAAGCGTGGCTGCTTGTCTATCTTAGCCAACGACTTGCGGTGGGCTTTACTCTGGTCTAATCACTGAACTGTTACTGTATGGTCATGGCGACAGCGAGACAGTCGCGGTCGTTCACGAAGGTCTGCTGTTGAAGCGAAGTCAGCTACACGCTAGTCGCAAGTCTTTCGAAGCAGAGCAAGGCACAATCTCGACTGCACCTCTGAAGTCGAACTTCCCAACTCTCGAAGCGAAACACCTTGAGGACTTCATGCATGGGCTGTACACGAACCAGGCACCCCAACCAAGAAAAGAAATGAGACAAGTAGACACCCACAATTTAGATCTCATGTTTGGTGTATACATCCTGGCTGATTGTCTTCTGGTGGCTGAGATCAAGGACAAAGTAATCGACGCACTCTGGCGTTACTACACTCCTAGAAGGATACAGGGCGACGTCTTTCTTGTGCTTCACGATGTTGGTGTCAGCGACGACAGTCCTCTTTCCAACTTCTTGACAGAAAAGTTGATCAATAGCATTATTTTTGACTACATTTACTCGACACAGCTTCAAGAGGCGAAGATGGACGTAGAGAGTCGTCTGAAGAGTCTCATGGTCCCTCATGAGCAGAGCGGCCAGTACCTTGCAATCACCGCGAGCATGATATGGAAGAGAAATGCCAGTTTCAAATGGCCGAAACCATATGGACTGCCTATATGAATCCGTGACGGCTCGGGCAGCATCGAGGGCTAGCTAACATCTACAAGTTTGCCAGAATTCAGAGATTTTCACGAAGGAGGTCGAACAGCTGCATAGAACTGGCCGTTTGACAGAAGAGATAGTCTAGGTCAAGCGCGATTATCTGAGAGGATTGGAATAAGCTCGACAGACTAAAGCGCCTCGACGATACGAATGCGTCGAGCACAGTATCGAAGATAACAAGAGACTCCCTGGTACTGTTTCAAAATTTCGGTTCTCAAGCAGTCCCGACGAGGATACTCAAGCCGGCTTGACTCTTCTCAACCAGAAGACAACGAACGTTTCGTGCAGTAACGTCTCGGATCCTACGTTCCCTGGTTGCATTCTTCTTTATCGCAGTGCTATCTGCTTGGCACGTTCTATTTTCGCCAGCACATATCTTGCTCACTTTTTTCATGCCCTTTTCGCGAACTTGCGATGTCAAATGTTTCGCGTTGATCTTTCTGGCTACTGGAGAACATGATCAGACAGTCAATATAATGTAGTTGGAAAATCAGGAGCTAACAATGAGATGGCTAAGGTCATGATTCAGCCATGCTGGAACTCCATTAAAAATTCATACACGCCATAAAATCGTCTCCGTTTCAGAACTTGGCACGACTTGAATGTTTTTGATAACCATGCTATGTTTAAGGGTTTCCAGAGAAGCCCAATCGAACATTAAAGGGAGATACTTCAGACACAAAGCTCATTAAAAGAAAGACGCTGAAAAGTGAATCACAACGGTCTGCTCGTCCTTAAAACCTGGGACTTCTCCGCTCCGCCGTACTCGATTCGAGCTCGTTAGGTGATGGCTCGGCCCACATTTCAACAGGTTGAGATTGAGGTTGTTTCTGCTGCACTGGACGGCTGGTTGCCATCTCCTGAAACAGTACGTCAGCGTGAGCAATGGTCATAGGAGCCTTGGAACTTACTTGAGCAGGAGGGTGGTCCATGTACTTCGGTGGAAGTTCAGCGGCCTGTGCGTGCAGTGCTGCTGCGTCGTTCTGGGACATCGATGGTAATGCTGATGCCGCAGGTTTCTGCTTGCGTCGTCGCCGCATGAAGAGGAACACAGCAAGGACGATGAGAGCAAGACCTGCGACGCCACCGACTACGCCACCAGCGATGGCACCAGTGTTCGTGCTTTTGTTTGAAGTACTCGTGGCACCATTCGAGGTATTGGTGCCATCGCTGAGATTGCCCGTTTGTTGATCTGAGCTGCCTGGTGGCTGATCTGTCGTGTTGGTTGAATTTTGTTGGTTAGCATCTTCTGAGCAAAGAGAATGTACTAAGACCGGCGAATTTCGTGTCTGGGCAGTGACTGGAGAAAGTCCAAAGCTGCCAATGACAGGGTCGAGGAAGATGTAATTCATGGCTAGCCATGGCGCTCCCCATGCGACAGTGCCACTTGAGGTGTTTGCGCGTACCATTGAAATGAGTTCAGTTGAAGCCGTTGGCTCTTTAATGCCGTTTGCATTCACGCTGCTAGGCGGAAGAGCAAATTCGCTCGCTGGTATGGTGGAAGTGTAACCATTTGCGAGTGTTACGGTGATCGTGCCCGATATAGCGTAATTCCATTTGTATGCCCCTTCGGCTGCATCCCAAATGGCGTTGGTGACGTTTGCAAATTTGTTGGCGAGATTTGTCGGTACACGTACATAGTCTGACCACGGAGTGTGGCTCATCCAGAACTCGGTATCGATTAATTCTGTTTCTCCAGCATCGTCGTTGTATGTGAAACCTGTCACCCTTGCACAAGCACGACAACTTGAGAACATAGTGAAGTTCGACTCTCCTTTCCTCTTGTTCGCATCATATCCGCCTATAATCAAGGATCCATCGATTGGATTAGCGGTTGAGGCGCTTCCAAACCACATACCCGAATACCTGCTTGGTGCGAGTGTTGCATTCACCATGGAATCAAGAAAGACCGATTCAACGCCGAGACCGATGAATCCTTGAGAATTGTTCAGTGCTGCAGATAGCAACGGTTGACCATATATTGTGCTATTATTGACCAGAAGATTGTCATTGAAGTAATCTCCTCCGACACCAGTTCTAGACCCATTAGTGCTTGTTGCAGTAGAGAAGACGAAGGTGCTTGAGTTGGCCGCGTTGTACAATCCACCGATCTCGTTGATGCAGTCGAGCTCTGAAGGTGAGCTGTCGCATGATGTCCAACTCGGGACACGGGTATTGTTCTGACCAAAGTCCGGCACGACCGCTACATGTTGTGCAGGAGTTCCAATTCCTATATCGATGCCTCTAGCCTGAACATAAGTATTTGCGTTGACGGTAACGTTCTGGATAGGTAGATATAGTGCTGAAGGGCAGGCCATTTGATTTCGCAGCTATGCGGTGCCTCGACGAGCACGCGCAGGCTGTTCGTTAGAATCTCAGTCTGGTTGCAGGTCGCAAGATTCCGGTTGTTTCGAGGAGCCTCGCTGCCGGAGCGAAACACAAACACAGTGACCGAGGTGAAAGGCGATGAACAGGACAAGCCGCTCTCGGAGAATGGCTAAGATGCAGAATACACGATCAACGCACGAAGTAAAGTTGAACTCCTGCACTTCGGAGGGCCTGACCGGCTGCATTTCGGTTTGTAATCATGTTCGGTCAGGGTAATGCGCGGTGCATCTAGCCCTGGTAGAATCTGGATGAGGTTGAGGCTCAATGCCAGGTTCCCGTTGACTGTGAGGGGCTGGAATCGTGCGTATGGGCCTCGAAAAGGCGCCGTTTCAGCTTACAGCATTAGTGTCGTATCAGCCAAGCTTTTTACATGAGGTTCTGTTGCCGTGCAGTGGGCTGACACAAGTAAATGGGCTTCTCGGCGAATCATTTCTCTCAGTCGAAGGTTGGGCGTGCATTTAGAGGATGCCAAGCGGTTTTCGCCCCAAATGGCTGCTCAACCTGGCAAGTGCTCACTCTGAGCGTGAGCTGCAAGCTGCGTGCAGAGCAGAAACAGTCCCGCCTTTTCACAGGCTCGATGTTCTGTTCAATCGTCGCGTAATCGACATTAGAACCATTCCGGGACCGAAGACGGAGCAAAGTTGCTATGAAGTGATGGACCTGGGAAACAGTACCTATCCATGCTTCTGAGTTCCTGCACATGTATCAGTAAGTTACGGCAATAAATAGCTCAATTCTCTTGTCGCAGCAGCAGGTACAGACTTTCATGCGATTAGAGCTCCTTCGCCAGGATGAGTTCCTGCAAGCTATGCGCAGTAGGGAACGTCCAATGTGCGCCACGAAAGGCTAGAAGTGAGAGGCATGCTGACCTCAAGGACGAAACTTCGAACCAGCGCCATGTGTAGTGACTTTTCAGTGATATTGCCTGAGGCAGTAACACTTCGTACACAGGTTCTTATTGGTTGGTCATCCATTTTCGGCGGATGAAGGATCAGGCAATTTCACTGAGAAATTACTAGACATTTGTCGGGTTAAGTTTCTATCAGGGGTTTTCGCAGGCCCGGATTGAACTGCTGCATATCTTTCTCGAAGTAAACATGGTCTCGGCACGTTGTCGCTATCATGCAGCATGCTCGGCCCCTTGTTTGCAAGCGCGACACAAAGTCCCCAACTCCATGCCTCTGTGATAACAGCGTGCGATTTTGTCCACAGGAAAGACATTAGTGTTTCGAAGTTTGTATTTCAAACTCCCTCACAGACTACGGTTGGGACATTCGATCAGGTACGAGGGCCATGAATGTTCCTTACCTGATATTCACGTATCATTTAGCCCGATAGCACGTTATGTTTAACACACGAAGTGTACGAGGATCTAACTAGTTGTCCTTATCGAAATCGAATCGACTGCATTTTTTCACCTGATATAACAATTTAGCTACAACCTAGTTTTGACCTCAATCTCTCGTACCGCTGTTATCTCAAGCCTTTCCAGACTTCAATATTTGTCCCATGTACTCCGCTAGAGCCAGCATCTTCTCTTCCTGGAATCGTCTGCCGATGAGCTGGACAGCCACATGGGCTCCATCGTACATCTCCGCGTCATAGTCTTCGTAGCACTCTTTGTCTTGGTCGTTGATAGGTCGGTAGTCGTCTTCGTACTTGTCAACGTTCTTGTCTGCGATTGTGACGGGTACCACAACGGATGTATAGTCCAGCCCATTGACGAAGACAGAATATCCATACCATTTGTACTTCTTCGGTCGTGCTGCTGGATATGGTGCTAAGGGTGCGATGATAGCATCAATAGGTCTGCCCGTACCAGTGGTAGACACTGTGGCATTCCAGGCGTCCATGTATTGCTTCTTCCATTGACGGAGGGCGACGTTGTTTTTGGCAATGAATGAAGCTGTTTTTTCTTCTTTAGCAACATCTCCATAGGCTATTTTGATCTGGTCAGCGATTGATTCACCAGAAAGGGCGAAGGAATCGTGTATGTCTCTGCCACCATCAAGAGTCCATGTCTTGAGGGTGGCGGTCAATCCATCGGTATGTGCTGGCGACTCCCACGAAATGACTTTGTGGCCAGCTTTTTCGACAGCTCTGACTACCATTTGAAGTGCTCGTGCTACCGGTGGTTGTGGATTCACAATATTGTCCGTCTTCATCAGTCCGAAGGTCAGCTGGCCTGTCGAGCCATCGACAGTATCCCAAACCTCTTTCTCCTGACTGTCCCTCCATGGAATTTCCACAACATTTGGGTCGTGACGCCAAGGTTCTTGAGACAGGATCGACTTTACAACAAGCTTGAGAGATCTCGCTGTAGTGCCCAGCGGACCAACGACCGACAAAACACTGTTCTGGCCATCCATCGAGTTGGCCATGCCCTCGTAGGGCATCCTTCCCACACTTGGTCGAATGCCATACAAGCCGTTAAAGGCGGCAGGAATCCCTGGCTCGAGTCAGTAAAACTGCCGCAAAGAAACGGAAGTAGAGACACTGACTAATTGAGCCTCCGATATCTGTACCGAGTCCGACTGGTGATCCTTTTAAACCAATCAAGGCTCCCTCACCACCTGAACTTCCACCTGAGCAGAGGAATCGATCCTTAGGATTCCACGTGTAACCAATGATGTTGTTTACAGTCTCGCCAGCCATGAGTGTATGTGGAACGCTCGTCTTGCAATAAAGTATCGCGCCCAAGTCGCGCAACTCCCTCACCATCTCACTCTCGTAAGTCTTGTATTTTGGATCACCACTTTTGCCTTCATGCGTGCCAATCCACCCAACATAACCCATTGTGGTCTCCACATCTTTAACATGGAATTGATCCTTCAGTGAAACAGGCACGCCATGCAGTGGACCTTTTGTCTTCTTGTGCTCGGCGTAGTGGGCGTCGAGGGCTTTCGCGTCGGCAATGGCAGCATCAAAAAAGGTCTCGTGTAGGCAGTTTACCTGAGACGTCCGTCAGTCGATGCTGATAGCGGAAATACTTGACTTACGAGCTGATGTGCTAGTGAAGCTCTGTGGCAGAACGCCTGCGTAACATCGACAGCAGACCACTCTCCTGCTGCTACCTTTTCGGCGATTCCAACAGCATCAGTCTCAGTGATATCGATTTCCTTCGACTCTAGGAACTGCTGTATGTATGATCCTGTCACGTCTTTCTGCTCTTCCACCGAAGGAATCTTCGATAGGCGCCAGCGTTCTGGTATCGAGTCGAGAATGGCCTGTCTCTTTGCAAGAGCTGTAGCTTTCCAGTCTGTGACCATCTTCGAAGACTTTTGGTCGGGGGTGCCGAGGCAAAGGAATGCAAGGAGTATCTGTAAACACGAAGCGATTAGATTCCTGGCTGTGTGTTGGACAACAAGGTTCACATCGACTCGTTCAAGTCCGTGAGGAGCACATGTTGGAGAACTTGGTCGGCCTGCCTATGACCACCTGCCTATTCGGGAAGCTTAAGCCCAGTGACGCTCGTAGGTTTACTAAACCTGCCTTGGCATATTCGAAGTAGAATTTCTGCAGCTCCTTCAGTCATGCACAAGAACCAGGATCGTAGCTTGATCGATCGGAACTTCGAAAGACTTCACTCAACATCCTGGTGAAGCTTGCACACCATCGAGTATAGTATGTCTTTGTTAGCATATCCACCATATTCGCACCGTCGTGCACAATTCTCTAGGCTGACTTGCTGATTTCAAGTCCTTGTGCGCATCTGCCGGACGTTAAGGTTGATCCTCTTGTTGGTGAGCCATCCTGTCCATTGCTTGAATCGTGCTTGGTTGCTTTCAGGATACGCTGGCCAGTTTCGCAGATCTGGAGGACACGTGTTAGCAAGAACCTTTGGCACAGCATGCCAGGCATATCTCGACCGTCCAGACATGAGGACAGCATCGCCGCTCCTTATTCGAATCACAGCATGCTTCGAACCATCCTCATTGGCAACCAAAAATAGCGCATCACAGCCCATACTGATGCTGACAAGAGGCTGGTCACAATCCTCACTAACATCACGATGTAGACTTAGAGTATCGCCAGGTGAGTAGAGATTGAGGATGGCTGCTTGAGGCTCGATCTCAGGGAAAACGTTAGTGATGAAAGTGGCTATGTCCTCTGGAAAATCGAGTGGTTCTTCAGCTGGATATTGCTTGTTGGTCCAGTCGTATTGGCCACCAAGAGTTATCCAGCGCAATTTCTTGTCAAGAACCTGCTTGATGGTAAGAGGTTTGTGCAAAACAGGGTCTTTTGGCTGCAGCTGAGTATTCTGGTTGATGGAGAAGAGAGATAGTGGCTGGTGTTTTGCGTCCTTCGACAAGGATTGATATGGAATATCGTAGAATGGCGTTAAGTTATTGTTGTGCTGAGGATTGCTGCAGTCTCGGTGGAAAAGCTTATCCAGCAATACAGCTTGTACAGGAACGGATAACACGGAGGGAGCAATAACGAGACCTACCGCGATCAGACAACTACTCCATGCTGATGGCTACAGCGTCTCACCAGGTAAGTCTTTCAGCTCGAAAAATTGCGACTTCTGCGCTTTGTCCGGAAGCTCATCATTGTGCAGGAATGGTTGGAAAGCATGTATCATAAACGATTGTCTTTGTACAGAAGAAATGGATGGGAAGAGTCGTTCATCGTCAGCAATCAGCAGAGAGTCGATAATTTCAAGGTCATTGTTGGCGTGTATGTCCTCGACGCTCGCTGTGCGCCATCGCTTGAAAAGCACACGTAAATGTGGCGGAGGTTGCGCGTGAGGATCGAGATCTCCAGTCTTGGTCATTCCTGGATTTGTTTCTGACTTAATGCTCGTTCAGCGCAGGCAATGAAAGGTTAATAATCATAGAAGCACATGAATGGAGAAAATAGCAGACTCTGTACGCCAAGAGCAATTCAGCTCCCAACGACAGCGAACAATAAGCCCACTAACGTCAATCACCCACGGGCGAACATCACCCCGTCGCGAACATCTATTCTATATATAGCAACAACCACATTAATCGTGGTGTTGTAGCTTTATTCTACAGCCATATTGCTTGCTATTTGGCGTGTACGCTTCTTGACCTTCCGTCGAGTCTCTCTGTCCGTCATAAGGGCAAAAACGTCAGGTTGAGTGGCCTGGTATAGCTCAATAGTGTCCTCATCAATCTGGCGATGCCTCAAGACATCAGCAAATCGCGTGGTAATGTCAGAGTGGTTCTTGCGTATTCTTTTGTATAGTATATTGTCCTCCTCCCTCTGCTCTTCCCTGTGGTGCAGAGAGAGTTGATATCGATGGGCCTTGACCTCCGCTTCAAGCTCGTCCATATGTCGTCTTAGACGGTCGAGATCTTGGCGACGGTGAGAGGGCAGTGCTTTGTTAAGAGATGTAAAGATTGGTAGCCATTCTTGCTTGCGCTTTGGTGTACTAAACTCCACAGTCTTTTCTGGCTGGAAATCGGGAGTGACTGGGCGATAATTAGCAACTTCAGGTCTGGTCAACAGCTGGTGACGATTCCAGGGCCGTAAGCCACTTCGACGCCAACCGCTGACGATGTATTCAGTTGTAAATGCTTCACCCCTTGCTTGCGCCCATAAAACGTTAAATTGGGCGCGAGTGACCTTCCTGTTTCCGTCGGGATCAAATGCTTTTAGCAGGCGGGCATATGACGCCTTCAAAATAGCAAATGGCTGTTGATCGAGAGGCTGGATAAGATGAGAGGAATGGGGCAATATCCAGATAAGGATGACGTTGTTTTGGTGTGCTAGCTATTGTATATTGCCAGTAATATGTGATAAATGACCGTCTAAATATAGAACTCTCGTCTTACCCTCCCTACCCTCTCTTGCACTCTCTGATAGGAATATATCCTTAAACCATCGTTTAGTGTATGCCTCAGTCGTCTACCCACTCTCTGTAAACCCCCAGTGCTAATTTGGGAGTGTTTCGGATGCTGGAAACTAATAATTCAGTGGTGTTTGGGGTGCTGTACCCCTGTGGATAACTAACGGTCTAAGGAAGCCCCTAGCTGCGTTAATACACTCTAGACTGGTCGTCTAATCTGTGGAACCACCTTTAGCAACAATAGGGGGACCCTGGCGACGATTAAAGACGGAATGTTCTGATTAATGGTAATTTCTTCTGGCCCCGACCTCGTCCATATTCCATACATCCTGGTCGTCAACTTGCTGACCCTGTAGCGCAAGCTGGGCGGCTGAAAACCAGGCATCTAAGATTGCTAGATTGCTGGCGGAGACCCTGTTTATATCGAGATATAGCTCTTTTCTGCTTTTGATATTGGCGTGACGATTTATGAACTTGGTGACCCAGTTGATACCGATTGGTCCGTCTTGTCCATTGAGATCCTTGCTCATTAAATAGGCAATCGTCCGTATCTGGGTATGGCTTGTAGGCATAAACTGTGCTTGCTGGTTGGCGATAAGCTTAGCTAGGACCTCTTCTTGTTGGTATGTCAATCGCGTATTTGACGGGCGAGTAAATGCATGGGAAGGGCGACCATCGCGACGATGTAACAACGTTGTACGCGCGACGTCGTTGTTACGCGCAGCTTGCGAAATATTACCATCTGTCGTGGTTTTATTGTCAATTAAGGCCTTGCGAATACGTTCCTCTCTTCGAATTGCCTGCATTTTAATTGTGTGGTTATATATATAACTATGAATAAAAGTGGTCACATTTGTGAGATGCTGTTCGTTTGGGGGTGGTGTTCGTGCGGGGGTGATTGACGTTAATTGATTAAATTACCACGCGCACGTGCCGTAGCTGCGTGCCTAACGAGCGCTTTTGCGACCCTGCAAATGCTTGTGATGGATGCCTAGCCTGAAGTGTTCGACTTCAATACCTGGACTTCCATACGCGTTGGCAGAATGACCTCCCATTTCCACGATCCTACTTCATCTGTAAAGATCGCCGAGGGGAGTTACTCGTGCGCTGAGTATTCTTGTCTCGACTCATGATACGATATATTTGGAAGATGCTGTGACGCATCTATTTCGACCTCCAGGATGAGCACTCCTTCGTCTCCAGCGACTCCAACAACTCCAGGAAGCCCTCGCCATTTTCGAGCAAAGGTACGCCAGCAATGCAATGACTGCAGCTCCACCTGACTTCCATAGCTACGACATGCGACCTGGGTCGATCCTCAGACGGCGACCAAGTCCAAACGTACCTTTTCCCTCACTCCCGTCTCGGCCGACAACAATGGCAACCTCGATGGTTCAGCATCACCTCTTCTTTCTCCCGAAACACCGGACGAAGCCCCCGAGCGCGATCCAGACCGTTTCTACTGGATGGATAACATACCGACGTGGAGGGACAAGGTGAAAGAGTACGCGCAAAAAGCGTGGGCTTTCATGTGCTCGGAAACTGGCATCAGCATCTTCAAATGTGCTTTAGCATATCTGCTTGGAAGCATGGCTACATTTGTTCCTGCCTTCAGTCGCTTCTTTGGCCGACAGGACTCCAAGCACATGGTGGCAACAATCACAGTTTATTTCCACCCAGCAAGGTCGCTAGGGAGCATATTCGACGCCTCGATACTAGCTGGTATCGCATTCCTCTACACAGCAGTCGTTTCACTCGTCAGCATGAGTATCAGCGTGCTCTTCACGGACTACTTGCACATACCAGCTATTGGTCATGGCGTGATTCTCGTGTTGTTCGTGGGAGGAGGCTTGGGTTTCGTTGGCTGGGTCAAGCTAAAGAAGGGAGATCCATTGGTCAATATAGCATGCTCTCTCACTTCCTTGTCACTCATCACTGTCTTGACCAAAGAGGGCGCTGTGCAGGACGGCAACTACTCTTTCAACAAGATCACGCAGATTCTAAAGATGGTTATTGCTGGTATCATCTGCACAATGTTGGTCTCCTTTCTCATTTTTCCGAGCTCCGGACGCATCAATCTCCGGAAGAACATGACTGAGGTATCCGATCAGTTGTCTGACATGCTGGGCATAATAACCAAAAGCTTCATCTCAGGCGACGAAGAGGAAATCGCGGACAACCAGTATAACGCACTCAACGATCGCTACAACAAGTCCTCTTCCAAACTTGCACTGAACCTCAAAGAAGCTAGATATGAACACTACTTTGTTGGAAGGGGAAGACTTGCAGAGTTGGAGTCAAAAATTGCGCAATGTTTACAGAAAGTCGGTCAGAGTATTGGTGGCTTACGAAGTGCTGCTGCTATGCAGTTTGTTGTTGCCAAAGAGCCATTGGACAACTCGGATGCGAGATGGGCGCAGCAAAGCAACGGTACCATGAAACGACCACCCACCTCTATGAGTGGCATGCAGTCCAACGCCGAGGTTCCAGCTTCCAATACCACTGTATCCAGTCCCAAGTTGGCTCGACACGATAGCCTACCATGGAGATCACCACAGCAGATCTTCGAGCTCTTCATCGACCATCTTGGTCCTTCAATGCGCTCTGTCGCATATACGATGAAAGAGATTCTTGATGAACTGCCCTTCAATCCTGATGACGATTACAAAGTTTCGATTAATTCCCGTTTCGAGCTCGCATTGGAGCGGGCTTTAATTATGTACAAGGATGCACGTGCAGACGCAGTGAAATTGGTATACAGTCAGAAAGAGATGGACAAGACTAGACCTGCCGAGGTCGAAGCTGACTGGGAAGAAGCTGCTGCTTGTTGTGGTCATTTCTCCTTCTCGTTGCTAGAGGTCGCGCAGCAAATCAAAGAATTTCTACACTGTTTGGATGAGCTGCAAGTCGAATTGGAAGAAGCTCCTTCTCCACGTTCATGGAGCTGGTTGCGGTTTTGGAACCGCAAAGACGGATGCATATCGCACGATTCGGCTGATCTCTATGAGACTGATTACAACAAAGTGAAGGACATTTCCGATCCTCAATCTCGAGAAGCACGAGACAGGCAGTACTGGGCCGAAAGCCAGAAAGCCTGGTGGAAGCAAAGTCTGTTTCGGCGAGTCTACGATTGGATCGTCATCCTTAGACAGGAAGACAACAAATTTGCCATCAAGGTCGGCTTTGGTGCTATGCTATATGCTCTACCAGCATACATTCCTGCAACTCGCCCTGTATATGCTCACTATCGGGGTGAATGGGGTCTGCTCTCTTACATGCTTGTCTGTTCAATGACAATTGGTGCATCAAACACGACAGGAATTCAGCGATTTCTAGGTACAGGTCTGGGGGCTCTACTAGCCATAGCCGTCTGGCAAATCAGCAACGACAACCCTGTGGCGCTCGCATTTTTTGGCTTTCTCATGGCATATTGGACAGCCTGGATCATTGTTGGAAAAGGCAAAGGACCTATGGGCCGCTTCATCATGCTTACCTACAACCTCTCTTGCCTGTACGCCTATTCTCTCTATATCGCTGACGACCTGTACGATAATGATGGCGACGAAGAAGACAATAATTCTGATCCTCTTATCTACAGCATATCCGGTCACAGAGTAGTGGCCGTCCTTTCTGGCTGCATCTGGGGACTCATCATCACTCGCGCCGTCTGGCCTATATCTGCTCGCCAGAAGCTCAAAGATGGTATATCCCTTCTCTGGCTTCGTATGGGCCTGATCTGGAAACGGGATCCACTCAATGTCTTTACGGAGGGAGAATCTGATTGCCAGTATATGAACATCAAAGAAGAGAATGACCTTCAACGTTTTCTTGCCAAGCTCTCAGCCCTGGTTGACGCGTCACAGCACGAATTTGAGTTACGGAGACCATTTCCTACGAATACCTATAACGAGATACTCAAGTCGACAGCGCGCATGCTAGAGGCTTTCCATGCCATGAACCTGGTTATTCGAAAGGACTTCACAGCCTCAGCCGGAGAGCTTGCTCTCCTCAACGCCACAGAATCTGAAAGAACAGAGCTTTGTGGTCGTCTTTCACATCAATTCTCTGTTTTAGCTAGCTCCGTCAAGCTCGAATGCAGTATCTCCACAGATATCTTGCCTTCGGTTAATCACACACGTGATCGCTTATTAGCGCGAATATTTGCCTACCGGAAGGAGGATATTGAGCAGAAGACCAAAGATGAGGATTACTCGCTGCTGTATACCTATGCACTCGTGACAGGACAATTGGCAATGGAGATCAAATCTTGTTTGAAAGAGGTCGAGGATCTGTTTGGAGTTCTGGATGAGGAAAGCCTGATGCTGCAGTAGGGCTGGCACAAGGCACGGCATGGAGTCATGGCTGATTGGTGGGATAGTCTGAAGAGCAGTACTTTGGCTTAGTATCGTTATCTTTGAGCATATCTATAGGACCTAGGTGAACCATTATTGTTAGACTGTAACGGTACTTGTCGTTTGACTCGTTTTTTTGCAATGTTGCTGCCTGCCAGACGACGCAACAATTGCAGCGTGAACAGCGAGGGAGGAGCGATTATAAACAAGGCTGGAACTTGCACTTTTATTCACATTCCGGAGCCACTTGAGACTACGGATATGCAATCACCTTGCATCACAGTGTATAGACTCTTGATCACCGTGTCGTCACCCAGTAAACAGCTCGACCTCCATCGACTGAGGGCCGCTGCCTCATCTAGTAAAGACATGCTCGTGCCTAAGCGAATGCGGTGTAATTTGAAGTCCAGGTAACTTAAGCTGTTGTGGGGTCGCTAATTCCGAAGATATTGCGTGTTGATTGGCCGTACGAAGTTGAATTTTGAGAAGAGAGCAAAGTATTAATCTTTCGACCTCTGCGAGAATCTTGACTCACCAAATGGATTCCACATTGAGACTTGTGCACACTTCAGGCAACCTTGGCTAGTGACTAGGTGATCTGTGTCTTGTACATACGCGTTCTAAAACTTGGGAGACGTCGCGCGCTGTTATCACTCAGCTGACCTCAATCCTTCTTTATTGCGCTTCTGTTGTCCCCCCAAAAAAACCTTGTCAGTATGCCAAACCATAGGCCGCTCCGTGTGGTCAAGCAGATAACGACATCGTTTCAAAAAGAGCAATGTCGGTGCTACTCTGCCCCAGTCGACTCTGCTATACCAAGCAATAAGGTCAAATATGTCCCAACCTCGGGTACATACCCGAAAGGCTTCAGAGTTTCCGCTACGCACGTCGGCGTCAAACCGTCCAACACAAGCAAGCCTGATCTGGCATTTATAGCCTCTGACATTCCTGCAGCTGGCACCGCAGTCTTCACAATGAACAGATTTCAAGCTGCCCCTGTACAGGTGAGCCGCGATATTTTGAACTCTCGTCATGGAGCTGGCATTCGAAGTGTTGTCATCAATTCTGGCTGCGCAAATGCAGTGACAGGTAAAGGTGGCCTTGAAGATGCTCGGGCCATGGCCAGGACAGCATCAAGCATGTTCGACAATCAATCAGGCAACGATGACAGCGTGCCTAATTCCGTTGTGATGTCCACTGGGGTCATTGGGCAGCGACTACCTATCTCAAAGATCATCAACAACATTGGTACTGCTTACGCGAACCTTGACAATAGCCATGAAGCTTGGCTTAATACTGCCAAGGCCATCTGCACAACTGACACATTTCCTAAATTGCTCAGCACAACCTTTACGCTCCCTGGTCCTGCCCACAAAGGTGTAGAATACCGGATGGCAGGCATGACAAAAGGAGCTGGTATGATCCACCCTAAGATGGGAACACTGCTAGGTGTCGTCTGCACTGATGCACCTATCACTCCAAGTGCTCTTCGAGCTCTGCTGCAAACCGCAATGCAGGCCACTTTTAATCGTATCTCTATCGATGGAGACACTTCCACAAACGATACTCTCGCGATGCTTGCCAACGGTGCTGCCGCATCTGCAGATACGCCACCCATTCAGCCGAAAGACGAGGCCTGTGAACATTTCCTCCCCATACTCAAGTCCTTCTTATATCGTTTGTCTGATCTCGTCGTCCGTGACGGTGAAGGCGCGACCAAGTTTGTCGAAGTTCGCGTTCGAAATGCTTTAACAGTACTAGATGCCCTCTCTATTGCGAGCTCAATTTCACGATCTCCACTAGTCAAAACAGCCCTTTATGGCAAGGACGCGAACTGGGGCCGTATACTGTGTGCCATCGGCTATAGTCAGCTTGAATCTCCAGAATCAATCAATCCGGCAACTACGAATGTCTCCTTCATACCAGCAGACAATAGTGCGAGTAAAGATGAGGGAGTGTTGAAGTTGCTGGTGAATGGAGAGCCAGAACTGGTCGATGAAGAGCGAGCGGCGAGATTATTGGAGGATGAGGATCTTATTATCGACATCGACTTGGGTGTTGGAGAACAGGCGGAAAGCTATCGATTTTGTGACTTCAGTCACGAGTATGTCACTATCAATGGGGATTATAGAACGTGAGGAGCAGAACGAGAAAAGGATACTGCTGATAAGATAGTCTTCAAGTCTGCTAGAAAGATGTGGATTACTAAGACCTCGAGATTTCATCTACATGAGGCGGTTCAGCATAGGAACATATAGTCGACGGGAGACAACGGTCGCCTATGTGCAACCTCCAGTGAGTGTTCTTGCACAATCAGATCAGGACCGACATCGGTTGAACATGGAATAGACAAGCGCCTCAGTAAAGCTATCGCACCTGCTGTACAGCATCAAGACAACCATACAAGCTTGGATATCCGGCACGCCACGAATTGTTGCTCCCATGTGTCAGCTCAAGACGTCGCTGAATGCATCTTACAGCCCAGAATATGCTGTAGTCATTTCCAATACTCTTGAAGCAGGACCGACCTCAAATCGTCCATGATGTGCTCAGCGTAAATTGTCCCTGTTCTCGTCCTCACTCTGCAACTTCCGTGGCGACAAGACGTTCGATGCGTAGGAAAGCCGAAAAATTACAATACTCATTTGCATGTACCCGACCTCAACATACATGCAGCGACGATGTGCAATGCCTACACCCATGGTGTCGGTTCAAGGGAAGATCCTGGTGGAAGGACGACAGGTGACAGGTGTTGAGCATAAATGCTGTATAGGTCGGCTACCAAGGAGGTCATATTTTCAGCTTTTCGTGGTCGAATGTGAGGCTCCACCATCACATACCAGGAAAAGTATTCACAATTGATGATCTGAGCGTTGTCAGTATTGTTGCACCTCCCGGGTTGGCGAGCATACTTACTCAATGGTTCATTCACAAGTGTCACATTACATAAGGGATCGTCTTTTGAACGTCATTCTCCTGGTGCACTGTACTGCCGCGATTCGACCTATCGGCACAGTGGTCATACAAACCAACAACACCTCTTGCCTAACCCCTTGCACTGCTTTTAATCATACCTCAATCCGGGAGTCGTGTTCGATTAGATTGCCTTCCCAGCAACAAGACATAATACGAAGGTAGGTTCTTCTACAGCTGGCCACGGTTATCCAATACTGTTTCCCTGCTATAGAAGGGTATCTTGGGCAAGTTTTCGTCGTGCAATGGTAGCAGACCGCTGGAAAAGAGTGGCTAGAAATCGTCAAGGGCGTATGCTAACATGGAAAGTGCAGGGAGAGAAGATGATAACATCAACTCATACTAGCAAGAAACCATAAAGCAACCGTATGCATTTTGGCTTCAACACATCGAACTGAAGGTATTGTAGGTGTGCATGGTGCCGATCATTCAGGGTCACTTGTCTGAAGCACGTATTTCGTTTTTTGCCAATACATATCTGAAGCAACTGCTCACAGTGGAAAAGGCAAGCAGGACCACATCCCACCGAACTAGTGCTTCCGACTTATTGGCACCTAATTGTTGAGTACAAAAGCAACTGCGTGTAAGCAAGTCGCATCATATGCATTGCTTCGAAGGACAAGAGGCTGAAATTTCTCGGAGACATCATTTGCTTTCTTTTACAGAAGGATTTCATCATTTCGGATAACATTTGGCATTTTTGGTGAGTAGAAAAATGACGATTCGTGCGGCGAACTTGGTGAACCAGGCAAACACCTTCACCATAACAATGCTTATCTTGGTAAGTCTCCCTTGTCTTAATCATGAGAACATACAGATTAAGGTTGCTTAGTAGCCGTGGTATCAAGCTCGTCCCCATATTAGCTCCGTTCTGCTGACATGGCACATCTGCTCGCACAACTACAAAGGGTTCAATCATTGTGCCAGCTAACGTCGCTTCGATCTCGTGCTGGTAATGGTAGAAGCATCGCTGACCGTTGGACGCTGGTAGCCTCTATGAAGCACTAATGCGCTCCTTGCCTTTGAGGCCAGAGCATGCTTTATCTGTGAGGACGATGGCTGGCTTTCCGATGTATCGATGATAGCAGATTGGTAGGAAGATCGAGATCGCGTCGGTACTGACTCGTTATCCTTGCCGACGCAGATCGTGATGGTACCTGCCTTAATCTGAGAGTATGGACCTGGGCGTGCTCGAGGTTGTTGAGACATTTCGGACACATCATCGCATATTGTGATTGTGCCTGCACGCAGTTTGGAGGGCCTCGAAGGTCGTCGCAAGAGTGGTGCTCGATCGTGGTATTGATGGGTCATATTTGGGCGTTTCTGCACCTGCGAGATTGAATCGTCAGGAACAATGGTACGGTTGTCTATATTGTCTTTGCTGGGAATGGAAGGTAGGTTTCCTGGAAAGAAGCCTCTCTTTGGTAATGGTTTCGATACAGATACAGCTTTCTCCTTCCTCTTTGTGCCAATGAAGCGGAATCCGAAATAAATCGGCTCTGATCGACGAAATGTCATCGCGACAAGTGGTAAATTGGTTAGGTGGAAAAGGTGGTTGAAGAGTATACTTTAAGATAAACCTGAGCGTTGTGATAATAATTGAAGTGGTTGTCTCTTCGTTTGTCGCAAGTGACGAGCATAGAATAATGTCCAAACGAGCAGACACAAGCCAACCTGAAATTCACCTTTTGCTCAATTAGCATTACCATGTCCTCTGAAAGAGGGCTCGTAAAATCGTTGTAGTTGTCATAGCTTAAAAGCTAAATCATAGTCGACGCCGGTGAGAAGAATCCTCCTCGCCTATGCCTGAACTCCTGTCGTGAATACCTTTTCAAGGCCGATGCTCTAGCAAAACCCACGAACATCCCCACTGGGACTGTTTGCGATGCTTTCGTTGAACAGTTCATGCACTTGATAACGGTTTCCCGCTTCTTCCAAACACCTTGACCTACAGCCCTTTTCGCGAAGACTCTAGTAATCATCATCGTAGCCAGCATCCTCGTCGTCATCGTTCCCTGCAGCAGTAGCTCTCGGTCGTTCTGCTGCATAATTACTGAAGGCCTTGTCTTCAGCATTTGGCTCATTATCAGCAGCAGCTTCTTGCGCAACACTTTCGCAAGCATCGATCCAGTCAGAGTAGACATCCACAGGCGCAGAGAGGTAGTTGATTGAGGATTGGAATTTCTGACCACAGATCTTGCAATAAAGATCGCCTATGCTATTTTTCTTGTCTAACTTGACCTGAACAGCTTTTTCATGATTGCAGAAGAGGCAGGTAAAGGCTGTCGACAGTGGTTCTCGTTTCTTAGGCCCAGCTGGCTTCGCGGCTTTCGACTTGCGCTTTCCCTATTCCTATATCAGCAAACTATCTTTCGCCGTCGTAGTGATGCTTATCTACCATCGTATGAGATGTGTGAACAATAAGAGCAAAAGTGAATAGTAACGAAGTTCAAATTTGCAAAAGACGCGCGCATGCTCGATCGATATGCGGCGCAGCGTCACTCTGCCTGATCACGTGACCTGGGGACTTGCGCAGGTGGACTCCCTCTTATCTCGTTTGGTGACGGAAACCAATAGGAAATCTTCTTATCACTGACGCCGGTAACCGGTTGCATGCTCGTGATAAGAACGAGAGCATGTTCCGAGGCCACGTTCCTTGTCGTTCAACGTACTTCTGTTCAACGTCAAACGTGGTCGTAGTGGCGCAGAGTTGACTCTAGAGATATTTGCCTCTTGGGGTCGACTTACAGAGCATGATCAGCAAATACCAATTCCGCATCAATTCATCCTATTGATAACGCTCTTCACGAGCAGCATTCCGTATATTTTAGCCAAGCGCATTCATACCCAGCCAGCCATATCAGCTGCTATTCCTCAGACAACATGACAGATCAAAATGCCGTCCTTGCTCAAATCCTAGTCGCTCTCCAGACATTAGAGACTAATCAAAGCGCATTGGCTGCAACAGTAGAAGGCATTCAAAGTCGGATAGAGACTTCCTCAACTGTCAACCAACTCAAAACACAGCAACTCCCACGCCCTACCGACTCACCATCAGTGGATCCCAAAGATCTTCGACAGGAGACTAATGGCCACATCCTATCCTCATCACCGCCACCTCGGTCCAGCATTGATAGCCAGCGCCCCTCGATCTCATTAGGCGAACCTGTCAAGTCGTTACCAACTCAGCGACGTTCATCTATCACATCCCGTATTATCTTGACAACCTATCCAGGCCAGTCCGGCATCGACCCCGTACCCCTAAACTGGGGCGAAGCTGATCCACAGAAGCGTGGGCCTGTTGTTGTCTCTCGACACAGCAAAACGATTCGAAAACGGAATGCTATCGGCGCTCACGGTGGATCATATTCAATCTACAATGCCCTTGCCGTAGCAGCTCATCATCTCGACCTCGAGCATAAACCTGACTTCACCAACACAGAACCAGCTGTGATCATTGGTCCATTTCCTGCATGGAGCGACAAGCGCAAAATTGTCGCGATGGATCCACTCGGCCATCTGGCGCCCTGGCTTTACAGAGATCTGATGCAGCCGCCGAACGATCTAGATATCCGACCCACCATTGCAGTAACAAAGGCACACATGAAAATTCCAGAACTGGAAGATAGTGTGCGAAAAGGTCGACTTGTACCAGATGGGAAAATCTGTTTGAACAGCGCAGGTGAACTTGCGGTGACTAAGTTCGCAGTCGAGCCCGTATGGTATCTGCCCGGTGTGGCTGAGCGCTTTGGTATTTCTGAGGCGGACCTGCGCAGAGCACTGTTTGAGCATACCGGCGGATCATATCCGGAACTAATCACGAGGAACGATATCAAGGTCTTCTTACCTCCAATTGGTGGACTGACAGTGTATTGCTTTGGTGATCCGAAAGCGATGTCGGATCCGAATGTCAAGCTTGCCTTGCGAGTGCACGATGAATGCAACGGCAGTGATGTCTTTGGTAGCGATATCTGTACCTGTCGGCCTTACCTGATTTTCGGCATCGAAGAGGCGGTCAAGATGGCGCAACAAGGCGGCAGCGGAGTCGTGATTTACTTCCGGAAGGAAGGAAGAGCGCTAGGTGAGGTCACGAAGTACCTAGTCTACAATGCGCGGAAGCGTGGTCTTGACAGGGCTAGCGAGTACTTCAAGCGCACGGAGAACATTGCAGGTGTGAAGGACATGCGATTCCAGGCATTAATGCCAGACATCTTGCACTGGCTTGGTATCACCAAAATTGACAGAATGCTGAGTATGAGCAATATGAAGCATGATGCGATTGTGGAGCAGGGCATACCGATCCATGAAAGAGTAGAGATACCAGAGGATCTGGTGCCTGAGGATAGCAGGGTGGAAATTGATGCCAAGATTCATGCAGGCTATTTCACGACCGGAAAGGTCATGACGGTAGAGGAGTTGAATGCCGTCAAGGGCCGGGCGTGGGAGGACATAGAGCATTAGAACAGTCTTCACGTCAAGATGGAGTCGACAAGCAACAGCGCGTTCCAAAGTTAAGTCCCTGGCCATCATAACACAGTGCTGTATCCCAAGAAGACAGCGTGCTTTGCGTGGCGTTGAAAATCGTTGAAGGTCACAGCCTGATGACATCTGAAAATGCGTATCTGAAATAAGATTGGGGATAGAGCCATAGCTAGGTAGGGCTCGCTTTATCGCAACTATTTCAATGGGGACCACAATTCTAAGTTTATGCAGAAAGGACCAGGCGGTATGGTACATCAGATCTTGATTATGGCTGAACAACGACCGCACGTATTTGCCATGGTGGAATACCTATTAGACCGAGCTTCTACTGCTGGCTCTTGACCCTTTGTAAGACTCGTTGGAGATCTTTCGTCTTTGTGTCCAGTATAGGCTCATTCGTATCTCTGCCAGTCTTTTGCTAGGTATCTTCTGTCATGCATTTCCATACAAGGCACAGGATTTGACGCAGGAAGCGGTACAGCCGTGCGCCACCGCACAGCTTGCGTATTAGTAATGATGAAGGAAAAGCGACACACAGTCGCGTCCAATGCGTCTTCAGGGTGAGAGGAAGTCAAAAGCAAAAGCCATGAAGGCTTGACAGGATGGAATGTATTGGAGCTCGGTTGCAATAAAACGTTGACGATATCGAGCGCGGCTCATAAAGATTGTAGAGAGAGACTGTGAATAGGCTAGCAGTGCTAAGTATCGCTTCAGTCTTCAAATTGTCTGATAAGTCACGGTGCTGTATGCTGCCCTCCAGCCGCAGGATGAAGAAATCTTGTTGCAAGTGCAAATATAACCACAAATGCGAAGACATACTGTTCAAGCATTTCCATAGCTCTATGCTTTAAGCTCAAGAGCGAAGCCTCCTCCTGGGAACAGACTTGCTCGAAATTTGTAGAGTTGAATGCCAGTACGTATAACTCAACGAGAAGTACTCCAACGGCGTCCAATATTCAGGCAACGCTAGATCTTGACTTGTATCTCCTGCATTGAGAGGAAGATGTTGGCGAGAAAAGTCACGAATTGCTTCCTCGTCGCGAAATATCACACACAGGCTCCTGATGCTACTCTGAACGAGCTTGGCCTGATACACATCCAGCATTCGCTGTCTTGATGAGTCTTGAAGGATGCTAATGCCATTACACAAGAACTCTCGCGTACGAAGTCGTGCGTGAAGTGTACTCCATTCGTTTGAACTTGATCGTCGCTAGTTCGTGGATCCATTATCTTCGTCATTCTCTCGGGAATGAGGCAATCATTTCATGCATTCTTGAGGCGACTTCATGAACCTTTTGATCGAAAGCGGTATGTAGCAAATATGTCTGTGTTCGGGAATGCCTCGACAGTTGACCCATCGTTTCACTGCGAGAGGTCTATCAAGCGTGGCTCGGTCTGCAGCTCTTACTTCTTGACCATATCGGAAGTCTCGTCCTGTTGCTTACGACAGGGCACAAGCATTGCCATTGGAATCGCTCGAAGACGTTACCTGTCGGCTTCAGCCCACGCTTTAATCGAGGTATTTGTGCTCGACACTGTCATTGCTGGCCAATGCAGAGTCTTTGACATATAGGAGACGACGTCACTCAACATGGCTGTGTTCGGAGCACCCACAAGACGACTGGTGTGACAGTCCGCTCGGACAGACTGGTCTTCCACCAAACATGGCAGATGACCTCGTTCTGATCGTTCTTGGACGATAGACATATGTCAATATTATGTTTGAGGTTCGAACCGAAGTGCAGTTTGTGAGATCGTGCGCCAGCATCGTAGCCCTCCTCTTGTAAACCAGGCAGCGATCTCAACAGTCGGAATGGGCTGACCTTTGGTCTTGTGCAGATGCTGAAGGTGTATGTGTCGATGCAACGTACGCGAAGCATCATCTCAATCGGCCTCCTTTTCGACCACACTCGCCTTCACAATCTTTACCTCGTCCAGTGGTCTATCCTCGGCATCCGTCTTGATTAAGCCCATCCTCTGCACGAGTTTCATCCCACTCTTGACCCTCCCGAAGATTGTATGCTTTCCGTCCAGCCACGGTGTGGGCGCAAGTGTGATGAAGAACTGGCTACCATTCGTATTCGGTCCACTGTTTGCCATACTCAGAATGCCTGCGCCAGTATGTTTCAGCGTCGGCTTGATTTCATCCTCGAACTTTTCTCCATATATTGACGAACCGCCCCTGCCCGTTCCTGTAGGATCGCCGCCTTGGATCATGAAGTCAGGAATGATACGGTGGAAGATCGTGCCATTGTAGTAGCCGCGTTGAGCGAGGGTAAAGAAATTTCTACATGTTTTGGGGGCGTGGTCGTTGTACAGCTCTACGACAATCGAACCCTGTGACAATTAGATGTGCCAAAGCAGTACCAAGGTATGCATACCATAGACGTCTCGAGGAGGATATCTGTCGCCATGGCTGTTGAGACTCGGTGAGCTTGTTGAAATCTGGTAACATCAGCTCAAAACGCGTACGTGTAACTGCGACGCTCGAATTTGCAAAAGAAACACTCGAGAGATGCCAAAAGATGACGTCACAAGACGTGAATAATTTTGGAGTGTTTGAGCTTTAAAAGTTGAAACACCTGTCTGTATTCCATCTAAGCGCCTCGTCCTTGCCTCTCTTTCTTCAAGGAATTAGCAGCACCCTTCAAGTCATCGTTATTCTTAGTCGTAGTGCCGTCTGATCTCGATTTTGGTGCGCTCTTTCCCTCCTCTATTGGATTCAAAACCTCGCCTTGAATGGCTGTGGATGCATCACCTCCAAGATCAGCCACACCACCGGCTCCCTTATTGACCTGGGTACCACTGTAGTGTACAACCTGCAAGTGCTTCAAGTCCTTAGCCTGCCTCAACAGGTGGATGTTGTCCTTGAATGCTTGGTGATTTCGAAAGTCCATATGAGCTTCAACACTATCCCAACCGATAAATGCCTGATAACACTTCCCCTTCTCTGATGTACCTGGGATCTCAATATCCTCTACGACCCATCCACCTGCTGAAGCTTTTTGTGTGGTTGCCTCCTTCTCGATGATGGAGACCATCTTCTTCATGTTCTCGACGAGTGTATTCTGGTCAGCGTCCGAGTAGTCGGTAGGGAAATATAGGTTCAAAATCTCAGTCACTGGTGAGACGTGATCAGAGAGGGCCTCATCTGGTGGATGAGGTGACAGGTGAGCATGGAATAGCTTCGCTTTGTCCAGCACAGCAATCTGGCCGAATCTCTCCAGAAAGGGCTTGTAGTGGCTGTAAGGATTAGCAAGGTCTTGATTGAGACTGGAAACCTTACTCTTTCTTTGTGAAGCTGATATGGGCGTCGACATCTTCCCAGTCAACGAACAACCGCAGCGTCATTGGGTTCTCAACCTCTCGGCCCCAATAAGCCCTCTGGAAGCCAGGTTGCTCGGTCAAGGTATTGAGGGTATCCCTGAGCACTTGACCTGCTGTGCTGTTGGCATCGTCAGGATACTTGCCCTCCTGGAGAGGAAAGATTGCAATCTCCGTGGCACCCATGTTGCTAGACTTGAAGTAATATCTCGTAAGGTACAAAAATCGAAATAGGTATCGTGAATTTTATGTCTCCTTGTGTGAGAAGCGCCCAGTGATCGTAGAATATCTATCCCACCAAGTCTCGATCTGTACTGACGTAACACGTAAATTGAGCTGATGGAGATACCCGAATACCTCTGCATCATCAACCTTTCAGTGGAGAACACCCCGCAGGCTCAGGCATCAGTACTGCAAGATTGGCTGCATTTTCTGTCTACAGGTACAAGAGTATAGGTTACATCTGGCGGAGGGAGGGGAGTACTGTAGAAGACTTGCGGAATGCTGTCGCGACGTTAAGCTGTTCAGAAGCTTGAAGAAGATTGTTCAAAAGCCCGTGGGCATGGGCGAGATTAGGCAAGGAGCTGGATCTCAAATCATCCTTTTGTCCTTACTCCAACGCGAAACACTCTTTTTGTCATCTGAAGCAGTTTTTGCAAAAAGTGCTTGAGTTTGGAAGACAACCTGTACACTGTACGTTCTTGCCCACTCCCATTTGAGGCATGCGTTTCGTCACCAGGCATATCCCGTGATCTTAACCTGAATGTGAAAGCGCCGTCGTGTGGGAGACAACACTACTGCATCGCGAGGTCGGAAGCCAGTAGGCTCAGCGATGTGTTACCGCAGAGCAGAGTTGTGCGCCTCTCCAGAGCTCACAGCTTTTCAGAGGCTGCACGTGTGACGGTATCTAGTTCGTTGATACCAGCTTCCCAATTCGCCGACGGACCCTGTAATGAAGTCGACGAAATGAGACGCGATCCTGCTCAAGTATAAGCACTAGCACGGTCCCGGCATAAGCTACCACAAATTAGACCTGGAAACGACCAGACCGCTCGGCTGTGAGCCTTTGAAAAAAGCATGAGCGTATCCCAGCTGCATGAATCGCGAAGTGAACCTCATCGGGGTGATCAGCTCAAAGCCTGACCACGATCTATCATAACCTGAATGGATACGAGCAAGCACTTGACGCTTCTCGTGAGTCACTATTCCATTGTTGAGAACTCCTTCGGACCTAATCCTCACCTCAGGTGAGCTTTACTGTGGGACAGCGAGCCTCATACTAACAGAGGAGCTATTTTCATATTTGCGTCTCACTCTCAAACAAGGTCCCACAAAATGCTGGACTCTGTACCTGCCGACTAGCGGGAGATTTCACTTTTGCTCCTTTTCTGCTTGCCATGTGATCGGTCTCGACTGTAACAACAACATTCAGACACAAAGCCGGGTATCAAGTAGTCTCGCACATCTCGCCGCTCGAGGGTGTTTACAGCTTGCTCTGACTCTAGATGCCTACCAAGGTTGGGGAAAGACAGTCTTGAAGAGAATCCGTTATGTTTCAGATATACTTGGCTAGTCTTGCGAACTCAAATGGCGATGGTTAGGAAGACATACCCGGAATAGTTCCCAAAATTCCCAAACTTGAGTACATCAGATCACTTGCCGCCGATGCCATCTGGCAGTCGCCTGTCTATGCTGCTCATCGAGATGACATGGACATTATGCGTCGGAGTACAGGTTTAACCACTCTCCGTCCGGAGACTCAGCCGATGTTGCCCAGTCGATGGCGGAGCTACACATTCAAACAATGGACCTCTGGAAGGATTTCGTCGTCTCTTCCACTTCTGATCACTGGTGCTGTTGGACTTCGCGAATCAGGAAAAGTACGTCCAGCTTCCTGGCAAAGAGATATGGACGGTGTTTAGAAGGAAGCATTCAGTCATACAAAAGAAATGTCCTGAAATCGATTTGCGGTTGCGGAGAGCTGTCATACATTGTCCGGGATAGTACTCGAACCCATCGAGATGCTTGGCCCTATCTCTTCTCTGTGACAGAGCTGATTACGTAGTTACTGGTGAGCAGCTCTGGTTGCATGATCCCTGCTGTAGTGGCAACCATGAGTCTGTTGAACATCACCTCCCTACTCAAATAAATATACTCAAAACATCAGTGCCACCTAGAGGCCTTTCACCACTTGTGTAGCCACGCGAGGGACTGCATAGTATATATTGCAGGAGTCTTGCTTAAATCCATAGCTGAAGGGCCTCGTTAGGCCGCGAAGTCGTTGTCCCAGAATGTATTGCGGTGTCGACACAAACATGCAATCGTTCGTAAGCCTCGAAATGCGTATGATCGTGCGTTATAGATCTGAGCATCCACTAGTCAAATCAGAGTCGGTCGACTTCAGTAAATACTTGTCTGAGAGATAGCGGCAAAGTTGCCTGCACCCAGGCCTGCAGCAATTCTGCTTATGCGACCCAAGCTCGTGCCTACTCCACTGCTTAGTCACGAACCTGCTACGGTACGAGCAGAATCTATGCTTCCCGGCTACGTAGGCTGTCTACGACAAAACTTCCACGCAGAAAGTGATCGAAGTACGGCATCTTTCATTGTTACATCATGTGTGAGGAGGTAGCATCGCGGAAGGGGTGAAGAGGGACGAATATGTCGTGACCACCTCAATGCGCATGCTTTGCACGAATGACAAGTTATGAGTATGGCGCAGAGTCCTGCCGGAACCGATGCGTCGCACGAGTCAGAGAACGAAGACCAGGTTGAAGGTCAAGCGAAAAACTCCTCATCCAAGGACAAAGATTGCCCGTACTGTCACCAGAAATTCACATCCTCCTCGCTAGGTCGACACCTCGACCAGTTCCTTTCCAAGAAGAAGCCGGATGGCATCCACAACGTCGACGAGATTAAGAAGCTTCGTGCTGGTATCACTAGACGAACTGCAAGAGGTAAAAAAGGTGAACACAACGAGAACCACGACGCAGAGAAGTCTGTTGAACCTTCACCTTCCGCGAACCCGCAGCAACCTACGTATCAGGAATCAGTGAACAAGGGCATTCCAAATGCAAATGACCTTCGCTTCAATAGAATGGGATGGCAGTCGACCGGAGTGATCACCGATCAAAACCACCAGGCTGCAAGTCCATTGCTGGCTCAGAGTAACAATTCATTAGCAGGTCAGAAGAGGAGTTTTTCTACATATGCAGCCGATGTACCTGCTTCGTCAGCGGAAACAGCACGTGCAATGGAGTTGGCTTTGCGTGAAGTTCTTGACGCCGTGAATGTAGCGACAAAACGAACGGACCCATGTCCGGAACCATTTCCATTCGATTTGACCTCAATGACCTTCTCGGCGCTTTGCCTTGCGCTACTTCCCGCTCCCGCAACGCTTTACCAACCCACTACTTTCGCTACAAACGCAACCATTCCTCTCAAACCACCAGGCTTCGAACAGCTTCAAACACTGCGACAGAAGATCCAGACAGTTCTTGACCAATGGAAGTGGGATGCGCTTGCCTACCTCCAGCGAAGTTGTGTACAAAAGGGTCTCAATGTTGGTGAAGAGGCGGCACGTTTGACAGAGGACACGAAAGAGCGCATTACAGATGCGATGAGACATCTAGACAACGCCTTTCAGTACTTCATGAGTCATTCCCCTGAGCAGCAGTACCAGCTATGGTCCATCGAGCTACTGAGAGCGTATACAACTGAACAGATCAAGCTCAAAGAAGCCAATGAGAGGATAGCCAGAATCACGCAAGAAGCTGGCCAATTACAACAACAAATTGACTACCTCAGTAGGTGTCAGTGGCCAAGGGAAATGGCATTATGGCCGCCTGAGCGGAATACCTTTAGCTCTGCGGTGCAGAAAGAATTACAAGATGGGAAGTCCCTTTTTACAAGCCTTGATACAGTCAACGCCTACGGAAGTACAAAGAGTGTGGATTTCATGGTCACTCCTGAAGATAGATGGGACTTCGACAAGCTCGTCAACAAGTGGAGACGCCACATTCGAGAGGATCGAGCTAGAAGAGGTGGCACGGGTTCGATGCTGCCACCTCTTCCTGACAACCTTGAAACAAGCCGCACAGGTACACCCCCAGCATCCTTACGGAAGGCTTTATCCGAAGCTGGTCACAATGGGCAGAAACCGCATTCCATATCAAACTCACCCATCAGCCGAAACGGAGCACATCCAGTCAGCTCTCTTGGACTCACGACGGTAGATGCTATGCCGTTCGCGAATGCACAGAGACCATTTGCAGGTACGCCTTCCGAATCCCGCACTCATACACCTACCCGTCCGTTCAGTAATCATCCCATGCCATCGAACGTACATATTATATCTGATGTCGACGATCACATGGCGAGATTCGCTTCCTGGGAACAACGCCAGAGGGAGTTGGAAGCAAGAGATAACAGTGATCCAGGTTGAGCAAAAGATCGATACAGCATTCATGCAGAGACGGCATGTGCCTACCCACATTGGCAGCGACGTGGTGTCCTGGGACCTTTTTACGCGGGACCGGGAGCCGCTGATGAAGAGAAATCCGTTCATCTCAACAATCTAGCCGTGAGGCACGAGAAATATTGGTAGACCGTGTGAACTCAAAGAAACCACATGGCTTTGAGGGCGCGCTTTCCACTCACGAACTCGGATCCTTTGTTGATCGATACTTGCAAAGCCAAGCCGTAATAAGTAACCTTCACGTGCGAGACATGATTTAATCCCCCGATGAAATACAAATGGGGTCAATATCTATCACCACTTGTAAGTCCTACAGGACAGCCTTCACTGATCAAAGATTTGATGTTCTGAGAGCGAGCGAGATCTTCGAACAACGCATAGCAAGCCGAATTTTTTGTTTGAGCGGATGTGACTTATGAATATTTAATCACTTTCAACACCGGCAGTATGGTGTCCTCGTCGGTGCATGACAAGTATAATCTAATTACCATTTTGAATTATCTTGATATCATGATTCCACTAAATCCTGCACGAATACCGTCGTGAGAGAGAGCATCTAGGATTAACTTGTACTACAGATCTTGGTTTCCCTCTTCAATGCTTGACATCATCGTGATCGGTAGTGGTAGTAATGTCCTTCCAGGCCTCTAACAATTCCAGCGTTTCCTCGCACTTTTGCTTGATAGCATGGTAGGCATCCCCACCTAAAGCCAATCGTATTGGCACACCCCGTCCGCTTCTCTCACTAAGTACGTCCACCATAACCTTTGCTCCCTTCTTGACATCCCCAGGCTGATTGTTATCGTACTGATCCATCATTTTGGTAACCTTGTCACCCATAGTGCCTTCGTACTCTGGGATGCGCCTCTGATCCGTCTTGCGGTTACCCGGATTCAGGAAACTCGACCTGAAATATCCTGGCTCAATGCAGCATACTTTAATTCCGAAATCCGCAAGTTCACCCGTCATGGTCTCACTAAAGCCGGAAACTGCCCATTTCGAAGAGGTGTAGGTTCCTATACCCGGAGCTCCTCTCCAGGCGCCAATCGAAGAAATGTTGGCGATGGTACCTGATCGCTGAGCACGGAAATATGGTAAGCATGCTCGGGTCACATTGAGAAGACCAAAAACGTTAGTGTCGAACTGGGATTGTGTCTCTTCGGGTGTGAGCTCCTCGATTGTACCTTGAAGAGAATAGCCAGCATTGTTCACGAGAATGTCGAGGCGATTGTGAATCGAATAAGCCTGTTTGGCGATAGCTTTGAGATCGTCGAGAGATGCTGTGACATCGAGCTCGAGGGTGTCCGCTCCAGCTTCTGTAAGGTTTGCAAGTTTCGAGACGCTACGAGCTGTTGCGATCACTTTGTAACCTTGTGAGAGTGCTTCCAAGACTAGAGCTGCGCCGAAACCGGTTGAGCAGCCGGTGATCAGCCAGACTTTGGATGGTTCTTGGTACATGGTGTGAAATAGGTTCCTGGTGTTCTGGACTGGCTATGAAGATAATATGGTAACTCGACTGAGGGTAGTGGAAGACGACTAAGCTGGGACTATGGAGGTGTTTTATACCTCATCTGCCCAAGCCATGCTTTTTTAAGATCATCAGTGTTCATGGTGGCGTGACACATTAGCAAGGCTGTTGGCCTGCAAGTACGCTCAAACGCCCTGCCCGGCGATATCGTGGAAAGGGTTTGCCAAGGCTGATGATTCGCTGTTTCGGGGAAATGGACACGCGAAGCGGCCGCATCTGTGCCAAGCTTTCGGTATTTGGCGGAGTTATGGTTGTAATCGTGCGGACCATGCGGACGTGGATCTCGCACGCCTTTCTGAAAGCAGGATATCTTCTTCAGCCTGCTCGGATTCTTTGCCCTTGCCTACCGCCGGTAGAAACCCTTCTTGTTCTTCTTGTCGAGCTTCTGTCGTGCCATTCGAGTTGCAACGGCATCCCTCGCCGGAGTGAGCATAGGTAAGATGTCAAGGCCATGCTGTTGCAGCCACCAACATACACGTTCTCAATGCCGTACGGAGTCTGTTAGACAAGACTGTCAAATATCACATCGCAGCCCAGAAGCGTGTTGACACCAGAGTCCTGCCCATATCAATTGCATGTCTGACGTGGTAAATTGGCAAGGCAGAGGAGGGCATGACCTGCCAAGCCTTTACGGTTGTGCACTGGAGCTGCTTGGCATCTAGTGTTGATCTTTGGAGACAAAAACAATGTTTCCGCCCGCCTGCTTGTGAAATCTCTTCAATATTCGTGATAGATGCGACCTTGAAAACAACTCCAATCGATCATTCACAATGACAGAATCTGACACGCGTCCGACTCATCTGACGTTCCTTACGTCGAATGCTGGTAAACTACGTGAATTTCAGGCCGTGATGGCTGGTGTGTCGGACTTGACAATCACGAACCGTGGAGACGTGGAGATTGACGAGATCCAAGGCACAATCGAGGAAATTGCTCGACACAAGGCAGGTACTGGAGCCATTATGACTGGCCAAGCAGTTTTGACAGAAGACACTGCTCTTGAATTCAAAGCGCTCAATGGGTTGCCTGGTCCCTACATGTAAGTGTTGACGTCGCGCACATTTTGTGTTACTTGAGATGTGGTCCAGCAATGAGCGGATTGTGGTCTCAAGAAATCCTATGCGCGGTACTGCGAAAGAGTGCTCGAAAGTAAATACAGAGAAGCAGTTCCCTCCTGCTATCCTCTTTGGTGTGTTCGTTGATGCGTTGTATCTGTCTGTGTTACTCCTGATCGATCACAAATCGCGTTCATTACCAAGACTAGCCGCTGTTGGAGGTGACTTTGCCAGTCCAGTCAAGCAAGACTCTCCTTCGCAGCTCACTCCTCGTCGGTTCACCTTTGTTGCCACATTGTAGTGACGGACTAGCGTGGCTGATTTCTGTATTTCAGCAAGCACTTCCTCTTGCAGATCGGTCATGATGGCTTGAACAACCTGCTCGCAGCCTACGAGGACAAGACTATCACATCGGTCTGCACATTCGCATATTGCGCAGGACCAGGTCAACCACCAATACTTTTCCAAGGACGAACAAATGGCAAGCTCGTGCCAGCGAGGGGCCCAAGCAATTTCGGTAAGAGAATTGTTATCGACCCGACCACATTTCAATTGTGAAAGTACGTGCCTAAGTGATTGACATATCCTTTGCTGCAGGTTGGGATCCGTGCTTTGAATATGAAGGGCAAACATATGCAGAGATGGATAAAGAAGTGAAGGTAGAGCTGCTGCGTACTCTGTTATGGTGTTCTGAATACTGATAGATCAGCAGAATAAGATCTCACACAGAGGGAAAGCTTTGGCTAAGCTGAAGACATGGTTGGCAGGAGGCGAGATTGAGACGTTGTAGCTTCCAGATTTCCAGCATAAAAGAGCAGCCTGCATACAGTGGGTGTTTCCATGGCCGGAGAGAGAGATACTCATTAGCTCATCCATCTATTCGCCTGATACACATGATATCGTTTCGACCTGACCTTGGTGCTGAGTGGGATGAAATATGTGCTTGCTGATCGCTGACAGCTCCTTGCAGCGGCCTGAGGTTGCGCAGTCCTTGGTCCTGACACTGCAATGTGCTCGCACGCCTTTCGCTTCTGTTCCTCAATTCTGGCCATGGCGCATATCTTTGCTCAATACCAGTATATTATCGAGTTCCACAAATGTAACTTGCAAGCTGTGGCCTCGAGACTGTCGATGATGTTCAATAACACTTCTTGGTCCTTGTTCTTGATGCTGTCCTCAACCTTCTTCTCCATCTACATCCCGCGGGTTGTCTTTCACCCACATCTTGCACCACTCCCATATTCTCTCCGCATTCTCTTCGATCTGCTCGGCCTCTTCGCTGATCAACTCCACGACTGCTCCCTCGTTTGGCCAAGCCTCCTTTGCTTCTTCAGCAATCACCCCAAAGATTTCTGCATCGATATTCTCTTGCAGCTTCTGGCCAGTATAGCCTCTCTTCTCTCCTCCTTCAGCCTTCCTGTCGCTAGTCAGGCGCTCATAGAAAGTTTTTGTATCTTCGCAGCGCAGCACAACGACTAGGTCAATCCATCTTTCTGGAAAGATGTCGCAGACGTGCCAGTCGATAATCCAGCCTCCTTCGCCTGCACCGTTGGCGATGAGGTTCTCAATATGGTCGAGGAGCTTGTCTTCATCAACAACATGGGTTTGTAGTTCTTCGTCGTAGGACTCGTAGAAATTTTCTTCTTTCGCAATCCTGTTGACAGAGAGATGTTTCAAAGGGATTGAGGAAGACGGGGAGTCAGAGGACTTTGAGATTTCAACCAGTTCTTGCGCTGTTGTGGTTTTGCCGACACCAGGTGTGCCGGTGATGATGACGTTAGGGTACTTTCTAGACATCGCTGAACACCTGTCAGCTATGCTGGTCGATCTCTAAATGATTTGAGTGCCATACGAAATGTCTAATGCGACAGCATAAAATTGACGCTTAAACAGTGCAAACACCATGTTGAACACTAAGATAAGATACTGCCAGCGACTTGTCAGCAATAACCGGCTTTGACCTCAGGATATCCATACGTACGGCAAGAACCACGCCCATACGATATCGCCTTTGTGCTCAACTTGAGTCTGAAAATCCTCTCATGCCGTTCAGTCCATCTAACTCAAAGCCATGAAAATATCAAAGAGATTTTTGTACTAAGCAAAACGGCGATAATTCACAAACGACGCTATACCCCGATTGGAGATATGTCACTTGATCGCCGCGCTGGTGACGCTATAAACGCATGTCTATAGGATCAAGCTGCACCGATGTGCTTATGTCCTTGCAAATAAAACCAGTCTAGAGCAGCTTCGTTTGGATTGATCTAAAACACCTAATTAGAGGGTCTGAAGCTTACATACGCATTCACTATGGTCCAAGAACGCGGGCAGTCTGTTTGACTTGTGTACGATAACTTCATTATCTTTCAAAAGTATGGCATGACTGAAGCAGATTGCCCAAATTATTGGCTGGGACGAGAGTATGACGCTTATGCCAAGCTTTTATCTCCATCGAATTCAGAAGCACTCCCTCCTTCTCCTGGTTTTTACCGGCATTTCTCCAAGCAACAAAATGAATGCCTCGTGGCGTTGATCTCAGGGTCTAGGGTTAAGCTGTCCAGTATATTCATCTGTTCATAGTACGATCTAAGTAGGTTTATAGATCTCCAAGATTCCACCAAGCTAAACTGTCACCACTTCTAGCAGATGCAGGTCGATTTTCCTGGTTACAGCCTTCGAAGAATGGAGAGAAGTCGTTCCAGAGCCATCTAGGAACGTTGCTAGCGGATGGACTACATGGACGCGCCCCTACATTTGTCGTCGTTTCTGTCGAAGAAGAATGGAATGGCACTACTAATGACCTAGACGTAAATGTTGCTGGCGTGCTTTGTCCACCATCTGAAGTGTTTATATTAACTTCAGGAGACTCTGAGCAGCTGATTTTCAAGATAGACGAATCCGGATAGCTTTGACATTTAGACTGCTGTAGCGATCGATGAAGCAGTCCCTCGCCAGTCTTTCCTGTATCAAGGTTGCTGCAGGCCAGCTGTAGGATTTCCCACCAGAGTTGCATGTCTAAGTCAATGCCAGATAGTGCCCCATCCTCTACCTCAACCTGACTAGATGCCATCGCAACACGGATAACGTGTTCCAGCTTACCGTCCTTGCTAAGAGTCAGTCATCCCATTACTTTAGCTGATCAGATCTTACCAGGAGCTCGCAGATAGGAGAGTACGCAAGGAAGCTTTGCACAAAGCTTCGACATTTTATTAGTTCCGAGATAGATTTCTGCTTCAGCCTAGAGTCAGCTGCACAGCAGAAATAGAGATGTGTGATAGCTGCGATTATGGCGACCTGACCAAATATTGGATCGTTAAGCTGTAGACCACGATCCACAATCATATCTATTATCCTTGCGATCCAGGTAGCATGCAGAAGCGCGAGTTGTAAGCTTCGTCGCCAGAACGTGTTGACTGTAGCGAATTTCTCGTTCTGTTGTGATGCTACGATATACAGGAAAGGATGGTTAAGCACCGTTAAAATGGCATGATAGGTGAGCTGTAATGTCAACCAAGGACTCCAGTATGACTTGTTCGCAAGGATCTCTGCAGCACTGCGCTGGAAGAATTTCACCGACTGATATCGGTGATCTGTAGGGACTTGGCACTCCACAGTCGTTAGGTCTGCAATGATCTGCGCGTACGTAGAGCTTGTGCGCCATGGTTCCTGTACTTTGTTCATACAACAATTCAAAACGAATTTCCTTGTCCTACTCCATATCCATCCTACCTGGATCATAGAATACCAAAGAGTATTGTCCATGCGGCCTGATCTATGCAGATCAGCGTCGGGTAAAGTGGGCGCAGCCTCCATCAAGTGCTGTAAAGACTCCCAAGCATTGTGATCCGTGGCCAACGATATCTCAAAGCTAGAGGGAGACCCCACTAGCATCCAGACCTCGCAACCGTAGTACTGTTCAAGGAATTCTAGGCTCCAAAACAATCGCTTCTGGCGTTCGGTCCTAATGAGTGAATCGCCGGAACTCGATGGCATACCAACCAGAGCTGTCTCGCAAAGCTGTCTCGCAAGACTTAAGTGAAACCGACCAAGTTGTAAATCACCGGCTACAATCTGCATCAGCCAATGAAGCATTCAAGAGACGGACGCGGATACCTAGGAAGAAGGAATAAGAGATAATACAAAGGCTCTCTATTGTTTCAAGTGTGACCGTGCCATTGGCTATACGAAGCATGATAAGTACCCGTGTGTTGCTCAATCGCCGCGGTACTAGGCTCTTCTCGCCAACAAAGAACGAAGTTAGAGCTAAGATCGCTGTGGTGAGCTCGTCATTTATGCTTTGTAACTCACTGACATCCTCGCGGTCGAAGAGCCATAGAGGTTGCCGGTGACATCGGTCGAAATATGTATCTATCACTGCTGGGGTCAAATGTATAGGTCTGAACGGACTGGTGCGATCGATATCAGCAATAGACCATGAACGCGTCAGGTAATAGTTACCCGGGCGGCGTGAGAACACGAGGAATGCAAGGAGAGAATCCTTGTGTGTTCAAGTCGTTATGCACGCCATTAACTGCTTGTGAACCCATCTCGATAGGTTGACGATCATCATTGTTAATGTGATCTTGGTAATTGGTATCACGTAGAGCGTCTTCGTTGCTGGCGCTGACGATCTGGTTTAGCCTTTCCTCCACGTAAGCCAGTCGATCTTTCTGGAGAGTGTTTTGTCAGTGAAAATCCTTGGACAGGTTGAAGATGCATGTACCATCGTCTGGCCACAACGGGATCGTCTCGTCAGACCCTGATATGCACAGACTTTTCCAAGACGAGCACAACTCGAGCAAGCAGGTCTCTCGCCAGGACATCGCACCTTCTGCCGCCTGGTGACATAGCGCTCAGTTTTTATTTGCGTACACGGGTAAAATGCTCAGACCTGCAATTATCGCACGCCTGGAGAAGTCGTTTCTCCCTCCTAAATCTCGTTTGCTCCATCCCGAAGGCAAGAACTGAAGTGGTAAGGTTTTACGTCAGGGCGATGGGTGACAGTTAGTAGCCCAATCCGTATCGATATCAGTCCACGGCTGAAGTATGTCCTCAGATTGTATACAGGAAGTATCGAAGTAGAGGAAAACCAGAGATAGGTCGCCGCGGGGGATTAATGGTTAAATGCTAGAGGGTGGATCTAAGCCATCACATGACACCATCATGAAACCTGTGCAAGCTCAAGACAACAAAAGCTTTAGCTTCGTCAGTCTTTCTAACAAGCCCGAGTTTTATCATTGCCTTCATTCATTGACGACATGCAGCGATGTGTTTCTGTCCTGTGTGGCAGCAGGTCCGAAGGAAGCCTGTTCGAGAACAGCGATCGTCAACGTACACATGCTATAGCCAAAGAAGAGCTGTATCTATTACCTCCTCAAGCTCTCTACACGTCTGTCTTCACCTTCCTAACAACAGGTTTCGATACTTTAGACACGAAAGTTGAAGGTCTCCTCCTCCTTCCTGAATTGCTGATGGCACTTCATCGATGGTGACCATTAAACTCAAAATCCTGGCCAATCGTTGAGCACAAGTACATCGACGTATCAGTTGTGTCAATAATAGTATTTCTTCTTGTAGCTGCAGGACTAAACCACCAGAAAAGTACAATCACCATGCAATCTGTGCTTGATCACAATCCAGGCTTGCACAAAAATCCAAGTCCTCTCTGCTTGGCATTTCTGCCGCTGGTAATGCTTGCCTCGCGGGCCAGATTTCTTGCTTCCTGCTTTCTTCTAGTTTACGATGATCTTTCAAGAGCGCACGAACGGTAGACTGGAAGAAGAGTGGGCCTTTTTCCATACGCGAATGCATCTCCCCATTAATAAATACACCAGCGTTGAGATTCTTCTGTGCACTGTTGCAAAGCCACTTATCTTCCCTCAAAATTCTTTTGAACATTGTGTCAATTTTCTCGAATTCTGCGTCAGTAGCCTCATTATGTCGATAGACCTCATACTCCATAGAGCATTGATGTGCCGATTTTGGCACACATCTCATCATGTAGAAGAAGTGAGGTCTGAAAGTGATTAGTCCGTGAGGCAAAAAAAATAGCATAGAAGTTCGGTTTACTTACGACACAGTCATGCACGCATTCGGGAAATAGAAGGTGCTGGCTATTTTGAGTCCTTGCTGTACATTTTGCTTACTGGTATTGGCAAAGTGTTTGATATATCCACCTGATGTCTCGACAGAATACATCTTGAGGTCTGCTAGATCAGCAGCATCTGGATGTGCAGTCGGACAGTGATAACACTCATTGTAGTTGTCCGCAAGCGTCTTCCAATTATAGTCGCCGATCATGTTCCAGGTGTGATCGAAGTGATAATTTGCAAACTCATAGTTCTCGAAACGTGGTTGGATATCAACGTCTTGAAATTCATCAGACCACGCCACTTCGGGCTCCTCGGACGAATCAAGATTCACCCAGATGAAGTTATTTCTATCAACATAGACATGAACTTGCAGGAGACCATTTATAGTCTTATCGAAGCCTGTCATCTCCTGATAACCGGGTGCTTTCGCCAGCTTCCCCCCAAGTCCATAAGACCAGCCATGATACTTACACGAGAAGATCTGAGAGCGACCGGTCGCTTCTGTCACAATAGGGAATCCACGGTGTCTGCAAACATTGTGAAAGCCATTGATGTTACCTTCCTTGTTCAGACAAAGAAAGAATTCGAAGCCAGCCTCTTCAAACCTCACCCAGTCTCCGATATTGACAAACCTCAACTTATGGCTGACAAGCATCCATCTCTTAGAGAAGATTGCTCTTCTTTCGAGCTCATAAAGATGACCGGAGCGGTACCACGAAGAAGGAAGTGCTCTTTCTGTGCAGGTCTGCTTGTCTCCCGCAGAACTGGAAAGGCTCAAATAGCGCCTGATCAAAGCTGTCATATTTCGTGCAGTTTTCTCACCACAAACTCCGATTCCAATAGTAGGGTATAAGAGCTCGACAACGAGAAATCTCTAGCACGATATCACAGACTGTGTGATTGAGCTGTCACTCCTCGAACCGAGGCACAGCAGTATCCGAACCATTTGCGCTTTGGTTGATCTTCGATATTCATGTCGCTAACCCAAGGTACGGGTAAGTAGGTCGAATATATGCCGGTCACCTGACCGGTGCTATTGATCGACTCCTTCCGCTTTCTGCATAAGTTAAACATAGTGCATTGTCGGACCTCGGTGTGAGGATACAGCTTGAACGGACGAGACAGCTTCCGTGACGCAAAGGAAAGTACAGTCTTGGTAGCAAGGTTTGTTGAGTATAGAATCCAGCTACACTCACTGCAACTGTGTCAGTGGCGAATCACTAGTCTTGAGGATGACATGAAGATAGAGATTGTTCACTACTATTCGATGGTTGCACCTGCGCAGCGGCTGAGCGTTGCTAGATTCGTGTACTTGCAGCTCCTGTTATCAATACGCTGTATAGGAAGGCATAGCGCTTTCTCCAATCTGCCCAGCTACCAAGTGGATGGTCAAAGGTCTGCCGTGAAAACCATCTCATTGAACTTCGCTAGAGTTTAGAAGCAGATAGCGTGAGTTCAGTATGCGGTATTCCGAAGGTGGAGATGTCTTCACTAGTACTCCCGTCAATCGCCAACTCTGCCAGCACACGACCGATAGCAGGTGCGAATTTGAAAGCGTGGGCGGCTCCCAGGGCGAGAATGATGTCTCGATGATTTGCTAGTGGACTGATGATGAATTGTCGGCCTGGAGTAACAGTGTACTGACATGTCACTGTACGAAGCGCTTTACGAGTCTTGTCAGGAATGAGCTTGTCGATGAAATCTGTCAACTGCTGGAGTAAAGTAGGAGAGTGCACGTAAGTACGCTGCTCAGGTGTCATATAGTTTTCTGCCTGGTCACGGCCAGCTTTGATTGTCGGCTCACCAAATGTTGGAAACCCATAGAACCACAACTTACCCGCCCAGATCCATAAAGGAAACCGGCCAGGCTCAAAATCAGTAATTCTAGTTGGTTTATAGTACGTCACTTGCTCTTGCGTGACGGTCAAAGGAATCTCTGCTTTGAGTGGTGCAAGGAGCTCGTTCGTCCAAGCATCAGTGGCCAAAATTACTTTGGTTGCAGACCATGATCCTCTCGATGTGTTGACAATTACCCTCTCACCTGGTATTTCTGGTCTTACACGATCAACCCGTGTGAATTCTTTGAGAACGGCACCATAGCTACGTGCAACGTATTGCATAGCTGCAACTGATCTTGCGGCGTGGACAATGCCTGAATCCGCGGTGTAGACAGTCTCTATGCCATCCTCTAATTCAAATTGAGGCCACCGTCTGCTAACTTCGGAGATATCGAGGAGTTCGTAAGGAATGTTGTTGGCTTTCAAACTGCTGGCGTAATTATGAGCTGACACACCACTGTCCTTGGTGATGAAGGTCAAGCCACCCGTCACGGTCACTAGCTTTACACCAGCAGCTTTCTCGAGGTCAGCCCAATCTTTGTAAGCGGCCTTTGCAAGCGCTACATAATCGGGTGTGTCGTACGAGGTCCTGACGATACGTGATGTGTCGTGTGAGGCTCCACGTACATGTCCTAGCTCAAATTGCTCAAACGCGATGACTCGGGCACCTTTTCGAGCTGCATGATAGGCAGCCGCACTTCCAAGGCAACCCAAGCCGACCACAGCGACGTCGAAGTGTTCCGTGATCTGTGTTTCTTGAGTCATGTCGAGGTGATTTTGACGAGGAGTCATGCTCTCGCCTCCGGGTATATGATCTGTCCCTGCTAGGCTCGTTCACCTTGTGATGAAGCATGAGTCGGGAATGAGTGGCTACATGAAGGACCTGTCTCCTTTGAGTTCTTTTCTGCATGAAAAAACTGCCTATAGGACGTCTCAGGATATTAGCGGCCGGCGCAAGCCATTCTTGCCAGCCGGTCACATGAGCGGTCGGTTGAGCCGTCGCTAACTCCACAGAGCAATCATCTGCAGCCAGGACTAGGTCCGATCAGTTGACATCGAGTCGCTGAGAATCGGGACACGATACTAGCACATGTGTTAATCGAACACCGCGCCTTAAAGCTGATAAATTATGCCGATTGCAAGTCCATGCATTTGGAATCAGCTCCGACACGTTCTGCACTCATGAAAGGCTGCATTTATACAATTCCCACACGCATCCTGGCTGCACTCATCTCACTCGATCTTGCAAAGTCTCCGAACTTCCGCTGAAGTAATTGACCACGTACTGTGCGCTTCTGAGGGAGATTAATCCGGTGATGGTGGGCTCTTGTGAGAAGAACATACTGGCACATCTGATGGAATTGCTGATATTCAAAATCCCGCGATTCGCCCTGCCATACGGCATAGTCTCCTCCGTTAGAAGTATGCCGTACTCGTGGATCGGTCAATTTCAAGCACTCGTGCTGTGATCTTTTTGATAGCATTCTCGAATCTTAACCACCAACCCATTTCGGCTGCTGCTGTTGTTGTCTAATGGTGGCAAGAACGAGAATGGCCAGATATGTGTCAAGAGAAAAAAGAAGAGACTGAGAACAAGACTACTGTCAATCATTCAAAAAAAATTGGAGTTCTTATCCAACTAGCCGTCCTAGCTGAATTTCCTGCGGATTTAGCCTGGACGGCAGTTCTTGACCATGTCGTTAGTGCCTTGCCTTGCCTTGCATTAGCATTGGCTGCGGACGATTGCCGATCTGAGTGCCAGCATTGTCAGACGTCCTAGAAGTCCTTGTCTGGTGACCCTGAAGTCCAGCCTGACACTTGACCTGATGCAGTATTCGTGTCCTGCTTTCCAGCTTTGTACCCGCGCAAGAAGCCCGCCTCACTGTGGTATTTTTCTGTCGAGAGACGGAGAGCATTATCGCTAGAAAGGATTGGGACGGGATAACTCTCCAGCACGGATCGCTCTTGTAGTCCTAGGGGGGTCTCTGTAGATGATCAATTAGCAAGAGGGAAAATGTGTTCTAGTTAGTCATACCACTACTGAGAACCCGCTGCAACTTCTTCTCAAGCTTTGTTGGTACTGCAAGGCCTGCAGAGATGGCATTTACGACTGCTATAGCCAACACTGCAACCTCGATGCCACTCATGTTGTTGATATTGAGAAAATCTGCTTGATAGATGTGAGAGCACCTGTAAAAGATTAAAAAGGGTAGAGAATGAATATTTGTTGGACTGCATGTCCAGGCGCATCAAATGGACATTCCTCGAGACGAGGATTGTATGAATCTTGAAATACCTTTAGTTGTTCAGCTTCGGTAAGGGTATTACTCGCATACTGAGATAAGCTTGGTTTGACGGCAATACGTGATCATGTCCACAGCAACTGCGAGCTCTTGTTCGTTCATTTTTAACATTCTCGAAGTGTTGCAAGTCATTGTGTAGTCCCAGACGCATAAGGCACGAAATCGGTAGACGAGGCCACTGAAGGCACGTCTCACATGAGGCAATTTGAGCACTGGTCGATGGCTTCATTGTCAGGGATGTGTTGCATCAATAAGTCAAGCGATAGTCTGGTAAAGTTCATTGAATCGAAGCGAAGCCAGCAAGCAACGCGCCTGCAACTGCGTAACTGCATGCGCCAGTAAAGAGCAAGTCAAGCGAAGTAGATGATGTCGATCGTGTAGCTTGTGCTGAGTTTTGGTGGTCCTTGGGCCTGTGCAGCGGCAACTTCATGGCATGTATCGCTCCTCTAGTGCACTCAGATTTTCTCGTTGCTTTTCTAGCACTTTTTGACACCCTTTGCGCATGGAACAGTATCATCGTTTGCGTTGTGTTTGTCAAACCTCGGCAATGGATATTTGCTTTCGCTTGCAGATCACAGCAGGGAGACAAGCTTTGCGTACAGCTCTGCGGAGTGTCGTCCTCAGATCTTGGAGCGTCCAATCAGAGCCTTACCAAATAAACACTTCGTTGTTGGAGTATACCAGGCTAAATGCTGTAACGGCGAGCACCCGCAGAGTCGAAATTGCGGAGGACAATGTATACAGACGAAGCTCGTCGCTTTTGCATGCTATCACTACATGATTGATCATTCGACGGTTCGATACGTCGAGCATACAGTTGCGGACAGATCGGCCATCAGGGCAACGCAGTCCATTTCACGACATTCCTTCAGACTGAACTACTCATATCGCCGGTGACTCCCCACAATACATCGATCATGACGGACCAGGCACTCTCTGTAGGCATCGTTGGTGCTGGCCTTGGTGGTCTTGCAGCCGCGATCGCTATCGCTCGTGCAGGTGCTAAAGTTACAGTGCTTGAAGCAGCGTCTGAGCTTGGTGAGATAGGAGCGGGCATTCAAATGTTTGGTAACGTTTCTCGCTTCCTCATTCGAACAGGTGTCGCCCCCATTATCGGCGACAATCTTGTACAAATGGACGAGATCAGGACTTGGGGACATAGCGAGGATGAAAATAATGGGCACCTCATTGGCCGCATCGACACAAGGAAGGTAGTCAGAGACCAGGGCTTCCCTTGGTGGGTAGTACGAAGGGACCATCTCCACAGCGGTCTGGCGGAAGGTGCTAGACGTCACGGTGTAGACATCATCGTCGGGTTTCGTGCTATGAAGCTAGAATCGCATGGCAAGGGGAAGCGCACCAGGATCACAAGCGAGACGGGATCATCACATACGTTCGACTTGCTGATAGGTGCTGACGGTATCAAGTCGTTCATACGCAGGGCGGTGTTCCCAGATCTTAAACCTCACGTTGCTTCAAATATCGCGGCATACCGTTCCGTAGTGCCATATGTAGAAGTCTACGAAAAAATTCCTGAGGCAAGATCTAAGATTGGAAACACCATGGATGCTTGGGTTGGTCCTGGAGGCTATATCCTGCTGTATCCTTTGACAGCAGGAAAGGAGCTCAACGTTGTGACAGCTTTCGAGCAACCACGACCAGTCACAGATATCGAAGAGGTTGATGTGCAGGAGTTTCGCGACCATTACAAAGGATGGGATCCTTTCATCCTCAAAATTCTAGGACTTGTCAAGGAAACAAAGCGGTGGCCATTGTTGGTTATTCCACCAGTAAAATCATGGAGTAACGAAGACAAGAACGTGATACTCATGGGTGATGCTATCCATGGCATGCAGAACCATATGGTAAGCTGAGCTCTCTCATGCTATTAGAAAAGGCTAACAATGATAGGCGCAAGGCGCAGCAACTGCGATGGAAGATGGTATATTCCTGGGCAGAATCATATCGGAGGTCATGCGTGGTACCATTAAACTTGAAACCGCGATTCACCTCTATGAGAAGAAACGTATACCTCGAGTGTTTCACAAACAACAATCGGCTTTCGTGATGGGTGAACTATGTTGCGTCAAGGACGCGGATCAGAGAGCCCGCAACGACAATCAGACTCCAGAAGTCAAAGCATGGGATCGGTGTCCCACACATCCTGAAGAACTGCCACCAACTTATCGAACATGGCAGCTGTTCGTGAGTCCCCAAGCTGTGCCAAGTATCTTGTACTATGATGCGGAAGGAGATGCGGACTTTGCAGTGGACGAGTGGTTGATGTCCCACGATGATGTTGACGCTAAGACATTGGTCAGTGATGGATTGAGGCAGAAGTGGTGGAGCGCACTTAGAGATAATGGTATTGAGCGGTGGCAGTCATCACTTGCGAAGTTGTGAGAATTAGAGATCCAGGCAAGTTTGTAAGACCATGGCTTAGTGCAAATTCGTTCGGGATTAATGATCAGTCGACATGCGTATTTTATTTCCAGTGTAGATTGGGTACAAAATCGATTGTAACAGGTTTAAGAATTGCCGCTGCAAAGCACGCACATCCATGTTAAGGCAGCAATTCATCAGTGTTTTGACGCAGAGAGAAATCCCAAGAGTAGTCTGCGCAAACTCCACTCAGGTATGAGCACTTGCTCCATTACAAACTCACCACATCTGGATATGTAATTGTGGTTTTACGATTTATGAAATGGTTCGTCATGTGCTTACTGCAAGCTGTGAATATTTGGTTCTTCTCCTCACAACTATCAAGAACTCAAGCAGACAAAACATACTTACTATAGCTTTCCTTCGCTCTCCGCGGAGTCCGGAACCTGGCACGGAGACAGCGACCATTCGCCACATCATCGCCTGAGCTTGTCTGAAAAACAGACGTTTGTTATAGCACAAGCCTTGAACGATCATGTCGTCGACGCTAGCCCTGCCCCTCATATCGATCTTCCAAACACGATATGGGCCAGCCATTCTTCCTTTGTGTATCTGTCGTACACTACCAGATGTCGGTCGTGAAAGGTGAAGACGGGTCTTGCGGTAAGCAAAACACTACATGGCGCAATCAAGAGCCCGCAGTCACATCTTCGAGGTTTAAGGTTACAAATGGTACCCTTTTACGACAATGAGGTTCACAAAAGCAACGAGATACAAAGCAGTCTCTCATGCTTGCTCATGAATTCCGTCCTTCCTTCAAGGAGCTTCGCTTCACATGGCGTGTCATTTGTCCTTTACCTAGGGAGCCACAACGACCTGTCGGTCATTCCCTGTCTACGATACCTCTGAATTTGTGATAGATATGTTTGCATCCGGAATATACGATACCAGTGGTACTCTTCGCATGTGAAAGACATTGAATGAGCATACAGCGCGTCCATGTATTCATTCATTTCTTCATCTGTGATCGGGCGATGATGGCACCTACTTTGAACGAATTGGACAGTCTGTCCACTTGGAGGGTAACACTTGGCCTGTTCTTGTTTGAACATCTCGTCTAAGATTCGCTGCTGGAGACCATCCACCTTGTCGAAAGGGCCGCCTGGCCGGAATATCGCCCAACAAATCTCTCGATCAGTCTGAGTATATGAACGAAGATAATCCTGGATGGTACTTCGATGCGGTTCAAGCCAATACAGACCAATATTGATGGGAACTGGTGGTGGACCACGCGGCACCCCGGAATGGTTCAGAGCAGTATCTGCAGTCTGTGTAGGATCTGTAGCCTGTGTGCCTATTCTATCCATATCCTGTGACCGCGCTGGAATTACTGGATAACTCATGAGCATGTTGTAGCTGTTAATCATTTCCTGGGTTGATGGTCTATAATATCCTTGTGCCCCTTGGTAGCATTCAAATATCTGTCTGCCATACTCTGCGGTGTCTTCTAGTAGAAAGGATCGAGGCAATGGAGCTGTCTGAAGAGTGTAATTCTCTGATGGTGGTTGTGTTGGTGTTGGTGGTGAAGGAGCTGGCGGTGAAAAGATGGCACTACGGCTTGGACTCATGGAAGAGTTCATGTCGACCCTGTTTGAGAATGGCGACCTCCGCGTGGGGATCTCCTCTGGCACATCGTCGACGACATCCTCCTCCGCCTCTTCCTCATTGTCGTAACCACTCTCGTACTCGTTGCCATACTCATCACCATACCAATTCTCGTCGCTTTCGTCAGGATCCTGCTGTTCTCCAATCTGGGAGTTATATATTCGCCGCTCCGTTTCTGTCAAACAACTTTGGTTAATTCCTTTCCTGAGAGTAAGGACACATCGAATGGGACACCTAGCCTGGCGTGGTTGCAAGAACCAGGTTTGTAGGCAATCGCGACAAAAGCTTTGACAACATTCAGTACACGTCAATGTCGCCTTGTCGTCAGTGAGTTGATCTTGGCAGATACCACATTCGTCGTGATCAGGACGCAATGGAGCTCCAAGACTGGCTTCTATCTCATTGAAGATCGAATACATGGTAGTGAGTGTTTGTGTATTGGGTTCTATGAGCAAAGAAGGACGAAAATTGTTGCCAGGCCAGATGGACTTTTATGCGGTGCAGTTTCTTGGACGTGGTTCGTGCGTTGAGACTGCCAGCTTTGTCTGGGCCTACTAGCCTGCTGTTGTCTACGGCATTCTTCATACATGCAAGCTTGCTCGCATCATTGTCCAGCAGCGCCACGAACTTCGTCCGAGACAACTGGAACCGTATGCTATATGCCCTGTTGGCAGCTAAACAGGATTAGCAAGTTAATTGTGCGATGGAACATATTGCCTGAGTGCACAATCACTGTGTAATTCGAACAACAAACTTTGGAATGAACCTTTGTGAAGCTATTGTAGCAAAGGCGGTTGGATACACGGTTGAACCTTCGCTCGTTACTTGCTGCATTGATAGAAGAAAGGCTCAGAGAAACAAACATACTTCTAGTACTTGCCAGTCAGAGAAGGACTCTTCGACTTGCTCTTCAACCTAGAACCTTGGCTCACACAGTCTCAACCAATGATTGAGTTAACGAGACTTTGCCACCGACGTTACACACTACGATCTTCTCTGACCTAGGGTTGAGGGTATTGAAGGACTCCGAGCCATGCTGTACAAGGAACCGCCCGCTTTGCCTGCTAAGAGGAACCAACTAATGCTTGAAGCCGGCGAATGTGGGACTTCACTGAGACTAACGACTTGTCGCTCCTATTCCTGAGGTCTTCGAATTCGAAAGCATGGGTTTTCAACGCTCTAGGTGAGTAAAATCTCAGGATTAATGCTCCTGGTCCAGCATTATGGCTTAATTGAAAACTTATTCCTCGATGAGGCTAGCTTGGGATAGTGCGCCTCGAACCCTACTCAAGTACCCTTTGCAGTCCTCCGATCTCGTATCTCGTTTTTACGCTGACGGTCTGGACTTAGACGAGAATGCGCCAACCATCTACTGACTCAGAATCTGCTGACTCGTGCATGTTCGCTAGGAACATGGTACACAACCCCGCATTTCGACCAGTTTCACCCCTAGAATGATCAAAATTACTGTGCGAATAGGATTTGCCCCCTGACCATAGCCCCGGTCCCACGTGGAGATGATTCAGCAAAACGGTCCAGAGCTGAACCAGATTGGCTACATGAAAGTTTGAGTCGAGCTTACGCACAGCACCACTACCTCGGGTTCTCCTTGAGCACACATGCCGTAAGTGATTTAAGAAGGCACGAACTAAGCCTACCTCACCTCCGACCTAATTCATACAATGTCAGGCTTGTTGCGAAGGCTTTTCGAATATTCAACCATCCGTGAAGCTCTTGCGTTTTGCACCTCCATATCCAAGGGCAGTCGATCATTACGTTGGACGGTAGAAGAACATCAGAATGGGGAAACTCGTTCCCAATGTCTTCAATCTTCTCGTTGTGGTTTACGTGGCTCTAGGCTCGACAGCATGCTCGTATGGCATGGCAGTGATTGGTACAACGATCGGACAACCCTCGTTTTACAAGTCTCTGGGGTTAGCTCCACAAGGCCAACCAGGGTACAGCAGAACAGCACAATGGATAGGAGCATTCAATGGTAAGGTCGATTGTAGTAAGTTTCAACCATAGCTGACGACACAGGTGTTAATGCTGCTGGTTCTGCTGTGGGAGCCGCTCTCTGTGCCTATCTAGCAGATAAGTACGGACGAAAGCGTAGCATACAAGGAGGAGCTTTAGTCCTCATTATCGGCGCTGCCATCTGTGCTGGATCCATCAATAATGGCATGTTCTGCGCTGGTCGACTTATCAATGGTTTAGGTATCGGTGCGCTAGTGACAGCAATTCCTATATACCAAGCAGAGGTCAGCACGCCTGAGTCCAGAGGGTTCATGGTGTCTATGCATGTGAGTAGTTTACACAATCTTCGGGATTGTGCTGATGGGATAGGGCGTGATGTTCGCCATGGGTTACTCGTTGCAGGCGTGGATCGGCTTCGGTGTATCGTTCATCTCGTCGAGCGGTTCACAGTCTTCCTTTCCTTGGCGCTTCTCTATTGCCTTTCAGATGGCACCTGCACTGGCACTTTTACTTGGCTCAGCATGGCTACCATTTAGTCCGCGTTGGCTCATGCTGCAAGATCGATTCGATGAGGCCCTCGACGTCCTGAAACGTCTACATCGCTCGAAAGATGACCTCAGTGACATGATGGCTGGAAAGGAATACTACCAGATGAAGAAGCAACTTGATCTGGATCGACAGATCAAAGCGACGACCTCACCATTCGAACTGTTCAAGACTGCTCCAAACCGTCGTCGTGCTCTTGTTGGATTCGTGCTGATGTGGAACAACCAATTCACAGGCGTGCTGGTTATCGCAAATTATGGAATCATTCTTTACATCAGCTTAGGCATGACCGGCTACATGCCGCTCCTGTTGACAAGCTTGTGGGTAACAAGTACCTTCCCAGGAAACATCTTCTGTGCTTTCTTTGTGGAAAGGTTTGGAAGGCGCAACTTTCTGCTCATTGGCCTAATTGGCATTCTGGTGTGCCTTATCTGCGAAATGGCACTACAGGCGGAGTTTGTGGGCACAAGCAATCGTGCTGGCCAGAACGCGGCGATATTTTTCTGCTTCCTCTTCATCACGCCATTTTGGAGCACATTTATGGATGCGGTAAGCACTGGGATACGGGTCTTATGGAATCAAAACTAACTTTGTTCAGACACAATTTTTGTATGTCGCAGAGATCTTCCCGACTCATATTCGTTCCCAAGGTACTGCCTTCAGCATGATGGGTATCTACCTTGCAGACATCATCCTGCTTGTGGCAGGGCCAATTGCTTTGGACAAAATTGGTTGGAAGTTCTTCTATGTGCTCATTATCCCGACAGCACTACATGTTGTGTTCGTGTATTTCATGTGCCCAGAAACGAAGGGTCGATCTTTGGAGGACATCAATGCACAATTCGGCGAGCAGGTTGCTATCCATTACTACGGTGCTTCGGAACAAGAAAAGGCCGAACTTGAGGAAGAAGCAATGCATGTTGGCGAGCACGAGAAGGGTGCGATATCTGTTCATGGAAAGACCAGCATCGTGCACGAGGAGGGGGCTATGCAGAGGTCCTAAGTTTTGTGAAAACGTGCAGGAGGACACACAGACATCTGCGTCAAAAGTTACCCGGTACTGCGCTGCTCCTATTACCCTGTTGTCTTGTGACACTGACAAGCAGCAAGATCTATAGACAGGAGGATCGAGTTTTCTTGCACAGGTACTTGATGGACCCGTACGAAAAGTTGCATAAGTGACGTCAAGAGGACATCTCAGCATCGTTAGGTTCTGTTTTTGAGGAAGACAATCCGCAACGCTCCTATGTCTCCCTTTATTGGGGAATAAAGAGGCAGTGCAAGATAGTAGCCGTGAGGGTTCCCAACTCTACGGATGAGGTTACCAGCTGGAAGATCGTGAGCGGGGCTTGGAATGTGGCTCGTGGCCGAAGGCGAAAGTTCATGCCCGTTTCTGATATTAGGAGCATCTCTTGTGTCAAGGTGTGATTTCAAGTTTCTAGTATAGTGCCGAAAATGCTCATTATCCACCCAGATCACTATTGCCGGTACAGTACAAGAAGATATACAGGTGAATTTGCGGAACGTGGTCCTCACGGGAATTTACGAACCAATAAATTTCGACGAAGAGAAAGCTCAGTATGAGGCAGAGATCTAGGACTATATGCTTCAATAATATCCTTGCGCATACAACCCATCAAGTGGAAACATCGACTGCTTCAACGACTACATCAGCTACCAAGCAGAATTTACTACATGTCCGGAGAAGTCGTTGTAACATGTCCAGAGACAGCTCTGGCGCCTCAGAATGCAGCCATTCATGAGACTGGTATTTCTTGACCCACGCCTTGCCGCCCATAATGACCTTCTAAGGAATAGCAAATTCCTACGCAGCCATCAGTAAGCAAAGCAGCTTTGTGAGGTATCAAACAAAAACTGACTTCCTAGAAATATGCTGGCAGGAATTAATGCGTTGCATTGTCCGTGCCTTGGAGAGCTGGATCTCCACACACTTTACATAGACACAACGCAGGACTTCCCGAAGTTGCCACTACCACTTGTGGCAGTGATGCTCATTTTCGTTATGCTTATGGCTAAGCTTGTATTTGGAGACTGGGCTACTGCCTAGGGGGTGGGTAGCTTCTATATGGCGTTTACGACGATGCCATGGAAGCGGAACAATGCAGGATGCGAATGTATCGTGCTGTCCTTTATGCAAGCTTTTCTGCCATGGATGCGATAGAGAACAAGGAAATCTATCTCGTGGACGAGTGCTCGAGGGAGGAACAGTACCCGGGCTAATATCGCGTCTTGTCTCGCAATATTGATCACAATTCGGGAGTTCTTCCGCTGGTTACTACCTGCAGCCTTCAGCTTAGCTACATATAGCAGGTCTTGGACACTAAAACTTCTATTCGGAATTCAGAAGTGCTGCCTAAAACGAGTGTGGGCGGTGGGTTTTAACGACTGGTACAGTCACGTGTGACATGACGTAATTATGATCTCCCCTAAGATCTAGGCGCGATCCCGAGCGCTAGTCTACGCCAATTTGAACTGTTAGCGCAGATTTCTGGCTTCGAACTCAAATTTTCAAGATTTAGGAAACATCGGCAATAGCGATAACCATTTGAGGCGATCTGATCGTCCTTTCTCTCCTTATCGCCGACTTTACATGTGCCGTAGCGTCCGCTATGGAGGTGTCTATGTCAGACGCGATGCTCTTGGGTCACGGCATAGATTCCATTACACTTGAAGCTGCGTTGAGAGCTGATCCGCGACCAGGTTTCATTATTGACGCGAAACGCGCTCTACGAAACACGCCACTTCAGCCAATATTCTGTAATGAGGCTCTCCTCAGCGATCTTTCGCTACACAGTGCGATTAGAGGATCTTCTAACAACGACTACTACCGTCATTTTCAAGGATGGGTACTGGCAGGTGATCAGCCGAGTCTAGAATATTCCGGGACAACATGGACGGCCTATACTCTACAACAGCGATACCGGGTTGTTTCTGGCAACACTTGTCGACACAAGTCAAAGCCATCTTTCAGGTCGGACACGCCTTCGGATCCTAGCGTGTCAGCCCGTGACCATTTCCATGAAATCACGGCTACGGCAATAGACGATACTGCCAAACAGATACTCAGCATTCGTAGCACGCGCGGCGAGCCCAAGCTGCCATCGTCTCTGGGAGACACCAAACTCGTCTTCTCGCGTGAGGGGTCTTCGTTAAAATGCACGGATTGGACAGCGGCGGAACCAGTAGGAGCACTCACACCACATGAGATATTCGCTCGTAATACAGATTGGGCATCAACACCTCTCGGGCCCATGTCAAGCTGGGATCCTGTCTTTCGAGAACTGGCCAACCTCGTCATGCGCAACCCGCACCCTTGTACGCTAGTATGGGGCGAGGAGCTCAGTATGGTTTACAACGAGCCTTACCGGATTGAGGTTGCTGGCAAGAAACACCCCGCGCTCATGGGTAGCGGGTTCTTTGTGGACTTCCCCGAACTCTGGTCTGACAAGAAGTCCGTCTTTCAGGAATGTGCCCAGTCAGGTCAGAGTATACGAATGGAAAATGATCGCCTGTTAATTGAGCGTTATGGTTATCTAGAAGAGACGTTCTTCTCGTGGTCTTGGGTTCCGATGTACGATGGCGCCCAACGTCTTCTTGGTTTCTACAACGCGCCATTTGAAACGACTTATCAAATGATCAGTGGCCGAAGAATGGAAACATTACAACGCTTGGGGGAAGCTGTTTCTACAGCAAGATCTGTACGACAATTCTGGAAAGCAGTCATCAAAGGCCTGGAAACCAATCCATACGATATCAATTTTGCCACAATATACGTCCTTGCAGAGACCGATGGGAGCGATACAGCCTCGATCTCGTCAAATCCAAACATAACATCAAAAGCCTGTGTGCTTGAGGCGGCAATCGGCGTGCCCAGCAGCCACCCTGCTGCAGCTACACGAGTCGAACTCCAAGATGATGCTGGATTGACGCCCCAGATGCGAGCTGCCTTACAAACGAAGGAGCCTGTTTTACTGTCCGCAAGGGATGGTACTCTTCCAAACTTCTTGTTAGAAGGGATAAGCTTTCGAGGGTTCGAGATCCCGTCCAACGAAGCTCTGATCATGCCACTACGTTCAACTTACGAATACAACGCATCTGCGATCCTGACGATAGGTCTTAACCCACGCAGACGGTACGACAAGGACTACCAAACGTTCATCACCATGCTTGATCGCCAGCTATCAACATCACTGGCCTCCGTGCTGTACGCAGAAGACGAGGCTCGCAGGAATCGGACTGCAGCCGAGCTCGCGACGCTCCAACGCGAACACTTGACAGAACAGCTGGATCTTCAAAGAGGTCGGTTGCGGAGAATGACCGAGCTTTCACCCCTCGGAATGTTCCTGATCAGTCCTGACGGTGTGCTTCTGGAAGCCAACGACCGATACTACGAGATGACGAACCATCCGCACGACTCTTATATTCTGTCTTTCATGGAGACTGTGGCCGAATCGAGCGCTTCTGTTGCCCTCGAGATATGGCATCAACTGACGGTCGAGAGAAAACCTGTGGCCCGTGATCTTCTACTGAGCCACAACTACAATACTGAAGTCGACGAAGCTGGCGTTCCTATTGAGCCATGGGTGTTGGTCTCAGCTACTCCTGAAATTGGTCCAGACGATGAGCTTAGAAGCATCCTGGGATCGATCACGGACATGTCACATTATCACTACGCCCGGCGGCTGCAGGAGCAGCGTCTTCGTGAAGCCGAAGAGACCAAGCAGCAGCAAAACGCGTTCATTGACATCACTTCACATGAGATGCGAAACCCTCTCAGTGCGATTCTCATTTGTGCAGAAGATATCAAAGACTCGCTGCAGAATCACGATTTCGATGTCCAGGATGCTCAGCTCGTTGCTGACTGTGTGGAAGCTGCTGATACAATTACATTATGCGTGCAACATCAGAAGACCATTGTCGACGACGTCCTTACAGTCTCGAAATTGAACTCCAATCTGCTTGTTATCTCGCCACTCGCCTCAAATCCGGTGCAGGTAATTCAGCAAGCAATGAACATGTTTCGCAAGGAGGTACAGTCCAAGCAGATCGATCTCAGCCTACGTTTACACCCATCAATGAAAGATCTCAATATAGAATGGATCATGCTTGACCCTGGACGGGTATTGCAAATCATGGTCAACCTTCTCACAAACGCTATTAAGTTCACGCAACAGTCGTTGACGCGATCGATCTCGGTACACGTGGGCGCATCTTTCAGTCCGCCGATGCCGAACACGAAATCGTTCGAGTATGTGCCGAGAAGGAGTCCACAGGTAGACATCAGCCATGGCGAGGGTTGGGGAGCCGACTCAATCATATACTTATGGGCCAGAGTCATCGACACTGGCTGTGGGCTCACGATCGAGGAAAAGCACAGGCTCTTCGAACGCTTTGCCCAAGCTTCGCCACGTACACACGCGCAGTACGGTGGCAGCGGACTAGGCTTGTTCATCTCAAGGCAACTCGCCGAATTACACGGCGGTCAGATCGGCGCGGCGTCTGAAGCAGGCGTCGGGAGCACTTTTGGTTTCTTCATCCAATGCCGAAAGACCATCGATCCCGGAGTCCGCAAAGGATCAGTACTGCCGGCCACCAGGAGCATCTCCAATTTTCCAACATCGACATACGAAAGAAACAATGCATCTGAAAATCAGCTCACGAATCGAACCCAGAACGTTTGTGTCGTCACGCCATCGCCGATAGTTGAGAATACAGATGCGAAGACCATCCACGTCTTAGTGGTGGAGGACAATCTCGTCAACCAGAGGGTTCTCAAGAAGCAGCTCGAAAAGGCCGGCTGCGTGGTCGAGACCGCTGACAACGGCATCCACGCTCTAGAATACCTGCGGACCACAAATCTCTATGCACATGGCACAAAGCCGATATCGATCGTGCTCATGGATCTGGAAATGCCCGAGATGGGAGGGTTGGAATGTGTGACACGCATCAGAGAACTTCAGACTCAAGGCATTATTCGTCGGCATGTGCCCGTCGTGGCCGTTACAGCAAACGTCAGGGCAGAGCAGATACTGGTTGCGAGGAAGAGTGGCATGGATGATATTATGTCAAAGCCGTTCCGGATCGCTGATCTGTTGGGGAGAATTGAGGTGATGGTGGGACATACTCCGTCACAACAGCATCCTTGATTAATGTACGGATTGTGGTGCTGATCAGAACCTTACATTTTCCACAATAACTTGGCAAACGAAGTTTGGTAAGGCAAAAATCAGACAAGCGGGCAGTTTCTGTCTGTGACGATCTCTGTCCGGACTACTGAGCGCCTGAGGTGCTCAGTGTACTACAAGTTGCACAAATTGCATCACGTACCATGTCAGTGACGATACTCGTTCCAGGCCGCTGTCTACCAAAGCCACATCTCTGTTTGACGTCATATTCGACACAAGGTAATATGTCGAACATGTGTTCCATCTATCCTGAGTGCACGAATAAAATGGTCTGTTCCGGACACGTTCCAATACTGGCGTTTAGGAAGCAGGTCTTCAGTGGCCAGTCCTGGCCACAATGCGTCTTGACTCAATCTGACACCTCCCAAGCCTGCACGATGGAAGTCAGTCCCACATCGACGAGACTGGCTATTTAATCAGCAGATTCAGCATATCATATTACTGCGACAACACGCTACTGCGCATTTAGTACAGTGACAAGTCAATGCAAACATAGACGCGCATATTGATTTGCTTCGTACTACTCTACTAAAGCAACCCCAGAATAAATTCACGACTTAAGCACACTTGGGTCATCTCGAGTCAATAGACAGCTGGTAACTTTAGCTTTGTCGAATACTCTCAAGAACCACCACATGACAATAGTACAGTGCTCACCTGAAGCTCATACAATGCAATCATTTATTCAAATACTCCATCAATCTATACAATTCCTCGGGCTCATATCTTGTAAGGCTCCGAACTTACTCCTTCCTTCAATGCCTTCAATCTCAAAGCCAATAACTTTGACTGATACCTCGTCATCGGCAAAAACCCAACCATGATCCAAAAGTTCTTTACGCCAGTCTCCCTAAATGCGGTTTTGAACTCTCCCTCCTCATCAATTCCCCAGATCGAGCCACACTGTGAAGCTATCTTCTCACCGAGTGTATCACGGATCGAGTCGATTGTGTTCGAAAACCCAGTAGCAAAAACCACCAGATCGAACTCATGCTCACGACCCCCGATGATCACCTTATCCTCGGTGAATCGCTCAATAAACCCAGGCTCAACCTTGATCTTACCATTGATGATATCGTCACAAGCACCGGCATCAAAATAGAACCCACCATTTCTTGTCTGACCAAGTGTGGAATTACCAGTCCCTCTTTGACCTCGCCATGTCCTCAAACCTCTCGCGTTCAAAGCATCAAGCAAAGGTCGATCAAGATCCTCAAGAACCTTCGCATTTCGTCTGGCAAACTCTTCTCCAGGACCAACCGGCATGTGAAAGAAGATGCGATCCTGCTCTTCGAGATTTGGGCGATTACCCTTGGCATCTGGAGCATAGCCTCCAATTGCTCGAGGCACTGAATGAGTCAACGACATGATATACGTTGGCGAGCGCTGAAGCAACGTAACGTCTATGCCTCTTCTCGAGCAATCGAATGCCGTGTCGAACCCTGATGAAGACGTACCAACAACACATACCTTCTTGCCAACGAAATCAACAGAACTGTCATGGTTGACTGAATGCCGAATCACACCCTTGAAATCTGACATCCCAGGAATAACAGGTGTCATAGGCACTCCGCAAAGGGATGTTGCCATCACGACTTGTTTTGGATGCAGGACTCGAGTTTCACCGTTCTTGTTGATCGTGACGGTCCAATTACCAGCATCATCCTGCTCAGCACCAGCGACATTTGATCTAGTCCAAACATTCAATTCCAAAGCAGACGCATACCATCCCATGTATATACCCTGCTTCTGGGCTGGAGTGTATGTCGGCCAGTGTTTTGGATAACTAAAATATGGCAAGTCATCAGGCCAATGTGGAAAGTGAAGTGAAAGATACTCATAACGCTTCTTCCATACATCACCAATCTCTTCACTTCTTTCAATGATAAGATTATCCATGCCCAAGGCTTTGCAACGAGCAGCCAGAGCAAGGCCATTCTGACCACCACCGATGATCAGGATTTCTGGATTTGCAGCATCAATATCGAGTACCCTTTGTTTCTCCCAACTGATAGCACCGGTCATATGACCGTCGTATGGAGAAATCTCCGGGAATTGCTTCAGAGATTCAGCGACTGTGTACATCGTGTATATTTTCCAGCCTTGCTGCGAAAGGACGCAATTGATGACAGCCGAGGCCTCAACAACCTCGGTCTCGAAGGACACAACGAATTGCAATTGTGCATAATCAGGATATGGACGTGCGATAATGGGCTCTGGCTTAAGAAAGCTGAACTTTGTGGCTTTTGTGGTTGGGAAGAGGTCTTTCGCAGCCTTGAGTATGGCTGGTCGGAAGTTGAATGTTCGATGGTCCCATGTGAAGGACAACTTATCTCGCCAAACACCATACTCGAGAAATATTTCGGCAAAAGCTTCGGCATTGCCTTGTTCCATGCATTCTGCGAGGCTCTTCACCACGGTTTCTGCTTCTTTCTGGGCATCACAGTCATCTGGGATTTGGACACCTAGGACGTCTGTGGTTGGCAAGGAATGGTTGTATTTGAAATCGTACATGAAATTATCTGCCACTGGGGGCGCAGGTTCTGCTTCAATTTCGACATTATTGGTAACGACCTTGGCTTTGAGATCGACATTGTCCAGATTGTGCTCTGCAGCAGCCTCGTTTACTGTTATGATAGACATGATTGCAAGAATGGTATTTTTCTATTCCAAACGAGCACGCTTTGCAGCAGGTATATCAGTATCGCAAAGTCGTGGCAATCAACTGCATACGGGCTATTCTATCACTTTTGGGCATCATTCCGCCGATCGGGTTTATTGGAGCGGGCATGATATATCCGATGTTCGCATGCATTGCCGAGGTCGCCGATATTTACACCTCTTGGCGATGGAGCTGAAGTTTTCACCGATGCTTTCGGGCGGGCAATCTCTTCTTCTCTTCATCTCCGACTCCGGTCAGTCAAACATTGCCGGACGATCCACCTCCAGAATGACCAGCGAGGGTCGATCAAGGCATCGAATGGCTTCAGACGATGATTCTCGAGTCGCGCAAGATGAGAATGATTCGAGACCACGGAAAAGAGTCCGCAAGCAACGCCCACAATACAGCTGCGAAGGTCAGTCATACTACCTTCAACCAGTACAATGACTAATCTATTCCAGAATGTCGCAGACTCAAGATGAGATGTGATCGACAAGGTTGGCTCTTACGTGGAGGCCAATTCACTGGCTGATGATGCAGTACCATGCTCGAATTGTGTCCGACGGAAAAGATCGGACTTTTGCAATAGCACTGCCACATCTCAGTCACAGCCTGAACCTGTAGTATCAGCTCGGCCTGCCGTGCAGTATGGAGCATTGTACGTCACCTGTTCATGACTGACGTGGATATAGAGCAGATCAAACCAACACCAATCAGGCACATCGACAAATGCCCACCACTCACACCAAGACTGTATCCATCAGTGAGCCAGAACCGACCAGACCAGTAACACAACAACATGCAAGTGAAGCAGAGCTTGATCGACTTGCGACTGTCGCGAGCACGCTTGCACCCTACCCAGTCGCCGCGCAGATCTCATTTGCGCCAGCGGAAGCATTCAATGAAGCTGTTCGGAATATTTCGAGTGTATTGACCAACAGCACGACTAATGTCACTCATGCCTCGCTCGACGACGATGCGAACGAAGCACATGGGACACTGATGCTCAGTCGCGAGGGTCGATCGAAATATTTAGGGCCGACAGCTGGAAGCGAATGGCTCAAAGATGTAAGCCAGCAGGTCCTTGAATTCATCGGCTAATGTATAACAGTCGGAAGTACAAGATGCATCTGAATCACCATCGGTCGTCGATGCACCTTCACCTGCACCAGCAGCGCAACCACAGCCGGGCTTCACTGGTCCAGTAGCCTTTCCCTTCAGTGCATCAACAGCTCGAATACGAACAAGAGATCTTCTTGCACGACTGCCTCCAAGAGATGAAGCATCGACACTTGTGGAGTCTTACTATCGTTATTGTGCCTGGCAGTGAGTTGTTTGCACTCTTCATTGCCAATCTGACGTTGTTCAGCCACGATGTTGCTCCAAAAGAAACATTTCAGAAGACCTTCGATCGAGTATACAGCTCCTCAGAAGGACCATCACTCTCACCAAGTCTGAACCCGCAAGAAATAGCACTCGTTTTCATAGTCTTTGCTCAAGGCACAATGTACAACATCGAAATGCCACACTGTGACGCCTCTGTAGAAGACTGGCTGAATCTCTCTGAGAAGGCTTTGGTAAAAGGTGAATTCCTCTCGAACAATATGATCCCTGGACTGCAGACACTGCACCTCATGTGCCATCTTCACCTTCATCTCGATAAAGGCCGACGCGGTGATAATGCATGGCCACTATGGGGTCTTGTGATGCGACTGATCCAGGCAATGGGCATGCATCGTGATGGAACATGCTGGAATCTTGCTCATGATGTCGTCGAGGAAAGACGAAAGGTGTTCTGGGAATGTAATGCTGCCGACATATTCCAAGCTCACTGCTTTTCAAGACCAGCAGCTATCAACCCCGAGCATTGCGACACGGCATATCCTTCAGAACAATTGAACCTTGAGGGTGAGAAAAGCTACTTCAGACTCCGGTTCGAACTATCCCAACTCTCCTCCGAGATCCTAAGCTTGTCTATGAAGATACGAAGGCCATCTTATGCAGATGTAGTGGACCTCGATCGCAAATTGGCCGAATTTGAGATGACAATACCATTCTCGCTCCGATGCAGAGCAGCTTTTCTATCCATGCCTTCGAGGTATCCTCGGTCGCAAGCAGCCATCGATGCATCACCTGAACCTTCTCGCAGATCAATGAGATTATCGTTCCAACAGATGAATCTCGCTTTCAACATATCTGAAACATTCATTAATCTACATCGACCCTACTATGCTAAGGCACTGTACGAAGACATTGATGATCGACTAAAGTCTGTCTACGCGCAATCATTCCTCGCAGTGATCGAACGTTGTACTATACTCATCTCAATCACCACTGATATATTTGCTCGATTTCCTGCTGTCAGTTTAAGGCAATGGAATTTATGGTTCCACTGCTACAACTCAGCACTTTGTCTAGGCACACTTCTTATGAGTGATCCTGCTAACGTGATGTCTGCTTTTATCCTTGAGCAGATCGATGCCGCTGTGGGTTTATTCAACTCTCTTATACAACATGGAGCAGGCACTCCTCGGTATAGAAGAAATCTCGAATGGCTTCTGAAGCTAAGAGCACGAGGGAAGGCCAAGATTGCAGCAGTATCAACGCAGAAGGATCGTCGTCGTGCTCAAGGTCAGCCTGCTAGTGAGGAAAGAGAGGAAGCTGAAGATGTTGAATTGCTTGGCTGGCGAACCAGACTGATAGAAAGAGCTGGACAAAACCAGAAGATCATCCGCACAATTAGACTGGCGGCAACAACGCCTACTGGCTCAGCTATCACAAACCTGTCAAATCCACCGCCGAATGTCGACGAAGGCTCCCATTACCCAGATATCAGCCTTGACCCTACAATAGCTGGGATGCCTCTAGTGACACCTGATTCGACGAATGATCTGGTAAGCTCACACAAGAACACAATAACACGACTGACATCCGTTAGCTACAAGATTTCTGGGAGCCGATGCTATTACAGAACGTCTTTGAGCCAATGCAGCACAACGCGACGGTATGTGATATTCGTAACGCAGTAGACCTGACTAACTCATTCAGTCCTCTGTGAACAATAGCTATCCTTGGTGGGATGACTCTATCACGCAAGGCATGAACCAACCACGATAACGCAATGTGGGAACACTTGAAAAGTCTTATCGGTCAAGTCGTCAATCATGCATTGAATTACATCTTATCCATCGAAATCGTCTTCACTCAATGACCGTTCACCTCATTTTCGACCCCATTCGAATGCCCGATCGCCTGAACGACACTCTTCAAAGGCTGTAGTATGGGCAAGCCAGCTTCGTCGAAGTATACTGGCATACCAGTTCTGAATGAATGTTGCAGTGCAGCACAGATCTTTCCAGCTTCATATGCATCCTCGGGATAGCACGTCAAAGGTGCATCATCAAGCACAGAAGCTGCAAACTCGGCAAGGTCATTTATGAATGACTTGTCGTACAACATAAACGCATCAGGTGTCGTGGCAGTGCGTACACCATATTCGTCTCTTATCTCAATACGATTGATATTCGAGTTGCCGCCAATGATGGCGTGTTGCTTTGTGCCGCAGACTCTCGTTGCGCCTTCATATCCGTTCCTCAGTGTGCGACCAAGATGTGTAGTGAGTACCTTGCCATTTGCGAACTCGACCATTCCCCAGCCGTTGTCGCAGTCGCCAAACTTCTTGAGATCGCCATATACGGCCTGCTGACCCATAGCAATGACCCTAATGACTTGCTTGCGTGGATTCGTCAGACCATCCTTGACATTCAAAAAGTAGCGGCCGATATCGATGTCATGAACGCCCATGTCCATGAAGATACCGCCTGATTGCTCAGAGAAGGTAACGAAGAATCCAGTCGGGTCTTGTTGATCGATACATGCGGTCTCGACTGCGTGGATGTTGCCTAGATTACCATTCTCGACCATGGCTTTCGTCGCACGGTACGATTCATCATCTGCGAATGTCAGCGGGTCTCTGTAAAAGCAGAATTTGCTTACATCTTCTCGAAAAGGGTACCAAGAACTTCAGATGTGGTTTACTGGCAGCCTTTTCGAGGACTTCTGCTGTAGTGATCACATCGACAGAGATTGGCTTCTCGCACATGACATGGAGGTTCAAGTCGAAAGCCTGACATATCAATGGTGCGTGTGTCGCTGTCGCGGTCGAGATGAGGATGGCTTCTGCTCCTCCATTCTTCATGCAGTCCTCGGAATCTGCGAAGTATTTGACTGAAGGTGGGAGATTGGCAGCAGCCCAATCAGCACTGCCTGGCTTGGTGTCACAGACTGCTACGAGCTCGATTCTTGGTTGCTGAAATGCGAGGATACGTGCACGGATTTGACCCAGACGGCCTAGACCGAGGAGAGCGACTCGCAACTTAGGTGCTGGTGCCATTGTGATGTTTTGAGGATTGTGAGGTGTTCAAGATTGATAGATCGTTCTTCTGCGACAAGTTCGACCAATATGAGTGCCCATGGACATAAAGACGGCTTTCGTATTGTCCATGCCTCAGCCAGCATCGGTGATAACATAGTCGGGCACTCTTCCGCTCGTAGTATCATTCCCCAATTGGCAAATGCGAATGCCCGTTCTCCATGTGGAAATCCTACTCTGGTTGCAAACAAAAAATATCCGTGAGATCTAAAACGTCCGATGCGAAAACGTATGGAGACAGAAACAAAAACCGGTGTCAAGGCAGCCCAGGCCGGGATAATGCCGGGTAAGTAAAACTCTGGGTGTATAGTTCGGACATATGTATGATAAAATTCTTTGCAAGAAAGCATCAACTACCTTGCAGAGAGTTACGAGGGACAGGACGGCTATTCAGCGTCCTCACGTTGACTCAGTCTCGTATCTGTATAATATGTAGAAGAAATTGAGCGATCTTGAGCAGAATTGAGTAAATTTATTCGCGATATCACAAGCTGGAAATATGTATAACATGGTACTTCAACGGGTATAGGGCTAGATGTGATGTTTCATATTGGCAATACGCAGCGAAAAACATCGTATCCGAGGTGCTCGCGGGTAGAAAATATTGCTAGCATCCATGACACGGAACAAGACACACCGAATCATTTTGCACCGAAGAACATCAGCTTGTCCAAATGTATGCTCATAATTTAGGCCGCTGTACGGCACTGAATCGATGCTTTAATAGGAACAAGGCTAGCAAAATCAGTGTAGGCGTCAAATTCAAACTATGCGCTATCTACGCTTTCTCCACCTGTCATCCAAATGCGCGAGGCCCTTCTCTACACACGATCGTGATGCTCAACACCAGGCTTATCCTCCCTAACTTGATGCTGCAACGCCACATCAAAGGCATTAACATCAGTATGCTTGAATTGTCGTGCAGGAATCCGTCTCTCGAATAGCAGATCCATCTCCGCGAACGTTCGTCCTGATGGCTCCGGCAGTCTGTAGTAGTGATATACACACATCAAGAAACATGTACCTGCCCAGAAGAAACCAGCAAAGTTTCCCCAGTTCCATGCAGTCGGATTCAACATGTATGGTGTCAGCACGTTGACAATGATCGCAGCGATGTTGTAGGCGATACGCGAGAGCGCGACAGTCTTCACCTGCAATCTTCTGGTTGACATCTCCGCAACGAGTGAGAAAGCGACTGTACCGACAGAGAACTGATAAAAAGCGGCCCATACAATCATCATCGATCCAGTAGCAAGAGCAGCTGAATCCTTGTGTGCTTCAGGAACAAGACCAAGGAATCCGAGAATCAGAAGGGTGCAGCACAATCCGGAAAGACCGACAAGGAACAATGTGCGACGACCGACGCCCCAAGCCATGAATGCCCATGTGACGAATGCTCCAATCGTGTTCAGACCATATTGACCCATTGCGAAATCATATGCAACAGTTCCAGTCAACCCAGCCTGAGCGAAGAAGTATGTCGAATAATTCGAGAAAGTGTTGCCAGCCAAGTTCTGTGAAACGAACAGCATGCAAACGATCTCTGTGCGTCGCAGATTGACACCCTTGAAGCAGTCGAGATAAGAGGCTCCCTCTGTCATGTCCTTCTCGAGCTCATTGGTATGTCGCATCATGTCAACAGTCTCTTCGGCGCTGAAGGTGGGGTCCGTCTTTGGTGAGGTCAATCGGAGAAGTGACTTCTTCGCATCTTCGTAACGACCTTGTCGAACAAGCCACCATGGCGATTCAGGTGCTAGGATGATACCAGTAACGACAATAGGAAACCACATCCATTGCAATGCATACGGAATTCGGTATGCCCATTGATCATCGCGACCGAACATGCTTCGAATGACAGCAATGGCGATCAGTTGACCAATACCCCAGCATGAGTTACCCCAAGTTGTGAGGTAACCTCGGAGTGCGACTGGACAGACCTCACTAGCATATGAGATGGCGACTGAACTGGTTAGCGGATTTCACAGCCTTTAGCGGACAACTTACCTGACATGAAAACACCAAAGGCGATACCAGCGAAACACGCACCGACAAGCAAAATGTGGATGCTGGGTGCAAAGAAGAAGATGGTGATGATGCAGGCTTGGTAGGCAAAAACTGTAAGGATAAACTTCTTGTAACCAAATTTCTCCACACCCCAACCAGTCACTGCGATCGTCAGTAAATGCGAACATCGTCGTCGCCTGCCACTTACGAAAAAGACCAATGATTTGACCACATTGAGCACCATTCGAAATACCTGCCTGCCAAGCAGCTGGGACTTGATAGGTACCATCTGATTGAAGTTCGCCGTATTTGCGATTGAATGGTGGAAACGCGTAGAAATTGCCGAGTAAAGCAATATCGTATCCTTCCATGGCGCAGCACAGTGAAATGATCACAGAGAAGATAATCGCTTTGGGATAGAGCCTGACACCTTGGAGTATGCTCATTTTGTGCTCCTTCTCAGTCGCAGAAGCAGCATTTGTGAACATGTTCTGCACGACCACTCGTTGGGTTGTTGTGTGTCCGTGCTTCTCATTCTCGAGCGAGGAAGACCGAGTACGTTCGATTTTCTCCATTGTGAATTGTCGACTTGTCGCTATTGCGTGATTGCTGTGAGCTGTAGAGATGGAAGTGATCCACGTTGCCACGCGACGAAGAGCTCAAGATATAGAAGTTTGGGGACCCCGGATTTGTGGAGGTAATTTTCTAGCTCGTTAACCTGAAGCGACGGTTGCCAATGATTCTGTCCCGAACACATTGCCGGCGACCGGTTTTATTGATACGCATACAAAATGTAGGCGAGAAAAGTCCGAAGATCTATGCCCGGTGGTATCTGACCAATCAAGAAATGTCGGCGATGAAGCTGCCCAGATCGGCGGATGTTGTAACGTTGGTAAGCTCCGCGACGGTATGCATCAGCGGTGGACGAGCCATGTTGTATAAGCCCGATTGCGGTATGCGGCGATTGTTGTTCGAGCGGAGAGTACAGATGGTCCATCGATCTTATCCTTGTTATAGCCAGACAGCATGCTTGATACCACTTTCCAAACCTTCGTTGAGTCTGGCCACCCGCGTCCACACATCAGCTCTATCACCGGAGATACTATACACCTCTACCCCGCCACCTACTTGCCCAACAGCAACGACATACTTACCATCATCACTGATTCGCATGCCGCGGATGACATCAAGATCCGTCAGCACATGCTTGATTCCTTCGACTTTTCGACCATCTCCTGACAGCAGAATGATTGCGATACTGTCGCCAGATGGTAAGCTATCAGGAACGTCGGTCAGATGCGGCTCACGGTTCCTTGATATGCCTTCCCCATCTGTTACTGACATACAATACCCGGGGTACCCTAGGATGCACACATATCTCGGCTGCATCCATCATGTACTGATGAGCCAGATGAACATTTGATGGAATGACGTTAGGGTCGAAGCCATGAATTGGACTAACAACGCCTGTTGGGTGGGCCGAAAGATCAAACCCGATGACTTTGTGAGAAAGTTCTCCGACAACATGAATCATCTTCTCTGCTAAATGTCAATCGACGTCAGGTACATCTCTGACTCCCTCACCGTCTGGACTGATTACTGCATGTCGTGGTCCCGTTCCTGAAGGACATTGCAGCCAGCCCTTAACTCCTAGCTTCATTCCATTCCGATGCATGACCCACACCCTGTCGGAGCCGAGGTCTGGCACATACAGCAGTCCTCTTCGATCTTCATTCACTTGATGTGGGTGACATTGTCGTTGTCGACCTATGTTAGGCCCATGCTGGACTGATTTGTAGGGAAAATCAGGGAATACCTCAGCTCTGGTATCATCGGTAAATCGTATGTTATTGGCACCCTTGTTGATTGGATACAGAGCGATTGATCCACCAAAGTACTTCATACATGTCAGCAATGATGGAGGCGATGGAGATATACTCACTGTAGCAACGGCCAAAGCCGATTGATCACGCAGTATCATGACTGGAACATCAGTAATCGCCATATCTTACTCATGGAAACCTACAGTGGCCTGGTGCGCCCAAAGTCGCTTTCTGACTTGTTAGTTCGCATGTCTTGAGTCTGTGATTGATCTCAAAAGTGTACACAAGACCTTCATCGTCTCCTTCAGAAAGCCCTATCAAAGAATCGACATCATCGCGGGAAGGTACAGGCTCGACCCACGACGCGTTGTGTGGCGCTGGATAATCTGCTGCCACCTTGAGACTTTTAAATTCTTCATCGAAAATCAGTGTAGTAAAATTGGCTCGGTCGCCAGATATTAGTAACTGGCGTTGCATTCTCGTTGCCCTTTTTGCAACGACAAAAGGAGTAATAATCCCCCGTTGAATCTAGCGCTTCTCCGCGTTTCGATTAGTGCTGTGCGGAATATGGAGCCAATGTTATGAGGCGTTTCGAGGAATTACAGATTCGGTCGCTTAAAACAGTATGTTTGTAGAGCATTGAAATATTGGACCTGAAATCTGGTCTCGATGAAGGTGTTCATTGCACAGAGCAACCCAGGAAATCGACGTACCAAAGTCTGGGCGGTGCGCTTGCAAGAACCCACATAACCTGGCGGTGCAGCATCGATTAGCGCAGGTGGTACGGCTGTACAGCCCGGACCTGAGCTGATCGGCGAGTCCTCCTGATTCAAGGTACCGGAGTTTCACTGACAGAATATGTCCGATGATGCAATGTTTCGGCCTGAAGTTTTCGAATGAAGCACAACAGGCTGAGCAGATTGTACAATTTGGTTGGGACATCGTCTGCAGCTGTTTGCACTGAGCAATCTCATCATACTAAGTTACAACTTCAAACGACAAGGGGAAGCAACGACCCAGTCATAGAACAATTTTTCGTCATGTCTCCTCCGACGCATTTCAAGCTCAACACCGGCACACAAATACCTGCTGTCGGACTAGGTGAACGGCGAAGGTGATTGACACTTGCAACGACTGACTTCAACCAGGAACATGGAAGTCTGAACCAGGAGAGGTTCGAAAAGCCGTATCATTTGCCTTGAAGGATGGATACCGACACATCGATGCAGCTCTGATCTATGGTAAGCATTGTTCTCTCGCCTTGGTTCGCACATTGACGTAACAGGCAACGAGAACGAAGTTGGTCAAGGTATCAAAGACAGCGGCGTTCCTCGCGAACAAATCTTCGTGACCAGCAAGCTGTGGAATACACATCAGCCAAACGTGAAAGAAGGCTTGCGAAAATCACTTGATGCTTTAGGCCTCGATTACCTTGATCTGTATCTGATTCACTGGCCTGTACGACTCGTGCCAAATGACACAAGTGATACCCTCCCAACCAATCCAGATGGTAGCCGCGCTGTAGACAGATCATGGGATCAGAGTGAGACATGGAGACAGATGGAAGAAGTGTACAGAGAAGGTAAAGTTCGTGCCATTGGTGTCGCAAACTGGTCGATACCATACCTAGAAGAGCTCAGCAAGAAATGGACAGTGGTACCAGCAGTAAATCAGGTCGAGCTACATCCATTTCTGCCGCAGCATGAGTTGCGAGAGTACTGTGCCAAGCATGGAATACTGCTAGAAGCGTACTCTCCCCTAGGCTCAACAGGCGCACCACTCATGTCAGATCCTGATATTCGACAGATAGCCGAGAAGAACGACGTGTCAGCGGCCACAATTCTGCTCAGCTACCACGTCAGCAAAGGTGTTGTGGTAATTCCAAAGTCTGTCACAGAGAAGAGAATAAGCAGTAACAAGGAGACCGTCACATTGTCGAAGGAGGACTTAGCTGTGCTTGATGAGCTAGCTGCGAAAGGCAAAGCCAAACGTATCAACACACCTCTGTTCGGGTGGGATCTTGGTTTCGCTGACTGGTACGGACCTGTTCAGAGCAAATGAGTCACGCAATCGGAGTTCTTTCGTCAGAAATTAAGCAGTACACGATGCACAAGCCAGAGACCAGAGTTGCAATAGCTAGTCCAGATGGCACTACTTGAAGCCTGTTGTAGATCGCTGACATGGTGAGGGAGGTCGAAGGAATGGCGCGAGCTGTTCGTCGTTGAAATAGGTGTGGGCTCAGTGTCAATATGCTATTGGAAACTGCGCAGTCGTGCAGCAGTCAATGGCTAGTTGGCTCTTGTCGGAAAAAGCGGACAGATCGTTGTAAGTACCTGTTGTATACTGCGCTTCAATTGGTGTTCTGTGCAAAATATGCTCCTTGAGATCGTTTGAGCCGAATGGAATGCTTTGCTCGTAGCGGCGAGCACATCACCATGATAGTGCAAGTTCTGTTGCGCATTCATGCAGCCGGACTGTTGACACATCACTTCTCCCTCCAGCATCAGCCAGACCATGTTCCGTGCCTTTTGAGGTCTTCAACTTCGCTTATCGGAGGCAGTTTCGCAATGGTAGCCAGGTGTAGTTTGGATCCTTCGTATACCTCTCGAACCGCGCATGTCTCCTGGCCCACTGAATTGCACAGACTTTCTTATCATTTTCGAGCACTGGCCACACAGACCATGTTGACGCTCATGCTTCTTTCTGCACGGTAGAGTGAACCTTTTCGCGTGTTCTGTCACTCTGCTTTTCACCTATCATACCCAAGATGGACATATGCGTGTCTGCTTCATCAAGCTCAAACTGCTGTCCTAGGAGCACAATGAGTGCGGCAGGAAATCGCGATGAAGTCTGAAGTGATGCTGGTGATGAGGTACTTCTGAGGTTGCTCGCTCCTTGGTATAAGAAGACGAATGCAATGATCACGTATCTTTATGTACGTGAGTGATCGCAGCTAATGATTCTTGCCTCTAAAGTGTGAATTCTTGCTACGAACAACGTGGCGCATTGTGCACCTAATGCTTCTGTTCTCGATGTGGTCTTTGTTTCTCTAGCTTCTCGCGGCACAGCAACTCGGCAACCAACTGACTGTTCAGTGTAGAGACGTCTATATCATCTGGTCTGAGACGCGAAGGATATTGTGTCCTGGCTGAATGGCCATCTCGTATCGAGGTATCGCATCAGAGACTTCTAGTATTGAAGTTGTCTCTGGCTAGAGGGCCGTCGTTCTACGCTTCTGTCACAGGAAGGATCGGACGACAAGCTTGTAGCAGGCGTAAGTCGCATGGTGTCGCACACCGTTTCTTTCAGGCAGATTGCATTCTCGACGAGGTCCAGCATTTTTGCTGTGCCACGATGGCACGGTCATGGTGTCAAGTGATCGCGCCAAGTTGCTCACCGTGAGGTGGCGGTGAGGCCATCGCACGATCGAATATGTTCATCTTGCATGATGGCGACGAGTCCTGTTGAATTTCAAGGCAGCCAACCTTAGTCCAGAACACGAAAAAGGCCGCCAAAACGCGGAAACCCGCACTGAGCTTGGAGGCTCCATTACCCGGGTTGGCTATTCTAGGCGTGTTTCTAGGCGCGTCTTAGGTCGGTGACGTTCGGCTGCAGGGAAATAGCAGACCCTTTTGACGGGCTGGCTTCGAATTGCCACCTTGCACGCAAATAAATGACGAGCAGCTGTCGAAATGGCCAGGTACGCGCGTGTGGTGCTCATGTACATCTGACGCGGCGACTAAGTGTTCGGCAAAGTGGTAGAGAAGGCATTGTCTGTCATCGAAACGCGCCTTCATGCCATCTGGCAGACGACATGATCCTGAAGATAGATGTTACGAGCAGAGCCGCTTCCGTACAGATCTAAAGCAGTTCCTGTATCAAGATACCACCACAAGCGATTCAGCTGTCAAAGTCAGTGCTGGACATGGCCAAGACCACACAACGAATGTTTCTCGCGCGTCGGCGACAGAGAGGAAAGAATGTCCATCGAACGAGGTCGCTCAGGACGAAGACAGTAAGGGTCAGCGGTCACTAGTGGTCACACTTCGAGTGTCATATTATCTCTTCAGCTTCACACAACTGAAAAGACTTGGTATACGAACGGCGGGCAAGGCAAGTAAATTCAGACTGGGGCACAATCCATGGCAAGGTCTCGGGTTTCCGAAGCCGACCGCCGAGACTGTGCGAGAAGTACATAGACGACTTTCCGACTATCACGAGCATTTCAGCTTTGGCTCATTCGTCAACGCTCGTGCGTGTTCGGGACCCGTCGTCACGGTTGACAAAGTCATCCAAGTTATGCTTGCTCAGAATGCAGGGAACGAGAACGCTATAGACACCCACTCTCGACTATGCAATACATACACATATGTCGTGAACGGAGACAAGTACGCTGGTAAAACACCGAACTGGCACGAAATCAGACATTTACCTATCGAAGAACTTCAAAGAGCTCTGGAACCAACAGGATATTACCAGAAGCGTGCTGCGAGCATCATGGCAATACTCGAAGTTGTACACAGAGAAAATACTGTCCGTAAAGCCCATGGCTTACAGACGTACCAATACGATGATAACCCGCCAGACACAAGAGATTTTGTGGATGGGATGTTGTCGATGGCTTACATCACAGACGATGCAGATAATTCGACTGTCGCTGTGCTTGATCGCCTTTTAGCACTTCCGAATATTGGACCGAAATCAGCAATGTGTATAGCTGCATTTCAGCTGAAACGCCCACTCTTTGTTGTCGATACTCACATTCTGCGTTATACAAAATGGCTAGGCTGGATCCCGCAGACCTGCAACGATAACAACATAGCCGCAATGTACCTCCATGATATAATACCGGAAGACATTAGGTACGACTTACACAATCAGATTTGGACACATTGTGCAAAGGAAAACTCCTCAGGATCTCGTGGTCGTCGTATCATCTGTCCATTCTGTGGCTCAATTCCCCCGTCTCGTGCAAAGCTGGAGCAGTTTGGCGAAATTACATGTCCCGTCGCAGGATTTCTCCCTCCTCTGAGTCAAAGATGGCCCGAACGTGCTTGGCAAGAAGTAGAAGTTGTTGAAAAATCCGTTCCAACGGTCCTCCAAGCAGTAAGACACCGACCTCGGCACGGGAACACGGCTACATTGAAACACTTCTCGACAGCATCCAAAAGCAGTGATACGACAAGAAGGGCTATTGACCTGGCCTCATTGCGAAGACGAAAACTCAAGTATCTTCGAACCATGGCATTTAGTGATCTGACCGTTGACCAAGCAGAATCACAAGGCTATCTCCTCTGGATGTTCCGACCCCTGGACAATTCATTCGGCGAGGAATGGGGAACTTTCGAAGAGTTACCGAGATTCAAGTGGGAGAGGCCTACGGTTATGGATGCTGAAGTCGCTGTGAGTTACAAATATGCATTGGACGTGCTAGAAGGCAGAGTACAGCATCCTTGGTCTAAGATATCAAGTGCGAAAGAGCAGGTCTGACTTGTGATTCACTAGCACGAAAGATCATGTTGATAGAAATGCAGATAACGTAGGACAAGCTTCGCAGTTCGCTATTGCGCTGCAAACTTCGTGGCTAGCGAAAGGCTCAATTGCTCAACAGCCTAGGCACTACAGTAGACAAATACTCCCGTGGCATTAAGAAAAGTCAAGCATCTAGTACGAGCTAGACTATCACGTAAGTTCCCAGGCCTAGGGTGAGTAGGTCTGATCACAGGCAGTAGGTGTCACGGCTTATCATGCGGCCAGATCTACTGCCAAGCACATGCCTGGACGTACGGCTGTGCACACACCAAGGGTAGGACAGGTCTGAAACTAGTAAGGGAGGTTTAATAATGTGCAACCAGCCAAAGATTACTATTAGCATCATATACGGTTACGGGTTGGGTATCACGTAAGTTCCTAGGCCTAGGGTAAGTAGGTCTGATCACAGGCAGTGGGGTGGTATGTTGGCTAGTTAGTAACAAGAAGTGTAAACACGACAGGAAGGTACTTAGAAGGTACTAGTGGAATTAGTAAGAGAGATTAATTACGGAGTAACTATAAAATATTAGTCGCGCCTAACCTACGATATATATATATCTATATATTTCTTAGTATATTTATAATATTGCGATATTAGGTCTTAATCTAATATTACTAACATTCTAATATTATATCTAAATCAGGTCGTTCGTTACTTGTGACTTCGTTAAACCTTTCTCTTAGCTAGGCCTGTTCGGACACCCTTCCTTGATTAGTGTATTTTATACCGTAGTTATATACTGGTCGTAATACTATCCCCTTCGACGTCCTTATTCACCCTTGAATAATAAATAGGTATATATCCTAGTTTCGTTCTAGGGCTTAGGGCTTAGGGCTTAGGGCTTAGGGCTTAGGGCTTAGGGCTTAGTTCTTAGTGCTAAGGGCTTAGTGCTTAGGGACTGTCTCATAAACAAAT